CCTTGCCTGCTCCACCACCCCCTTGCACCGCCGCCTCGCGTGTTCGAGGAGGACGGATCACCAGATCCTCCTCCGCGATTTCCTCCACGGCCTCGGGAGCTCATGGAAGATATTGGGGATATTGGTTGGAATAAAAAGTACGCACAGTAGATAGATCTTGCGGACGTTCAAAAAGTGTAAGAGGTTGGGGTCTTGGTCTTGAGGTATTCGCGCCTGAGAGAACGGTACCCGCCTGCCCGTCGAGGGTGCGGATGGTATTCCAAGAGGTACGAAGGTTACAAGTAAGATACAGAGTACATACGAGAGTCCATGAATATATATACGAGATCTGGCTTGTTTGCCAGGAGCAAACAAGCGCGCGTGATAAGATAAGATCGATCGCCCGGATACAGCAACGCGGAAGTGGCGCTTAGGATAGATGTGGCCCACTCATGTTGAGTGCCACACCGTATCCCTAGCCGCCCCTTACACTCTCCCGACATCAATAGGGCTTATATGTTAGTCAAAACTTGGAACTTTTTACGAAAGCTCATTGGCGGATCGGACAAATCTTCCGCCAACGAGTTCCAAGTAAACTTGAAACATATAAGGGCCCCTTCGGCAAGTCGAGTCGAGTTGGGTTGAGTTGGGCTTCCCCGCCAATTCTCGTGGGAGCTCGAGTTGCTCTTGCCGTCGGATCACAGGCCCGTTGTCACTCTTGGACGGAGGAAGCCGAGGTGACTTCAGGAAGAGTCGTCCGTGCTTTGCGTGATTTCCCGACCATTTTCGCGCATTGTCCGTGATAGCCCACACGCACCGGCACCATCTCCGGATGGCACTAAGGTGCACTTACTGTAGATCTGAATAATACAGCAAAATGTGTGGAATAATCGAGGCTTCTCCATGATACTTGCCTCGTTCAGTTTCATTCGGTGGACAGAATTCTACAAATAAAGCACCTTCCCCATCGTTGAGCTCATCGAGGGCGGCGATGAGATAGGCACGGTGTAGACCGGCCCCTGTTTTACCGGGTGACCCTGGACCCCATCACACACTGTCACTAAGTGACTCCGCGTGGTCACGAGGCACAACTCGATCCAACTCAACTCAACCCGACTCGACTCGACTTGCCGAAGGGGCCCTAAGGTCTAATGTCTGGCGCCTCATACTGACAGCTCTGAGCTCTCTGTGGTCACGAATACTGGCTGGTCTGGCACAGACATTCATTCTAATGCACAGACGTCATCTCACGACAAGGTACGATCGCGTTTTTGTTTACTTTAATGTCTCAGTCAGGTTGTAGATCGATCCCCACCCATCTTTTTGTCTTTGCATGCCTTGTTGATCTTGATCTTCATGTTTTGCTCGGCCGAAGAGGATCTGCATCGATGTAGGTCCACGTCAATATCCTCATCGATATGTACACACGACAACGCGTCAGTTGCAGGCCACTCGGTGCGCGGAGAAGAGGTCTAGGAAGTGGGACCCTGCGGTAGTTCCCCTCGAGGCCGGGTTCTTCTTCAAGATGATGTTATATACATACCCCGAGGCTGGATATTTCGTAAAAGTCCTCACTTTACGCCTTCGCCAAGCAGGTGAGGAGATATCGGTCAGTATGCTGCGTGTTCCTTGGAGTAAACCCCCTTCGTACTTGCGGCACCGTGCATGTACTCGTACCCAGTAGCCACAATCAGAATTACTCTCAAATAAACTCATGGTGCTCTAGCCTCAATAAGTACTGGTCCGAAAACATAGAGATTTGTGTGTATACGTCCACAGAGCCTGAGCTCAAACGATGTCGCTAAGAACTGGCAGCCAAACTGGTGTGTCGAACTGTGCCTGCTAAACGATCATTTCATCGTACCATTTGCGGACGCACATTTTACGTGGATCAAATTATGACCCCTTCGCCAATGATGTATAAAGCTAGACCCTCACCCGATTATCTTGTCTCGACCCCTCTCCGCTTCAGACTTTCACCACCAGCTTCGCTTTACTCTTAGAAGTCAGACAAAAAGCTAACATGTCTTCTGCTGAATTCCCCGAGACTCCTCGCCCTAAGGATGTTGGAATCCTCGCGATGGAGATGTATTTCCCTCGCAGAGTAAGTCCTGGCTACAGTGCACTAACACTGAGCGAATGGTTAATCTAATTTGTGCATACTCTCTGTGGTCGACAGTGCATTTCTGAGGAACAACTTGAGGAGTTCGATGGTGTGGCCAAGGGCAAGTACACCATCGGTCTCGGTCAGGAGTACATGGCGTGCACAGACGACCGCGAAGATATCAACTCCTTTGCATTGACTGGTACGTACTATATCCCTCTCCTGATCAGCCCTTGGCCCTCACACGACCTATAGTCGTCGCAAATCTCCTCGAGAAATACAACATCGACCCCCGTTCTATCGGACGTCTGGATGTTGGCACCGAGACCATCATCGACAAGTCCAAGTCAGTCAAGACGGTCCTCATGGATCTCTTCGCCACCTCGGGCAACACAGATATCGAGGGCATCGACTCGAAGAACGCATGTTATGGGTCCACCGCCGCGCTCTTCAATGCCATCAACTGGGTGCAGGGCGACTCTTGGGACGGCAGAAATGCAATCGTCGTGGCGGGAGATGTTGCGGTCTACGCAGAGGGAGGGGCCAGGCCAGTTGGAGGTGCCGGAGCATTTGCTGCGTTGATCGGGCCAAATGCCCCCATGGTCTTCGAACGTAAGTGAGCCAGTTCTACATTTGCCTCTCGCTGCGGAAGCCGTCACGTAGCGCGCCAAGTCTATTCCTCGTGGTAGACCTCGACGCGTTCCAAGGCCGCTTATTGCTTGCTATACTTGTTTTCTCCCACAATATGACGAGGCACGGACGACTCTAATCTCCGCATTTCTCTCCCACAGCCGTTCATGGCACGCACATGAGCAATACCTACGATTTCTACAAGCCAAAACTCGACTCGGAATACCCAGAAGTCGACGGCCCTCTTTCCATCACCTCCTACATCAGTGCTCTTGACGCATCCTACTCCCGGTACCGCGAGAAGACCGCCAAGAGGCTAGGGAAGACGAACGGTGACGCTGGCAAAGATGTAGATCCCAAGTCTGCGTTCTCTCTCCAAGACGTGGACTACAACGTTTTCCACTCACCATACGGCAAGCTCGTCCAGAAGGGCCACGCGCGATTGGTGCGTTTCACTACAATTCTGTACTACGCATGCGGATGCTTATTCTACGTGGACATTGCTGCAGCTCTATAACGACTTCATTTCTTCGCCTTCATCACCCTTCTTCGCCAACCTCCCTTCCGCCGAGTCCATAAAAGCCATCCCTTACGCAGCCTCCCTCACGGACAAAGTCCTCGAAAAGTCCTTCATCACCTTCGCCAAATCCGCATACCAGTCGAAAGTCAATCCCTCTCTCCTCTGCGCAAAGCGTTGCGGTAACATGTACACCGCGTCTCTGTACGGCGGTTTGGCGTCCCTCTTGTCGTCCATTTCCCCGGAGGAGCTCAAGGGGAAGAGAATCAGCATGTTTGCGTATGGAAGTGGTCTGGCGAGCTCTTTCTTCGTTATCAGGGTGAAAGGTGATACGACTGAGATGAGGGAGAAGCTGGACTTGGTGAAGAGGTTGGCGAGCATCAAAGTGGTGCCGTGCCAGGAGTACGTTGAGGCGCTCAAGGTCAGCAATACTGTGCCTTTGTATATGCCTGCATCTGTTGACGGTCTTTGCCAAATGATTAGCTCCGTGAGGACAACCACAATGCTGGTGGTTACACGCCCGCTGGCTCGCTTGACAACATCTGGCCTGGCGCGTACTACCTCGAGCACATCGATGAACGCTACCGTCGCAAGTATGGCCGCAAGCCTGCGACCTCCGCATAGATCAGAGAGATCTATCTTTTACCGTTGTCTTCTTCTGGCTTCTTATTCTACTCGCGGTCACATTTACAGCCTTCTGTAGAGTAGGCGACCACGCTTTCCGGTCGACGTCTTCGCTATCGTTCATTTCTTGCCGCTCCACTTCATTGTCTAGTACGTACCCTGTGAGCTACTCATGATGATACCAGAGATCACACCTTCTACTTTTTCCCACCTCCCGATCTTGTGTGTATTTTTACTGTTTTTCTGGATCTCTGTACTGCGGTGAATGTGTTTGTGTAGTTGCTCGAATGATTGTAGGAGGTGGCCATACCGTCTAATGTCACCGAATATAGATGATGAACCGTATACTCGGTCTCTTGATGTGAAGTTTTCTTTAGGGAAGCAAGAACGACGTTTGGGATTTCGATGTGTGGCACCAGTGTGGCCCATCGACGCGAATACATTCTTATGGGGCTTATAGTGGCTCGAATGTCTGAGACGCTCAAAGACGGACAAGAGGCGACAGGCGAATCGTAGATACAATTTAGCATAGGCGATGAGGCATCGATAGCAAATACAGTTATGGGGGATAAATATTCTGTCAGAAACAAAGGTCAGTAAGGGCTAAGACGGTGAAGCAAGGCAACCATGGACTGACGGATATGCATACTTGTTTATGAGGATTTCAGAGCAGAATAGGAAGACCTTTGAGTATTAGAAAGGCGGTTGGATCTAAGCACAAACATGAACGTCATCATTAGACTATGACACGGTGCCAGGAGGAAATCCAGGCGTACCTTCGTCACCTCATTCTTTATCTTCGCGCCCAGCAATATGGCAAACTTCTCCAACTGAGACTTGCCTTCCTTCGAGCAGAAGGGGCACCCCACCAGCTCCTGAAACGCATCCTTCAACACGGGTTCCTCCAACACATTTCCGAAGTACGGCTTTTCCCTCACGATAGTCTCGCACTGCTTGAGGTACGTGACGAACCAACCCGCCACTTCGACCACATTTGAACGAGACGAGCCTGAGGAAGAAGAACGAGCGTCTGGACTCTGCGGTGGTAGACCATAAGACACGTCTGGTCGTTTCCGCCATGGGTTACCTCTATGACCCCCCGACCATTCGTGTCGTGGAGCGGCGACAGCTACGTGATGCTTGGGACACGTACATTCCGGCGAGTCTCGAGTCTCCCGCTCCCGTCCAGCGAGAGGTGGGACATCGAAACCATAGGTATGGGCAGGGTCTACAACGCCACTGCGAGGGCGGTAGGGTATCAGTCCTGGGATAATGCCTTCATCTGCCCAGGTCAATCCTCGTACGACGCCTACGGCGACTTCGGAATTTTGTTGATGAAACCGAAGGAACTTGCGGTACTGATAATGCGAGTTTGGGACGTGAGCCCAATCATCATCCTCCGCGGGGTCGATGTCAGACAGGCTCATTGCGTTTCTGAGGGTGCGCATGGCAGCCTCGTTGGCGATCTTGGTGAGGCTATAACGTGCCGCGAGCGCGCAAATGGCATGCGGGTGTTTGGGGAGGTTCTCGGCTAAGGCGGATTCGACAGTGCGCGAGAAGCAAGGGACGATATATTTGTCCATTGTGCGCATAGCGAGGCGGAGCGTAGGTAGGTCGGTGAGATTGGGCATGTCCATCGGGTAGATCATTTGAAAGAGGATACTGAGGCTCTTCTCGTTTTCCGTTACTGGGATGATAGGGAGTCCATCTCGAGTGCTGTCTGGATTGGAGGAACCTGGGGTGGAGGGCTGGGGAAGAGGAGTCGTGAACATGTCGCGGAAAGCATGAGAGGCCTTGGAAAGGAAGAGTCTGTGAACGCGGAAATCGATTCCGTCTACAGATCTGATGATGATGTCTGCATCACCGTCGGGGTCATTGAAAGGCGGTGGCGCGTCCCGAACAGGCGCGGAGGGCGAGGCGAATGACGAGTCGTCCATCATGGTGCACACGAAGGAGGGTGGGACAACTTAGAAATGATTATGATTTATGCCTTCACAATCCTGAAATTAGTATATTGATGATACGGCAGAAAAATTGCAGTGCACGCAAAGGATGAAAGACGGTTCAAAGTAAATATAGAGACAGACCAAGCCATCGCTGGCAAGGGCGAGCCACGGAAGAAGACGGGTTGAAGGAGAGTGTATTGTTGAGATGAAGACAACATCAGAGACATCCAACCGAACAAGACAAGCCTAGCCATCCTGTCTCGCTGAGACGTCGGCAGCATAACCCGGCGAATCGAGCTCAAAACTGTGTGGCCCAGATCGAAAAAGTGATGCCTCGAGTCGACCCGAGCATCTCCCGTCTCACCTTGTGGAAATTTCTGCACCAATCCAGTTGCACAGAGAAGTACACGTTCCTTCGCCCGGCGATGGCTCTACTTGAAGATGACGGCTGAGGATCAGAAGTGGAGGAAGGTGTCCCAAAGCGGAAAGTTTGAAGCAGGGTTCTCGATCACGTGGCATCCATGGTGCAAGCACGTGTTGCGGCGCCCCTATAAGTATGAAGCCGTTAATGCGTTCATTGCACGTATACCCTTTGCCCCGGTTGTCCCATTCTCTACATCCCTACATCTCCATCGTCTTTTCTCTTGATAATGTCTGCCCAGGTAAAGGAAATCCCCACCAAACCCTTCGAGGGACAGAAGCCCGGAACTTCTGGTCTCCGTAAGAGGTGTGGTTCATCGATATCTTTGGCCCGATATCTGGACGCGTTCTGAACTTGTATTCGTATACAGGGTCAAGATCTTCCAACAGGAGGTATGTTGCAAATACTGCCATAATTTGTGGATAGCTATTGATCTGTTCGATAGCATTACACCGAGAACTTCGTTCAAGCCATCTTCGACGCCGTCCCGCTCTCGGGTGCTACTCTCGTCGTCGGTGGTGACGGTCGCTTCTACTCTCCCGAAGTTGTCCAGATCATCGCGAAGATCGCGTCCGCCAACGGCGTATCTAAGCTGATCATCGGCAAGGACGGTATTCTCTCCACTCCCGCCGCCTCGAACGTTATCCGCAAGTACAAGGCCACTGGTGGTATCCTCCTGACCGCCTCGCACAACCCGGGTGGTCCCAATGCCGACTTCGGTATCAAATACAACATGGACAACGGTGGCCCTGCACCGGAGGGCGTGACGGAGAAGATCTTCGCGAAGACCAAGGAGATCAAGTCGTACAAAGTCATTGAGCTCCCTCCCATCGATATCTCCAAGATCGGCGAGACTTCGTATGGTCCAACCAAAATATCCGTCATCGACTCCGTCTCCGACTACCTCGAGCTTATGGAGTCCATCTTCGACTTCCCCTTGATCAAGAAGTTCCTCACCTCCCACAAGTCGGACTTCCGCGTTCTCTTCGACGGTCTTTCTGGTGTTACTGGCCCATATGCGAGATCCATCCTCCTCGACACCCTCGGTCTCCCCGAATCCTCCGTCCAGAATTGCATCCCATCACCAGACTTCAACGGTGGACACCCAGACCCTAACTTGACCTACGCTCACTCTCTCGTTGAGGTCGTCGAGAGGGAAAACATCCAGTTTGGTGCCGCCAGCGACGGTGACGGTGACCGCAACATGATCTACGGAAAGGGCGCCTTCGTCACTCCTTGCGACTCCGTTGCGATCATTGCAGACTACGCTGACAGCATCCCTTACTTCAAGAAGGGAGGCGTCAAGGGTCTTGCTAGGAGTATGCCGACCAGTGCTGCCATCGATGCTGTCGCCAAAGCCAAGGGTTACGAGTACTTCGAGGTCCCAACTGGTTAGTTTCTCATCCTTTTGGCCTGTCCCACACATCCTGATCGTATGTCTAGGTTGGAAGTTCTTCGGTAACCTCATGGATGCCGGCCGTTTGTCGATCTGTGGTGAGGAGTCCTTCGGTACTGGCTCTGACCACATTCGGGAGAAGGACGGTATCTGGGCTGTTGTCGGTCAGTTCGCGCTTCCCATTGCTTGCTTAGATCTAGACTGACTTTGAATCCAGCCTGGTTGAACATTATCGCTGCCGCTAACGAGACATCCTCCAAACTCGTCGGCATTCGCGAGATTCTCGACAAGCACTACCTCAAATACGGCCGCTCCTTCTTCTCCCGCTACGACTACGAGGAAGTCCCCTCAGAGGGAGCCAAGAAGCTCACCGACCACGTCAACGAGCTTATCGGCTCGTCCTCTTTCTCTGGCAAGTCCTACACCGCGCCTACCAGCGGCGAGACCTTCGAGGTCGCCAAGGCGTACAACTTCGACTACACCGACCCGATCGATAAGAGCGTCAGCAAGAACCAGGGTCAGGTCGTCACTTTCGCCGATGGGAGCCGTGTCGTGTGGAGGTTGAGCGGTACGGGCAGTCAGGGGGCTACGGTCAGGATGTACGTGGAGCGTTACCTTGCGAAGGAGGCGGGTGAGAAGGAGCTGGCGAAGCCGACTGCTGAGGGACTCGAGTCGCTCATCGAGGTTGCGCTCGAGATCAGCAACTTGAAGCAGTTCTTGGGCGTCGAGAAGCCCACTGTTATCACGGTTAGTCCTTCGTATTTAATGTATGTCTTAAACTGGCTGACGGTCGTATTTCTTTCCAGTAATCTGCGATTGTGAGTTGGTTGCAAACGTAATAGATCGACGAAGATATCTCAGGAAGAAGACAAAATAGAACGTTGATACCTGTATTTTTGAGGAATGAGAATTGCTCCAGTATTGTGAAATTCCCGATGATGGCGTCGACGCACTACGATTGGCTTGAGCTAGGAGGCTGCTTTGAACGACCGATCCTCCACAAAAGATTCGCCTGTGAGAAACCAGATGCTGCCTGCGTCAATGTCTTTGCCGACATAAGTACCTGACTGTTCACAGCCCCTCCCGCTTGACTTTCTGGGGTGAGCGCAGCTCCAACGACGTCTGGTTCAATTTCAAACGGAGAGCAGAAGATCTGTCAAATGCCCGTCGCCTTTGCCTTCCAGCGTCGGTGTCTTCTCGCCAAGTACTTGTCGTGAAAGATGGTGGGGTGCTCGGAGAGGAACTCCCTTCGTGCGCACTGACCCTGATGGTGTCCTCAAGACGGGTGTCACGATGAACTCGGCGCCTGTCCGGCGCCGGGAGCCTGACGGCATAGATGTTGCCTGTTGGGGAACCGGAGTTGTGCTTAGAGCGGCAGGATCGGCAAGGCGACCCGCATCCGGCACGAGTTGTCCTCTGATTTACGCGACAACAGCGGGCCCGTTCCGTCCTGGTGCCTGGTTGCTTCGTCTTCAGACTCTCCAACGAGGGCGTAGCTTCCGCTTCGTATGCGCTCACTCTGTGCCTTCGTTAGTGCTTGGAATGGCACAGCATGGTTTTTTATGGTCGATATACCGCTATTTTTGTGGAGGAACTGACAGCGAAATGGTGGAGTGCTAGTACCGGCATCGCGCCCGCCTGGCAACACGCTGCTGTGGTCGGAACCTCCGATTTTGACCATTTTTAGGCATCCAAGATTAGAAAGTGAGCCTAGGTCTGCGTGGTTTTGGATAGCGCACATGCTTGTAGAGGGCTTTGGCTGCGGCTAAGGACGTGAGAGACAGGCGAGCCAATCATGTGGGGCGTGGGCCATCTGTAACATTAACCGGAGACGTGAACAAGCATCTTCATAAAAGCGCAGCGTGCCGTTTCTACGTTCTTTTTCATTCTTTCCATTGTTTTCCCCCAACGCTATCCTTTACATAGACCCTCCGCCCGCCTACTCCACCCATCCCTCCCTTCCTCCTCGCCTCCTCCGCCTCTGAGCCACCCTCAGCACCCCCTCCACCGAACGCGCTACAGTAATTCCACGCGGCCTCAACTTCCCTTGTTTCAACATGGTTGCAGTATCGCTCTCCCTCGTTCTTTCTGCTCTTCCTCTCGCGGCCCTGGCTGGCCATAAGCCATCCGCACGCCACCATAAGTCCCGCATGTCGCACAGGTCGACTCCTACAAAGCGTACTTCCTACACCCTCACCGACAAGTGGCAGGGCCAGTCGTTCTTCGAGTGCGTACTTCATCTCCTTACCGTAGAGTCATTCGCTAATCATCTTTTACTTGACTCTTTCTTTCATAGTGGTTGGTCGTTCTACTCCGACGCGGATCCCACCAATGGCTATGTCACCTTTTTGGACAAAGACGCTGCCACCTCTGCTGGCCTAGCCTACGTTCAAGATGATAACACCACGATCCTGGCAGTCGACAACTACACCACGGTCGCGGAGGGCGGTAACAGGAACTCGTATGTCCATCACTGTTTGCCACGTCTTGATATGATTCCGTTCTGAAACATTGTGGCGCCAACGTAGGGTCCGCATTAGCACCGACAACACCTACGACTCTGGCCTTTTCATCGCTGACTTCTGGGCGATGCCTCACGGATGCAGCGTTTGGCCCGCTTGGTGGTCTGCAGGGCCCGATTGGCCCAACAACGGAGAGATCGATGTTATCGAGGTGCGTGTCCGCAGCAACCGGGGCACAGCGAGCGTGCAACTCATTCGTTCCTTGCTTTATGGATACAGGGTGTCAACGACCAGACGAAGAACCAGTACACACTCCACTCTAGCTCTGGCTTCTCTCTCGACACGGCCGTTGCCGACTTCACGTCCAGCGTCCTCGGCACGACCTGTGCCTCGAGCGACGGCGACAACTCCGGCTGTGCGTTCGCTGACGATAACGACAACTCGTTCGGCCAGGGCTTCAACATGATCGCTGGTGGAGTGTACGCACACCTTGTCGATGACGACGGTATCAAGGTGCGTTCTCTTTTCCAGTAGACCGGCCGGCATCTCCGCTTAGTGCCCTAGGCACTTCACACCCTATTCTTGATTTGCCCCTTGTCCCTTGCTACATTGCGTTTGGGGTTTCAGGGCTGAATGTGTTTCTCCATTTTAGATGTGGCATTTCGCTCGTGGCTCCATCCCGGACGACATCACCGATGGTGCTCCCGACCCCTCTACGTGGCCCACGCCCTCGGCCAACTTCCCCTCGTCCGGTGGTGATGTTGCCTCTCACTTCAAGGTGCGTGGGCCTCCGACTGTCTCTTAGCAGAATCTATACTAACCGGTTTTGCAATCATACAGGAGCAAGCCTTGACGTTGGATATCACTATCTGCGGTGACTGGGCAGGCAGCTCCTACACCTCGTCCACCTGCCCGGGAACTTGCGCCCAGGCTGTCGCCAACTCGACGAACTTCGACTGTGAGTCTCCACATCGTGATGCTCTGTCTTGAAACGCGGAGAACTCACAGGTTGCATTTCTCGTTCTCGTGCCGTAGATGCGCAATGGAAGATCAACTACATCGCCGTATACCAATAGACGAGCTTAGACAAGACCCGACTGTCCTTTCATTCAGTCCGACTTTCTCGAAGTCCATTCCTTTTTCTTCATGACTTCATGAGTACATATTTTATATACCACCCGCGTCGTTTGACTACATCGCACACCCCGCTTCGCACATCATTCCAACGATCTGGTCGATCCGGATCTCCCTCTTATTTAGCTCCTCAGGTTTTTGTTTGCTCTTTGGGTATTTTGCTCTTAATATTCCCAATTGTTCTGTTCTTTGAAGTCGTCTCGTCAGCTCGCGTTGGTTGAAGGACGCTAGTCACTCCTTTATCCTGTCCTCTCGTTATTCTTGTTCGAGTCCCGTCCGTCGTCGTAGTCGTTGTCATGTTAAGTACATACACACTGAGCGCTTGATCACTGCTGCATATATGGCGTACCTACTCGAGTAGTGGTACTGTGTTTCTGGTTTCCCTTGTGCATACGCTTGACTTTCGGGTCTAGTCGCCTGTGGTAAGGTAAGATACTGCTCTGTGTACTCCTACAGTACTGTTGTGTGCCAATTCTACTCCTCGCTGCGGTTCGTTGTACGCCTACCTGGATCTGAAGGGGTTTGTTTGCAGCTTTCAAATGGCAGATCTCTATTAGTCTCCTGTTCGCTGGATTGTAGAGGTACGTACTGGCCACACGGCGCCGGATCCAGTTTTCTGCACGGGCAGAAACGAAAACAATCTTGTTCTGCCGCTCCGAACTCGTCCGGACAATGGTGATATATGTTCTGTGGCGGCAGAATTTACAGTAATTGCGGTTCATTTTCTGCACGGGCAGAAAAGAGGATCCTGTGCTCTGTTGTACACAGAAGGATCATCTTGCAAACTTGCTTTGATAGGCCACAACGCCACATCAACAACAACTGTCAACTAATTGCAAATTCAGTCGATTGATGGTTGTGGCGTGTGGCTCGGCGGTCACCGTAACGGTCTCTTGACTCCTCCTTCCACCTCAAAGTTTCCTTCCCAGGAGCTAACTCCCTGGTGGATACTCTGATATACACAATCTGGCGAGATGGTGAAACCAGCACCAGCTTCTATGAACTTGCAAACTTTCACCGTCCGCGTATTTACGATCCCATCTCGAGCTCGAGACCACTGCACGAGTCTCATTCAGTCATCACCGCCTGGACTCGAGGTCCAAAGAACAGATGCATCTCACCTAGAACTCGAACAGAAATATATGTGAGTCTTCTTCTCCTGACACTTTTGGTGCTCATACGTAGTCGAGGCGCCCGACCGACGTTTCTGCGGCGGGTGCGAATATCACTCCAAGAAGCCTGAATGCGGCCTTTATGCTCTGCTCTGATGGATCTGAGCAAGATCTGAACATGCTACATTGCCACATCTCGCTGTCGGAATGGCGTAATACGGAAAGTAGCCTCTGCTCGGAGGAATTCCTGGGGACGCCCGGAATTTTTTGTCGTGGCGTTGTTCGCTTTCCCATCGCACAGTGCGCGGTGGCCGCTTCTGGGCATGAGCTGTGTCGTGAGTGGGTAACTATCCGAAGCCGTCTAGGAGCGCTTCTTGATACACAGAAACACAAACACAAAGGTCCTCGTATAATTAAGAATCGATTTGGGCCTCCTTTCTGTCCATCTAGGCCTCTGGGATCTGCACAAACCCCCTAGGGATGGTCATCCAGTCCGTTCACGACCTTAATCGTTCTATGCAACACTCAAAAGTCTATATAGATATAGGCGTAAGACAATATACACCCTTTCGAGCTCAGAGATCTGAGACTCTGGGAGTGGAGGGGTGAAATTCCACCGTAACTTCTCCTTGTGGCTACATTTCGTGGCTTCGCTCACCGTGCTGTATCGCCGCACTGGATCGTATGGAAGTGACATCTTCCTCATATCCCATGTACCTGGACCTTCGACAAGAACGGTCTTCACTTCTCCTGCGCATGCTTGCAGCACCTATCTTACTGCGTAGTACTAGACGCTTTCTAAAGGGTGCGGCCTGTTGACGGCATTCCAGATACGAAGGATTTACGGCGCTGACTCGGGGGTTTTCTGGACGTTACGTTGTCCGAGTCCCCCTTTGAGGTGGGTTCCAATCATCGATTGCATTCCTGCTATTTTTCTCTTCCCGTCTGATGGTATTGAGGTGCTGTCTTTGTGTGGACATCACTTCTTGCCACGGCATGCTATCTTTCTCCAGAACAACGATGCAATTAGACGGCAGACACAGTGTCGTTGATCTATAGCTGGTACCTGTGGCCACGGCTGTCGACAAGCAAGTCAAGTGATCTGTCATCTTGAGCAGCGTGCAGCCAGTTGTTACCAAATCCATGTATCATGTATCAGCGGTTTGCGAAGCTCCATGTTTATTCTCCAATCAACGCTGCATTGCTCGTCGGCTATCCGCTCAACTTCGCCGGCTGTAAGAAATAGGGTTGCGTTTTTCCCTTACTCCTAGCCAGTGTGTACTCTCAGTCCCAGGGCGCGCCTCGCAGTTCGCGAAGAGATCCTCACAGCCACCTGCGGGAAAAGGCACGCTTTCCACAAAGAGGTTGCACCCTTATGGAGTCGTTTCACCGCTTTACGGCCTTCAAGGACTTCCTGATCACAGGCCGGACCCGGATCGTGCGACAACTCGACACATTTACGGTACACGAAAGATACGAGGACTTGCGATGCATGGAGGCACAAGGTGCGTACTTGGTTGTAAATCCTACTTTACGTGTTGTACTGAGAATGCATCGGCGAAACTATACAAAGTAATCGTCTATGAAACTGATATTTTTACCCCATTTGTGTCTATCGTAGATATTCATTGCCATGCTTGACGCTCCAAGCGAGTCGTTTTTCGAGTTCGGCGACTTTCCTAATTGAACCACGGACTTTGAACCTCCGCCATCACGACGGCTCGGGTGCGAATGACGGACTTCGGAGAAACCTTTATAACTCTCGCATAAGGGACGTTGTACACGTCGCCCACCTAATTTCCTAACATGTTACTAGTCCTCATTTCCTTGAAGAAAGCGGTGGTGATAATGGCGTCTACCGATAGAATTCCGCGGACAAACTCCGGAACACTGACATGATTTCTAGCTTTGACGACTCGGGGAACTCTGTGCTCCTGTAATGACCATCGCGGTCTTTGCTCGACGATGAATACGACATGAAGTATCTCCGAGGTTTCAGAGAGCATAAAAATCACGCAACAGCCTCCCATGTGGATATACAAGTGCTCGTATGAGCGTGGGTGATAATGTGATTCAGAGAGTTACGGTTCCAGATGCGGCGTTGGACGTACCACAGATGATGGCCGTCTCTGTGAATCGTAGCCGGGATCATGGCTTCGAGAAGCCTATGTTTGTCCAGAAAACCCAGATAGAGTTCGGTCGGCCTGTCCGTCCTCGTCTTGTATTCAATCTCGTGCGGACACTCCTTCGAGGCTTGGCATGCGCCCGAGATTGGCGATGAGCATGCACGTCGGCTTATTGACGGACCAAGTCAAGGGGTGGGTTCAGTTCTTTCTGGAAGTATGGTCAAGGGTAGAGCGGGTGGAACCTCATATCATCTCCATCCGTCGCTGCTTTTGCGGCCACCGACACTGCGGGCCTCTGCAAGCAGGGTTCTTCTATGCTCCATAATTCGCCGACGGGCTTGTATATATGACCCCTCGTACAGATCCAGAGACTACGTGGTAGATATCTCTCATCTGTCGTATCTTACTCCTGGTCGCGTCAAAAATGCATCGTCATCCGGGGGAAATGTCTGCGCTTCCCAGCCTCTCCTGGGCGTCCGAGTCTCCCAGGCGAACAGTCAAGGTAAGAAGTGCGGTACAGTATACCGCGGAAATTGATGCTCACCATCTTTTACATCTTCTTCAGGCTTGTACGAGCTGTCGGTGAATCTGACTACTGTAATCAAACGTCGAAGTTATCTTTACTGACGAAAACTGTCCACAAAGGCGCGATAAGATAAAATGCGACAATGAAAGGTCTGTCATCGAGTAGTCATTTCCGATTGAGTTTTATTCTCATCTCTGACGTATATACCTCTTTTTCCTAGGCCTTGTAGCGGGTGCGTCAAGAAGGGATATCCGAAGGAACAATGTATCGACGGTTGTGAACCTTGTCGCCGCGCCCGCAAGCGTTGCTGTGGCGGAACACCTTGCACGCGCTGTACAGAGCTTCAGCTTTATTGCACAGATGAGCTGCATCCTCCGGCCTCCCCGCTTGATGTCACGTCTGGCGCATCGCAATCAAGCTCGCCGGAACGTGCTAAGCTGGCATGCCGTAGCTGTCGACGTGATAACAAGAAGGTTCGTAAGCTTTGCTGCATCATTTACATGTCCGGACGCTCATTCTGATATTTATTGGCATAAATACAGTGCGATAACGGGCGCCCCTGCGGTAGATGCGTTGCAAGAAACGAGGAATGTGTCAAGGTCGGCCGTGGGCCCAAACAAGTCAAGGTGAGATGTCAGGGGTGCCGAGAGACAAACCAGCGTTGCGAAGATGAGAGGCCGTGTCGGTTCTGCGTCGCCACAAGGGTGGAGTGCTTCGACCCGCCGAGGAAAGGGACTGGACATGGTGTACGAGTCAAATCTGTGAGCTTACACCCTCTGATATCAAGTGCTCGCCGCTGAGCGCAGGTCATGTATGCAGGCTTGCAAAAATTGCAGGTGAGCGAATTCCATATCTTTTCACGAAATACTCAACTCATAATATTGTGTAGACGAGATAAGGTTCGCTGCGACGGTGAAAGGTGTGCATTTTATGCTCTCCTATCATTTTAATTTAGCTAAACATGGGAAAGGCCGTGCGTGTCTTGTAGACGCAAAGGCCTGACATGCATCGATGAACAAGTTAGCAACATACATGAGAATCAGGCGATGGCAGGCACATCCAGTGATTCTTTATCATTCACCTCTGTCGATAGTTCAGTCAGGTCTTCGTCTACTGATGGTAACGTGTGCCTCTGGCCAGCTCAAGCGCGTGTTAGCTTACCTATGCGACGAATAGATTCGTATCACGCCGATGTTGAGCGAGATCTCCCTCCTCTCGTCGGGACAAGGGCAAGTGTGGTTCAGCAGTATAACTCTAGCCCTACTTTTATTACTCCACCTCTCGACGAGCGCTCTTCTGCCATTTTAACGGACTATTTTTCTTATCCTGGGCCTGGTGGTTATTCGGTGAATTCATCTACTGTGCTACGTTCCGCTGGAGGCGTTCATGAAAGGATGGGACAATATTAGATGTCATTAGAGTATTTTAAATTTTGGGTACATATCACTGGACAATTTACTTGTGTCTTTTCAGTTTCCCTCCTGCACAAAGAGGTGTGAAACTTGATTGTGGCGATCTTCAAGTTGGTTCAACTCGGGTTTCGCCGGGGTTGCCGTGAACACGTGCTGTCGACGTTCCCGTGAGAGCACTCGCGAAAGGCGCGTTTATCCTTTGCCACAAACCTTGTCTGTTCCCACAGCGTTGTATGGTTGAGGACTCCTCGCTTGAAAGGTGAGTACCGCGCGAAATTTGATTAATCTCAGACTTACGTGTGCCGTGGCTTAAGAACCAAGCCTGTAGCAAAGATAACATACGCGGGAAGAGCCAAAGTGAGCGAGTGTTGAACTTGCATTTCGCATTGACCTCGGATTGAGCTGGCCTCCCTTAGAGAAGAAGAGAATCTCTCAGTCTCCCCGAGTGCGTATTACTCTGTGTATTTCATTTATTCTCAACACAACACATGTCTCATCCCATATACAGAGCCAATTCACCTTCACCGAGCGAGTCAAGCACGATGAGCGGGAACAAGGATGCGGAAACGATGCCCCCACCCCCTAGTCCTCCGAAAAGGGTGAGTAGTGTATTATTTTGGGATAGTGGTTCACGCTGCTCATCAAACCTCGTTGTCTTATGAATGTCATTGTCGATCTATGGCTTTGGGTAACCAGGGTCCGGGTCGGCCACCCAAGGTCAAGCCTGACGCGTGAGTGCTCTTATGGTCCCAACGTTCAGCATGAACTTCATGCCGATTGAAACACTATTCTTATAGTTCACGCGACTCCGTTGAGACGCCGCCGAAGAAACCTGTCAGCAAGTCTGTCAACAAGCGCACTTCTATCTCTTCCCTCAACGACCTCAACGGTGCCAGTAACAGTCCCAAACCCCCTTCCACCACAAACACTCCCGCAAAGCTGAACCCCGTCACTCCAAAGAACAAGTCCGCCGCCCCGGTTTCCAAATCTGCCAGCTCCACCTCAAAGAAAGGCTCAGAGACACCTGATAACGATGTTCGCGATGATGTTTCGGTTACGGAGTCCGCAAGTCGCGTCCGTCGCACGGAAACCGAACGTCTCCAATATTTCCAGAGTCAGCCACAGTGTAAGGAGGTCGAGCCCCATAGAGCTCTGTGTGCGGGATGCGATGAATGGATCGCGCTGAATCCCCATCAGTCATATTCGATGAGGCCGTGGATGTTGCACGTGAAGGATTGCAAGAAGAAGAACGGCACGACTCCTGCCAAACCGTTCGTGATTCCATTACTATGCTATATTATTCAATGCTAAAATTATATCGCCTCTACAAAGGGTCAGCAGAGCAATGAGCGTCAAATCGCGTGGCGACGAGGACGATGAAGGTGGCGAGGAGGAGTCGTCTTCCGTCATACAGTCTGGCAAGAGCCCTCGAAGGAATGAGTCGGAGCGTCTGGCGTATCTTCACGCTGATCCTCAGGCCGCGGAGATCCAGCCTTACGAGATTCTATGCAAAACATGTCAGAAATGGATCAAGCTCAACAACAAATTGAAATATTCCCTCAATAACTGGCAGTCGCATCAGAAGCGGTGCAGTGGGGCTCTGTGGGTGTTTTTTTTTAGTGTTTCATTCGCCAGCAAAGCTCATGCTCTATTTTCAGGCCAAGTGGCCGCGTGGCGAGCGCTGACCGCAGGGTGCAACTTGTGAATGACCCGCTCGCTAGAGAGGTTACTGCAACCAGCGTCGAATGTGTGCAGTGCGGCACGACTGTGGCCTTAGAAGGACCAGGTGAATACAACCTGACCAAGTGGGAGCAGCACAAGTCGACGTGTCAGATGTGAGCGCTTTTTCGTGGCATGATTCTACTCCTTGATGCCATGGTCCTCCACAACGTCTGACCCTGTTCACTGCAGCCCCAATCCATTCGCACCGACTTCACCAGCCTCTGTACCCCTCCCAGAATCCCCAGCTCCTACTCCTAATCGAGGCCCATCCCCATCTTTGACCAAGAGCGTCAATGGCAAGCATGGGCCCACACCTTCTGTCGCTTCCACAGACGCAACCGCTGTCGCATCTGAGGCGGTTTCTCGTCAAGGCACTAAACGTAGGAGGGACGACGACGACGACGATGAAGAGGAGAGACCTAAGGCGCGCCCCCGCACGGACCCGAATGCCCCCTCTGGAGCATTGGGATGGCTTCTCCTTCCGTTCAAGACCTTCGTCAACGGCTTCAAGGAAGGCCTGTCGTCCAAACCCGCGCCTGCTCCTTCTGCGGATAATTCTGCTCCAGAGGCTTCGTCTTCCGCACCGACTGAGTGAAGGCACACTCCCTTGATCCTATATTCGTGACTAGACCGCACATTCTCGTTCGTCTGATTCACTCGTTTTATTTCTCATCCTATGCCGCCCGTGATACCTCCTACTCACGTCCTTTTTCCTTGGATATGTCTATCTATGTACCACTGTTTCTGTTTACCCGTCACGTCTTCTTTGTGTTTGTCGAATGGAGGAAACATATTACGCTCGCTGTGCTCACTATATTTGTCTGATAGCTTCGGTACCATACTGTGCATATGCTAGTGCTGTTATAAGTTCTGTTAAGTTCTGTTTGACTGGTGCCTTCCTTGGAATCATCATTGGAGCTTAGAGCCTGGCTGTTTAGTGTGTCGTCAGGATGTCCAGCTTCTCACTACTTCGACCCACGTAGGCGGTTCGCAGGGAGTCGCTGGATGCAGTGAACACGATCAGGATACAGATAACATTTCTAAGGAGACAACCGTCTGACGAATTACTACACGGTTTGCGATAACGCGGTCTCATGGACCCCTTGCAGCAGCGGCAGCAACAGCGTTCAGTGGTGCGTTTGCCTGCGTTCCGTCGCCATAGCCTTCGTCAGTCGGAGGGTCGACGATCCCACTCTCGAGCATCTCGCGGATGGAAGGATCGTATGTCGCCCGCGTGCCTCTGTGGGAAGATGCGAATGTCATGTTTGAGTGAAAGGTCGCTACAGGAAAGCCATATGATGTGGGACGAAGCTTACAGGACGTTTCGTACGACTTCCCGCAGGATCTGCCCGCTGGGAATTTCGATCTTGTCTATGCCTGGGATGCTATCTGCTCGAGTCGGACCTACATTCAACAGGAGCACGGGCTTCTTCAGCTCCATAGCGTGCTTCAGAAGTCTTCGTACACGGTCATCTCAGCTAAAAGATCTGGCAGCAATCAAAAAGGAGGAACGCTAACCGAAAGGCAGAGTATGTTGCTAATGTGGTACCGATGATGAATAGGCGATCGCACTCGTTGATTATTCGGTAACTGGAAATGATTAGCCCAATGTCCGAGTCAACAAAAGAGTGGTGAGCGGCGATATGATAGAGGGGGCGTGCCTTCTGTCCCGCACTTCTTGCCCGATGGATTCCCCGAAGAATATGACATCCGGTTTTATCTGTAGAGGGGTCCCTTCGATTAGATACCTCGCGAGTTCAAGTGCGAGGGGAACGCCTTACGACGTTGTTCCGTCGACCTTCGCTGAGGCAGCCTGGACAGCCCGGGACGACGTAATTATCGTATGACACTCCCTCTAGGGCAACCTAGAGCATCGGGATCAGCATAGAGGACAGCATATACAGAAAGGGGCCTACTGACATCTCCGTCTGGATTCGTCTTGGGCTTCTGCCCTGTCTTCTCCATGTCGTCCATATACGCCTTCCACTCCGGATTGGCATCACCGAGCCATTCTTGAAATTGATCGCGATCAAATCCATGGCCAAATTTGCAATGTACTCTCTGTCAAGCAACGGTGTTCAGAACGCATGAATGCAATGATGGACGCTCCGCGCACTAAAGACAGGCCTCACATGAAGCGTGCCATGCAGCTCAAGTATGCTGTCCTGTACCGTTCTGCTATCCCACACATGCTTGACTGCCTTGTGGTGTAACCCATCCACATTCTGAGTGATTAGGTTTATCACATTCTTTGAGTGCTGGAGGGCGGCAATGGCGAAGTGTGTTGTGTTCGGGAGGGTGTCTCGAACAGGAGGGTAACCAATATAACTTCGAAGCCTAGAGACCGCGACTCTTAGGATAACAAAGACTTGTCCCAGCCGAAGCGATTCTCACCAGTAACGCTGTCTGCGAATAGTGAGCAGGACAACCTCACACCGAAGATACGAGAACAAGCGCACCTGTACGCGTGACCACGAGGGCCATTCTCCATTAATTGGTGATACTAGTGTCGAATTAAATGAGTTATTGCCCTAGAGGGCGTTCTCAGAAATCATGCATACAAATATAGGTCTGTCGGTAGCATGGTAAAACAGTGAGGAAAATATTACATAGCATGCGAAAGCTTCGTACTTATAGTTCGGATTCATGTACCGCCCATCTTTTCCTCGATAGGCCTTAACGCCTGAGTCGACGCTCACACCAGCTCCAGTTAGCACCGCAACATTTCCTGGTCGAAGAAACGTAGATATTCGTTCTATAGCTTCAGCTGGCGGAATAGGGACCCCCGACGAGACGACCGTGTGAGGGATGGTGGGGACGGAGACTCTCATTACTCATCCCTTGGGCCACTCTCTTCTTCATGTCGTTCGCCACATCCGGCATAAGTACTACAGTGTTGGCGCCAACCTGCGCCAGCCACATTCTGCTTCTCCACGAAATCTCAGTCTTTTATGCACCCTAGTAAACTGCCATACATCGACACGACTGGCTACAACTAGACTTTGAACTATCCAGGTCATCATGAATCCTGCTCGTGCTCCTCCTGCTGTTCTCCAAACTCCAGGATTCGCTCATTACAATGTTGCATGGTCTCCCTTTCGTCCTGGTAGGATTGCCATCGCATCAGCCGCTAACTACGGTCTTGTGGGCAACGGACGCCTTCATCTCGCATCTATAAACCCTGGACCCAACGGTGCTCCAAATATCAGCCTGGACAGATAGTGCGTAGCGAATCTCTGTTCTACCTCATCACGAGTAGTGATAGATGTGACATAGCTACGAGACTCAAGATGGTTTATACGATATCGCATGGTCAGAAATTCATGAGAATCAGCTCGTTTCAGCCTCAGGAGATGGATCAATCAAGCTTTGGGATATCATGCTCAATGTGCGTCTTTGTCCATAAATTCACTATCACCCATGCTCAGATTTGGCACGGGAAGGATGTCTAGGATTATCCCATTTTATCATGGCATGAACATACGCGAGAGGTGTTCTGCCTGGACTGGTCGAATATTAAGAAGGATCAATTCATATCGTGTTCTTGGGATGGGATGGTTAAACTAGTAAGGCAGTATTGTGTGACAGCCATCCTCATAACTCACGCATCCTTCAATAGTGGACCCCGGATCGCCCGCGCTCCCTGCTAACACTTCAAGCACACCACTCCTGCGTCTATCAGGCACTCTTCTCGCCGCATCAACCTGATGTTGTGGCAACTTGCTCGACGGACGGGACCGTCAAGATTTTTGACCTCCGGTCTCCTGCATTCTCACCACAAACGAACAGTTTCACCGCACCGCTCTCAGCAGCGGCGTTGACTGTACCCGCATCAGGAGGGGAGGTCCTTGCTTTGGACTGGAACAAATACCGACCATTTGTTCTTGCAAGTGCTGGCGTGGACAAGATGGTTCGGGTATGGGATTGCCGGATGGTGAAGCTAGACGCACCACCAGATGGACTGTCTGATGGCGGCGCTGTTGGCGGTGCTTGCGAGAGTCAGCTTCTTGGACACGAATATGCAGTGAGGAAGGTCCAGTGGAGTCCACATCGGGCGGATATGTTGGCTAGTTCGTCCTACGATATGACCTGTCGAGTGTGAGTCTCTCATCTCGCGTACAAGGGCAAAGCACTCATTACTTGCCGTTTAGATGGACTACCAATCCACCTCCCGACCGGACGCATCTAATACATATACATGATTCGCATACTGAGTTTGTCGTGGGTTGTGCCTGGTCTCTGTACGAGGAAGGCGTTCTAGCTAGTTGTAGCTGGGATAGCCGGCTCAATGTATTTCATCTGTAGCTTTAAGCTGTTGCGGCTATGTATAATATACCAGGGTGGTTTGAGAGTGGACACCTGATATTATCTTGGAAAGTCACCTTGCTTGCAAGGTCTCTCCCACCCCGGTAATTGTGGCTGAGCGACTTTTTCGCACACAAAGCCAAACAGTTTGCGTAAGCTTTTCTCACATATCTGTGGCACCCCTCACTCAATGCAATCGCGCACTTGATTACCATCATCAGGACGGAGCAATTTCTATTTGCCCTGGCTATACAGTTTTTGTACATGCCCAGCATGTTTCGCGAAAGTATGCTCGATATCTGCGCAACGCGCTCAGGCCTGAAGGGCTATCGACGCCACAATGAATCAGGCCGATGCTTCTCCTGAGGCCTACGTACGCTTCGAGGCGCTGCTGCGGTCAGCGAAGCAAGAAACCTGACATCAGTGGCCATCGGAACGTGGATGTATTGTGCAGATTTAAAGGCTGCCTCTAATACGAGTTGAATACGAGTTTGCGAGCCAAGAAGAACCATCTGTGGCGCGACTCTTGCGTGACCATCCAGAAGTAATTTCCGGCCCTGAATACTCTGCAGTATCGCTAACAAAGTTGCTACTGCAAATAAAGTGCACATAAATATTGAGCATTGGTAGATATGCCATTGTCAGAAGAGGTCTCTCAAGCAAGGTCAGTGCCACAGCATGTGGAGCTTCCCTAGTTCATGTTATGGCCTCTGCTTTTGGGCCACAGTGCCACAGCGGAGAGGTGCGTTGCCGCCGTGCCGGACAGGCCAAGAAAGGAAAGCCAGTGGGGCGTCGTGCGACATCTTCTGTGAGGTCTCTCGGACTCTCTCTTCAACGTCCCCAACACGTCTCCCTGCTTTCCCAACTTTGTTCTTGCGAATTGTGTTTCCGCAGTGAATTGTATCTCTGTACTGGTTTGATTGCTGTACGCTAATCTCAGGCTGGATGGGTTCTCATGAGGTGCGTGGCGGACAAACTCTCAATGCTTCCCTTCATATCCTCATCAGTCGTTCATGCTATCTTAGAAGTTTGAGGCGGCGTTCAAGGAGGCTGTTTGCGCGAAGCGATTGTCTGGATCAAAAGTAACGAATTTGACCGACCTGGCTATGGGCCTCATGACAGTGCGTGACTGTCCTTTTCGCTGGTTTCACCATATCCGTTCGATGGTTTGCTTGAGCTTACGCTTCAAAACCTTCGCTCCTCTTCTCCCACTGTAGGATGACACACAACTGGTGGCTTCTCTGTATCGGATGCACAAAGTGCTTCCCGCTTCGGCGAAGGTTTCGAGCCTCTATGCCATAGACGCATTGGCGCGGGCGGCTCGTAGTCGTGCCACCAAGAAAAAGCTCACTGGTGATATGTCCACTGTCCCAGGCAACTGCGCGACGTTCTTGCTTAAACTTGATGGCATTCTTGACGGAGTTTTTCAAGATGTTGTCACGTCTGCAGGCTCAGAAGGAAAGGTCAGTGATGCATCTCATACTGACTTAGTAGATCTACGTTGTAGTCGATTGGTCCTGTCCATCACAGAATCTGTCTGTAGGCAGTTGCCCGATGTTGTAGGGCGGAAAAAAGTAGGCGGGTATAGACCAGGTTGTAGTTCGCTACGCCTTCTAGTAATGTCTAGCAGGTAAAGGATACAAGCGGGTCATCTTGTCTCGCGTGGCTCGTGTCTGGCTCGCGTACGCTGCATATTTCGACCTTCGCGTGTTTACGAATAGGTTTTCAGCCACTCTCGCGTCGAGTCACATGACAATCGTATTCGTTGACAATCCCTCTCCCTCGTATCTGGAATCGCTCGGGAGCGAAGCAAGATCCTAACTCTTCTGTTCCCTCCCTCGCTGTGAATTATAGGAAAAATCAAAGAAGGTCCTGGACATATGGACAAAGGGCAACACCTTTTCGTCGAGTGTTTTAAAGAGGTTGTCGGATGTATTGAAGGCTACGAGTGACGGTACAGGGGATAAAGGTGCATATCATGATCCGGTTTTGTTCGCTAAGTTTACCTCTTTCTTTGCCGCGCAATATCAACCGTGGACTTGCTTTACCCTATGTCGTTTGCTTGAGGAAGTGAGACAAATAACTGAAATAAACTCTGGTCTGTTTCTACTGCCCCTTCCAGCTTCAGGCAGCACTCCATCCGCCACACCGCCGGCAGCGATCCGGCCACAATCGCTTGTACCGGCGACAACGCCACCGATACCGGCTCCCGTCCAAGCCTCAACAGCGCCTACAACTGTCGATCCCGCATTACAAGCAACTCTTCTCGCACTCTTGACACAAGTATCGAACTCGAATGGAGCGCCGCCACCGGGGTGAGTATTTATGGTTCCAAACATGCACGAGGACTGTTACTGAGTATTAAATTTAGCCAAACAAGCGCAAATACCGGTCCACCTGTGCCACTCCCTGCATCGGCCCAACATGGCCACGCGCCCAATCAGCATACTCTGCTCCAGCAATTGACGCAGAGCACGAATGTAGCACAACTTTTTCCGTTTTCACATGTACCACAGCAGCCTGCTTTCGCTCCTTCGCATTCTCCACCTACCCCGCCAACATTTCAAGGTCAACATAACCCATCGGGCAATCGGGCTGACTACGCTGACCCACGTCGAAACGTCCCTGGGTCGCCATCATATGGGCATACTGCGCGTAGCAATTACTCAGATCAATACGGAGAGAATCACTCGTATCCTGTAGACCGTGACCGTGGAGGTTTTCGAGGTCGAGGGCGAGGAGGGGGTTGGCAGGAGGACCGGAATCGTGATCGCTTCCAAAGAGGGCGACCGAGGGAAGAACTTGATCGCAGTAGAGTGCGGTCGAGCCGTTCCCGAAGCCCTCGGAGTAGTTACTCGTCTGGACGCAGGAGAGATGTAAAACCATACAGTCCTCCCCACAGACCAACTTTGGCGGCTCTCGAGGTGTCCCCCGTCGAGCCACCCTCCTCAAATTCTGTCGGCAAAGATGAGTTTGGTAGAGATATCAGACCGTCCGACGAGTCACCACCACCACCCACATTGAAAGCGAGCGTCGAAGGAAGCCCTCGCTCACCACGGCGAACCACCGCACCACGATCCACTCAATCCGACGGAGACCAGCCCGAGGCATCGACGTCCACATCCAACTCTTCGTCTTCGACCATGTCCGTTCCGCCTCGAGTCGCACCTGGTGCTGTCGGACTGGAATCATTCGACATTTTAAATTGCGATTTTAGCGCGCCGGCTTCGTGGGAAGCGCTAGGAAAGGCGTGGGAGGTTACGCATGGCGTTTTGCCCTCCCAAGAGGAGCTCATGACATTCGTGATGAGCGCGACGGCAATGGCTAATCAGGCGGCTATGATGTACGGGGGATGGATGGGACAAGCTGGCTGGGTAGGAGGTGGAGGAGATTACGATTTGGGGATGGGAGATACAACGATGGGCGTCAGAGGGAACGAGTTCGCTTCGCAAGGCGGAGGATATGGGAACGGCAACGTCCGAAACCATGAACAATGGGGTCAGACCAATGGGGGCAATCCTTACGAAGTCACTGTAGACACAAGTGCACAGGATGGGAACGGGGCCATTAGTGAAGGAGGTGGGGGTGGAGAACAAGTAGGCTCGAAGGGGAGTATGCAGAGAGTGGAAGGCAAGTGGAAGTTTGTGCGCGCGAGCGCGTCATGACGACGGTGTGGTTTTGTAGGCAGATTTATTCACTATTCCAGAGCTTCATTTCATTGTAATCCTACACAGAGTCCGGCTCCATACTCGAAAGCTCATATCCACCGATCTCTCTACTGCGAGCGTACGTTCCGTACACCGCTCTCGGTCTACCCATTACACCCGGAGCAAAGCTCGATGCAGAGAATGGGTTGGGCCAGTACATTAAATATATGAGCAGCGAGGATGAAGCCCCAATAAAGCTGCCGACGATGACATCTTCCTTGTGATGTCTCTGACGAGGTTTGTCAATGTGGTGTCGTAGAAAGCGGAGAGAAGAACCTACATAATCCTCGACACGAGATACGGCAACCCAAATCGCGAAAGACAGAGGTAGGAAAGTGATAACCAGACGGGACATACGACTTCCAATGATGGACCTTGCTGGTGCTGGTGTATTAAAACACCATGCAGCTGTCTTTCCGGCCAGAAATAAAGACACCGTGGTCATACCCACCCATGCAGTCGAAGAATGTCCAGAGGGAAAGGATCGCCGTCCGTCGTTTACCTGGTCGTGTTTCCTGCAGTATGCTTAAGTCTACTACGATGACACCAAGCCGTCTACATCTCTCACTTACCCAGTACAAGCTGCGGCCACAGCGTCCCACTTACACCGTGAGAGGAAGTCAGGGCGTAGACGACCTAGTTGTGAGAATCAATGAGCTAGCACCTTGGGGATGGGAAGATAACAATCTTCACCGACTCTGTTCTTCAGGCCTTCCGTTACCAAGTCCGAAAGTCCCCTGCGATGTGGTTTAGAGGGATTGCTATAGACACGATGTAGCGCGAATACAGAGCCGCAACAGACCTGCCAGCAAATGTTGCCAGGAAACCGTGATGTATTTCGCCGAGAGATCGTCTGAATACGCCCGATAGTCCTACAACAACAAGGGGTACAGCTATAGCGATCATGGCATTCGTGCTGCCGGAGATTCTGAAATTTAACCCCCACAGTTTTAGTCCGAGGGTCGTCGTTAATTACATTAGAAACGCCGCCGACATACTGTTGTTTAGTTTTTTTGTGGCTGATTGTAGGATCATCCGGGGAGAAATCTCGTTCATAGACCTGAAATCTCTCTATCGCAGAAGCTAGCACCATAAGAACGCCAACGACAATCCTGTCCATCTGAGTCAGTGTACGCTGCGACTGTATTTTTTGTTGAGACTGCGAGGATAGTATTTCGGAAGAGCGGGAATGCATGCACGTACCAGTCGATTATATAGGAGCGGTCCGCCCAATCGAATGCATCTTCTCCGAAAACTGATTCAGCCTTCGCCTTGAATCGAAATATGATATCCGAAAGGCCCATAATAGCGATATTTACAAGATTGACTGATCTTCGCTGGAGTGTGGCGAGTTAGTGGCGAGCAGCAAGGTACTTCCGACTCGTCACGCCGTTGATCGGAACCTGAGGCACGTGGGAGAGTGTGACGCTTCGCGTCTGTCACGGTTCTCACAAATGAGGACGCGAGCGCGTTGTTTCAGCGCCATTTATCTCTTTCCTCACCACCGTCATGGCGAAGAAGGCCAGCGGTAAACAGACTACTCTCAACTCGTTCTTTAAGGGCGGAAAGGCTACAGAGCCTGATGATGCTCCAGCGTCCGACGCCGAAATGGACGTCGATGCTGACAATGACGTCGAGGCTGAGGTCGAGGTCGAGGCGGACGCGACCAACAAAAAGGATGGCAAGATTGCCCCAGATGACTCCTCTGATCCCCCCATCTCCGACATCCCTGCCATCTTTGCCGACATCGTCAGGCGTATACCGGACATCGTCGACATCGCGAAACACGTCAAGGGTCGTAAACTCCGGGTTGCCACCATGTGCTCTGGCACGGAGTCTCCTCTGCTTGCCTTCGGTCTCATTCAGAGGGCGATCCGTGAACAGCATGGCATTGAGCTGGAAATGGAGCACGTCTTTTCCTGCGAAATCGTACCTTTCAAGCAGGCCTATATTGAGAGGAACTTCTCGCCTCCACTTCTGTTTCGAGACGTTTGTGAACTTGGGAATGACTTTGCGTACGTCCATCCACAATATGTCGATCATGTTGCAAGGCTTACACTTTCGCAGCCATACAGCATACGGTTCTCTAGTGCCTGTACCCGGAGACGTCGATATCCTCGTCGCAGGAACCTCATGTGTGGACTACTCGAATCTCAACAACGAGAAGAAGGACATCGACGATGGCGGTGAGTCTGGCCGTACATTTCACGGTATGCTCCAGTGGGTGCAAAAGCATCGACCCCCCATCGTCATCCTCGAGAACGTTTGCTCTGCGCCGTGGCAGCTCGTCGAGAAGAAGTTCGAGAAGATCAACTATAGCGCCAAGTCCACCCGCCTCGACACCAAATTATACTATATTCCTCACACCCGTACTCGCGGATATATGGTCGCTGTCAATAAGGCAAACTCCTCCATCCCTGAGAAATGGGTCAAGGCCATGATTCAATACCGACGCGAAGCCTCGGCCTCCCTCGACGCTTTCCTGTTGGCGTCGGACGACCCTCGTATTCACCAGGCGCGGGAAAAGCTCGTTCAAGAGAGTTACAATGGTCAAGATAGGAAGACGGGTCGGACCGACTGGGGAAGATGCGAGTCGCGTCACCAGCGTGCTCGGCTGGAAGAGGCGTTAGGCCCTAAACGTCCGTTGACTAATTGGGACGAAGGTAAGTTTTCACTCTTCAACCAGCAGGATCCTGCTCACTCGTGATCGGGTAGGCGGTGCGTGCAAGATGATGGACTTTGGGTGGGCGGACTGGACACAAAGTCAGGTGGAACGCGTGAAAGACTTGATGGATATCAGCACGCTTCGTGCGGCCAAGGATGGTATCGACCCCTCGTTCAAAAGGTATATTTTCTTCTATTGTATATCATTTGCGAATGCTGATGTTCAAACATTACGCAGCGGCGTTTGGAACTTGTCTCAGAACGTCGACCGTACAATTGGTTCCAATCGAGTTGGAATCTGCCCCTGCCTGACGCCATCCATGATCGCGTACATCACCAATCGAGGCGGACCTATGGTTGGAGTCGAAGCATTGGGCATGCAAGGTCTTCCACACGAAGGGTTGTTGTTGACTCGCGAGACCGAAGACCAACTCGCCGACTTGGCTGGCAATGCTATGTCGACCACGGTGGTCGGGACAGCGATGCTCGCGGCGTTGATACTTGGCAAGAAATTGTTGAAGGACGGCGATGACCGCCAGACCTACGAGGAGCATAACGGCATGAAAGTCGATGTCGAACAGAACTCCGACGCTATGGACGTCGACGTACCTGCGGATGTGTCGGTGGAGGACCACATCTCTCGCGAAGACCAGCTTGCCGAAAAACCTCTGGACCTTCTCAAGACCACGGAGCGATCTCTTCCTCTAATCCTTGAAGATGCTCTCAAAAGTGCTCGTCTATGCGCTTGCGAAGGGCGAAAGGACATCACGGAGCGGCAGCTGATGCGTTGCAAGGACTGTGGCGCCACTTCCTGCGTTAAATGTGGCGGCCGCCCCGAACACAACTACGAGATCATCGACGTGACCGCGAACCCCCGTCTCTCCCCATCTTCTTTCGCCCTCGACCTCAAATCCCTTCTTCCGATGAGCCTCTCGTTTTCCGCTGTTACTCTTCAGCTGTTGAATAACCTGAAGGACCAAGCAGCCGCCGCCATACCCGATCAACGATGGACCGCCTGGAGTACCGCTGTTTTTGAGGCAACTCAACTCGAACTTCGATTCGTCGAGCTCAAACGCCAAGACATGTGGATCGCGACCTACGAATCGCCCAAAGGTCGGCTCGAGTTATATCTTCACCCGAAGCGACCAGAATGGTTGTTCTTCGCCAAACCCGATCCCATGGAACCCGCGAACGCTGAGATACGACGAATTCTCATGTATCCGGCTTGTCGTCTTGTTTGTAATGGTGCACTCTTGGCCGGACAGTGGGAATTCGCCCTGCCTCATACCACGGAGGTGAGCGTAAAGGTGGAGGGAGTTGGTGAGCTTGTGGGATCTTGGGAGGCGAAACTGGGGCTTCTGGGCGAGTATGCCGAGAAACGAGTTTACTCCCAGTTGCGGGTCACGGTTGAAGACGCGGACGTGCCCCTCTTTGACCGTGATATATCAGGGACGTACACCCTCTTCGACAAGTGCGGAACGGCCTGTAACGCGCTCCACAAGAAAGACCCCGTCGACAGCGACGCCGACCAGCCCCCACTCTTCCTCATGATGGACCCGACGCGCTGCGGGAAACCAGTAGATGATTTCTTCGTGTTCGCCACTACTATTCGGCGGTTCGAATACGGAGAAACAAGACCCATAGTCGGCCGCTTCGCGTCTTCGTGGAGGCAGTCCGACAAGGCTCACGAAGAAAGCGTTCGCTGCTTCATTCCGCAGAGATATGTCCCAACAGTTAATGTTCAGCTCCAGGTCGGTACAGACACCGGCACCTTTTGTTTGGCGTATTCTGACTTTGCTTTTCTTCTAGTCGTCTACAGGTTTGCAAGCCCAGTATGCTGTCCCCAAAGGGGACCTCGACATCGAAATCAGTAACGACGCATGCCAGACGGCCAACGCCTTGCTCGTCGTCCACATACCCCTGGGCGACCAGGCCGGCGCCGAATGGCCGGGCGCATGGAAGGAGGTAGAGCCAATAGAGGAGCGGGCCACCTTCAGGATGTTGTCTTGGCTCACGGAGCGGGTGAAGAATATCGATGGCGCCTTTTCGGACTGGAAGGTAGTGGCTGTTCCAGACAGCCATGTGAACTGCGAACGCTGCGCTCCCCATGCTCCTTCTCTCCAATGGACAAAGGTCGGCAACAAGATCATGGCATTCGAAGACAGCCATCAAGCCGGGGAATACGAACGACGCCTCAAGGGGCGCCCTTCACCGTTCGTCACCCAACTGAGACTGGACGACAACGCGGTCGGCATCCTACGTATCGGACTCAACGTCTCATCCCTCATCCACCGTGCGCGCTCTCGTCTTCCTTCTCGCGGAGCTGGTATGACACAAACTGTGTCGTGGAGATTGGACACCGATTTCAAGCCCCTCGTGAAGCTTATCCTCCCTAAATTCAAGCTGTCGAGCAATCGCAATGACCCTGAACATCCCCAACCGCCTCACTTCGTCCTCAAACTTCGTCCTGAACAGCAACGCTCCCTCCATTGGATGCTCGCCCAAGAAGAGGACGATGCCCCTCCTTTTGTCGAAGAGGAGATCTCGGAGGCCATTCTCGAACCTCTGAATTGGCGTGCGGAAGGTCGGGCCCAGCAATCTGTTCACGTTCGCGGCGGGGTCCTCGCTGACCAAGTCGGTTATGGGAAGACTGCCATTACCCTCGGTCTCATCGACTGTGCCATGAAGGAGGTGAAGAAGAGGGTCAAGGATGAGAACGCAAAGGGTCCCATGTTTGGCAAGATCCGTACTTCCGCCACTCTGGTCGTCGTTCCTGGACATCTGACGAAACAGTGGGCCAGTGAGGTGCAGAAGTTCATGGGCAAGGGCAAGCTCGAGGTCGTCGTCCTCTCGTCCGTCGCGAACATCAACACTCTGACAGTCCAGGACGTCATGGACGCGGATATCATTATCATCGCTTCGACCCTCCTCAAGAGCCCTATTTACTTGGAGAATCTGGAGGCGTTCGCCGCCGGAGGCTCTTTGCCAAAGACAGAAGGTCGTTATCTCAATGCTCGCCTTGACGAGAGTCTTTCCGCCCTCGCCGAACAAGTAGAGCGTCTGCGAGATCCAGCTCGTGGCCCCGCTGCCGTTATGGACGCTATCCTGGAAGCTAGGAAGAAGGGTACGTTCTTTCTACTATGCCATCTCGGCCTAATCTCTGAACTCTGTATTTTTTCCAGACCGAGAGACGCAAGAGGCGATGCAGCCATCCAAGCGCATCAAGGGCATCGCGAAAACTGTCGATGCGAACGCCTCATCGAAGACGGCCAGTGCGCCGAAAACGATGGCGTCCTCTTCCAAAGCAGCCGCCTCCTCGTCGAAAGTCGAAGTGAAGACAACGAACAACGCCAAGGTCCCTGCTGCCGGACCCTTGCTATCTTCGGCACGATTCAGCCATGTAGAGGTCCCCACCCTGGCAGAGGCACGCAAGGCGGCGAAGTCGAAGACAGCGGAGTCGTCAGAGAAGGACGAAGCCAGTGATTCAGATTCCCCTCGCCCAAGAAAGCGCCGTGCGTCAGCCAAGGTCATCAACTACATTCCTTCTGACAGCGACGACGACGTGCCCGTCAAAACGAAGAAGCGCAAGACCGGAGCGTCCACCAGCCGCTCAGTTTCTCCTGATGCATTCGTACCCACTGACGAAGATGATGGCGATGTACCGGAGGATAGCGAAGCCGTTTCTGACGAAGAGGATGACTTTGAACCGGAAGATGAGGACTCCAACGTTCCCAAGAGCAAGGCGAAGGGCAAGGCGAAGGCGAAGGCAACACCCAAACGTCCACCGCCCAAAGCCAAGCCGAAGAAAGGCAAAGTTACTGATGACGACGACGATGCCATGGATGTCGATGGCTCTTCATCAGCAGCAGAGACTACATCGTCGGCCGCGGGGAAGAAGCGGAAGCGGGAGACGAAGGAAACGAAGCCAAAGGAACTGCGCGAGACGAAGGACCCATGGAAGCTGAAGGGCAAGGCGAAGAAGGATTGGAAGGAGATGCAGGCCCCTCCACTGGAAATGTTCCACTTCGCAAGATTGGTCGTCGACGAGTACACTTATCTTCACAAGTTGCCCGTGGCGATGACACTCGTTGCCCGACAATCGGCGGATCGTCGGTGGGTGCTCTCTGGTACCCCGCCCGTTCACGACTTCGCTGCCGTCAAGACCATAGCTGCTTTCTTAGACGTGCACCTTGGGATTGATGACGACGGGGAGAGTCAATCTAAGGAAGTCAAAAAACGTTTGCGTGACCAGACGGGTATGTAGAACATTGCGACCGATCACACCGATTAAATGCCTCAATACTGATTTGAACCTCCACAGCGGCCGAGAAGTTCCATTCGTTCCGGGAGACCCACAGTCTCAATTGGCATGCTCATCGCCACAACATGATCGGCCAGACTTTCCTAGATCGATTCGTCCGCCAGGTCAGTGCTATTTCCCGGTTCTCGTATAATTGTTGAAGGCTCACGAACTCCACAGAACATCGCTGAGATCGACGAAATCCCTTGGGAGACGAATGAGACCTTCTGTACTCTTCCTGCGGCAGAGAGGGCTATATACCTCGAGCTCGAGCACCATCTCCAAGCCCTCGACATGAACATCAAACGCGGTAAGAAGTCCGAAGGCGATCGTGACAAGCGTTTGGCCAAAGCTCTTGGTACTAGCGAGTAAGTGGCGTACATTTGAGAGACCTTATTTTGTTCTCATGTCGGCTCTTCATGATCCAGGACGGCTCACGAAGCACTCCTCAAGCACTGCGCGCACTTCGAGCTCGAAACCTCGAGCAAAAACGCCATGAAGGCATGTGACATCATCGTTCAGCAGCGCAAGGCCCAGCAACAGGAATGCGAGAAGGATCTTCGCGAGTGTCTGAAGAAGGCCCTTTCGCAGGAGAAAGAGCTCGGCCCCGTCCCCGAGGAATCTGCCTTCCGTGAATACGTACGTGTTTGTCGCACGAAGGGCATCGACGATCGGGAAGCCACGGATATCGTCGTTGCGCTTCTGGACGAGGCGAATGTTGGGACGTCCACCGTCAAATCAAAGCCCAAGGGGGGCAAAGACGAGCCGCTTTCTGAGAAGAAGAGGGAGGCCATCTGGGCTCACCGCGAACATACGCACGTCATTCGCCGAGTCACCAAGGAACTTGTGGCCCGTGTGCGTTCGCATCGCTACTTCACTGTCGTGCGAGACTTCCAAAAACAACGGGAGAAACCATTGGTCATTTCCTGCCCGATGTGCAAGAATGATCGCGTACCAGTGGATGAGATAGCGGTGCTTTCGACTTGCGGGCATGCGGGATGCCTGTCTTGCGTGACGAAGTGTGCGGAGCAGGAAGCCTGCGTGTACGCTGCGCAGGGCGACTGTGGCAGTCCCGCTCGTCTTCTGAATATCGTGAGGGGCTCTACGCTTGGTGTGGACGATGAAGATCGGGACGGGAAGGGCAAGCACTATGGACGCAAACTAGAGGAGGTCATCGTTCTCATACGGTTCGTTCTTCAGCATGATGAATGGTGGTATCCTTGACGCTGACACCCAGATTTGTCCACAGCTCGATCCTCAAGAAGAAAGAACGCGTCCTAGTCTTTATCCAGTTCGAAGACCTGATGAAGAAGGTCGGCGAAGCGCTGAAAGACCATTCCATCGAATTCCTCGAGATCAAGGGGTCTGCCAGCCAGAAGTCGAAAAACCTCGAGGCGTTCCAAAATCTGGGCAAAGAAAAGGTCCTCCTCCTGTCGTTAGCAGAGGAGACGGCCTCCGGTGCCAATCTTACGTGCGCCAACCATGCCATCTTCCTATCTCCCCTGCTAGCCCCGACGCAAGAAGTCTACGACGCTACTATGACACAGGCGATTGGACGTCTGAGGAGGTTCGGACAAAAGGAGAAAGTGCTCATTTACCACTATCTGGCGGAGAACACTATCGATATGGAGGTTTATACGGAGAGGACTAAGAACAAGGCTTCGGGACAGTAGTGGGAGAGTGTGGTCGGGGTTCCTTTCTTCGCATTGAATCTGCTTTGGTCGTCAATTTGCATGCATCTATCTGTATCTACTTGCTATTTTGCTTTTATTTCGCTCATCTACACAATCGTACATTGCTTTTCCTTCGCTTTCGCGTGAAATGTGGGCTTTCATGAAAGCGAGGACGTCGAACGCAAACGCATAGCACCTGATACCTCGTTCCAAAACATATCCTTCCATATTTCGAACGGACTGCCTGATAACGGTGATGCTGACATGTATGAAAGGTCGTGTGCAGTCACAATGAAAACAAAAGAGTACGATAGCGAGAATAAACCAAGATATTATGAAGTAGGCTGTGGATGTCCAGCCATCAACTTCGAAATTAAACTAGTCCGTTGTGGTGTATCCGCAAAAAGCGCCTTGACTAATCGCACCAACTCTTCGATCTCAAAGTCCACCAAAGCGCCCTCGTCGAAAAGGTAGCCGACGTCTGCTAGAGAAGCTTCCTGTACCGAATGGTCAATAAACCAGGAGAAAACAGGACGGCAATGGGAAGACTGACAAGTAGCTCGGAGAGGTATGAGAATTTCAGCCAGGAAGGGACGTAGGCCACGACGAGCGAAGGCTAGAGGCAGGATCAGAGGTCAGCAAGCTCGGAGAATGACGGTCAAATCGAACCATACCTCTTCTGCTTCCACTATAAATAATCCCTCGAGCGCGTTCAAGATTCGACAGAGCTCACTCAACCTATGACTCTCTACCTCCGTGATATCTGGCAAGGCCGATATGTCGGCTAACATATGGGACAATGCAGCGTCGACGAGAGCGCCAGTTGCCTTGAAATACTTTGTCTTGTTCAAAACGGTCTATGAAAGGTATGATTATTAATATTTTATGCACTGGTCCGATATGTCAGAACATACCTTCCACGTCCTGGCAACACTACGTATGAGGCCCATCACGCTGGTCACCGCAGTTTCGCACTCGTCAAATCGTTCTTGGTCTCCAGTCTCGACAAATCCATCTGCCTCGGCCAAACCGTCCGCAACAGTCTGTCTTTGTCGTTCCTGTTCGAAATCTCTGAGCAAAAAAAACTGAGGTAATAGAACGAACAGAGGCTTACAACCGTATCCTCAAACCAGCTATCCCCAAGTACTGTCAACCTCTCCGCTGCCTCCATCAACTTCTCCCTCTCAAACTCATCACCCTTCCCGCCTTCTTTGAAAAGTCTCTTCGCGCACGACCCCAAATACGCACAGTCGTTGGCAAAAATCATCCCCCTGTCCCGTCCCGCATCTAACTCCTTCTTGAATCTCACAGGATACAATGCACGCCACAAATCCAACATGCTCGGCGCGCTCTGTCCAAGCACCGCACCCCTCTTCCGCCTATCTTCCGAGCAAAACAGTCCCGAAAGCGGGTCCGCATCGAATAGGTCGGAAATGGAGAAGAGATGCCCTTCAGACAAGATGGACTGAGCTGTGGTCGCGAGAGACCGAGCACGCGCAGAAATCATATACGTCTCCTTCTCCTTCTGTGGCACTACGACCTGGACCTCGGGGGCTGACGGACTCTTGACAGGTACCGATATTTTCTTAGGCCTGTTCGTCTCGACTTTGCGCGTTGACTTCACGGGAGTGGACGGTGGCGCGGGGACGAAGGCAGCGGAAGCCACACTGGACGGTGTCTGTGGAGGTGGTTCTGAGCCGTTCGACGATTGACTCGGATTTGTCTGGTGACTACCCTTGGCCTTATTGGCTAGCTTTTCCAATCGTGTCGCGCGTTTCACAGGTACTATTGAGATGGGAGCCGGTACGTGTGGCGGTGGCGGTGGAGCAGATATAGGTGCGATAGGTGAGGATGGTGAGGATATGGACTCAGCCCAAGGATCATCGTCCCAAGGATCGGCGTCTGGTTCTGGTTCAGCAGAGGGCTGTTCGCGGGGCACATCACCGTTGTGATAACCATTACCATTTGTTTTGTGCTCGGTGGAAGCTGAAAGAGTTTCATCGGCCCCAGCGAGCTCTTCCTCATCGTCATTCCAGCCCCATGCATCCCCAGCATCCTCAGTGTCATCAACCTCCCTTGGAGGAGGTAGAGGTGAAGCGACAGGTGTCTGTTCCGGCTCCGCTGATTCATCCTCGTCCAATCCCCAACCATCACCGCCCTCACCTCCATCATTCATTTCCTCTGGCTCGTCGTGAGCTTGTTCTCCCTCAAGACCCCAAGCGTCATCTTCTTCTCCAGCGTCCACCTCTGCCTCCAGATTCGTGGCCAGATCGTTACTCTTTCCTGATCCAACAGGGACAACGTCAACTTCAACCTCCAGCTCAACACTGACCCTACCGCCTTCCTCCTCCGTAAGGATGATAGCCCTCGCCACCTCAAGCACCTCTGCTCTCCTTTTCCTCTCCCAATGTCCTGCCACGCCTTTCGCCCAAGTCAACACCTCTCTGTCCCTCTCGTCCGTCCCTAACATCTTCACTACGTATATCTCTTCCATATCAATCGCCATCCTCACCAAAACCAAAAATTGGGGTAAAGTTTGAAGTGATGACGGTAGCAGAGGGATGAGGAAACTGTGCAAAAGAGCTTGAGAGAGGGGTTTTGCGAGAGAGGGGAGAAAGGTCGTCATTTCCGGTGTTTGAGTTGCCGAGGAAGAAACCAGAGGGAAAAGGTGGTCGGATAAGAAATCGAAGAGTCGAGATATGTTTTGGAGGCGAATCGAGCGATCTTCCGTGTTAGGCGGAGACGGAAATATGGATAATGTTTGCGATTCCGTATTGGTGGTGAAATCATTAGAAGATGTCACGGAGAGGGAGGAGGGCTGCGTGGCGATGTATGTGATATAGTGCGTAGTTAGGTCACGGCGAATGGTGTTTAACCGTTGAGAGAGTGAGGAAGGTGATAGTTGAGCGAAAGCACTGAGGATGGATGAAAGTGGGAGGGTTGTTTGCGATTGGCGGACTATGGAATAAGAGGTGAGATGAGTAAGCTGAGTCTGGTAGGATTGCACGAGATTGATACCTTGTACGTGCGGGCGAATTTTGATTTCATGAGGGGATATAACGATTCCTCGGGAACAAGCATCACTGAGTTGCTCTTCCGTTCTGTCCTTAACAGCGCGGAACTTGCCCTACCCAACTCGTCAATCCTGCCGCTAACGCCCATATAAACCATCTGAGCCAAAGAACTCACCTTGAGTTGCACCATAGCGTCACTATTTGCAAGGGCCGTAGGGGCATGCCCGAGTAATCGTTCGATATCCCGACAGGCATCCACGGCCTCAGGCAACTTTCCTTCGTAAACCAAGCCATCAAGGGCGTCAAACTCCTGTCTGCATCGAAGAAGATGCTCTAGGGCCTCATATGTGACTTCAGAGTCGAGAGCTTGCTGGGCGAGGGTCGAATGGGCCTCAAGCGCACGAAGAAGAGTGGGAACAAGGCCTGCCTTCACGTACAAGTCAGTGACTAGGATATTTGGTGTAGAAGGTGTAGTACATTTGGCGACGTTACAGCTGCGTCAAGTTCGTCGATACCGTGTGTGAGAACTGTAAGTCTGTCTTGCACAGACTTCGCTGAAGTAAGTTGACGGTCGAATGACGGTAGGTCAACTTGCACGCGTTCATGAATCTTAGCCTATAAGATCTTTATGTTCAGGACTAGACTCAACAATGATACCGGAGAACCTCGCACCTTGGTTTGGGAGATGGAATCATCTAATTCTGCTACCCACGATGACGCTCGCTCTGCTGTCAGCTCCTTTGACGAAGCGGAACCAACTTTGGACAGGATCCGCGAAGATATATCCTGAGGGATCCCGACGCGAGGCAAGTGTGAAGGTATTGGGAAAGCCATAGTGATGTATAGAGATACCCGCAAGTATTAGGTTCACTTCAAGTGAATTCAAGTCAAAGTCCAGTGTTGAAGGTAGAAGGCCGTATAGGACGCGAAGTTATGGCAGCACTGAGTTGGCACTCGTAATTGTTGGATTGAAAGCGGCACAATTAAGTGGTTTCAGAGATTGTTGAGAGACATATACGTCTCTTACTATAACCTGTGTTAATGATGAATATAGTTTCAGCAAATAAGGTGAATGAAGACTTACGTGGAGGGAGCTGTGGCAAGCGGTAGAAACGCATGTGGCGAACATGACGCGACGGGCAACGGGGTTCGACGGGCCGCCCTGCCGTTTCGGCAGAGCGTCCCCGATCTGGACTCATTTCCAATTTCGAACTTGACCGTTACAGTCAAGTTAGAGTGACGGCAGCGTACGTCCTGTAACTTTTACTATCGAGATGGCGGCAAGTGCTTACTGAGTTATTAAATAGTCCCTATTTATTGGATTTCTGACTAGCGATCTCGTCTCCAATAATCTTAGACCGAGCACACCACCGTGTCAGGTTCTGTTGAGGCCGTAGCGCCAACAGATGATCCGGAGGATATCTTCGAAGCATCCTTGGAGGGCCTGTTCGACCTTGCACCGATAACCCACTCATCCGCCGGATCCGTCTACACGTATCACACACCGTCTACTCGACTACCTCCCTACTCCATCGTCCTCTCCACGCCGGATACCCGTGCCGAGAACTGGTCCCTTCATGCCTCATCCATCTGGGTTTCCTCCCTCTACATCTCTGACCATATCGAAGAGCTTCATCTCGAGGACACTTCACCAGGAACGTTGTCGGGTCATCTTCACGTTCTCGAGCTAGGAGCGGGGGCTGGTCTTCCAGGGATCCTCATCGCGAAAACCTATCCACGCTTCGCTCGTGTTACGTCAAGCGATTATCCCGATGAAGACTTGATATCCACATTGCAACAAAACGTGGGTCGTAACAACGTTCAGGATCGATGTCGAGTTGTTCCCTTCGCGTGGAGCTCGAATGCCTCTAGCCTTTTCCCAAAACTTGACGGCTCCGACGATCCTTCTCGAACAGTAAAAGGCTTCGACGTGATCGTCGCGGCAGATACGCTGTGGAATCCTGACTTTCACGGGCTCTTCATCGACACGCTCGTTTTGGCTCTCACACGGACAGCAGATGCGCGAATACATTTGGTGGCAGGGATGCACACGGGCAGATACACTATTCAGAGCTTCTTGAATGCCGTATCTAAGAATACGGGGCTCGAGATTGTGGAGGTCACTGAAAGGAGTGTGAAGGGCGAGTCAAGGAGGGACTGGGATGTGGGACGAGCGGAGGGAGAAGATGAGAGAGAACGAAGGCGTTGGGTTGTGTGGATCGTGATTAGATGGAGTAAATTTACTTTACTGAAATATGCTTCCTAGACGACAAATTATACACAGGATCTTCCGCAAAATCCACGAGGCTAGGTAGTCGTCGCGGACTTCGAACATTGTCTGACATTCATTCAACTATCCGCCGCGTGCTTACCCGGTCCTTTTGGCTTTTGGTCCAAATGTAAGTACTTCCGGTCTCCGCACGGCGCACGCCCATCGATTATGTTTCTCGTCCTCATTGCTGTCCCCCACTTTCTGGGACAACTTTTGCGATAAGTTATGGAAGAGTCTCATTTGGCCGCTAGCGCTACGTACACGAGCAAAGGTGTCTTTCATGACTGTTCCTCTCGTTCCCCTTACTCTACAGGCGCTCCGAGTCCACAGTCCCTCCCAACCCTCTACACGACCAAGTCGCTCAAATCAACGAAAACGCTTGCCACCTTCCTCAACATACTCAGCCACAGCCCCAACACGAACGCAACAACTGTCCGGAGACCCGAAAACTCGAAGAAATCGAAGAAGAGGCCACAAACGATCCAAAACATATCATGCGCTCCGGACCGTTCAGCAGAAAGGATCTCAATCGACGCTGCCCTCGCGCCCTTCCCGGACGCACTCCCATTCCCATATACAGTTACCCCCTCCTGATCCTTGCTCGCAGATGAATGCAGGTGCTTCGTGTCCTTCCCAATTATACCTACCGCTGCCTTCAGTCCTGCCGTCCATCCGTCTTCGTGGAACCCGTATTTCATCCAGGCGCCTGCGTACCATACCCCTCTCTTCCCTTGAATTTTCTCCATCTCCTCTTGCAATCTTACGGCCGCAGCGTCAAGGACGGGGTGTGAATACTGATGATGCGAGTAGGTCTTCGACGGAGAGGGTGGCGAAGGAGGATTGAGGGTAGCGAAGACTGGTCCGTGAGTATGGGTGGAGAGGTGTTGAAGATCATTCATCCAATCTGTCCGAAGCGTGAGCTGGATGAACGAGAATAAGTATAGAGGAATTTGTAGTGCTCACAAGTCCTATACAAGGAAGTAACGTCAGAAGCAGGACGATGACGGAAGATGTTCACTTACAATGCAACCTGGTCGTTGTTCGCTTTCCTTCTCCCCTTGGCATCCACACCTGACCTCGTCAGATAATTCCAGCATGACCAAGCGATCCTGCTCTTTGGCATCAACTGGATGGTATCATAAAACGTCCATGAGCTTCAAAATGGAACCAAAAGCTGAGCCGACGCTCACGGCCTCGTCCGAATGGACCACAACCTCATTCCTGTTCCACCGGAAACCACCCAGGATTCTCCTCTCTTCATCACTCACGTCTCCTCCCTCACCCAAGATTCTCAACGTATCATCTGAATGGCACGCCATGATGACATGATCAAACAGCTCGACCTTGCCATCAGTAGTCGTGAGTTTGACCTGGAGCGAGGAGTTTCTAGAAGTAATGGATTTGATAGGCGTTGAGAGGTGCAAGCTTTCTTTCGGGAGTTCTGAAAGGACGGTGTTGACATATTGCTTGCTGTGCAGCCATCTGGATCGGTCACACGGCTAGACAATGGGGCAGTGAGAGGCGTACCTTCCGCCTTGAATCGTGAGCCAGGAAGGCTTGCCAGTAATTTGAAGAAGGTGGTGATTGTGCATGAAGTTGATCTGTGCGACCATTCCATGAGTCATTACAGTCCATTCAGGAAAGAAGAATGCAGATCCACCAAAGTCCTCGCGGGGAAGTCTAATGCGCAGAGGTCGGGTGGCGTACTCCACACAGCGGCAGTCATAGGCTATACCGGAAAATACAATCAGCTATCGCTCGCCTCCATATCCCAATCAGGCAACAACTCACAATCAAATAATTGTCTCTAAAGCTTTGTGAATAACCTTCATTCTCCAAATATTCTCCAACTGACATCTCCGCTCCTTTGGAAACCGGCTTCTTGAGTATCCTCCTCGCACATGCATTGAACCTCAACACGTCGTAAATCAGCTTCCACATCTCTGAGTCCAGAACACGTTTCGCCTGGCAAAAGACCGTGAAGAGGTTTCCGCCGGCCCATTCGAATGCGCCAAAGTCACGGGAGACACTGAATGTCATTTCGGTGGGGAGGATCTTGATAGAGGGATATTGACGGAGAAAGGAGAGAAAGTTGGGATAGGTGGAGGGGTTGAAGACGATCTATAAATTAAATACTGCGTCAGTGAATTTGAATCTGGTACCAGAGACTCAACAATGCATGGTGAATGACTGAATGGTGTTGGTTCTGGAACTATGACCCGCAGTCTTAGATACGACACCTTTGCCTCGAGCATTGTGGGGCACATTGTCGGGCCTAAGTCAAGCCCACATTCGCGCCATGACCACAACAGCTCGATTCTACTAAGTGCAAATGTAGCAAAGCGATATTGCGAACACAGGATTCAGTCGAGTTTGGAGCTCAAACTAGAAATGCCTGAGTATACACGGCGTGCATGGAGGTTTGCACTTGAAGCAGAGCTACCTCGGACTCCGTGACGCTGTTTCAGACAAACCATGCAGGACCAGCGAGAAGCTCGCGAGTCGTCGAGATGGCCAAGATGTACCGCCCAGCAGTGTAGAAACTACCACACACGAGCAGACGTCGACACTGATTGACAAACTAAAACGCAAGGAGGCAAATAAACGTACAAAACCGCTTAAAGCAGGTCAGCTCAAAGTCTAATTCGATCGCAAGCTGGAAGAACTCACGAGTCGACCTCGACTGGCACCCTGCCCGATGGTTCTACACGTACGGTGTTTGCATGGCCACCCGGCCGCGAGGCAGCCTCATATAGATGTACCTCATGCTCATCCCGGTTCAAAAGCTGTCACAGGGAGCATAACCAATGGTTTCAATCACTGTCTGACATATGGAAAAAGCAGAACGAACCCATGTTGCAGCCAGTCCAGACACTCCAGACCCTACGATGGCTATGCGCATTTATGTTGCAACTTTTCTTGGAGTATAGATGGGTGCTCTTTTGTCAGATTTAGCTCGGGTTGGCCGCCTCAAGTATTTGCGAGTCTGCACGCCGGTCGTGGTTCAAAGAAGAGAATCGAACGTCCAACTTTTCTGAGATGCATGATGATCAACGTCGAGAGCAACGGGCGCTTCCAAAGTTGTCGATGACTACCCAGATCGGACCTGTTGCGTACGAGATTAGATTAGATGCTACCCGTTTCAGATGCCCGTGCGAAAGTCTTACATTCCGGCGATCAAGCGTTTGACTGAGTCAACGATGTCAATGCGGCCTTGTTGTCGGTTCCACGATTTGCAAGTTCAAAGGTGACAGGGCGTTCGCAACTTGTTATACATTCGGCGTAAAGCTGTCGAGGGCGTTGAAATGCACAACGACGATCGGACGTAGGTAGGAAAGTAATATACAGACATGGAGGCCCGGAACGACGAGAGGGGGACGGAGAAGTGTAGGTTGTAGGTAACGCTGATACAACTGGAAGGAGGTGAGTACGAGCACATACTAGTGCCTATGATGGTACAACAACACTCGTAGCACGAAAAAGTATGTACACTCAAGTCGTCGCAATGAACTATCTACAAATATCAATAACATACTTTGCTGACATTCGCCTCAAATCTCGATACAACGGATCAAGGCCTCAGCCTTGTGAGACCTTGGCCTGATCACACATGGGAAATCCTTTGGTTTGCTGGAAATGATGGAGTAGGAAGAACCAACAGATCAATATGAATGAAGACGATGTTAGTACGAGGAGGACGTACGTCAACGCTCCGCTCGTGAAGGCAAACTCAGGTGTGATCTCCATTCCGTTTGCATCAATTGCCTTCTCGATATCGAATACGGAAAGGATTGATGTGGAGAACAGGAACATCATCGCATCCGCGAGATGGGTACCTATCATGACCATGTAAGCATTCGGAAATAGGGCAACCTTATGGTGTCTCCTCACCTGGACATGATCTTGACGTCGTGAACATATGAACCAAGAAAGAAATCAGATTTAAATTGTCGCGTAATACTTTGGAGCCGCAGTAGAGAGAAGCGTACCGCCTGCCGTATCCGAAGCACATCTACACATGCGCGACGAATGGGTCAGTCAACCAGACGGAACTGATGAAGAACCGGCGTTGAGACGCACCTCGTATGGATCCTGTTCCGCAGGCTTGCCCGGCGATGGGATCAGACGGTCAGGGTTGAACATCCATGGATTCTTGTAGACCTCAGGGTCATGGAGAAAATGCCTGAAGAAACGGTCATGGTTACCATTCCATGAGGAGAGGATCAGGCGACTTGAATGTTCTTACCAAATGTTCGCCAAGACGACAGACCCTTTGGGAATCAAATATCCATCGTGAATGTCGTCCTCCCTGACGCAATGCGGAGCACCTGAATTACATGCATCGCTCAACTCGTTGGGAAAGAGTGGATATGTCGAAAAAAAGTACCAAGAGGCGACGTTGTTCCCCATCTGATCACCTCTTTTGCCAGAGCGTTGCAATATGGCAAGCTGTCTCGATCGTTCATAGTCGGAAGTCTTGAGTCACCTACGACGGCATCGATCTCGGCCTGCGCTTTGCGACGAGCTTCGGGATAAAGGGTCATTGCGAGAATGAATACCGAAAGGGCCGATACAGGCTGTAAGATCGTAGAGACACGATAAGAAACCGGTTATATTTTCATGAACGCCAGGGGCAGAGACTCGGACTTACTGAGTCGGCTCCGGCGGAATACCTTTCGAGGATTATGATAAGTGGGTCACTTGTACAGCCCGAGTTGAGTGAGGAGTACGTACAAGCTCTCTGCGGCCCACTTAATCCTGTGTCGGTCCTCTGCGGTTGTGTTGCCACTGTTCAGCAGATTTGCGACAAAGTTAGGCGATGACTTTCCCGCCGCCTGAAATGTTCCACACAACCTCATCAGCATTTCAAGCGTCATACTGGGAGCAAAATGCAAGGTTTTACCATTTGCCCAAGAACGAAGCTAAAGGCGCTATCGGCCAGTGAGTCAACAGTTTGTCGGCATTCGCGAGCGAAAGTTTGAAATCGGGCTCCCGGAAACCACTCAGGAACGTGCTTCACTGAGGTGGATGTGAGTGGATTAAACAGACATTGAGGACTATAGAACTCACAGAAGGGAAGCACGTCTACCAAAAACCCTCCAGGCGCCAAAAGCACTCCCAGCTGTGAAGTCGCCTCATCTGCAATCTTAACGAGAGGGTCGTGTTCGTTCCTAGGTTGATATCCATAGGTCACCTGCAGAACGCTGCATCCGACGGCTCTGTGTTGGAAGTCAGCCTCGTGCTATCATGTCTCTTCTTTGATATGTGGTGAGGGAGACCCACTTTCTCAACACTCCTACGTAGTTATCGGGCTCGTCCAGCAATCTGCGGACCGCTTTCGCAGCCTCGCTCTCCAGAAGACCCTTAAACTGGAGCACATTGGAACGGCTACCAATGACCTAGAAGTAAGGAACGTAGGTCAGATGCATGATGTCAACCTAAGAAAATACACGAGGCAAAAAAAAAGACTAGCCTGATGCATCATACGTCGGTATGTCTTGAACCTGTCTGCGTATTGAAGCAGCACTATTGCATACTTCCACCCTGCGAGGTCTCCGCACATCGTGTAATATGGACGATCGCTGTAGTTGAGGCTCTTCTTTGAGAGCATCTCGGTAGCCGCCTTGTGTGAATTGAGAATGATAGTCGTACGTCCGAAAATGGTTACCGAGCATATATCACCTGAATAACATGGGCGAGTGCAGTGTGGAATTACCAAGAAAAAGACACACCATAGAGATTGTGCCAGACCCCGAAGATTGTCGGTTCGTGTTCAGTAGGAATATCATACCTAATTCACGATCAAGTACCAGTGTCAAGGACAAGCCAAATCGAACTCAATTCACGAAGACATCAAGTGGTACTCACAAGTTTCCTATAATCGGTAGTCCACGCGGCCCTGGAGGCTTTGGATATTTGCCTTGGGGTCGGAAGAGCCTAGCAATCAAGAGGCAGCACAACAAAATCCAGAGACCGAGGATCAAGACATTGTAGATCGAGAGCGCAAACATCTTGACCAAGTCCGCACACCAGAAGTAAGACGAAGTCAGGGGAGGGAAAACGAGACAAGCATGTTGCAGATAGAGGAGTGCAACTTATACGAACCAGGAAGTGGTGACTTTGCCTCCTAAAGCAACATCAGCACGTACTCGTGACGATAAAGCTGTGGAGTTCTCTGGACTCCCACCTCGAGGTGTGCGGTTTGTAGTGATGCAAGCCATGCCGTACGATGTAATGAACTTCGATGGGATCACATATGTAATGCGGGTCCCAAGTCAAGTTCCTCGATTGGCGTAGCCACCTACTCAACGGGGCTAAAAGCCGGGGCGATCGTGGGACGATACAGCTCCAGGGCAAAGAAGCCACACATTGCGATCATTGAGAATACCGATTTGAGCCTAGGTACAAAGGGATTAATCAATCAGCATGTTTTGCGACCAAGGAGGCGGACAGGGCAGGTACGACGACCGACTTCTACCTTAGTATAGATGAAATCTAGACATGAGCCGGGACCTCCTTATTCCACATCATATAAAGTTATCGTTATACGTACATGAAGACCGGTACGAGCGTTCATTCAACCATGCGGAGCTAGTGTGCGGACAAGGCCAACAGAACCCGAAATCTGCGCAGTGAGTAACCATCCTTCGCACCAAGCACGGTATCAGAACTCGTCGGCGGCCTTGAAGATATAGTCGAGCTGTGTACTGGGATTTACCCACTCAATGTCGCCCGTACGACAAGGCTTTGTGATGATTTGCTTCGGGCACAATCATGATGGACAAAAGTGAATATTTGAATGACCGCCCAAACGCGTGGTGTATAGTTTCCGCCATAGCGAATGGTTCTAGCGGGCGCAAGATTTACGTTATCTGCTAGGAAAACTAGAAACTTCTCAAAAGGACAAACGCACGTACCCGGGCATGAGGACCAGTTGAACGGAGTGGCTCACTGCCGAGTGGTGACGCTGCACTCGACAATCTACCCGATGCAGGATCAGCGAGCAGTCTTGTATCACCAGGAAAGCGAGTATTAGTATGGTAAGTTATCAGTAGCTCGACGGTGTTGCTTAGTTGAACCATCCTCGAGCCCCAGGTAGTACAAATTTCCAGACCATAGCTTGTCTGAGTTTTCGGAGATTATATCCTAGAATAAAGGAGGTCCTGTGTCATGACATTGTTATCGGGATGGCCGTGCAGGGTTGTGCACATTAGGAGGCAAAAGCATAGGGCCATAATGTGGGAAAGTCGAACATTCTCAAGATTTTCACGCGCGGGCGGCGCGGCGTGGGTTCATTTTAGTCAGCGTCAGCACCCTTCCGACTCGGCCACCGCCACCGGCCGCCACGCTCTCCAGTCCCTCAGCTTCTCCACCTCCTCAGGCTTTCGCTTTGTTACTGTGGCCTTCTACGTCTTTGCTCTTACTTCTAGGACATAAATCTCATAGTGTAAAACCCATATTGCGCAAGATGGTCTGTAAGAAATGTGAGAAGGTGCGCCCTCCTTGTCAATGGAGTTCCAGACTGAATCTGACAGGCCTATGGTGCCCAGAAACTCTCGAAGTTGGCCGCACCAGATCCCTTTACTTCTACCACTTCTGCTATCAAAGATGGGTCTCGTAAGATTGGAGAGAATAAGCTGATTGGTAGGCCAAAGGCCGGGCCAAGCTCTGCCGGTGGTTCGTCGAGCTCGAAGAACAGATACTCGGTGCGTTCGTTATGATTTTCTCGGCCTGACAGTACGCTTACCCGTAGTGTGCCCATAGCCTTACTCATCCAAGTGTAAGGACTGCAAGTCGCCGGTGACACAGAACAGGGCGAAATACTGCCATGGTGCGTACTCATGGAGAAGGAGGCCCTGAACGTGCTGCTGATCGGACGGTTATGAATAGGATGTGCCTTCAAGAAAGGGTTGTGTTCTATGTGCGGGAAACAGATCCTTGACACGACAGGATACGCGATGTCTAGTAAGTAGACATGCGGAATCTGTTGCACACGCGTGAGGAGGTGGGCGATCGGCTATGGACTTTTGTTCTGTTTACTGGGCATGTATTCATATGTATTCTATATCCCTAATTCACTGTGCTTTTGCATTCCCAAGTTTTACAAGTTCGAGATCGAGGGCTCGCTTGAGAGATTGGGTGGAAACACAAGGAAAGTGTCACGCCCAACGTAGCATTCACTAGGTCGTCCCAAAGATATCGAAACCGATATACAAGCCAAAGTAAGAGATGAACGATGCCAGCCTAGCCTGACTTCAAAGAGTGTCTACGAATGTCGTTCGAAACACAGTACCATATCTATTAGCACACTCGCAAAAGCATCTAACTGAGGGCAAATCCGCATACCTAAAGTTCACTAGTTCCCGGACCCATAGCTCCTAACCTTGCTAAACCAGAACGGCCTCTCATTCTTCAGCGGCAAAGGACAAGCCTCGCCAGTTCCAACATCTACCGAATCATATCCGTCAAAATCGATCTTGTTCCATCGACCGAGTGGACGGGAGCGCAGAGTGAGCGTCATCTGGAAGGTATACTTGGCGTCTGACCTGGATGGATCCGTGAGGTCGGTGATAAACAGGTTGTTGCCGGAGAGAGCCCAGCGGCCGATGTACAGACCCTATGTGAAGTCGAATGAAGGTGATGTTAAGTTAGCTTCAGCTGGTAAAGGGAGTGAATCGGGAGCGCAGGACTAACCTTCATCCTGAGCGTAGGCTGAAGGATAGGGATGATCTGTTGAGGGTTGTACTCTTCGTTCGCGAGAAGGGATATGACATCTCCGGTGGGGAAAAATCGACTAATTGTTGTTTTCGGAGTTTATATGAGTCTAATTTAGTTCTGGATAGAAGCGGTCGACTGGAAGGCGTACAGATAGCGGTGGTAGGTGATCAAGTGACTGATCTGTTGAAAGAGAGGAGGTCGTCAGCGATGTATAGATAGGGTCAGAGCTTTGGGACCTACAGCAACCCAGGCATTGTCACTCATACCATGGCGGCTAAATATCGAACAAACAGTCCATAAGTTTCTTATACTGTAGTATGCAAGGTGAACGCACGTGTAGTGGCAAACGGCAATGTAAACACCGTCCAACCTCACCCTCGGTTTCTCGATGAACAACCTCCGATAGTCCTTCTGAAATTCCTTGATTGTATCCTCTATCCGTTCATCTTCTTCAATCTGTGGTGGCTTGTATGTGGCAAGAACAAGCCGTCTGGATAGACACGAGGAAGAACAAACAAACGATGACATGGTCAGACTTGGGCACAGAATGGAAGAGAGGCAAACCTGTGAGTATGATATACCTCCAGTAAGTCGAGTCTAGCGTCAATAGGCGGGCCTTCCGATTGACCTGTGCGAACCGCTCGAGGGATGTGATGTTGAGGAAACGAAGGACGTGGGTGAGTAGTTCGTTGGGCAGCTTCGCCAGGTGAAGAGGTTCTTTCTCTTCCTCCGGTTCGAAACCCAATGACTCGGGAAACTCCTTCAGCACGCCTGCCAGGGTACCAGTAATATTACCGGCGCCATTCTCGATGACATGAGAGGAGTCGAAGATACGAGGCGTGTGTGGCACATCCGAGACCTTGACCGCCGCCACACCGTTCGCGAGTGCGTCAACTTGAGCGTCAGTCGAGGCGGTCTTCTTGTGCAGCGTGGATTTCTTCGATGTACCGTTGGCCTGTTGCTCAGCGTAGTGGTACGCCCGGTCGACGTTCGAGTCCATACGAAAGGCCTGGCGATATAAGCGAAGGGCCTCATCAAGTTTACTTGCCTGCTCACACCGAACAGCCTCCCTGTAAACGTCTACCGCTTTCCGACGTACTCCAGCTGTCCCCGTAGTCGCATAGTTGACCCCGGACGATGTAGGCTCGACCAAGTCCGATAATTTGACCAGGTGATCATCGTGAGCGGGCGTACTCTCGGTGTGGGTAGAAGTAGACGAGGTGGCACCGGTGATGAAAGGCTCAGTTGGAGGGTGAGCAGTCTGCTCCTGTCGTTTGCGCTGTACTTCAGCTTTCCATTGTTCTCGGAAGCGCTTGAGCTCTTCCGGTTCTTCTGCGGACATGCGTGAGTGTGAGCGGGTGAGATGAAGCGAAGTAGCAAGTTTGACTCGGAAGTCATTAATAAATGGTTCTTATCAAGCAAATACCTTACGTCATCTGTAGACGCGTTCGCTCAACCGGATTGGCCTTTGTAGCACGTTTTGTAGTGCGACTACGTTTGCTTACCTACTCTACTACAACGCTTGTTGAAGCCCACTACACTTTTGGAAACCACGTCAGTCTGGGAATCTGAAGGCCTGAACTCCGGGGCGGCTCCGGTCTCTATCCACTTGCACACCCACCCTTTACCTCCACCTTCCTTCTTTCCAGCGGGCAGACTATGGAGAGCAACAAGGATGAAGCGCTTCGCTGTCTAGCCATCGCCCAGAAACACCGGGACGCTGGAAATCTTCCCTCTGCTCGCAAGTTCGCCCAGAAATCTATAACATTATTCTCCACACCAGAAGCGGTCAAATTCATCAAACTCCTCGACTCTGATACGTCTTCTTCTGCCTCGACGTCTAGTTCTTCGGGATCCTCGAAACCCTCGTCAGGATCGTCATTCACGTCGGGTGCAGAATCGCATCCTTCAGCGTCAGGCGCGAAGCACCGTCACACGACGTCCACGAACGGCAGTGCGGCTTCAAGTTCGAACGAGAAGGCACGGGAATATACACCAGAGCATGCTGCGGTTGTGAAGAGAGTGCAGACATGTAAAGTAACGGAATATTATGAGATCCTGGAAGTGAGCAAGGATTGTCAGGAGGCAGACGTCAAAAAGGCTTATCGAAAGGTGCGCACAATCCACTTCCAACTCGCGAGCCATTCTCACCCTACACTTACCTCCATAGCTTGCACTGGCACTGCATCCAGACAAGAACGGAGCTCCTGGGGCAGACGAGGCATTTAAAAGTATGCCACCCCATTCGTCTCTGCAAGCTGTGCCTGAGCTAACTATTTTGTCGTATCTAGTGGTTTCGAAAGCATTCCAGGTGCTCTCTGGTCAGTCATATATATTCTACTTTTGTTGCACACAGCATTCTCAATAATACTACAGACCCACAAAAGCGTGCTGCGTATGACCGAAGTGGCTCGGACCCAGAATCACGTTTTGGCAGTGGACCACCCCCTGGATCATCACCGGGCTTTGCAACCAGTCAGTTCCGCGGTGGCGGTGGCTTTGAAGGCGAACTCAGTCCCGAAGATCTGTTCAACATGTTCTTCGGTGGAGGTATGGGTGGCGGTGGCGGTTTCGGTGGTAGTCCTGGTACGCTCTTCATTTCTGTGCCACGTCTATCTTTCTTTGGTATCTCGAGGCTTCGCTGAAATATACCGCACAGTATTCTCAGCGACATTTGGTCCGGGAGGTTTCCGCACTACACGGGTACATACCGCTAATGCAAGGCATCGTCAAACCAACCAGACAGCCACGGAGAACACACCTCGATCTGTATTCCTCCAGCTTATGCCCCTTCTCGTCCTCTTCGCGTTCTCCCTCCTCAGCGCCATCCCAAACCTGTTCACCACCCCACCCACTCCCGACCCCCGTTTCTCATTCCAAGCCTCGACACGATACAACATGGAACGCACGACCACAGGACTCAAGATCCCCTTCTACGTCAACTCGGCAGAGTTCTCGGGGCATCCAATTGCTGCCGAAATCGCAAAAGCTGCTAGTGTATCGGCTGAGAAGGGGAAAGGGCCTACGGGTATACCAAGGGCGCTGAAGAAGTTCGAGGACAGTGTGGACAAAGCATACGTACAGGACAAGTATTCGCTTTGTCAGAGAGGAATGGACTTTAAGCAGCGCAGAAAGGACGAGGCTATCGGGTTCTTTGGAATTGGGGCGGACTGGGAGAAGGTGAAAGCTATTGAGAACGAGAAGATAGAGGCGTGCGAGATCCTGAAGGGTCTGGGATATCTTCAGTAGTGCTCTCGTGGACGATCTTTGTTGTGGATTATGGTGGTAACATTAACTTATGATCACTGGATAACACTGATGAGAGGGAATCTATTACCTTTGGTGAGTGGATGTTGTAGCCCTCAAGAGGTGTAGCTGTGGCCAATTTGCTGATTTATTGTTATCGTGTGGCCTTGTTCAGTTTCCTTAATTCGGTGTTCAGCTATATATGGTGTAAAATTAGAGGGTTGGATATCTACTTGTATGCCTTCTTGCTCCTAATTCCACGCGATGCGGGTCTACGCAACAGGACTGCCTCTTACCGCTTGCGTCGACTTGCTTGTTCGCGCCTTGTCTCTGGTCAGGCCCGGAACCCGGGTCGTAGCGTCAATATGTTTGGTGGCATGCGCCACGCCCTCGTTCTCCATAAAACGACACTCACTGCGTTCTCCCATCCGCCGTTCTCGGGTCTGGCTCTCCTTGGTCCGGAATCCTCTGACTTGGTTGTCCACTACTTAAGGCCGGATGTACCCTTGACCATAATAAATAGTATGCGACAATCGGACGGTCCTACTCTATTGACCTTGGCTTTCCCGAACTTAAGAACGTCACATTGTCCCTCGGCCTTGCGTGGTTCTCTGAGGTCTTTAGCTCGAGCTTGGGTCTGTGACTCAGGCAATATATTATTCGATTCTTGACATCAAGACCCTCCAGTGCCAGAATATCGTCGGCCTCATCGTGTCCTGGCACGGGCTCTAGAACTGCGAAGTCAACAGACGCTGGCAGTGTGGTGTAATTGACTTCGGTCTTTGCAAGGTTCAATATGAAGTCCACCAGTGGAGATGATCATAAGCATGCAGCGAAGTAAGTAGATGAGGATGACATGAGGACATAACTTAGACAATTACGTATTAGTACGGATGAGGTGAAGGAACAGAACAGGACGGCAAGGCTGAAGGAGTAGCCGGTACATACAATATATACAGTAGGCGCGTATGTATAGTCTACAGACAATGGTGATGATTAGGGGAGAGACGATGAATTAGTCCACGATAGACGGGTGGCAGGGAGTATAGGGTATGTATGAAATGCTATGAGGTGCAGAGTGCGAGGCGGGTAGACAGAAGAAATCCAAGATGAGCGTGTAAGGAGATCAAGAAAGTCACCGAAAACAAACAAAAAACAAGAGAGGAAACCGGAGTGAACGAAGAGGACTCAGAGTGAATACCTATGGTCAGTCAGATGATATGTAGATGTCTGGGTCCCACTACGAGACAAAAGTCAGATGAGGTCTATGGGCAATCTATACCGGAGACTCTAAAGACTTCTATGTCGGCCATAAAAAAATCAAAACAAGATCAAAAGCTCGACGGGCAATAAACTAGAAAGGTAGCGTACTCCAGGCTTTAAGCCACGGCAGCAGAACCCTGCTGCAATGCGAAATACCCATCCACAACGTCCTTCCACGGTCTATCCTCGCCCTCCCCATCCTCCGTTCCAGGACACTCGAACGCCAACTTCTGCATCGCTGGGAACGCCTCATACAAGGCCTCAACCAAGCAATCAACGCTCGCCTCAGACCTCCCCTCTCTCGGCCTTCGTCTCGGCCTCGAGTATCCAATCGTTAATCTCTCCAGAGTAGTCTGTCCTGCCACGCCGCCACTTGGGGAGACGGATGAGATATCCAGGGGAACAGCCAAGCCTCTCAACCTCGGACATCTCTCCGCCAGCACACGTAGTGAAGCGACCGTCGCCCTAGGACTCAACCACCCCATTGCCTCGCTCCCATCCTCCTCATCCTCCGTCGTCGTTCCATCCCCACCCGTCCCCTCACTCTCCGACAACATCGGCCGGGTCCACAACCCCAATTCCTCAATCTTCGGCCACCACCCCGCCATCCTCTCCACATCCTCGTCTCCGAGGTCTGGTGGCACACACGTGTCAATTCGCAGGATGCGGAGATTGTGTAGCCGGGAGAGGGGTTCAAAGGTCGAGAGCGTGGGGTGGAGTTTGGCGGTCGAGGAGGGGAATGTGAGAGAGGTAGAAGGGGTGTGGTGCGGGGTGGGGGCTGGACCTGTGGCACTGATTGGGTTTTGGGGAGCAGCTAGGGCGAGGGGGTGGGGCGGTGGTGTCACATGTAGGGGCAGGAAAGCGGGCGAAGGGAGGGAACAGAAGGTGGTAAGGGACTCGAGGGTGAGGACCTCCACAGTCGAAGGCAAAAGCGCGAGCGAGGGTTTCCAAGAATCGATGCAGCGAGGTTTGGGAGGCGATGAGATATGAATGGCGTGTAATACAGGTGCGGATGCTTCGGCGACGATAGGGAGAGTGAAAGGAAGGAGGACAGCCTCGAGGACGGCTGGGGAGGCACGTATGTGCAGCGTTTTGAGGGCAGGGAAGTATGGTGCGCGGACCTCGTCTTCCTCTTGGGGGAGAAGAGCGGCGAGGACTTCAGGATCGATGTCGTCCATCTGGACCTTCAGCTCTTCGAGGCGTTCCCAGTGTGAGAGCGCGACGAATGCACTCGGAGTCATGTCGGCGCCACCGACGTTGAGGTTCAAGGTCTTCAGTTGCTTCATCTCGATGACCGTTTGCATCAGACTTGGGCTGATTCGTCCTCGGAGTTTGAGGTTGGCTAGATTAGGGACGACGCGCATGACTTCGACGAGGTATGCGCGCAGCTCGGCTTGCTTGTTACTTGGGTGGGAGGGTTCGAAGGGCTTGCGAGAGATGAGAGGCAGCTCGAGAGAGAGGGATCGAAGTACAGGGGAGAGCCACAGGGAGAGCGTGAGTGGCGAGGACAGAGGTACTTTGGAGAACGATGGCGAAGAGAGGGAGAAGTGTAGAAGGAGGCGGACGGAGGTGAGGGAAGGGAATATAGTGGTGGAGTGATTTGAAGACGAGGACAGGCAGGATTGGAGGCGGGAGATGAGGGACGGGGAGACTTTGAAGAGGTCTGCGGAGTATTGGCAGACTCCCTTGACGCGCTTGGCATAGGCGTTGAACTTGGCCAACGATTCTAGAGATAGCTCTTGCGAGTCATCCAACGTCTATGCAGAACCTATTCAGTATCGAGACATCCGGATATGACTGGAAATACAAAACCCACATAAATCCCGTGGTGACATTGCAGCCCAGGTATCAACCTGAAGAGCGCCTCTGAGTCCCGCTGGTGTAAGAAAAACCAGAGATAGTCAAGCGCAGGATCTCGCCACGCCTTGCAGACGCGAGCGAGCTGGTAGAATGTCCTCTTCCGTGTTGCCTTGTCTAGATCGACATCCAAATGCGTGAATATATGTCTAAGGAGCTCGTCTATGAGGAGTGCACGATGCATTGAAACGAGTGATTTGGCGAGCAAGCGTCTAGTGACCAGAAATTCTACAGGCTGCGTCTATTATACGTCGCGAACCCGGCGCAGGCGTCGAGGAGGAAGGGGGAAGGGGAAAGTACGTAGACCAGAACCAAGCAATGCGGGGGTATAAAGCCAGTCGACGCACTACAGGCACCGCTGCACGAGCCTAAGCGCTGTCTCAATTTTTCTCGGTTCGCTGCGGTGATTGGGCCACCGTTTCCAGTTTCATTCACGTGTTGCTCTTCGCGCCCGTTCCGATATCTATCCGCTGCCCCACCGATTGATTATTTGTCCAACGTTGCTGCCAACGCTCCTGAGCGCAGCGACATGTAGTTAGTCTCGAGAGATCGAAACGGCTTGGTGCAAATGAAAACTAGACTTGTCTAAATCGAGGTGAGAGCGCGCACAAAGATCATCAAGGCCGGCAGAGATATTTGACCGCATCACACTTTTCGAGTTCTCGCACACAGGATGGTTGCATGTTTCACATGGCATAGCGGCAAAGCATACAGAAAAGACATGGCTACAACAACTACGTAGAGCACGAGCGACGACCGTTACACCACTGGACTCTAAGCGCTCCCTTAGACGACGGGGGGCTTGGTGCCAGGCTGGAAGGTGTAGGTCAAACCGCACTTGCCACAGTACTGGCGGTCGTGGTGGAAGGCCATCTAAAGCGAGAAGCGACATGTATGAGTGCACAATTACGAAGGGGAAAAGAATAGTAGAACAAGGAACGTACGAAGACACCAGCACCGCACTCGGCCGAGGGGCACTCACGACGGAGACGCTTGATCTTGCCGTCGGACTCGACTTTGTAGTACTTCAAGATGGCCATCTTGACCTTCTTGCGCTTGTGCTTGATCTTCTTGGGAGTCTGTAGACGGTTGCGCGAGGGTCAGCTGTAGCAATGGACACTGCAAGGAGGAACTGCGTACGTTGTAGGTCTTCTTCTTACGCTTCTTAGCACCACCACGGAGACGAAGCACGAGGTGGAGGGTCGACTCCTTTTGGATGTTGTAGTCGGAGAGGGTACGGCCGTCCTCGAGCTGCTTGCCGGCGAAGATCAAGCGCTGTTGGTCGGGGGGAATGCTGCAGGTGAATTGGTCAGCTAGAGGTCGTCAAATATACATGGGGTGAAGACGTACCCCTCCTTGTCTTGGATCTTAGCCTTGACATTGTCGATGGTGTCCGAGGACTCAACCTCAAGGGTGATGGTCTTACCCGTGAGGCTATAGACAAGATGAGAGTAAATCAGTATTTCTTCCGGACAAAGCAGAAGAAACGGAATAACGTACGTTTTGACGAAAATCTGCATCTAAAGGCCAGTCGAACAGAGTATGAGCACCAATTCTAATAAGAAACGAAGAAAGAGAGATACTCACGGCGACGGACGCCTTGTCTGTCCAACGAAACGAACGATGGAGTCTTTGACAAAAGCAAGAGCCTGTTCGATGGGCCTCCCTCTTCGCGCGCTGCCGATGGCTTATATACCAAGATGTTCCCACGCTTGGTCAGCCTTCGTCCATTCCTGTGAAAATAAGGTTTGAGTTTCGGGCATTCAATTGCTGCGGAGATGACCGAGGCCGAAGCGGCTGTGTAATTGATTGGGGAAGTGTATTACGTCAGACACGCGTCTCCTCGTGTCGCGTCGCGTCCGTGCGCTTTCTCGTGTCTTGCTCTCAACCTACATCTTGTGCCACACATACCCTTTTCGTCCCGTTAGATTTCACCAGAAGGATGGATAGCGAAAATGAGATGAACGCGTCTGATGCAGAGTCCACTAAGCCGGTCTTCGCATCCTCGGCCAAGGGAAAAGGCAAGGCTGTCGACCGAGGTGCACAAGACGTGTCGCAGGACGAAACACTTCCATGGTCAGCATCTCACACCCATATCCTTCCTCTCAGCTTACTCAGACTCAGAATCTGACATTATGCGTCGCAGGGTAGAGAAGTATCGACCGAATTCGCTGGATGACGTAGTATCTCACAAAGACATCACCAGCACTAGTGCGTCCTCACCTTTCTTGATAGGTAGTAATGGACGAAGGTTGACCCAGTGTTTGGTGTAAAGTTGAGAAGTTCATCGAGAAGAATAGGTTACCACATCTGTTGTTCTATGGACCACCTGGAACTGGAAAGACGTCTACTATCCTCGCAGTAGCGCGTCGTATATACGGAGCAGGTTACAAGAAGCAAACACTAGAGGTGCGTCCCATCCCCTCTCTTATGTCGTAACTTATCTAAACACGCTCGCATTCTTCTCCAGTTGAATGCTTCAGACGACCGTGGTATCGACGTCGTCCGCGAACAAATCAAACAATTCGCCGAAACACGCACGCTCTTCTCCAAGGGCTACAAACTCATCATCCTCGACGAAGCAGACATGATGACCACAGCAGCCCAGGCCGCCCTCCGCCGCGTCATCGAGCAATACACGAAGAATGTCCGCTTCTGCATCATCTGTAATTATGTGAATAAGATCGTGCCGGCGATACAGAGTCGCTGTACGAGGTTTAGGTTCTCGCCGTTGCCGATGAAGGAGGTGGAGAAGAGAGTGGACCATGTTGTGGCGGCTGAAGGGTGAGTTCTTCGTCATCCTGTTGGACGCGTTCGTAGTTCGATGTTGTAGCTGATGAATCTGTCGGTGTGTAACGACTAGTGTGAAGTTGACGGAGGACGGAAAGAAGGCGCTGTTGAAGCTCTCTAAAGGCGACATGCGACGAGCCCTCAATATCCTGCAAGCATGCCACGCTGCATACGACCAGACCGGTGAAACCGAAGTGTATAACTGTACAGGAAGCCCTGAACCCGCTGATATCGAGACCGTGGTCAACTCGATGATCACGGATGAGTTCACCACGTCTTACCACAGTACGTCCGCCACCGCCCTCAGACTCCCTGGACATATTGTGTTACGCGTTGATTGCGTAATTGGATTACTGACGATATTTCGCCCGATATTGTGTAGTGATCAGCACGTTGAAGACAGAACGAGGTCTCGCACTGCAGGACCTACTGATAGGTGCATACGAATACATCGAAGGCATCGACTTCCCTCCAGCTGCGAGAGTATATCTACTAGATCATCTAGCGACGACCGAGTATGTCCCCCTCTGTTTTACATGTTCGCTCACAACTTATCTCACACTCTGTTTTGTGATGGTGGTGGTAGGCATCGACTCTCGACAGGCGGTAGCGAGAAGATCCAGTTGACCGCGTTATTGGGCGCGTTCAAGAACGCGGTGGAGTTGACGGAAAAGGCGAAGGAATCATAGCATGCGGGCATGCGGGCCCTCAAACATCAGATGTTACGTTCTATATTTTATCCTTGTCTTTCTTTGCTTTTGTGTTTTCGATGTTATGACAAGGACTTCTTCAATAATTCCAAGGGGTGTCCTCTCGAGGATGAAAGCGACAGGCAGAATTCAATAGGGCAGGCGAGGACCATAAGGCTTGTGTCATTAATGTGTCTTAATCCATGACTCGATTCATCAAAACAGCGTACAGTACGAGAGGTCCACCCCCGAGCCGTCGAGAGCTGGACCCCTTGCCCATCAATGTTCCGGATTGTAAATAGTGCAGAAGCCACATGGACGGGCCTGTCGTCTGAAGCAGGAGAACGAGGATGTACGACGGAAATATAGGTGATAAATGCCATAGACGTCTGTTGGCTTCCCTCTTGCAGAGAGGTACTGGTCTCCTGGGCCACGAAGAGGCCGACGCCGTACCAGGAGAAAAAAAGGAGGACCAGCCTCAAAAGAAAAGAAAAAACAAAGGCCCACTGCCGGGTCGCACAACGAGGAAGGCCCCAGTGGGACATGTTATCCACCTGCCACGTCCAGTCGATGAGCTACCGACACCGGGAGGAGGTCACTGCGCCAACCGGGAGAGCGGCATAGGGTGTCCTGTGTCCACCGCCTAACTCATCGGTAGCGACACAGCTTCCTCCGAAACGCGCTTCCATACCAGGAATACGCGCGAGGTATAGTACTGAAGGAGTCGTAAAGGGTGGGAGAGACTCATGGACGGAGAAAAAAAGGAGGACCAGCCTCGAAAGAAACAAAAAATAAAGGCCCACTGCCGGGTCGCACAACGAGGAAGGCCTCAGTGGGACATGTTATCCACCTGCCACGTCCAGTCGATGAGCTACCAGCAACGGGAAGAGGTCACTGGGCCAACCGGGAGAGCGACATAGGGTGTCCTGTGTCCACCACCTAACTCATCGGTAGCGGCGCAGCTCCCTCCGAAACGCGCTTCCATACCAGGAATACGCGTGAGGTATAGTAATAAATAAATCAAAAAAGGAGGGCGACGCTCACGAAGGCCGACCAGCGGCTCTAAGCTGAGGGAGGGATGAGATGGTGGGGGGATGGTGGAAGTTGGGGGAAGAGAGGTGATGGGGAGGTCAAGCCAGGAGAGCGCCCTTTTATATGTGTTCGAAGCAATCGATGCGCACGCTTGTGGTATCGATGGCGATAACGGGACAAAGGCAGAAGTTGTGACACAGATGGGACCGACGGCAAGAGAACAATGGGAAACAGAGAACTGGCTCGATCGCGATTGGTGCCGTTGACGCGGCGCGACACGCGTTGAGGTCACGTGCTCACGCGCTTTCATAAATGTTGAAACGATGACGTCGAATTCGAACGGGCTTTGTGCACAAGTACTTTCATCCATATCGCAACGGTGGAGGCTCAGCGGATACTTAAACACTTGTCGAGGGAGACATACTCTAGCTCGCACACATCTGTTAAGCAAAGTTAGTCCGAAAAGCACAGAACAACTTCAGCCTACAGCACAATTGCGTGTGACTCAACCGGGAATTGGGACCCAAACTTACAGATACGTTCCCTCAGCGAGCCAAACCTTGTAACTTGAAGTCATCCGTGGAAGTTCAGTGAACCACATACATAAACAACTTTCAAATCAGTCGTACAGGGAAAAGAATAGGGGTGAGCACATTTTTGAGTACAAGAGATGAACTATTGATACACAAAGGTATATTAGGACCGTAGCCTGAAGTTGTAGCCGTGTCATCATGCTCGTCAATGTATTTTTTTTTTTAGAAAGATCGTTGGGCACAAGAGAAAAAGAGGGAACGTAGACCATCTCAAAATCAAGTCTGACTAGAAGCATTAAGCATAGCAGGTATCTTAGTCAAGTGACACGATGGAAGAGACGTCTCAGCTGTTGGAAGGACCAGAACCAATGTCTGATGCTCTCGGGACCTACCACCAAACGTAACGGTCAACTCTCCGCGTGGTGTCATGACGGCCGTGTTGAATGAATTTGTGCGTACCGAAACGTCGACAGTGTGGCCCACCATCGCAGCCATGATTCGTGCATATTCTTCCCCACTCAACACTTGAAGCTCTTCCAGAGCATTGACAATGTTTTTCGGATCATTCGCGCCAACGGAAACCGAAGTCTCTGCCTCCTTCTGAGTGGGCTTTATAAATATGGTCGTCAGTTTGAACACCCGAAGTAAAATCATGAAGACCGCTACACACTTCCAGCTTCCCATGAAGCACCTGAAACGTACAAGTTAGCTCGGGTGCACTGCGTCGACTGCGCTACGGAAGGGATGAATGGTACCTCGAGCTGATCTTCACACATCTTGACGTCCCTTAGCTTCCGTAGCCTCTCTGCCTCTAATAAATCGGTCTCCATCTCCAACTGCAGCCTCTTGTAAGGTGTCAGCTCTCCGCGGGATCCAGCTCTAAGGGCTTCGAGGTGCATCTTTGCGGCGGCGGCCCTAGTCTTCTGCGCTCGGGAGGTCCTTATGACGACCTGATGTCACGAATGTAACATTCCACATACCGGATTAGAGTTTGAATTCAATGTACATGCGGCATACACACATTGATTTGTGTTTCAATCTTGACCGCAATTTCGAACAAGGCTGTGGCTTCAGACCTAAGCGCGATGGACTTGAGCAATTTTGTTCCCAGTTTCATGTTGCGATACTTTTCCTGAAGATTTTTATTGCCCTCTTGGACTCTGGAAAGACCAGCGTCACTTGTTCAGTGTATAGTATATAGCACAGTCTCCAGGCGGTTGAAGATGAGAGAAAAGAACTTACGCTGCTAATTTGTCGAGAGTAACAGCCCATTCTTGGTCGTCTCGCCAAGCCTCCAGCTGGTCTGATTCCTGTTTCATTTGCTCTAGGGTCTCGTCGCAGAGCTTGGCAAGGCTTTGAACTTTGCCCTTGGTTGTCTGTGTCTTGGTGTAATCTATGAGGCGATCCACTAGCATTATCGCGGAGGGAATGGCCTGCTCCAAAGACATATTGGTGGTTCCTGCAAAGAGGAATGGAACAGACGAGTTGGGTGCTTGATAGTAATTGGAGAATGAGTGCAGAGTAAGCAGTGATGATGGCAAGTGATACCCCAGGATGTCAGCTTCTTATATGTCCTGAGCGCTTGCAATGGCGCTTTCCAGACATGGTGAACGGGGTGCATGGCGTGTGCGTTACCTTGACTTGAATCGGAACGATGGACAGGTGCACTACCGCATAAAGTCCAGTGGCAACCACAAATGTCTACAACATAGCTTGTAGGAAAATACCAGAATCACAGGGATCCATAGATGTCAATTTCATCAACACAGGTTCTGTCCGGCATAGACTAAGAACTTGATCTTCTGTTTAAAACACAAAAGCTGCGGGAATAGAGCGTCTCGATAAGATTAAGAAGACACGGTGGTGCTTGTTCCGCTTGAGGCAACTGGAAATGCGGAGGCATACAACAGTACACCACTCATAAATCGAGAACAATGGGCACCTTAGAGGCGGTCAAACAATAGAGTACACAATCTTACGACAGAGTGACTATCAATGATAGTATCGAAGTAGCTATATGTGATCTGAAGGAACCCGTTGTCAGGAATAGCAATGATCCCTAGGTGATGAGATGTGATGGTCGTAACATCCACAGTGCAGTGAGACTCACTTGTATTGACATCCTTTACGAGAGTAGTAGTTGCAGGGCCATGGTAGTAATCATATAGGCGGCCTGAGGCCTGAGCCCCGAAATGAAGTCCCACCGTGACTGCATTGGTAAAATGGGTGTTCCACGAAAGTGTTGTGGAGACGCGACGTAGACATGTTAAGATACGTTGTAGGCGTGTATGGACGTAGGGGCGTTAGTCAGGCAGATATTCCTCGACAGATATTCCTCGCTTACCCGATTGAAATCTCGTCTACCCGGCCTTTGAGGAACCAGTTAGCGTGCATACACGTACATAAGTTCCAATAAGACGGAGATTGCCGGACATTGAACGTCAAACGCGAGACGTCCTTACTCCTGCTGTCTGCGCGCCAGTTCGTCCAGACGTCGTGCTGGCCACCGACAGCGCCTCCAAGTATCTTCTTCGTAATTATGGGCGACATCCTACGTTGGATTCGCAGAACTGCCAATCTTTCGGCGACCCGGACAGAGCTTCCATGGCCGGGCTGGTTGGACGCGGACGCCGCCAGAGCACTAACTGCCTCATCTACTACCCACCAATTTACCCTCAGCGCTCCAGAGCGACAGTGGGTACACATTCAACCATGGCTCGATTCTCAGGGCTATCTTCTTAGGCCTCGTTTTCGCCAAGGGTGGACGCCATCCTGGCCAAAGTCCGCCATGACCAACCCACTGCGTCTAGAGTCTCGTCATGAGGACGCAATTCAACATGATGTCAGTTGCATATACCCTAAATAAACCCATCATATCACTGACCTGACTTTCCTTTATTTGCAGGGAATGTATGCCTCTGTTATAATGGATGCCGTGAGGAAGGTCGATGGACGTAGAGTGCTCCTGAAGCGATCACCTCAACCTTGCGATGGCCATGACATTGAGATCCTCACGTATCTTTCCTCTGAAGAACTCTCTCAAAATTCACGGAACCATGCGCTACCACTTCTGGATACATTGACGACCTCGGATTCCGTATTCACGGTCTTTCCTCTACTCAGAGATCTCTCATTATCCGACTTCGACACGTTGGGGGAGGGGATAGATTTCATGGATCAAACTTTGGATGTACGTGCCCTTTGGGCAGTTTTGTTGTGCTTACGTTCCTGAGAGCCTTTTATTTGTTTAGGGGCTTGCGTTCTTGCACGAGCATCGTATTGCCCACAGGTTAGTTTGTGATCAACACTCTTGTGTACTTCGCTCCTTCATGATCGCGATGCTGATTGTACTATTCAGAGACTGTAGCATGTCCAATTTTGTCATGGATCCCGGCAAGATGTACCCTCGGGGGTTCCACCCCGATCATGTGATGCGCGACGCGAGGGGCCGTTCCTTGGCCAACGTCCGTACTCGTACCCAAGCTGGAGGCGTGAAATACTTCTTCATCGATTTCGGCGAATCCATGAGGTTTGGCGAGAACGAAGAACCCCTAGTCTCTGTTATCAGAAAAGCGAGTATTTTCGCGCCGGAGATGGAGGATGAATCTGTGCTCTTGTATGATGCGTACAAAGCTGACATCTACGCCCTCGGGATGACGTTTGAGCTACAATTTCTCAAGGTTCGATTCATCGCTTCTTCCTCATCCCATCTGTACACTGATCAGTCTTTTTCGGCTTCGCTAAGGAATATGTCGACGATTTCAATGCTTTCAAGCCTCTGTTCGACTCCATGACGCAGGTCAATCCCATCGACCGTCCTACCGCTGCCCAAGGCCTGGAACAGCTGCGCTCTATCACTGCTACCTTCTCTAGAACGGCGATGCATAGAAGACTGCATCGGAGATCTACTCACGACCCCGTCATATCACCCATTCAGGACACATTACATATGCTCAATCAAAGGATTTGGGTTCTCCGAACTTGGAAGTGGTGAAGGTGGAATTGTCCCAAGACCATCCTTCGTGCTGTCATTACCTGCACCTACCTACATGTCTTCTACCTATAATCACTCGCTCACTTTACCTTTCACCGTTGACTGTTTGCCTCTTGTACCTTCGCTTTTGACATCTTCGCTATTCATCCCACTGCTGTCCAACTACTGTCACTATACCACCACTGCCCCTGCTTCGAAGCTCTGTTTTCCTTGCTTTGCTGTGATTTCCAACCTTCACTCGCTGTTCTTGTTGTTTTGTTGTTTTGCGATCAACATCTTGCATATGAATGTTCTGAACGTTCTCAGTCAAATTTGAACGTTTTGCAAGACGTTGACATACGTATGTGATTCATTTGAGTATGCAATTAACGAGTGATTCACCTCGAATAAATAGTAGACAAGTAGAGTCTATGGGCTCTTCTAGCAGTCAGTATAGATTTAAGCCATCGTCGCCTCGCCATCTATGCTTAGAGGCACAATGAAGGAGACACTTTCGACCAATACTATATTCCTCGATGTGGAAACAAAGGTACCCCTTGTTCCAGTTCTGCGGCGGTCGAACCACACATTCTTTCCGTAACCAGAGAAGAAACACATCACCCACTACATGGCTATGACCACCCATGATACGACCGTACGTACTTTGTGGATCATAGCGCACATGCCAGCCTTTGGAGTACGATGAAGCGCAAGACATTTTCGCCGTGCCCTTCTACGCCCAGCTCAAATCTTATTATGATGCTCACTGTCGAGTATCAGTCTTCACGTCTTGCACCACGAATGGTCCAGAAGGTGTTGGCGCTCACACCTTATACATAAACATTCATATCCATCCTGAAAGTTACACCCGACGTCCGTTTAGTTGTCTCCCCGTCCAAGCTTATCCAGCGACCGGACACCCTGCTCATACCATTCCTCCCTAGATATCCAGAAATCTTCCCTGCCCTTCATGATATCGGCCAAGACTGCACCACCAAGGAAGACCATGTGTTTACGGCGAGGAGGGTCTTCGATGCGGATCTTGAATTTCTGCAAAACCAGAGCAATCAGCATCAGAACCAAGCCCTCGTTTTGCGCTTGTAGATTCCACTGCGGGTGAGCTCGAGCCACTAGAGTAGAAGGACGTACGTTCAACCGCGTTGGGTCACCGTTCAACACCCTCGTCAAGTACAGCTGCTTCATCTCCTTCTCCAGCCTGCTCGGGAGTCCAGGGTACATGCTAGAACCACCGGAAAGAACAACGTGCTTGTAGAGCTCCGAACGAACGTCAACTGCAGCATTCTGGATGGTGTTGAACAACATCTCCGCCATGCCGGGCTGTTCGATGTCCACGAGATGAGGTTGGAACATGCATTCGGGGGCTTCGAAACGTTCAGAGCCAACTTTGATCGTACGGCCGTCGGGGAGCTAGGATGGTACAGAAAGACAGGCATACGAAGCAGCCACAAGAGGTGTGAGGGGGAGGACTCGTTGAGAGTAAGGGGTAGGACATACGGTGTAGCTCTCAACGAGCGTGGTTGTCTCTTCTGAGAGTTTTGTGTCCATGTCAAGGTCGTAACTTCGAACACGGACGCCATGTCAATCGAAGTAGAAGATTAGATAGAGCAAGAATGAGGCGCACCTCACATAGCACAGCTTCTCCTTGATCTCCCGCACAGTCTCAAAGTCAGCTGTTCGATTGAAAGCGTACCCTCGCATGAGGAGCAGCTTGATCAAGTATCGTGTGACATCCCGGCCAGCAATATCAAGTCGACTTGTCAGATGCGGAAGAGAGAAACCATCGTACACCGGCACGATGTGGGTAACACCGTCTCCAGAGTCCACGACAACGCCGGTGGTTAGACCTGAAGAACATCATGGCAGACCCCATATACCGGATAATTTCCAAAGTCAAGAGCACAAACCTATCAGTCCGTGCAACTTACAGTGCGCAGAGAAACGCACCTTGCGCGTAAAGCGTCAACACCGCCTGGATAGCGACATACACCCCCTGAAATCCATACTCCTCGAACATAACCTGACACATTCTCTGCCTGTTCACCTTCGGATTCATGGGCGGCTCCGTCAACAAGACCTTCCGTCCCTGAGGATCCACCCTGAGCTTCTCGTTGAATGTATAGTCCCATAGATGCTTCATGTCCTCCCAGTTGCGGACAATGCCATGTTCCATGGGCTGCGTAACCTGCAGGTAGTTGCGCAGGGAGGCAGCCTCGTCTCCTATCATGATGTCCTTGATGATGGCATCGCCGACACGCTCCTCTGCACGAAGAATTGGACGACCAATAATGGAGGGGAATACTACGTGGGGTCGTAGTTAAGTTGTTGAGTTCGTTGCCTATATGAGTAGCAGTGACAGACCATGTTCGGGGAAATTGGAACCGGCGTATCCTACTTTGACGAACTATAAAAGAGTTATCGAAAGAACTGCCACTGTTATACCAATCACACTTACACCGGTCCCATTGTCAACCACGAGAGGTATAGAGGGATCCATGACGCGTGTTATGGGGGAAAGCAAGTAGATGGCGGTAAAGACTCTAGCATTACGCTCAGTGCCACACGTGCTAAACCGAGTGCCTGGGGTCCTTGGTGGCCTAATTGTGGCGCAAGTATCTTGGGACTCGACAGCGTAGATTTGCTACTGACACGATCGCCCCTCCATATATTTAGGGATCTAACATTAACGAAGAGTAGACTTGATGCTGATTTTGGGACACTGAACAGACATAACAGACATGAAAGTGATATTATAAATTCTGGATGCTCTATCTAACTCCATGAGATCCAGAAAGATGTGGCGTGAAAGGCTCAAGAGGCCATACGCATCTATACGCATCTATTCGGTGATGTGTCTTGAGGTGATAGATATTCCATAACTATATCAGAGCTTCTTTACTTCACGTTGCATAACTTCCTACTCCTTCGGGGCCTCAGGAGCAGTAGATTCGATATCATGGCCAATCCCTCCCAACTCAGTCCTACGAGTTCGATGCTGCGCTTCAGCATCCGTAAGCGGAATAGGTCCATCTTGCTCAATATCTCTATTGATATTATCATTGTGATCACCGCAATTTCTGGGTTCGTCCATCGTTGAGCCGGCGAGAGCGGCTTGTCGTACCCGATCACGCTTGCGAGCGCGAGGATTAAGTATCAAAGCGCAAACGATGACGATAACATCCAAGAACTGTTCGAAACGAGGAAACATCGTCAGTACAACATTGGCGAACGGAAAGTTGAAATTCAGAGAATCACGGCTTTACGCACGGCAGCGGCAGAGTATGAAACACAGGCAATGACGTCAAAATCCTGTTTGAATGCGAGTGAGAGGTCGGAGAAGAGTCCTCCAAGCGCGTCGACCGCCATGAAAATGAGAGAGATGCCGATGACAGCTTTGTATTTGTATATTTCGTAGTACTGTGGGCTTTTTCCAGCCGTACGAAAGATGAGCAACCAGGAAGAGGGTGGAAGAGGTCGAACATACAATAGAGCGAGACTGATCAGGATAGTGCTCATGATTCCGAAGAACTGTACTCCCCTTTGGCCTGACTCTTTACCTGCACGGTAAGCCGGCTGTCGCAAACAGGGAAAAGACCCTTAGAATGCTTTGGGAGCTGCGGCCGATCAGAAACATGCTCACTCTCAAAGCATAGACAAAGCCCGTCTGGAGTGCAGCCACGAGACTCATCATCCCAAGAAAGATCAGGATGCATGAGCGTCGAGAGTATTGCTTGTCGTAATACAGGCACTGACAAGAAAGCGCAAGATGACGATCATGATCAGGTCGGACGTCACACATTTAGCGTGGGCGATCAGATAGGAGGAAGCACGAAGTCGAAGCGTACTTGGGCCCATGAAACAAGCGACAGAAACGAGAACAGCTGAGGCTGCACGATGAGTGGGATGTTCAAGTCTTGCACGATGACGTATGTCCCCAATGGGACGGCAGCGATAGCCCACAGCAACCTGTTATATGTATGTTACTATCAGATTCATCCCAACCACAAGAGCCCTATTAAGAAAGGGTCGGTTCGAACACAGAGGTGACGTACGGCAGCCAATGTGAAAGTCCCTTCGTCGACTTCGTCCTCCAACTCTTCCACACCTGGGGTAGCAACTGACCGCACCAGCATATTGTGCCTAAACAAGGTGAGCCGTTCAGCTTTTCTCCTCGTGCTGTCTTGAAGAGGAGCTAGGACTTACCCATCGTACCCAATACATTTTCCGCGACAGGATTCGGCATCAGTTCCGAGTCAGTGCTAGACCTGAACGTTGAACAATGTGTGTAGGAGAATCGGCGTGATATTCAAGCCACTTCAACCCAGACTATAACACCTGGTGATGCCTTCAGATCACTCTGAATGGAAAGAGTGGGTGTCTCTGAGTTCTTCGGGTCTGAAATACTACCGTACTCAAGCCTGGGAGAGCATGACGAGACCGGCGGACATGACGGCCTCTGACTCGAGCCGGAGAATTTCAGTTCAAACGAGGGCACCAGTAGCGCTCAAGTTGCGGCCGTACCGGATAGATTATAAGAGAGTCGGTTGACAAGGTGGTGAATGCGGACGCGTAGGTACGTATATTACACACCGCGGTCCCAGTTTGCAAACAGCCGGCCCTCCACCGGAACCGCCAGACGAGCTCGCCGAAGTTACAGGCTGTAGATCTGGTCAGTCCGAGAGGAGGGTGGATATTGTATATACATGAGTTTACTACGCTACTAATACGATGCGGCGAACCATGACCAAAATTCGTGTCCTACTTAACCTCCTCCATCTCTCCCTCGGACTCCATTGCTGTCCGGGCACTCGTCCTCCCAAACCTCGGTAAGCACCGTACGATCGCTCTCAGAACTTGACCCTTCCTCCGTTTTCCTCTTCTTCCGCGGCGGTATAGTGTCCTGCGTCCTGCCCCCTTCCAAATCCTCCACCTTTTCGTCCTCGTTGAGCTAGGCCGACTCCGAGTCCCTCTTGTAGGCGTAGTGAGCATCGCGTGGGAACGGGTTGTCGATCGGACCGTCGTCATCCTGCCAGGTCATCGTCAAGTATGGCTCGAGTATGTCGGAAAGCGCAGTCGTCTTCGCAATGAAACTTAGAATCTTCTCGTTCGTCTCCAGAAACCCCTTCCGTTCCGCATCGAACGCAGCGTCTTCCGGGACCCACACCAAACGCGTTTTGTAACGTGGCCTGAGCAACTCGAGCATGTCGTTGAGGGCGCTGTTCAAATTGATGGGCGCGAAGGCTGTCGGTACATGGGCCAATCCTTCATGGTGTATCAACAGCTTGTGAGCACCGCCCTGAGGTGGACCTTCCGTCTGCACGGAAAGCTCATCAAAGATATAATGGAACAGCGAGCGGAGTCTTGTATGGCGGACCGAATGGCTACTGTGGTGTAGCGCGAGCCAGAGCAGAACCCAGAATAGCGACTCCATGTCGTCCACAAGGAGATGTGGTGCGGCCGGGTCCTGCAGCCTTGCGGCGGAGATGAATTGCCAAGTGCCAGTTTGGTCGACAGCTCTCGGTTGACCCCGGTTTAGGCGTTCGATCTGCTGGCTCATGTCGAAGTCGATGAGGAAACCGCGATCCTCGTAGATCATGACGTTGCCGACGCTGATGTCCCAGTGGCGATACCCGGCCTCCTCGAGACTGGCAAGCACTGCGACATCAGAAAGGTGAACAGACAAGTCAGTACAAACCTCATAGTTAATCACATCTCGCTCAAGGATTAAACTTCGATGGCGATAGACACGACACGCACCTTGGAGGACATCATATATAACCTGAATAACTTGCTTCCAGCACTTGAACCTCCAGAGTTTGGTCGCGACCTCGTACGAAACCAGCCTGTATGGACGGAGAACTCTTCGAATCCTGGACAAGTATCTCACGCCCCTAGGAAGTAAGAGGCCGGCAGCATCGACGGCGGTGTGGAGGATGGTGTCGCTGGATTCGCCATGTGGCATAACATCCCAGGCGCAGTACACGGTAGGTATGCGCTGCACGCCCTTACTATGCAGTTTGTTGAGGATCTCGTGCTCCGCTTCATGGTCAGAGGAGACGACCCGGTGTGTGTCTTTGAGAAAGCAAACGCGTTGGCTCAGACAGTGGTAAGCGCGGAACGGGCGTGTCCGCCGTCCAAAGGGACCTCGGTCAAACATGAGCCTCGGCGCCGCGACGATGAAATCAAATTCGGAGAGAGGGGATTGCGGGTCGATGTAGAACGATTTCGTAGGCTGAATGTCCGGACCAGGAGCGGGAGCGGCAGGAGGCCTCATGCGGATGTAGTAAAGCTGTCCTGTCTCTTCGAACTCCGTCTCTCCGTCGTCGAGCGCAAGGCGAGCTTCCAAGACTTCGGGCTTGGAAGCGGGAATTGGCTCGACGGTGTCGTCGTGTCCGCGCTGGGCGCGGGTGAGATGGTTATACCTCCATATGAATTCGGTCAACCAGGGCCGGCCCAGTATGAGGAAGGCCTTCGTGATGACGGCCCCGGAGCGGTCCCATCGAATGAGTCGAGCACGATTCTTGATAATGAGGACCGAGAAGGCAAAGAACCGAAACTGAAGCTGAAAGAGGGCACTGGTGTACGCGCAGATCTGGCCGCGAGTGTCCATCCCGTTCGCTGACGCCCTTTCAAAGGGGAATGCGTCGGTAGACGTCTTGTCAACAATGTCGCAGAACGGGTCGTCGCTTGATTTGATCTTGATCTCGTCGTACCGGTCGCAGCAAGCAAAATTCGTGGTGGGGCTGACCGGACGCGGCATGGACCTGTCGTAGACCATGATGTCGGGCTTCAAGCCTTTGCGGTTTTCGACGTCAGGGGGCACCGTCTGCGGATCGACGACGCCCGAGGTGTCCACATATTTCATGATGCCCTCCGGATCCAACATCTCGCAAGTGGAGATCTGAGCAGTGAGAGCATTTAGGAAGTGACGCGACGAAGAGGGGAATGAAGGAAAATATGCACGTATAGTAGATACATGTCGTTCTCGACCTTCGCGTCGCTCAGTCCTTCCCAATAAGGGCCCGGCGGTCGGACGCGCTTTTTCCCATCTTTGTCAGGGGGTGGGGCAGGTACGTATCTGCGCAGAAACTCTTTGGGATGCATTGGACCGATGAACCTCCCAGCGGATTCATTGACCATATCGCGCTTGATGGGATCGAATTCGTTGTGGGTGGACGTGCAGGGCGCCACGGAGGCGAGTTCGTCTGACACCATAGTCTTTTGCGGCTTCAGTGAGCAGGGTGAGAGTGTAGACGTTGAAGTCTGAGAGGTCGAAGGTTGGGCAAGTGGGGGGGCAACAGGAGGAAACGGTTCCGACCGAGGACGAGCGATGGCGGCGGCGCAGACAGCGACAGCGGGGAGAGGCGATGGAATGGAAACGACCTGGGATGCGAGTAGTCTGGTAACTGAGCGTCAACATCGATACTCAATCGTCCAGTTTTGCTTGCACTATTACATGTCGACCCAAGAGACAGATCAGTTCCCGGTCTAGGATGCATGTTGTGGCCCTGGCCAACAAGTGGAACATCACCCGGACTGGCTTCCGCTGGCGCAAGTACGAGCAAAAGTACGGGGACGATGTGGCCAGCGTGTGCCCAGGCAGCGAGCAAACCGATCGTCCATCCAACATCCACCGTACGAACGAAGGAGCGAGTTATAACTGCCAATTGTCGTTGCAATTGTGATTGTGATTGTTATTGATATCGTATTCCTACATCTTCCCCAGGAGACCAAAATATCGTAATAAAGCGACCGGAGCGGTAGCATAGAACACTGAGGACAAGAATAGAGTAAGACGAGGTATGGCGGACGGAAGAGAGGGAGGAACAGACGACACTAAATCTAGTGGCGGCCTATGAAATGAATTACAGAGCAGCTCTATAATCTAGGACTCAGTGAGGAGGGAGGAGGGATGTACGAGGGAAAATACCGTGGGGATTAGCGTTACATGCCTTGGCGTACGTGTGCGAGTGCGTGAGGGGATATGGACACAAATACAGATTGCGTGATAAGGGAGATGGGTGTGCGTGTGAGGTTGGAAAGAAGAGGTATCATTTTCGAAGCACGAAAGCACGGGCAGAAGAATTGGGAAAGAGGAGGGGGAGCGACAGAAAGGCAACTATACGACCTCCTTGCGGCTGTCGAGCTCCTTCGTGCGGTCAACATTTTCGACATGCTGCACATCCCTCTTCGACTCCTCCTCGCGCCTGACGTCCCGAAGGAGGTCATAAGTTGCCCACTCGCGGGTAGGAATCCTCGCGTCCATCATCACTGCATAAAATTTGGCCGTTAGCACAACGCTCTAAAACCGGAAAGACGGGTAAGCAAATCGAAGAAATCGTATACGCACAGTTGATCTCCTCCAGACTCCTGCCCAAGGTCTCGGGGATACAGAAGTACACGAAGACCATGCCGATCAACGAGCCGCCAGCATAGATATAACCGATCTGCGCCTCGAGGTTGGCCTCGGTTGCGTCGTAGAGGTAGGGCATGGTGAAGGTAACAACAAAGGCGGAGAGCCAGAAAAAGGCTGTACCGACGGACATGATCTTCTGACGGTTCTTGCCGACGGAGAGTTCAGTGGCGACGACCCAGGCGAGGGGACCCCATGCCAAGTTGAAGAAGAAGACCTGAAGAAGAGAAGAAATAACATCAACCTCGGTACACAGACGACGAAGGGGGAGGATAACGTACGTAGAGAATGATACCGGCAGCGACAAGGTTGTCTTGAGCCTTAGTACGGTGTCCGTGCAGGGAGCCCATGGCGCCAACAATCTGGGAATCGCAGTTTAGAATCGCTCTACAGAGAAATGCAGGAAGTCGAGGAAAGCTCACAATGAGGAAGGCGGTCATGAACGCGCTCGTGATGAGTAAGAGCGGCCGACGTCCGAACCGGTTGACGAGGAAGAACGAGCAGATGACACCAATAACCTCGACAATATCAACCTACAGATAGAGAGAAGTCCAAACAAATTGTCAGCACTGGACTCGAAAAAATAAAACAGAATTCTGCGTACGATGATCGTGATCGTGAAAGGGTCACCAATGCCAACATCACCGAGGAAAGTAGTCGTGTACGAGAAAATGAATTGGACGCCACCGATCTGCTGAGCGATCAGGATACCCACGGCACAGAGGAACTTGCGCCTAGTTGTGCCATGGAAAAGATCGGTCCACCTTGAGGGCTCGTTGTTGGTCCAGCGCTCCTCGTCCTCTTTGGCCTTGACGAAGATGTTGTATTGCTCCTCGACGGCAGTTTGGACGTCGTCGGCGTCGGCGTTAATGCGCTCCAGGGCCTTGATAGCTTGCTCGTCGCGACCCTTGGACATGAGCCAGCGAGGAGACTCGGGGGCGATTAACCAGATGCCGAGGAAGAGCAAAAGGACGATGACGAGGTTGAGACCCATAGGGATACGGTAGGCTCCAGTGTTGGTCATTTTGTGGGTGCCTTGACCGACACAAGCACCGATAACCTGACCGATTGCCAACATGAGCTGCCAGCTGCCGACGACGGAACCACGAATAGCGACGGGAGGAATCTAGCGGAGAAGTCTCGTCAGAACTGCAGCAAATGACCCTGTAAATGAACAAGAATACCTACCTCGGAGAGGTAGAGTGGGACGGCGTTAGAGATACAACCGATGCCCATACCGAGTACGGCACGACCGGTGGCAAGCAATGGGACGGAACCGGCGACGATCATCTGGAGGATGACACCGAGAGTGACAAGGAGGCAAGCAGCGGAGATACCGCCCTTGCGACCTGCCCAGTCACCGATGGGACCAGCGACAAGCGCACCAACAACCTCGCCGGCTTGCACTATAGATGTGGTCTGGAGAGGGAAAATTACGTGAGACGAAAGAAGAGCAAGAAAAAAAAATACACGCACCACCGAGCGAACTCGCGTAGATATGGCGTAAGAACCGTCTGACTGTTCGTCACCGTAATCGAGGGCGAACTTGTCCATATCGAGAATAGAGGTATAGTACGTGCCATCGTAACCGTAGAGAACGGCGCCGATAACAGCACAACCACAGAAAATAAGAGCGCGACGATACGTCTTGTTAAAGACGTTCGAATTGAGTTCAGCAGCGCCGCCACCACCCATGATGAAAGCTTTATCGGGTCAAGAGCGTCGTGTGAGTAGAAGCGTGAGGAGTACCGTGAGAGCTCGGACGCGGAGAAGGGGCCAGAATGGGTGGGGAGAAGAGAATCTGGAGGTGGGGCGTGTGGGGGAATGAGGGGGAAACGGTGGAGGAAGAACTGTGAGAACTGGGGAGCTTATATACCCCAGAGCTCCTGGCGGTAATGGAAGGCATGATTTCGAAAAACTGTCGAGCGTCCGAGAGCGGACTGGGGCGAGCAGCCAGGAAAAATGGATGTGCCGAGGCAAAGCAGCTCCGGACAGCGGACAGGTGTCGGGGTGAACCCATTCGCGGAGGCGTTCCTGGAGGCCCCACGAGTGGGCGGGGGGCTTTGCTGTGGGGCAGCGGAGGAAACTCGATCGTGGACTTCGGCGAACCGACAGAGCTATACGTGAATAAACCTCACCCGAACTCAACGCTCAGCGATAGTCACAAAACATGGAGATACCTCTTTCACCGCGACTTCGAAGATGTCGTTCACGACCGTCTCGAGCAGCGTCAGACCGAGGACGAGACGGGAGGCGGCGTCGGACTCTCGGAACGGAAAAGAACCGCAAATGACGCAAAGGGAAGAAAAAAAACGGACTCAGCTGGAGGTCTGTGCTTGGTTCTCGAAGCGAATTGCCATTACAGGGAATGATGTTATTGCAAGGAATTCCCCCCAGAAAATACATGGTTTGTCTAGCGACTAGGTATGCTTCCCAGCCGCACAACTGGGGCCTCTGCCCGACGGCGACAAAGTAGACAACGCCCACAAGCAAGATCGAGCCAGCGCGAAATGCCCCTGAAAAATACGACGCTTCCATTAGCTGGGTGGAAGGACGATACGATGTTGTTGAGCACGTCAAAGGGACGTTGTGGGGCCAAAAACGTGCACAATCAATCGCGATGCTTGTGGAACATAGGGGGCGGCAGGGGGGCTGGGTTACGTGGGGCTGCGATCAAAGTTGGCCGGGGCACTGGAGGTTTGATTTAGCCAGGCCCGATGGCGTCGGCAACATCGGTACCGACGTCGGGCGGGGTCTGAACGACGTCGCGAACAGCGAGAACGGATGTAAGGGAGACGTGGGGGGAAGGAAAGAGAGAGATATGGCCTATAATACCGGAGAGGACGCGGATTATATATACCTTTACGGCGTTTTCAAACAGAGCAGGTCATGAGCCCACCAGTTATTTCACCGTGCGCCGTGAAGCGGGGCGTTGCGGGCCGTGTGACCTTGGCAGGGGCCCCTAACCTCATGTCGGGGGTTATCGGGAACCATAGAACATCACAATAGCTGAGCGCTTTGACTCTGCAAGCGCTCAAGGCTTCACATCCAACGCTCGTCCGCTTTACTTTATACCTGTGAACAATGGCTTCCCGACGGACACCAATTGACCGCTATCCAACGGCAACATCAGACCTTCAGCATGATACTGAGGATATTCTCGCCTCTGTTCAGCTCAGCGCCTCAGCAATATCACCAGACCCGACTCTGAATAAAAACACACACATTCAATTCCTAGTTCGCAATCTCATCCAGGGGTTTCCTCTTCGCTACACGAGCCAAGATGCGAGTCAGCCATGGCTTATGTTTTGGACACTGCAGAGCTTTAGCATCCTCCAAGTCGGAATCGATCCCAGCAACAAACAAAGGTATTGTGTTTCTGGACCGCATCTGGTTCACCGATGAATGATTGTTCTTTATTCGACCCCTAATGCTCTGGTCTCCTCTCCGTAACGGAACAGAGCAATTGACACGATAATGACATGGCAACATCCTCAGGGTGGTTTTGGTGGTGGTCCCGGACAGTCACCGCACTTGCTCCCGACATATGCTTCCGTCTGCGCTCTAGCCATTGTCGGGCGTCCTGGTCCAGGAGGTGGGTGGGATGAAATAGATCGGTGAGCCGACGATGACACCCTGGTTACATTTTAATTATCTATTTCGATCTAATTTACTGCGCGATCATGGATAGAGAGAAGTTGTACCGGTGGTTTATGTCGCTCAAACAGCCCGATGGGTCCTTCCTTGTAACTCACCACGGCGAAGTTGATGTTCGGTAAGTTGTTCCCTCTGTCACATTCCCATGCTCGCTTGCTGAGCGATGACTACTTTACTCGTTGACTCTACCTCAGGGGAATCTACTGCCTCCTCGTAACTGCCTACCTTCTCAACATCCTCACTCCCGAACTGGTCTCCGGAACCGCGGCATTTATCGCTTCATGTCAAACCTACGAAGGCGGCTTTGCCTCCGCCTCACATCCCTACTTCCCAGCGACCATATCTATACCGGATGAGTCATCGTCATCGATAGAGCCACCAACAACATGTCTCCCGTCTCCACGCCCAAACCTGGGTGAAGCGCACGGAGGATATACGTTCTGCGCTTTGGCATCTTGGATTCTACTCGCTCCTTTCCTTCCTTCATCAACATCTTCACCCGAGTCCTCGACGCCACGACAAACCCCTTCAATAAACCTCCGATCGCTATTACGCTGGCTTGTATACATGCAAGGCTCTGAATCCGAATTGGGAGGGTTCAAAGGCCGGACGAATAAGTTGGTAGATGGATGTTATGCGTGGTGGGTCGGAGGGGAGTTTGCGTTGCTGGAGGCGCTGGGTGTTAGTGGCTATGATTTCCCCCATTCTCATTCACAGGAAGGCGAGTCAGAGAAGGACGACATGGATGCTGAGGAGGAAGAGTGGGATGACGTAGATGGTGAGTGAGATGCATGCTGCTGTTAGTATCACCGCGGGGGCAATATCAACTCACGTGAGCTTAGACTCGGTGTTCAATCGTCGAGCTTTGCAGGAGTATATCCTTATAGCGGGCCAACATGCGGCTGGAGGTCTCCGTGACAAGCCACCAAAGTACGTATGCCTGTACCTCTCCGTAATGTGTCTCTTTCCTCCTAGCCGCTTGCTCATTCCTGCGTATGGCGGCGATGTAGAAACGCTGACTCGTATCACACACTATACTGTCTGTCCGGCCTTTCTGCCGCTCAGCATCGAGTCTTTCCCTCGAAAGAGAGGAAGGTAGAGTTGACAGACACGTGGGTAAATTCTGGTATGCCTCTCTTTCGCCACTTTTTCACCAGTACGAACGTCGACTTCATTTGTTTTGATCAGCTCCAGAGAGTAATCAACTATCCGACCTCGAAATGAGCAAGACGGCCTATATCGAATCGTTGTGCTGGACAGAAGAAGAGGGGACTTCAAAGGTTGTCGGCCCAGCTTCAAATCGTGTCGTACGTATAACTTCACTCTAATCTTTGCTTCCTATTGACGTCGATCGCTAACGAACCATCGTACACACAGAACGCAACACACCCATTATTCAACCTCACGATCACGCATACGGAAGCGATAGTTGGGCATTTTTATAAGCAGACGGTTCCGAAGCATGCGTTCGCCAAGAAGCAGGCTCAACAGGCAAAGGAAAAGGCAGAGAAATCAAGGCAGAAGTCTGAGCAGGCTGCGTCTTCGAGTTGAGTTCGTGGCGGGTCAGCGGGCTGTCACTTCCCTCATGATTAACTCGACTTGGTGGCTGGGTCACAGGATTTGTAGGTTGTTTTGGGTTCTACAGTATGACCGGATTGACTACTACGATCAGAGATTCATACGGGATATTAGTTTGGGTACTGTGCGGATGTACATAGTGTATTCACTTAAGGCCGCTGTACTCGTTGTGGTGGTGGTTTCGTTCTCCGTCAACAGTTATTGCTAGCTCTCTTAGGCTGCTAGTACATGGACATTGCTCCATCTTCTTTTGAGACCAAATCCGAGAGGGGTTGTTTCCCCCCTCTACTTCGATCCCTTCGCCCCCCGTGGTCTCGCATGTATATTATATGATTACTGAGGGCTAGTCTCGCAATACGTAGCTAGCTATATGTCAAACCCCGCAAATTCTTATATGGGAGCTCAGCTACCCGAGACCACTCTAAAGTTCTACTGTCAATGACAAAACCCAGTTCAAAGGATCTGCGCCGCGTTCGCCTTCACCGACTCCTCCAGCGTAACGTATCTATCCCTCCCCAAAGCCTTCAGCAGCTCCAAGCTACGGTCCCTCCCCTCAATGGTACTCAGATTTTTCGCCTCATCAGGAATATTCTCCGGCCACGAACGTTCAGGGTAGGCATTGCGCAAAATGTCGAGGATAGCGCTCCAGTTATATGTCTCCGAGTAGGCGAAGATGCGCTCGGACTTGACGGTCGGGTTGATCAGAGCGGCGATGTGAAGACGGGAAGCATCGACGACATCGACGAACCAGTCTATAGTATAACAGGTGAAGCTGTAATTAGAGATATATGTCACGTATGATGATGGACAGGTAGGACTTACAAGGCGCCGCTCCTGGCTTCTTCAGAATGTCGTAGTCTCCCTTCAGCAGCGCCCTCATCCACGTCAAAGTCTCCGACGACAGACTCTCGTGCAACGCCGCTCCAAAGGTGACAGATGGCAAGACCGTACTAAACTCGAAGTGGGGCTTCTCCTCCTCCACGAACTTCCAACAAGCCTTCTCCGCCTCCGTCTTACTCGCCGCATACACGAGATACTTTCGATCGTCCTCGTACGGTGGAGGCGCCCACGCGAGCTTGCTGGCGAGGTCGTTCCAGGAGTCGGTGGGGACGCTGTACGGAGTGTTGGATTGCCCGAAGCCAGTGGTGATGGCGGAAGAGGTGTATACTACGCGTTTGACGGAAGGTTCGCGGGATGCTGATTTGAGGATGTTGAGAGCGCCGGTAATGGTCTCGGGGATGACGACGTTCGGGTCTGGCGAGAAAGAAACGTTGGAGGCGAGGTGGGCCACCCCGCTTACGCCTAAGTAAACGAACAAAACAATGTTAGCTTGAGCTGCAGAATTGTATCACACCCTACATGGATATTGGATAGGGGGCATACTACTGACCTTTCACGGCTTCATCAAAGGCTCCGTCAGCGTTCATGTGGGGAACGACAAAAAGCTCGAACTTCCCGGGTCCGTACTTCTTGTCGAAGAGCTCTTTGACCCATTGTGCGCGAGATGCGTCGCGGACGGTTCCACGGACTTTGTAGCCTGCAAGCAGGAGCTGCTCGGCGGTCTGGGAACCTATGTAGCCGTTGACACCGGTGACGAGAACTGTAGAGCCTTCAGGGATCGCGAGAGCAGACATGGGTGGGGATATGATGGTTGTTGAATGTGAGAGATTGATAGTAGTTGTGTCGAGGGCTGAGAATGGAGTTTGAGGATGGATGGTCTTCAGCAGACATCAGGCAGTATTTAAGTAAACGGACTGATGTGCTGAAGGTGGACCTCGTCCTATGTTTCTGATCCACATCTTGAGTCTTTAGTCAGGTATGTCCTTTGTCAGGCTCTGTAGACTCTGGTGGACCTTCAGCAAATGCAATTGCGTCGTCAGAAATCCGACACGGAGACGCCAGTATGGGACGTCTGTGCTGACCGAGCAATTGATGAGGTAACCAAGATGAGTCGTCCAGCCCTTGCAGTGCGCCAGTAAAATGCTGCAATAGTGATAAAAAGCTGAGCAGCGGCTTCAGACTCAGCCTAATTGGGGACCGTGGTTTCAAGTTTAAATTAAATGCAGTAAAGCAAAAACCAAGCAAAGACACAGACGAACTTGAAGGCGCAAGCGACTCAGGCACAAGTCTGAATCAAGCACCTGCTAGTTCAAGTTTTCCAAGCATGATCCCCAGCAAGATAGTTTCCGTCAGGGGGGCATCGTACAGTGAACCGGTTTGAGTGTGGCTCGGGAACTTGGAAGGACACAAAACGCCGGCTCCGCGCTCGCCACACCTTTGTTCACTCGAAGCGGATGATGGCAACCGAAATCACGCTGCCACGCGACACGATCGCCATTTCGGGCGTTGCTCAGTGCCACCACTTCCCTGTCTTCGCTTGTTTTGTCTCTGAGATCGCACGACCATTCCTTCTTGCTTGTTTTCTTTCCTGCTTTAACTATAACCTGTTCTCGGTGCTTTGGGTACGAACTGTTCTGTGTGCTTCAGGCTACACGTAATCGAGAACTGAGACAAGTCGTAATAATCAGATCCTGTGGACACGCATTGACTCGGGACGCCCGACGCGTATCCATCCAATCATTCACCCGACGCGCCTCTGAGTCCTCACCCGAAGTCTTCACCCACTCCCAACCACAGACCAGCAAGCCAAAATAATCACGATGCCAGTAGACGACTCAGACCCCTTCCAATCCTCGACCCGCCCCCCCCGTTCCCAATCCAAAAACAACCCTTCTCGTTTCCTCTCCGTCTCCACCTCCACCCGCCCCAACTCCAAATCTTCATCAGGCCACCATAGCAGCATCAAACGTAACCGGTCCGCTACATCTCTACGCGATTCGATATCTGGGAACGGCGATTCTCTCGAGGCTTTGGTAGGATTGGGCGGAGGCGGAGGAGGGGGTGGTGGAGGTGGGGCAGGTGGAGGAGGAAGCAGGTTCTCGTTGGCGCATGAGTTGGCTGTTGCGCTATTGCCGGAACCGAGTGCGGGGTCGAAGATGCTCGCGGAGGAGTTTGGGATCGAGTATGACGAGGGCGCGGAGGGCATTGACGGAGATGGGGTCGTGTCTAGTCCTTCTGCTGGGACCGTTGTACCTGCCGCTGATGAAAGCCAGGGTCATGAGGTCGAAGCCATCCAGGCGGCCGATGTTGAAGGTGGTGTTGATGGTTCAGGCCTTGGAGGAGAGACACTTGAGGTCGCACTCGGAACGCCACACTCTACTTCGATGTCAACACTTTCTTCGCCTGGGGGAGGTGCTCTCGGCTCAAGGGACATAAACAGGGATGTCGATCCTTCGTTTGGAAGCCCCGTGCGCTCGTCTTCTACACCACGTCGAGGCTCGGGACCTCCGCAACCGGATGCGATGGCGATATTATCGCAGAGTTTGGAGAGCACGGAGAAGTTCCTCGATCATCTTCGTCGACTGGATACAGACTCCTACGCCACTGCTACGTCTCCTTCTTTCCCTGGATCAGCCTCTCATCGTCCGTCGTCTTCGATCACTTCGATTTCGGGGTTGCCTACTTCGTCTGGTCCTGGCGGAGGGCAACAGGCTTTAGAAAACATCACCCTCGATATGATTAGAAAGATAGAGGAGACGACGAGGAATAGGGAGGAGCAGGTGCGGGAACTGTTGGAGTACGAGAGGGAATTCAGGAGGATTGCGGGTGAGGCTGGTGGGAACGATGCCCTTGCGAGCCTCGACGAATTGGACCCAGTGGAAGACCTGATGGACAACCCCGCCCCTACTACACCTGGTGTAACCGGCGGAGGACACGCGAGGACCGGCTCTGTGGTGAACGGATTACAGAGAGCGGGGACGCTGGATAGTCTGCCGGAAGAGAACTCGGGCGACTGGGAGGTCGATCCGGATCAGCATATGAGGGAGGATGAAGAGGAGAGGGAGAGGGAGGAGGATCCGTACGATTTGGACGGGGATCGCGAGTTGACGCTCGAGGACCTGGACAGGCAGACGGAGCATGGGGGAGACGATCCGACGTTCCTTACTTCGCCCACGCCCGCTCAGACGTCGTTCTCGGAATCAGAACTTCAACCGCGTTCACGCTCTCACACACGCGGCCAGAACTCATTGCATCTGCCGCCTCCGCCACCGATAACTCAGCCACTCACGCCAGCTAAAACGATTCCCCAACTTGCGCATCTGAGGACCTGTACGGCGTCTCTCATTAGCAGCCTTTCGACGATTTCGGAGCATGCACAGGTGAACGGCGCGAAGACGACGGATGCAGGACGGAAGATCAGGGCGCTGAAGAATAAGCTGGGTGGGTGGAGACAGGAGTGGGAGACGGCGGAGAGGAGCAGGGTGAGGATTGAGAGATGGGATGCTGGGTTGGCTGATGGAGATGCACTCGTTGGGGGCGGCGGGAGTGGGAGCGCGACGCCGGTGAAGACGAGAAGGGTGGATGGGCGAGCGTTCGTCAAGGAGCATTTGGAGGCGTTTGAGAAGGCGCTGGTGGAGGCGAATGTGAAGACGCAGGCGATCATGGCAGCTTCTTAGATGTGTTCTGCTTACCTCAGTTCAGGTGGCTCTTTTTCGTTCGGTCATGATTGCTAGCCTTCCACTCACTATATCACGGATACTTCTTCAGGTCTCAACCGTCTTGCTCGATCACGACGACGACGATATATCCCCTCCATACTTTCACTCTTTTCTTTCGTCGTCGAATATCTAAAGGTTTCTCAAGGTTCACGTTTACAATTACACTTACAGCGCTGTTCTGCACACTACTACAATCCTTGACTTATATGCATCCATAGTCTCTCTTTTCTTACTCTCCTCTCCTCGTCCATTTTTCTACGCCGCACAACGTATACGTTTCTCTTATGATGACCTTCACTCTTTCCGTGCTCATATTTCTTTGATCTGGTGTTCAAACCACTTTACAGCTTCGGGGTACATACTAGGGTACATCTGTAGCATGAGGTGCGCGAATACATGGATATCCAACCGTCTGTTGTTTTCCCCCGGATTTGCACCCCCATCGGATTTATGCTGTGATTTTTTCAATTCTCTGTTGACCGACTCGCTAATGGTGTGTGGTTCCGAAGCGATGGCGGCTAGAAGTTCGCCGTCGTAACGATGGACTGACAGCCTTGATCATGAAGAATGGTGAAAGCTGTCAAACAAACAACTCCAGTTTACGGCTTGCACCTTTTCCACAACATGTTCCCCTTCGTTATCCATCGGAGGCCTTTCCTGAAATTTCTTTCACGGACCAGTGCGCGCAGCGTGCGGCAGTGCGAGTGGGTTCAATGGGTTCTGGTCGCTGCGTACAAACGTAATGGGCAACTTTATTGCGTGAGAAAGTGCGGTGAGCGCGTGTAAGGCTCCTGAGCCTCGAGCGTCCTGTCGACGCCCTCGTCGCTTCTCCCCCCATCCCGCTCGCTTTCTGTCATTTTCTCCCTGCGTACCATCTTCGTGCTCTTCGCTTCTGCCTTTGTCGCGCGTCAGAACGCTGCTCCTTTCGTTTCACTTTTTACTCTCAACCGCCACCACCAGCAACACGCAATCAGAACCTTACTCTTGACTTGAACATAATTTTTGCGATTTTTTAACTTGGCTTTTATACCTATTTTGTCTACACAAGTCCAAGTCCGACATCTACTGCTGCTGTTGTCGTCAATTTGACGCTAACAGGAGAAACCGTAACGAACCGATACGCACGACAGGACAGAGCCAAGCACACGACCGGGCGGTAATTACAATACATGGCTCAACCTGTTTTCGACGAGCATCCGCTAGAACAGTATCTGAAGCGTGCGTCTCATTCCGTTGTACTCACATATCTGAAGGCTGACTTCTGTTCTAATGGCGTGCAGAAACGGGAGAGGGCGTCGAGTTGATGCCCGGGACTATGTCCGACTTGCCTTTTCCACAATCGGAGGACGAGGAGGACGAGGATGAGAATGGAGTCGAAGTAAAAGGGGAGGGCGTAGAGGGGGACGATAGGTTCTTTGGGTTGTTGCATCTACTTCCGCCAGCCATGATCCAGTTCGTTGAGGTGCGTTCTTCGTTTCTTGTGAAGCCAAGGCGACCGCGTACGCGAAGACTTCGGCCGTCCTCCGTCCTCTTGAGCAATTCTAAGAATATCCTACGACACGTCCCAATCAGTCGCACAATACGTCAGCTCTTCCCTCAGAACGCTTGATATTAATATGCATCCTCACCTTCCTAGACCCTACTATCCGCGTCAAAGCATGCCCTCCCCAACCGCGAATTCGCAGAACGCTTCAAATACGTCGTCATCTCCTCTTCCCTCCTCTCCCCCTCCCTCTCTACCCCCGCAACCGCCTCCCGCCGCTCATGGCCACCCTCCCAAACACCGCCCGCCCTCCACCTCACCGGTCCATCCTACCCATCCACCCTATCACGCCGAGCCCAAGCCCAAGCACACTCAAGATCTGCTTCCGACTCCTCATATTCACATATACCCGGTGGTGCTGGCTTTGGCGGAGGCTCGAGCTTGCCGATAACGAATTGGAGTGTGGTGTTGGCGGCGGTGGCGGTTATGGCGTTGCTTTGTGGATCGTTGCTTTTTGTGGTGTTGTTTGGGACGGCGGCGTATGTTATGAGAGGACAGACGGTGCAAGGGCATGGAGTCGGTACTCCGGCGAGCAAGCCTGATGTCGTTGAACCTGTGAGTCCACGTCCTCAGCAGCTTCACGGCTTATTGGGATAGTGGCCCGGACCCCTATTAGACTTTGCGGTCCCTTCGCTTTGCTTTTGCGGCCATTGTGGAGATGAACACTTGCTGACGATGATGCCTTCTTCGTGTGATCCGTCACGATGCAATGCGGTGCGGCTTCTTTTGTTGGTTTGGCAGACATTCACCGCTCTCAACGAACTCATCAATGCGAGCGATCTATGGGACTCGGCTGTCCAGGAGGCAATCACTATACTTGAGAAAGATGAGCGGGGGTACGTCACATTTTTCGCCACCTTTTTCCTTCAATTTAGTTTCTTCATTGCTCAATCAACCACTGTACTGGCATGATTCCTTTCACGTCGACAAATTCATTCTACCTAGGCCGTCTTCTCCCTCAACGTCCACTTCTCTCCGCGTTGCGCTGCACACAACGCTGCACATGACCGAATCCCAATCTGAAAACGTCCGCCAACTCCTATCCGCGCTCGCCTCCCACACCGAACTCGCCCAACTGTCAGAGATGTACGCCCCTCCATCCCCCGTCCGCGCTTCTTTCAACACACTCGATTCCCTCTCCCCCTCCGGACCTTCGTTCGACTCAGCCTCGGACAATGAAAAGAAGAGACGGTCATGGAGAGGCGGAGAGACGGGGCAGATCGCTGGTAATGGATGGGTCACGAGCACAAGACCGATGACGCTGCCGATGACACGGAAACGGACGAGGACGCTCTCTGCGCCAGAAGGAAGTAACTTAGCGACGAAAGCAAATAGGGCTTCGTGGGCTGCGGGGAGTAGTAGTTATACGGCGCTGGCGGAGGCGGGGAGTCCGTCGAAGCAGGTGTTGAAGAGGAGGGAGAAGAGGAGGTCGGATTTGAGCGCCCTTCTGGATAGTTCTTCGTTCTCTGCGTCATCATCGAGTTTGGCTGTGGGTGCGGGTCTGGGTTTGGGTTTGGGGAGCACGTCGGCCCCGGCTTCGCCCTTGCCTGATGTCGAGGAGCTGGAAGAGGGGAACGAGACTTCGTCATCATCAGCATCGGAGAAGGCACCACCATCTGGTTCGGGCTCGACTCTGGGTCCGCCGAGGTTGACACCGATAATGGGTGGAGGGAAGTCCTTGCCTGTCACGCCTGATGAGAGGGATGGAGATGTTGTGGCCGGTGCGTTTGGAGCTGCGGCGTTGGAGATGAAGAGAAATAGACGGAGCGGAGGATTGGACATGGTCAAACGGGCCAGAGATTCCGGATCGTCTCAAGGCTCTGGTTCAGGGTCCGGAACGTTTCCCTTTGGATCGCCTACGAGTTCGCAGGAATCGCCGGTGCATAAACGTCACTCTAAAGCCTTTTATGGACCTCAGTCTTCGCCACGAGCATCAGATAAACGACTTTCGATGCTGACGTTCCCGTCGGCGCGTGCAAGTGGCCAGTCGCATACATCCTCCATGACCTCGTCTTCCCGCTTCACCTCCCTCCATCCAGCCAATTCGTCCCGTAATTCCGTACTGTCGCCCTCTTCGACGCATTCTACGACGATACATCAAGCGCAACCTAGGCACCCGCTGTCGCTCTCTACCCTGCACAATGCTCTCCAATCCGCGCTCTCTTCCAAACGTTATGCCGCGTCTCATCTTCTCGCCCTGCGGTTTGTGGAAGAAGACGACTATGAAGATGTGTATTGGGAGGATGTGAGGAGCGTGATGGGATTATTGACGAGCGCGTTAGCGGGTGCGGTCGTGGGACTATGTCAAGTTCTGGACGAGGTAGAAGGCCAGAGACTTCGTGACCAGACGCCCAGTCCCGCTCTGGACGGACCAATCCAACCATTCCGACACAGTCGCAGTCACCTCGCATCATACTTCAGTGGCGAAGACGCCGACGACTCGGACAACGAGGCCCAACTCGCGAACGGGAACGGTTCGGCGTTCCAGGGTGGTCTAGCGGCGTCCGCTGCGGCAAAGTTCGCGCCCACTCCGTCTTCGTTGAACTCGATCAACAGGGTCATTTCGAGAAAGCGGACGATGGAGGAGATGAGGGATTTCGCGCCGGTCCCGAGTCATCTTGCGAGGTTTGCGGAACATGTGGATGCGATCTCGGGGGCGTTGCACGATGCGCATATGCAGCTCGAGCTTTGTGTGGGTGCGCTGAGCGATGGAGAAGGCGATGGAGAGGCTGAGGGTGTGTCTCCGACTGAGGGTACAGATGCGCAGGGCCACGGTGGCGAGCAGCAGCAGCAGCAGCACGAAGCGCTGGAGGCTTATGAGCGACTCCGTCGTGAGCTCGGACTTGCACTTCGGGAATGTGAACGCGGTCGGGAACGACTCCTCGAGATCGTCTCTCCTCGTCACCCTCATTTAGGCTCTCATTCCAAGTCTTCGTCGACCTCTGAGGATGAAGTCCCTGCACTAGGACCCGACGCTGGTAGCGAAGACTTGGACTCCGACCGGCCACACTCCATCGGATTCCCGAAGATGCCTGTCACCGGAGATGGGGATGCAGTCTTGGTGGAGGGCCACCAGCCTGAACTCGACCATGGTCTAGGACTCAAGTTGGGCGGCGAGGACGAAGATGGAGAGCTTTCTATCCCGATGCCGATCGAACAGGTATTCGAGGCGGAGAGTTCGGTGGGGAAATTTACGAGGGAGAGGAGCAAGTTGAGTAGGGAGGAGAGGATCAAGCTTGCGAAGGCGAGGAGGGAGAGCGGTGGGTCGGTGGCCGGCATCATGGGCTCTCTGGACTCAAATGATGCTTCGCTTGACGGAGAGGGTGAGGGAAGTGGCAGGAGGGAGAGATGGGGTCCTGGAGGCGAGGTAGTGCAGGAGCTGAAAGATGTGATATGGAAGGTGGGAGAGAAGAGGAGGAAGATGGCTGAGGCTTCTAATGGGACTCAGGCTCGTGATGAAAGAAGGGAGAGGGGCGCCTCGATGGACGCGGGGAAGCTATTTAGGTCTGCTGCTCCAGGTGTAGGCAGCTCGGTCTCTGTTCCCAGTAGACCCGTGTCGGAAGCTTTCGTCGGTTCGCCTGGACAGGGTCTTGGGTTCTTCACGTCATCAACAGCTGCAGAGTCGGACTCTGCTCTGCAACCAGAGTTGACTCTGCGGCTCAATGGACTAAGTCTTGAGCCTGATGTTCTCGAGGCGGACGAAGATGATGAGACCACATCGTCCTCGTCAATCACCATCAACGGTCATGGTGGCCCTCCCTCAATTTCGATACCCATACTTGAGCAGGACGAAGGGGCGGATGAGGGTGTTACCATTGTTGTGGATGATGACGCATCATGACACTCATGACCGGGGGCCACCTACTCGCTCGCGCGCCTTTCTCTCTTCCTCGTCACGTATTCTCGTGAGTATATAGCCCCCATCTCTTCATTATCTTCTCCATTGTTTCTGTACCTGTCTTGTGCACCTCCTACTTGGACTCTGCTCTCGTCCCATATATGTCTTGCTCTCCCGCTTTTGATCGCTCACTCGGAACACCCACACACTACTATCCCCTTTGCGCCGTACGGTTCATTTCCCTTCCACCTATGCCTCGCCCTATCTCTCTGTCTCTCCGCATGATCTCTCACCACCACATAGCACCACATCGTCCCGCAAGTCTACATATCACACAATCTACCTCTGAATCTCATATTTGCATACCACGTACTTACACCCAAACTCTGCAAACGCGGACTGTTTCTCCCCGAACTACCTTCACTAGCTCACCCTTGTGCCCAACCAAGTACTTATTTCGTGCGACGTGGCGCACCGTCTTATATATCTTAATATGCCTTATTCATTATTCCTCACTTTCTTTATTTCTTCGTTACCGCGCGATCATTCGCGCATCGTTTGGATACGCTGGCATTGGTTCAGTATTGTTATCTGTTAATCATTGTCTCTATAATTCAAACATTCTAGTTGTTAGAGAGTCGTGCTTGTGCTCGCGCTACTAGCCATTGTTCGTGAAGATACTGTAGTACTTCAATGCGATAGTACTTCCTGCCTTCCTTCTTCCGACATCGGGTCCCATCCAAGAGTCATCGTTGGGACAGACTAAACATTCGACACAGATAATTTGTCTGAGCCGGTGTTCGAACTGGACTACCTCATAAGCACATTGCAAAGAGAGTTTCCGGGGACGGGGAAGACGACGGTATGATGTATGAGGTCAAAGAGGGCGACAGCGGGAGGGATAGCGAGGTAGCAAACGACGGTCGGTACGCAGCCAATCTGTGGAACAAGATGGATATAGTAGTTCGGCACTGCGAATTCTCCCATTCAGAACCCTCTTTTTGCTACACAATAGGTTTGAGATTGAAGAAAATCATAAGAGATTATCTTGCTCAGTTGTCAAACCTCACCACTTGCGCGTTCGTAACGCATACGTGACCTGTTTCGTCAAATGCCACTTGTCTCTGAAAGCGGCCGTCACTACGCCCTCTGGATTGTTTCTCGGGTGTAGTCGTCCGTGCAACGCTGTTGACGAAATCTGCCCCTTTATCTGCCGTATACGCTCCAAAGCCTGAGCGGCGGAAGGGCGTTTTTTGGGGTTCGTGTGGCTCATTCTGCGGATGAGTGGTTTGAATGCTTCGAAGTCGCCTGCGAACGGCTAAGAATCCGATGGGGAGAAAGCAAATCAGAGAGACTCAGGCTTGGGTGGATATCCCACTAATGCACCGGCAGGACCAACCTCGAGTAGGTGCTTCTCAAAGACCTTCCCCAGTGTATACAGATCCGGCTTGAATGCATCGTAAGGCTGTATAGGTCTCATCGACGTCTCCGGAGCATGTATACAAGCCTTCGAGATGACCCTGATGGTTTTATCTTCTCTGGGTCCGCTGCTGTCGAATTTGATGGACTCGCCAAAGTCGATGAAGTAGTATCTGACGCCCCCGACCCGGGTGCGAGTTCGAGTACCGCTGAATGGGCGGCCTTGGGCGTCACAGTAGCCGTCTGCGTGGAAGCCGCGCGGGTACATGTTACCGGGATCCATGACGATGTTACTCATGCTGCAGTCTCTGTCAGATATGGTCGTATTGTTAGGTTAGGTCTAAGTAGTAGGCATTCTGTCTGAGCTGGTTACCTGTGTGCAACGCCGACTTCATGCAGAAAGGCCAAGCCCTAGCGTAGCGTCAGAACCATAGGCCTGAGGTTGTCATGCGGATTAGCAAAGGTCACGCAAGCGTACCTCCAATGTCTGTTCCATGAAGTCCACCCCCTCGCCCACTGTGTCAAACTCTGGCGCAGTCAACTCCAAATATAATGGAAACACCATGAACAACGAATCCGTCGTGCGTAGTGTGTCTAGCAACGGCAATGCATGGTTGCGCGGATCATGTGAAAGGTCGTCCGAAGAGAGGAAAGTATTCACTTCCAGCTCCTTCGACTTGGTTAGGAGCGGAACCCTCTTCAACATGACTCTGCGTCCGTCGGCTATGCGCATGGCGTCCATGACTTTGCATCCGTAAGCCTCCTGTATTTGCTGTTAGCAAAGACATACAACATACAATTGGGATAAAACGGCTTACAGAATGGACAACGGCATCCTCGCATCGACCATATGGACGTCTGACTTTACGAGTGTTGCTCGTCGAAGTCCAGGAAGGAATCCACCCAGGACGAAACCGAGGGCGAATCATGTAGCCTTTCGACTCGAGCCACGGCTGAATATGAGTCCATTGGTACTCCCATGCACGAAGAGCGAAAGTATCGTCGACGAAATTATCATTCTTGGACTCCGAGTGATTACTCGACGAGGAAAGAAGTTCGGGATGAGCCTTCAGGACGTCGTCGTGCTCTAGCCATCCGGGCCAAGGGAGATCAGCTAGTTGCAACTGCCTCCCATGGAAATTAGAGGAGTTGTGACGAGCTATCTGCCATGAGCAATGCATATCTGTTACGTCGAACAGTGAATGTCGAGGTTTACTAGGTGAATAAAGACATTCCGTGAGAAGACGAGGGTCAGCGGTTCAGCGCCCAGCTCAAGAGGGCTCCACGGCCAGTGATTCGGGAAGCTCAACGAGCGTGAAAATGACGTTCATAGCAGAGCCAATAAGCAAGAGCCCTTTCTTTATGGGAAAATAACCTTGCAATGATAGAAACCTCTTTGTGACCTGCTGCCGGGTGAGAGGTTGGTGAGAGGAACGCCAGGGTCATGCCGGTGGAAGACCATTGCAATTTGAATTTGCAGAATGTTAACTGAATGCGCCAGGCTCCGGGATTCCCCGTCTGCTTGTGTACCACAACCAGTCCTTGTATCAATCCCCAACGTCAAGCTATCTACTAAGTACTAAGTGCTTGGGACCTTGCCCGTTCTGACCCAAGCGCGGACATCGATTGGTTCCGATTATATCCAATGGGACGCTAGCCCCGCACGCCGCATCCCGCAAGACGTCAAAGAGTTCGAGCATGGAGGTTGAGACCATAGTAAAATATACGATTTCCTCGCTCATTGTTGCTCGCGTTGGGGTGGATGACAAACGGGAGCACAGGTCGATTCTCAGTCGTCTGTGGTCTGTTCTAACGGCATGACGCGTCGCGTCGCGTCCCGATCACACTAGTCGTGTCAATACCTATTATATAGATCACAACTTGCAAACACCCGAATCAATCATTCCTTCGTCAATCCCCAAGAATTCCGAGTGACCAATCGATTGCAATCGTACACTGCACAACGTACGCAGAGAACTCAGGAAGAATGACTGACTGTAACTCAGACAGGACAGGGATAAAACATCAAAAAAAAAGGAAGAACAGAATAAAGGCAAGAAAGTGGGCAGATTCCAACAAATGGGAAACAGAGGGGAAATGACAACAGACATAGGAGCAAAGCGAGGAAAGAAAAAGTATGAGGGAACGGAGGGAGACAGAAGAGATGGGAGAAGAGGAGAGGAGGCAGTAAATATCAGAATGGGATGGGATAAGATTCGGTGAAAGAGAGAACAGGTGGCAAGACTACTCGAGAGCACAGGATAACAAGGGACGCATGGAATTGTACTGTAATAGCGCAGAACGACAGGGTTGGAGGACCGTGTTGGGATGGTCAAGTGGGTGGGTGGAGAGTCGTGGAAATAGGGGCACTGGGCAGAGAGGGGTGGCGGGCAAGAGGGTGGCGGAGAAGTGGCAGGGGTAGACGTGACGATTAGATCAAACAGGGGCTATCTATGTAAATGAGCTGAGAGTCAGAGAAGCAGATAATTGAGAAAGATATCCACAAGGAAGAAGGCAACGGCAATATGTGACAAAATGGGAAGGCAGGATGATAAATAAAAGTGTCGAAGATCCGAAAGCAGGAAGTGAGTTGCATACGAAGAAAACGCCAAAAAAAGTTGACGACGAACAAGGAGAATAAAGAGGGAAAAAAAAACTCCTCGACAACCCTAAGTTACCCGACAGCGAGACGTACCAAGAAAGTAGAACAAGAGACAGTGAGGGGTGATTACGGAGACAAGGATGGATAAAGGAGCAACACTGACCGCGACTGATCAGCATAGGCGAACGAAACCGAAAGAGCTGGCGAAATTATATGCAGACCGAACGACCCGAACAATTCACGATATCACGATGCAGGCAACAATGTACCGATACCTACAACCCATTGTCCCATAACCGACGAAACCTAGAACAGGCCGCCTCGTCCTCACTTCATCGTCGAGATCCCCAAGTCATCCGCGTTCACCCAACTCGAGAATTCTCCAAACGAGTCCGTATCAAAAGTCAGGTCGGGGAACTCCAAGAAGTCATTGTTCGAAAACAGACTGCTCAGGTCACCGTTCACCCCTCCTGCACCGCCACCCAAATCCATACCCATACCAAAACCACCAGCACCCGCGCCACCTCCCATACCCCCAGCACCTGGGCCTGGACCACCCGACCCTGGTGGACCCGTCGTCGAAGCTGTGGCTGGTCGAGTCGGTGGTCCGCCCATACCGCCGCCAGTGCCGTTCAGAAGAGCAGAAGGTGAAGGCGCAGACATGCTCGGCGGTGCGCTTGCAGGCGTCGGAGGTTGCTGCTGCTGCTGTTGATGCTGCTGAGGATTTTGAGGGCCGCCGTTGTTGTGGAGTCCAGAAGGACCACCTGGACCGCCACTACCCATCTCCTCGCCGTCAGGCTTCTTGTTCTGCCCCTGTCCACCTTGCCCTTGTCCTTGCCCTGGCATTGGCTGATTTGGTGGATGCATTCCGCCAGGCATGGGTCCCTTCTGTTGTTGCTGTTGAGGCGGCATACGTCCGGGTTGGGGAGGTCTAGGCTGTTGGCCAGTTTGCATCATATGGTTGAAATCACTCGACGAGGGTGAGCCTGAGTTCATGCTTTGTATCATCCCTTGGAGACCGCCCTGGTTCAGGCCGCCCTGGTTCAAACCGTGCTTGTGAATGTTAACCATCTCGTTCCGATACTGCTGTGGCCCTGGGAACTGCATCTACGAACCAACGACCTGTGAGTGTTCACGAAGTACGATATACCACAGTGGAGATAACACACCGGTTGGCCCTGCTGCATTCCCTGCTGCATCATCCCCGGAGCTCCAGGATGCGGCGCCATCGAAGGACTCATCGCATGCATCGGTGCACCAATGTTAGGCGGTAGCCCCATCCCACCTCCGATCCCCATACCCCCACCTACACCTGCCATCGCTCCCGACTGCATCTTCATCATATGTTGTGGACCAGGTTGCCCAGCGAATGCCGGCATGCCCGGCTGCTGCTGTTGACCACCAGGCCCACCCATCTGTCCTCCCGGACCTCCCATCTGACCTGGCCCGGGTCCTGGCCCACCTGGATGTTGTCGAATGCCGTTTGGCATGCCGCCGGGTGGAAGACCGTTTGACATACCCTGCGGACCTGGACCGCCGGGAGGTGCGAAAGGGCCGCCCATTGGCTGCATAGGCTGCATCGGAGGCTGCTCTGCGGGATTAGGCGTTCGTCGAACCCTTTTACGTTCAGGCGGTGATGCGTCCGTTCGTGGAAGTTGTTCGTGCTGTGTAAAGCAAAAACAAGAGAAATATTAACTCGAGTACTTCCTTGCGCGTAGAAGAGTAGTTTGTGGAGAATAGAGACGATACCTCTTCGCCTGGCGATGTGCTACTCCGTTTCGAGCCTCGTTGCTGTGGAGGATACGGTTGTGGTATATTCCCTGGCCCAAGTTGTTGCTGAGTCTGCTGTGGTGTCCGGTTCGGTGGCGGTTGCATATGACCCGATGGACCCGGTTGAGAATTCTGCGCCATCCCGTTCTTCGCTCGTATCCGCCGTGCGATGGTCAATACCTTGTTCTGTTTCACCACAAGTAATTAATATCGAACCAGCAGGAAAAGTCGGCACCCTCGTGGCCGAACGACAGCACGAACGAATGACGCACCATCTCATCGACGGTCAAAACAGACGCGTCCTTCTCGCCTATACCCGCTTCCAACTTCGCCGCACCCATTAACTCCGGCGAGATTGCCGAGAAATCTTTAGCGATCTGTGCTTCACTCGGGTTGAACGTCCTCATCGACGGACTCTGTGGGACATGCATTCCGCCGTGACCCTGCGAAGAAGGTGTGTCCTGCCGACTGGGCGGTCTCCCGCCATGCGAACCACTGCCGCCGATCTGCGCAAACGTTTGTGTTGGCGTCGGGTGTGCTGAACCGATCTGTTGCTGAGACTGCTGCTGCTGCTGAGGACCCTGAGGGTGAGGACCTGGACCATTCGGAGGTGGCATGCCGCCCATGGGCCGATTTGCGTGATGCATATGCGGCGTCTGAGGAGCTGTTCCGTGTGGCGGTTGACCTTGTTGGCTCGGATGTGGTGATGGTGCCATGGTAGGTGACTGGAAAGGTTGACCTGCGCCGTTCGGCGGTCCTCGATGTTGTGGTCCGCCCTGCATCGGTGGTCCTCGTTGTGGTCCAGCTCCTGGGTGTCCTCCTGGACCAGGCTGTCCTGGCTGCTGCTGTGGCGGCGGTGGTGCGAAGTTTTGACCGGGTGCACTACCTGGTGGGCCTTGAGGTACGGGGATGCCGTTTGGCTGAGGCGCGCCGGGCGGCATTTGGAAGCCCGGAGGATTTGGTCCGGGGATGGGTGGCTGACCACCGGGAACGACGCCGTTCATCATCTGGCCGTTGGGAGGCGGGAGGCTGCCTGGTGGCGGTCGTGGGATGCCGTTGACTGCAGAAGGAGTAAAGCGAGGACCACCTGGTTGTTGTGCGTTTGGTGGCGCACCTGCTCGTTGGGCTTGTTGTTGCTGGAGGACTTGTTGACGCTGAAGTGGGTTCTGCACAGATGCGGAAGTAAAACGTGAGTTGGAAGCGCTCGTTTATTTTACAAAATGGAGACAAAAGGTTCAGAACAGTGTACTCGAGTCGGTGTGACTCGGGTGTACGTCTCCCAACGACGGCACCTTGCCGGTAAGACACTCCTTAATCGTTTATGGAATGCAACTCGCGAGAACCTGACCGAACGGGAAGAACAAAAGCATAAATACGCACCTGCACATAAAGCAATCCATCTTCTGAGCCTTGACCGCTGTTTTTCGCCTGGAAAAGGACCCAGAAGACACTCCACCACCTATAACATCGAAGGAAGCATGCGTGAGAACGTCGTATCGGATCGTATCGAGCAGTCAAGTGGGGGGCGCAAAGCAAAACGTAAAAAGTAACCAAAATAGCGAAGAAAAATGACGCACTCGAACAGAAGGCCCTGTGGCGCATTTATAGGCGGCTGAGGATCCGGAGAGATTTCTGCTTCGTTGACGAGTTCTTGAGCAGTCTTGTGGTACCCACGCTTCTTGCAGTAGTCGTAGATGTATATGTGGAACCTAAGCGATAGTAGCACCGACATTAGCCGAGCATGCTGAGGCTGAATAGAATTGACGACGAACATCTTATCACCTTCCCAAGAGACGCCATTTGATGGTGGGGAAGACTCTGAGGTCGGTGGCAGAGCTAGTTGTCTTTGCGGAGGAGCTGTGGCCATCTCTCACAGAGACAGCGACGATGAGAAAGACAGCGACGACGATGAAAGCGCCAACCGAGGTTATAGTGGTGATGGTCGAGGGGAAAGATGTGGCACGCTGTCCGTGACGGCGGTGAGAGGGAATGACGGGGAAGGGGATAGCGTGGGCGCCTATGTGTCAATGGGCTGGGCGCGTGGACGGAATAAGGCAGCTCGAGGGCGGTGGCGACAGATGTGACGACCGCTTCGGGGTTGCTGGGCGTTGTCGACGACGGCGACGGCGACGACGAGAGAGATGAGGGTGACGGTGACGGTGAAGAGGAAGGTGGTGAACCGGGCAGGACGGGAGTGGGAAGGGGTGGATGAATGCTGGCTCGCGCTTTCCACGCTCGAGCATGTCGTCGGCCCGCCAATCGATACAGCTCTCCCGGCCGAAGCCCGTCCGTGTCCGGCTCTTCCGGCCAAGCAAAAATAAAGAGCAGTGCGTAAAAATCAACAAAAAATACAGCAGGACAGTGCAGCAACTACAATACATGGCAGGCAAAATGTCAAACAAACAAGCGACGAACAGCGGCTATATGCTATTAGGGTCTTCGAACGACAGCGATCTGGAAGTCCCACCCCCCAACGAGATATTTCACCTCCACCAAACGCTTAATCTCCCTCCACCCACTGCTCACCTCCTCCTGCCCGTCAAGCGACGGCATCACGTAGATGAAGTCGGCCGGCGAGATCAATGATCTCAACAGAGAGCCCATAAGGAAGGCGATGAGTGCCACAATGATGACTGTCGATAGCGGATATGAAGCTCTCGTCCACGACCCGTTCCGTCGAGAAAGACTCTCGACTCCGGTCTCCCCGCTGACCCCCATGCCATTCCCATCATCAACGCTGCTCTGCAGAGATCCCTTCCGTTTGATGATGCTCCAACCTATTCCCAGAGGTGAACCCGTCCGAATCCCGCTCCTATTGCCAGGCCCTCCCGAACTGTCCGATGGTCCTGGCGGCGAAATCGAGGTGAACCGTGCGAGCGCGATAGAATATGGATACTGCAACGAATACGAGTTGAGGAATCCCAGGAATCCTTTCCCTCCACCGACTGCAGGTGATGGCAAAGGTAACTCCTGTGGCTTGACGCTGCTTGGAGGCGTATTCTGATTCGTTCGTACCCGATAAATAGGGGAAACGCATGGATGGCATAACAAACGTGGTAAACGGCATCATCGGCGATTTGAGACGGGATAGAGCCATGAGTTTCTCGCGTGACAGATGGAAACAGCGGAAGGAAAGGATGTGGGGTAGGATATCAAATTCTCACCTGACCCGATGCCTCGGGAAGACTCTCCGACGACGTGCTTCCGTCCTCCAAGAAGCCCTCTTTTGTCGTGTCTCCTGGTGTGTGCACGACGCTCGAGATGAGGGTGGAAGGGTCGAGGAGATGTTCCGAGATCCCGAGGGGTTTCGAGAGCTCAGTGGGCAGCTGGTCGTCCGGCGATGGGTTTGAATGCCTGTGAGATGGTCACGGGTTCATAATCAGGATGAAGTGAGAAGAAAACAAGGAGAAGGATAACGGAAGGAGATAGAAGATAGGGGATTTAGAAGTTAATTGGTGAGCGCAATCAGTACGAGCGCTGAGGCTGGGCGCTTGGGGCTTACGAACAATTCGCCATAGGCGTACCGCGTACCGCTGTTCTCCAATCAAAGGTGAAATGAAAACGCACTCACCTCGTAAGAACAGTCATCCTCGACACCCTGTCGTCTTGCAGCTCTTCTCTCCCCAAATTCGTCAACGACTCCTTCTCACCTTCCACTTTCACCACATTTCCCTCCACTGTCACCGTGACCCCGTCCTTCCCATCACCTGTTCCTCCTTTGATACTCTTTCTCCCGATCGTCCCAGCGCTCGCACTCGCCGTGGCGGTGGCATCTTTCTGGGCCAGTGGTCGAACTTCGAGCTCAACAACGGCTCCCTTCTCCTGTAAGTCTACCAACCATCTCGGCTTTGGCGGTGGTCCTCTCGTCTCCCCCGTCAACGGATCTTGCAACGTCGATATCTGCTGTTGAGCCTGTGCCGTTGGTAACGTCAACCTCAGCAGATGTCTTGGTGGGCTGTCGGTTGTGAGGCCGGAGGAATGCATAGGCGAAGAAGGGATGGTGTGCAGAGTATATGTCAGTGGTAGGATGTTATCTGTTGAGGTCGTTGAATCTGTTTTCTCGGTCGTACTGACATCGGTTGACGTGGAGGTAGAGGCTGCAGAGGGTGGACTGGTGGTGGACGAGGTGTCGGAGGAGGTAGCGGGACCAGTCAATGGAATCGGCTTTCCACTACTGCTGGCACCGTTGTATTGTATCCTTGACTTTAGCTTCACATCGTACCCTCCCTCGTAAAGCTTGGTATCGACGATTATCTCAGCGACCACCAGATCCGAATGATGTCGGACCTCTCCCCTCAGTGTGAACGCAGACTTTGAAGGTACATTGGTACCGGTGGAAGAAGTGGCAGAGGAAGAGGCTGCCTTCAACGCCGACTCGCTTGACCGTGCACGAATTGTTGAGGCCGAGATCGTCCGAGCCCTAGGTGCAGAACCAGGTAATAATGAAGAGCTTGACCCAGACGACACGGATAATGAATGTCCTCTTGTTGGACTGAGGCTCATCGTCGGTGCCGACGAAGATGGGGTCATCGTGATCGTCGAGTTGACACTAGCCGTTGAACTTGACGACAAAGACGAATCGAAGGAAGAGGTGATCGGAAACTCAGCATTAGATGGTCTGGGAGTAGCAGAGGGGTCGCCTATTGTGGGACTCGACGCGGGCGAAGCGACCAAGCCCGGTGAGGACGTCGATCCAGAGATAGCGGTACCCGCACTCGCCAAGGGACTGAGCAAGACCACACATCTATACACCTGTTCGTCAGGACTATACCTCGTCTCCACCAATACCCTCTTCTCGTCTTTCCTTCTCATCGTCCACCCCCCAGTCTCACCAGCTACCATACCGCTGCCGATCGCCGCCCCTTCAATCTGTAGCCCTCCTCCTTCTGCGCTCTTGTCCACAAAGACGACCCCCATGGTGGGCAGCCTCGTGAACGGTAGCGGCGCGACCTGTTTCATGTATGTCTCAAGGCCGAGAATGGCCTTGACGAACGTAGCGTTGTTCATGTTGTTCACAGCCGCAGGCACCGACCCTGCATAATCGACCGCGACGATCCTCGTACACCTCGTTGACGGGATCGCATACTTCTCGGTAGTATACGGGTCGAGTGTTTGGAGCACCCATCCATCCACCAACATTCTACCCACTGGCAATCCATATGGATTGTACTTCGTCGCGGCGAACCCTTTCGCATTCGCCGAATCGGGTGAGAACGATGCCGAGACAATGAATATCGCCGACCGTGACGGATCGGACAATGACATCGAAGACGAAGTCGCCGCAGGAATCTCCGCATCATTCCTCTTTCCCCGCGCTAACACACTCGCCACGTAAAAGCCCCTATCCCGGAAGGGAAACCCTCCTTTGCTAACCACAAATGCGGTATGACATTCCGCCCCGAAAGATTCCAAGAGTTGAGCACCGTCGAACCGATCGTCCCATCGTCTACGACAGTCATAAGAGGTTATGACAGCAGCAATCTCTTCCGCAGAAATACCTTCGATGACTTTCTCACCCTTGTGCACGGGGATGGAGGCTGAAACTTCGGGTTCGATCTTGCGGTGGACAGGGAAGCCTTTGTCGCTTACGAGCGTCCAGTCGTCGGACAAAGGGCGGGAATATGTGCGTTGGACGTAGGAAAGTGCTTCGAGTGCGTGTTGCATTGGTGGTTTGGACGGAGATGGACCAGAATCACCGCTAGATGTGGCGGGCGACATGGCTGCGATCGTCGATGAAGTCGTGCTCGCCGCTTGGTCCATGGCGAATGTGAAGTACCTCGCCAACGGACTCGGGAACTTGGGCGCCGCAGACGTCCATATCGAATTCCCCACCGCATTAGCCGCCGAATTTCCCGACGACTTGCCGTCCACACTCGGTGTTGACGAACCATCAGACCCTTCTGCCGCCCCCGACTCATCGCTACTCCACTCCGCTCTTCTCCTTCGTATGACACCGAGCACGGGAGGCTGGTCCAGCGGTATTCGTACGGGTTTTATGCGTTTCTGCTTACTGAGTGACTTCAGTTCGTGTTCCGGCAGCTCCTCCACGTCGACGATGACCTTCGCTCCATTTACCATCACGACACCTCTCTCCCTCCCAGGCCCCTTCCTCACAATAGCCATCAACCTCTCGTCACCCGCCAACACCGCATCATGCGTCAACGTCAACCATAGACCCCCTCCGCCAGAGGATAATCGGTGCCGTCGAAAGCAGGATATTGACTGTGGTGGGGGATCGACGACGATATCGAGCGAGGATGCCCATGTATCGATATCGCAACGGAGCTCACATTCGATGATGGGCATCGAATTCGACGGTGAATCTGGTTCAGGGAGGACCGCACTACCGGCGGTATTGACATTATCCGTCCCAGGAATCGTCCTCCGGGTCGTCGAGGCCTCATACTCGATTCTGAAACTCCCTCGCTCGTGATCATACCTCACCTCGTTCGCCCTCGCTCCTGCCAGCCTCGTTACCGTCGGCGGCCCGCCGCATTTGATCGCAAACTCGCCGATGCCGGCTAAAGCTGTGACCATCTGCTGAGGAATGGAGGCCTTGTTCGACCATCCTTTCGGATCGGACTGTTCGAGGAGGGTGAGAAGGGTGGTTGTCGGAGAGAGCGCCTCAATGGAGAAACCTTGTAGATCGACTTGAGTGCGGATGACGTTAGGTTCGAGAGCAGGGATATTAGGGAAGAGGTTTGGTTCATCGGCAGAAAAAGCAAAGACGTGGACAGTAGAAGGGGATTTATAGACGGTCTTCAGAAGTACAGAGTCCCTCGCACTGTGAAAGCATAAGAACGAATGTGATGCCGCATGAGTGGCGTGACTTACTTGGCGGGCCACGCCGCTCGAGTCTTGATGTGCCACAATTGTGTTAGCTCGTTGACGTCTTCGAGAAGGACGGCGTCTTCGTGCTGCTTGTCCCAATACATTCGGGCACCAGGAGATGTGATTGCTGCGTACAGGTCCCAAAGGCCAACACCAACGAACGTAGCCTCCGCTCGATAAACGACCAAAGTTGGGTCGATGGAGTCGAGTTGAGTGACAGAAACGCCCTTCGCTTCCGTTGCTGTTCGAATGGAGTATCAGTTTATCGTCGTACACTGAAATAGGAGTCAACTCACTTCGTTTCCATTTAGCCTCCGGCTCCTGTAACAGCGAGGAAAAATAAATATAGTTGCGCCTCACACGGCTCAATACAGACTTCTCCATCGCCTGTGTGCGTTCGGTGTTCGTGCGGAGGAGCCGTGGAGGTAATGGTGTTTTGGAACCACTCGAAACACTACCACCCGTCGCGGCGGACGAAACGGTCTGGAAGCTCATATCTGCAGTACTGGTCGCATCTTGAAGCATCTGCTCCGACATGAAGAACGATGATGGATTCCGGTCTTCAAGGTTTTCAATGTTCTGGGGAATCCCATTCAAGCGTAGGCCGCTGGATGGACCCGAACGTTCGATCGTTATGCGAACCTTCAAGAGAGAATGGTCGTCCGGAAGGGGAGAGTGATTGACACGGAAGAGGGCATCCTCGTACTCTGGGGCAGAAATGGTAGGTGATAACGCCACGGAACTGTTTCGGAAGGCTCGAGCGGTCCATGGCAGTTTAGCGAGTTTATCAGAAGAAGCTTTAGTAGAGAGTTGAATATCCCAGCCTTCGTTGACCGGAATGCTGAATTCAACGGTACGAGTTAAACGTCGATGTTCACGGATAGCGTGTAGTTTGTCGAGGCCTTGAGGTGTCTCCGTAGATGCCGAATGGGTAGCATCGTCGTCCTCGGGGGTGATAGTGTAATCGATAGTGAGTGCCTCTCGATCAATCTCAAACCGTACACGTTCGATAGACACGCCGTTTCCATAGCCGGTGAGAAGTGGAACGCGAGTACCACGTTTAATGACGATCTTGTAGAGACCTAAGACCATAGATGCGAGCTGTTGTGCAAAGCTGGCCGAGGAACCGAAGTTCCACATAGCTCGTAGATCATGTTGCCAAAAGCAGGTTATGCGAAGACGGCCGGTGGTCGATCTCTTCATTTGTGAGTCGTCGGTTGGAGATGACGAAGGTGGTGGAGTAGTGGTGGATGTAGAAGATGATGGTGGTACATGTTGAATACACCAGGCAAAGACTAATGTTGTTTGAGTGGTGTTGCGCATGAAGTGTGAAGACTGGTGACTCACGCCTGACATTAGAACGGACGTATGGTGGTGAGGGCCTAAGGTATGCCGGTTCGTCTGCAGATCGTGGTAGAGAAGTCGATACGTCTATGACGGTCGTTGTGTCATTAAATGTGCGAGATATCGTAACAGCATCCCTAGGGCTGCACACGCGGTCAAAATGTGGCGCTCAGGGGATGAGGTATTCAACGTACTTTGCTGGCCAGCCCAACGTAAAATTCGTCTTCGATATTCGCGTCGTGGGGTCAAACATCTCAACCAACGACGCTCCTTCCACAGCAGGATCCCACTCCCTTCTCAGCTCCGGTGTGGCAAGGACGGACTTCCATGCGTCGAGAGCAATGGCCTCTTCTCCGGTAGGTACATCGAGGACTATGCGGTAAACTGCCTCTTCAGCCTTATTGGCCCTGCGGTGTATGACAACATCTGAGGGTTCTGGTAGGGAGGTCAAGGAGCGACCCTTTCCTTTCGTTCGCGCTGAGGTAGAGTCGTTGGGGATGGGGACACGTTTCCATTCAGGAGCAGAGGCGGATGTGAGCAGCTTCCTGAAGTTGGACTGGGCTTCGTTCAGTGCATTGTACCAAGACTGTCTCAGACTTCCATATATCCTGTCAAGACCTGCGTTGAAAAAAATTCGAGAGAAAACATACCTTGTACCGTCCGACATATGCATGAGTGGGGGGAGCAAGAAAGCTGCAATTGGCACGTTGACCGTGCTTGGGGACGTGACGCCATTACGGAACCTCGCCACGCGGGCCACACGCGAGACAATTATTGGACTTGGTTCCGGTCTGAGCGGAAGCTCCGTATCTTGTCTTTCATCTGACTCACATCCATCTTTTGGCGAGAACGAGTCCCTCGACATGTCGCCATTCAACGATTCCGAGCGTGTTCTCAGTATCCAGTCCCATGTCTCGTTCGGGTACGTTGGGGGGAAGGCTGCTGTGTTTCCTCTACAGCTTCTTGGCTATGATGTCGATGTAGGCTTTCCTTGAAATCGAGTTAGAAGTAGTACGTCTGATAGTGGCTTGTCCAAGGTCATCAATACTGTCAACTTCTCTAATCACTCTGGTAAGCCCTACGTATGTCCTCAGAGTGCTCCCTGACCTTCAATGGACTAGCATGATAGGGTACGGCCGATTTAGCGGAACCAAGGCGAATGCTGCAGACCTAAATGGCCTCTTCCAGGCCATGGAGCAGAATGGGTTTCTATTTCCTTCTCGACTATTAACAGGTCAGCTACTGGTTAACGCTCGAAATTTGACTTATCTGACTGACTGGGCGTAGGATATATACCTGGCGCCGAGGCACTCTCTACTGTGGCGGAACTGGCTCAGAAGCTACAGGACAAATATCCCGAACTAATCTATCTCTTGGATCGTACGCACCTCTCCTACTTCTCTCTTTCCTGTTTTTATACTTTGAAACCTTACACAATTAATTTCAGCTGTCATCGGTGATTCGGGGAAGTTGTACGTTGCCGCGGACGTTATCCCTGTTTACCGCTCCATGTTGAAGAGGGCCACAATCATCACACCAAATTGGTTTGAGGTGGAGTGAGTCATAACTACTGTAAATACCCGTAACACGATAACAACAATTCTAATACACGTTAATTATTGCAGAGTATTGACGGATACGAAGATCGAGGACCGTGCCTCCCTCCAGACCGCACTCACCACGCTGCACAAAACTTACTCGGTTCCACATGTCGTGATCAGCTCTATACCCCTCAAACCCTGGCTCATCGACATCATTCCATCGGATTCTCGACCCTCTACACCAGATCAGGACTTCCTTCTCTGCATAACCTCTTCCCAAAACACTTCATCCGACGACGTGTTGTCCGAAATCCACATTTGCCGCATACCACTCATACCAGGCTACTTCTCCGGCGTCGGTGACCTCTTCTCCGCTCTCGTTCTCGCGCACTTCAAATCGCGCACAACATCTACCGAAACATTACCGGAATCCCCACTTGCTCATGCAACGTCTCTCGCTCTGACAAAGACACATGCGATTCTTCAACTCACGCATGAATATGCCTCCACGCTACCACCTGAAGATCGTACAACAACGGACGAGGAATTAGACGCCAAAGAACCGGAGAGAAAGATTCGGAGGATGAAGGGGAGAGAGCTGAGGTTGATACAAGGGCAGGATATCTTGAGAGGGACTCCTGAAGCCATGGGTGAAGTTCGGAAGATGCATGCCTGGGACGGATTTTGGGCGTGATAGGTTGTTTCGCTCGCCGTGTCAGAGGCGATGCGGTGGGCGTAAAAAATCTAGCTTAGAAGTGGCACATAAATACGTAGACTTTAGACGGGAATATACGACGTATTTCAGTTTGCGAATTTCCGGTAGAAATTTCAGTGTTCGTATATAGTAAACTAGAGCCGTTCGCTATATATGTTGTCTTGTGCGGTGCCACACAGACACAGATTCGCAAATCGCATTTGCCTCTCTCCTTTTGATCTGCGACTCCATATCTCCACCTCAAGTATAGTCTACCTATGCTACTCGGAGTCCTATTGCTGCAACTACAGGGTATGCTTCGGGCCACGACAAGGAGGGGACACATACTGTAAGTACGCCACTGAGCACAGAGTGCACCCGATGAACCGATCAGAAACGCTGGTGACGCGCGTCCTGACCGGCATCACATCGCATCCACTTTCACCGCCGTCCTTGTCTGGGACAAAACAGCCGCCAACATGCATAGCAGATCCCCTCTTCCCTACTCTCATCTCCTCTGTCAAGTTGCCCCGCCAGGACTCTCGCTACTCCAGTATCATAGTGCCAGGCTCATAGACTGCTTTCATAGACCAATACCCGATACCCATACCGGCTTCCACCCGTAATACCCGCTGTGACATTCGCTCCGAATATTCTCACCACAATGTCAGCATCAATAACCCCAGAAGTCCACCTACTCGTCCTAGTCCATGGGATGTGGGGCAACCCAAACAATCTCGCCGAGATGAAACGGACTATCGACGAACTGAAGTGTGATCCAAGTAAGGAGAGTTCAAGTGGTGTGGAGCTTGTATCCCTTGTGGCAACAAACAACCAGTCGGAGTCAACGTACGACGGAATTGACTGGGGTGGTGAGAGGGTTGCTGAGGAGGTATGCCCTCTTATACTATAGTTGTCTGTAGGTCATGCTGAGTTGACGGCGGTGCCACCTAGGTAATCGAGGAAATCGAGAGACTGGAAAAGGATGGGAAGAAGGTCACTCGCTTTTCTATCACTGGGTACAGTCTTGGCGGTCTTCTTTCGCGGTATGTCATCGGGTAAGTCTATTCTTTAACTTCTTTCCTTCTTCGAAGCCGATTCACATCAATCTCGTGTTACAGCATCATGCACCAACGCAAGATGTTCGACACCATTACGCCCGTGAACTTCAACACCATCGCCACGCCACACATTGGTCTCATCCGCTTTCCATCTATCTGGTCTCGGACAGCCTCTGTTCTTGGACCTAAGCTGCTTTCGAGGACAGGGGAACAATTCTATAGTGTGGATAAGTGGTCCGCGAAGGGACGACCTCTTCTTGAAGTCATGGCCGATCCAGGTACGCTTTGACGCATTGATACAAGGTGCTACTTTCACCTGAGCACAAAAAACAGAACGGATATTCTTCCAGGCTCTTTCCTTGTTTCCTCATATCCGAATATACGCCAATGCGTGAGTAACCTCCTTTTCAACGCTTTCAATCTTATTGATTTCTTTGTCGACCTAGTATCAACGACATCACTGTACCCTATCTGACTGCCTGTATGGAATCTCACGACCCATTCCTTGACCATAAGACCAGCGGCATTACTGTGTAATTATCCATTTCCATCTCAAAGCAAAACCCCTCGAAATAAATTACTGATGCACCACGTCCCACGAAACAGTGAATTCGACGAGAAGTACCACCCAATAATCAAGTCCTGGCATGTCCCAGAAACACCACCGCCTGCACCCGAAGGGCCCCGCGCCCTCTCGAAAGAATGGTTCCAAGCTGCACACGTGCCTTCACTCCCGCTTCCTCCACGTCTCCAATTTGGCTTCCCCTTGAACCTCGTACGTCTCTTGATGTTTGGACGAATTATTCAAACCACAAATCTACCAATACGAGTGTTGACGCAATGTATTTGTTACTATAGCTTATGTGGGCGGCCGTCCCTATCCTCGTCCCCACGTTCCTCACCCTCGTCACCGTCCGCTTCACGCTCTCGTCTCGCTCTTCCCGTCAGCGGATCAAACTGCTGGAGAGCGACCCATCGGCTCGCGACAGGCTCGTCCACGTCTTTGCAGAGTTGGAAAGGCAGATGGAAGATGTAGTCGTGGAGATGGTAGACAATTCAGAGGAGACGGAACAGCTGGAACCGTTGGGACTGGAGAGGCCGGAGGCTTCGTTTACCCTCACGCCCATGAGCAGCACACCTGCTCAGTCCACCCCTACACTGTCGCCACACACAGACGGGGAAACGCACTCCGAATCCAACACTACCGTAGGCCAAGACCAAGACCCAGAAACCGGCATTGCGACAGCGGACACGAAGTCGCACAAGTGTCACAAAGGGAAGGGTAAAGGCAAAGTCTCAGCCCAAGCCGACCTTACACCCCTCCAGCATAAAATGCTATCCTGGCTCAATTCGATCCCGCAACTCGAGAAAGAGCGAGCCTATATCGATCACATCCGGAATTCGCACGGCACGATCATTGCGAGGGATTTGAAGACCTTCGAGTTCCATAAGATTGGGCTGGGGGTGCTGAGGCACTGGGCAGATAAGTTTGTGGTTTGAGCTGGAGGTGTGGTGGATGTGCGTGGCGTGGACGTACTTATTGGATTTCATATATGGCGGAAGGTCTGTTTTTTTCTGTGATGGGACTTTGGCTCGGCTTCGGGTTAGGACTATATTGTGTGCGTTCCAGCTATCCTATTATTAGACCCATATACTTATGGCGACCTTCAGACTTCAGTCTGGTTAGGTTGTATACACGATACAGATAGAACGACGCATCTCGATGTGTTGCCCTTTTTTCATCTTCTTCCTGGATTGCATTGCGCATGAGGGGGGTTACTCTGAACCCAGCAGGGAATGATACAGTGCCACAGTGGCGTCCACGTCGGGATAGGCCGCGCCACTACGCATCCGCAAACCTCGATTGTCCGCCTGTTCGCAGACCATCGTCACATTCACCTTTTGTTCGCCAGTTTCTCCATTGATGTGCCCACGTTCACAAGGTCATGTTTAATTACGTCCAATCGTGATTGACTCCAATAGCTCAAAGACACCTTTGAGCTGTGGTTGCATTGTCTCCACTGGGCATGCATATAAGCCTTGAAGGTCGAATTCTGCAGCTCGTCTGCGCCTTTTCTTTCCTCATATACCAGCCCACAGCAGCCAATTCTGCTCTGATACCTACTCATACAGCTCGTTGTACGCCACGGTGCTCGCTAGCTCGTAACTAAAGCTCGAACCGCTCCTTTCACGCGCCACTCAGCTTCACCCCGTCTGCTCTACCTTTGATTGCATTGGATGGCACGGAAGAAGAATAAATGCAGGTTCTATGACCGTGAGTGCCCCTACCTTGTGTCTATCCCACTATGACGGTGCACCAGAACTGATGAACACTTGGTGTCTGTGGCTCGTGATTCCACGTCTTAGGAACGATGCTCGCCATCTGCTTCAATGTCGAAGGGAACCCCGGAGATATACCTATTGCAGCAATCAAAGAAACAATTCAAAAACAAGCGAAGCTCATGAAGGCACCCTTGGGGAAACGGTGGCTGTCCTATACGAACCTTGCCCTAAGAGATCTACTGGCGAAGGATCAATGGCATTTTTCTACTGACGGGGGAAGAACTGTGGTTGTTACCCCCGGTGGGCGGGAAAAGTGAGCATTGTTTCCCTTGGATTGTAACGCCAGTTTTCTAGAAAGAGGTGACAATGACTGAATGTGTCTTGTATGCGCTGAGCGCAGGTATAAGGCTGTGAGGGACAAGTACCCAGTGCCGGAGAATGAGACTGCAAGTCACAAAGCTGCAAGACTCTTCGAAATTACCCGCGAAATCTTGAGGCAGTTCAATATGTTGGAGAAGTTGACGCATAAGGAGGTTCGTGTATTGTTTCTTGAATTGTCTAACAAAGTCTCCTAGTACACTCTCGTGTATTCATCTGCTGCATTGCCTAGGTTGTCAGACATGACAGAGCGCGCGGAGCCCGACTGTTGGAGATTCTGAATGCTCAGGGTGTGACTCCTGAGCCTTCTCTCTACGATCACGCCTCAGATTACCAGGGGTCAAGACGCAATAGCGTGGCAGATATCAACGCTATGCAAGAGGATGGTGATAATGTGTATGCCTCTGATTGTTTATTCTTATATCTCATGGCGTGCTCACTCCGTGGCGCAGACAATCACCTCGTGGCTCTCAACCACTCAATGCCACCCCGACTCCTTCACGTACAGGCTCACGTATCGACGCATTCGGTAGTCCACGTCCTTCGTTCTCTTACCCCACTCCCTCCGGCGCTCGTGCAGGATCTGCCACCAGTGCACCCCAAGGCGAAGCCACTCTTCATTTGACGCCCTCGACCTCGTTCGAGACGCCTCGGCGTCCTCAACAGCCGCGCGGGTTCTATCCGACGCCAGACTCGAATGATCGTCCCCGGGTTCGTCGTGAGGACCGTGAGTTCTTTGAAGGGGATGATACACGCCAATCTGTGCGTACCTTCTTCGAACTATTACGCTAAAATATGCACATGGTGGCAAATGACTGATTTACATGTACATCATGCAATATGCAGCTCATACCATTCGATAACACTTTTGCCCAAGCTCAAGGATCGCACAGTAGCAGTTCTAGCAACTCTACAGACCCAGGTACCCTTTTGCTCCAGGCCAAAGCCGGGTATGACGCTCGCGAGGAAGACCAGTGCAGACAGATCGCCGAGCAAGATGCATGTATCAAACAGCTCCGGTCCCGGCTTCACGAGGCCGAGTCGAGGTATGACGCCGAATGCGAAGAGTGTACCGAGTTGCAAAGATATGGAGAGAGGATACTGGAGGAACGGAATCATATTTTAAAATGCTATCGTGAACGGGATGAACGAGTTGTGTATTTCTGGTCGAAGTGGTGGGCGAGTAGAGGTGAGAATGAGAAGCAGGAACGAGAATTTGGAGAAATGGACAGGAGACTGCAGGAGATTGAAGAAGCATTGGAGAATATTCGACAGACGCTGCGGCAGAAGGAGGAGGACATCGTTAGATTGAGATTGGAGAAGGCGGAATTGATGGAATATTGCACGAAGCTGCGGGAGAAAGCAGACCGCAAAGATGCAGTGATGAAAGGGTGGATAGCAGAGGTGTGTGATTTCTTCGTACTGATTTTCTACTCATGCTGACCTGTGCATGTGATCTCTTCTCCAGCCACCGGTTCGCACACCGGATGTTTTGGCCAATCAGTAGCTAATAATTCGCATGGGTCGCCTTGTGTGAGTCATGTACCTTTGATCAATCAGGAGAGAAGTTTATGGGTATAGGTTTTCTGGTCATGTAAATGTTGCCTTGGTTTTTTTGCCTGAGATTCTCACCGTGTTGGACAATGGAGGCGATACTCGGAAATTTGTCGGAAATGGTAACGAGCTGTGGATGAGAATCGTACCATATCAGAAACGAGAAACACTGAATCTGCAAACGTATATGAATACATGGTGCAGTCTTCAGTACAGTATTAATCGGTACGGTGATATGAAGCCACAAAACAGAGTTCGTCTTTCGAACGCTACAACGATGCAAGATTAGAGTCATGTGATTACAGTCCGACAATAAAATATCCAAAGGCTGGGAACGGGAATAGTGTGTTGATTCTCGTCGCGAGTTGTGGTTCAAGGAATCAGGAGACAAAGATGGGATGGTGTATGGTCGTGATGTCGCGTGAGAAAATACGGAGCGTGATGAAGGAGGGAACCTCTATGGACGGACGGTTCCATGGGCAATGCGCATGCTGCGACGTCGAGCATTCATGAGGACAAAGCCTTCAGGAAGAGACAGGCTATGGTCAGGCTTGTGGAAGGTGCTAGTGACTTTCTTCCAGGCTTGGATGAACCGACGCTCGATGTATTTGGTGGCAGAAGCAGAAGGACGATGATGAGAGCTGTAGGTGAAAGAGTCGTGAGTTGGTAGAATAGGCTTTATCCGTTAAAGAAATTGGACATACCGGAACCGCTGTGTCTCAGCTTCTGCAAAGGTGCTGATGAGGGGTGAAGTGACGATGACCATGATAGTAATCAAGAGATAAAATGTGGGTGAAGTGAAATGCGTGTGTCGTAAAGAGGATAGTGAGTGTGAGGTGCGTTTCAAACGCAAGAGAAAAAAGTTGGGCTATTTATATGAAGAGGACGAGCCAAGGCAAGAAGAGGGCAGATCGTTAGGATTCTCTCCAGCAGCAAGTTTCGGAGCTATAAGTATGCAGGACGCGAGTGTGGTGTCAGTGACAGGCACAATAACGAAGATGCCGCGTGTCTTCTTAGTTCCCGAGCTACAAAAAACAACAATGAGAGTACATTGCATTGTTCCCAAAGAAGGTGACGGTTTCCATGAGTATCGCCTGCTCTGTTTTCGGAAAACCGGCGTCTACTTATTCGGTGAACAAAGAGGTTCAGGTCGTCGGCAAGTCGTCGGCACACTTCCGCGCGGCGGTCCGAAGCCCGACGGCGTGTCATCGGCGTTGGCCGTCGCTTCGAACTTGAACAATACATTCCTTATTAGTGCCACTCGTCATTTCTTTCCAACTTTCACTACCTTGTCGTTACCCAGCTTATCGCACGGTACGTTAAAATTCTCACTAACACCCAGTAGATTGATTTATTTCCTGGCAGGTGCACAACTATAAACATGCCGATCCTCGACGGGTACTACGTCGCGGTGACCGACCAATACGGTCGTGAACTTGACCACTACAACATCATGCACGAAGGTCCAAATGCTTTGAGCTGCTACATAGCTAGCGAAGAAGGCATGGTCAGTACCCAAATCGAATGGCCCCATCAAATCTTTAGAACTGACCTCCGGGTGGCGCAGGAATTCAAGATTAAGTACTACGACGATTCCGATGACGGCTGGACCATTAAAGTCATGGTCGATGTCGATGGACATCCCCTGGGATACAGGAATGCAGATCCCGGGGGTGGCGTGACAGTTGACTCTACTAGAACTTCAGCAACAACGGAGGCTGCTTTCCAGTTCGGACGTGTCCAGCTCGTCGGTATGTCTGGCTCTTCTCTCGTCATGGACTACGGAGGCACTTACTACCGCACTTTTCTGCTGGAAGATGAAGATGATCTGAATCCCTTGGATGAAACGGGAGACCCAGTGGTGCCACGCGATATCGGCCTCATAGAAGTCAAATTGGTACGGGGGAGAAGAGTACCACGACACGGTCCACAGATCGAATTCGTGCCCAGGCCAGTGAGGCAGACGACGGCCATATCAGAAAAGTGGAAGAAAGGAGGACACCATATCACAAAGTTAGTGTTTTCCTTTATATTGGACCGGACTGCTTCTCAGATTGGCTCTCAGTCTTGGAGCGATTCGGACCGTCTCAAACTGGCGTCCGTCAAACTCGAAAGTAGTCACGATAGATCCGCCCCGCCACCCATACAAATACTTCCGTATCTACTATAGACCCAAAGGTGACCCTGCGATGGTCCATTTTAATCTAAGTATTGGTGCTCATCATAACCTCCAGAGATTCTCATGGCGGAAGGTATCATGCCCAAGTCTAATCCAGCGCCTCGACCGCGTGACCGAGAGAGGGCGCATCGTGAACATGATGGTTCAAGGAGAAACTATTATCATCGAGATCGTGAACATGATGATTCAAGCAGAGACTACTATCATCGAGATCGTGATGCTCCTAGGCGTGCGCAGGATTATTCCGTTGCAGCCTTTGCCGATCGTCTTGATCAGCCAGAGCGTCGACGTTCCCCTGCTCGCGAAGACAGGAGATACGCGGGTACAGAAGTATGTCCATCCTTCGAATCGGCGCATATACCTACTCACTTTGTACAGCGTGGTGAAGAATTAGATACGCATCGCCGCCGGGAATCAGAGCGAGCGATGAGTACAATCCTTCGTGAGGTAAGTCTGATCTGCCCAGTACTGATACTTTTTATGCGGGCTTGAAATCAACAAGCTCCTATCAGGTTCCAGAGATGTATCTTCCTCGAACCTCCGCAGATACATACCGTCCTGCTACATTCGACACGCACCAATGGGGAGAAATCCGTGGTGATTACGATGGTCATAACCACGCAGGGCCATCTCGCCCAAGCGTATTACAGTCCGATCGAACTACCAGCACGGACCTACAGTACAGATCTCGAACGGAGCACACTATGCCCACTGCCACGGCTGGTCCATCTGGGGTGAGTTCCCGGCCGGTGCTACAGAGCATTGAGCAATGGCAATCATTTCATGGTTCTCTAATCTTCTGATCTTTCCACACTCTTTTCTCCCTTCACTTAGACCAGCACATTCAAACCTCCAAATACGAAGACAGATCCTTCAACTCCTCTCAAGACAGGACCGCCCGAAGTGATAGACTTGACATACTTGTCTGACTCGGACTGAACCGTCTGCTCGCTGCGCGGCATCGAAATGTCGGTCCTGCACTGAAGTCAACTCTGGGCCTACCGTCACACTCTGTCCTATAGCATTTGCTATTTTATCGCTCCCATGTGCCGTTGCACTTGTCATACATTCTTTTTTTCTCTCTTGGACGATGACACAGCCCTTCTACGTTTCTCTGGATGCCCTCTATCACACTATTATTCAGCGCTAGCAACTTTTCCCATGAATTTATCAACGCCTTATCATGCCTATTCAGCTGTTTCATTTTGCTACACAACGTACTATTTCTCTTTACCAAACTCTGTGAGTTGCATATGTTCGTTCCATGTATATATAACCTTTATTTAGGAGCCAAGCGTCCTCCCCACAGCCTACGCTGCCCCCGAGACCGTGGACCCATCCTTGTATCCAACCTTGTCGATAAACACTAGCTCCTTCCGTTTTAGATTGCCGCTGCAAGAACGAGAGGTTAATCGACACACCCCACTGACCAAAGCTGTCCGAGTGATCAAGAATCTGACGATCTATTGAGACACAAATTGTGGTGACGTCTAGCTGTCAAGAAGTAGGAGAGCATGGGGGAACACATAAATTGACTGTCAGTACTTAGAGGTGGACCTGTTCGAGAGTTGCCATGAACGTTCTGCAAAGAGCGCCGCAGAGCCGAAAGAGGGTTTCCCTTTCCAGCTTACGTGTGGGCGCTCGCGTCAACTCTTCGCTCTTTCTCATCCGGCATCTCGGTCAGCACGTCCTCCTCGACCTCATATACCTCCATAGCCCATATATGTAGCCAAACTCCTTACTATCATGTCCTACGAATCTCCTCTGAAAGGCTATGAGACCGCTGAGCCTCTTCCGAATACCATCAATCCTGATGGCAAATCGTTATATAACCCTCCAGGTCCTCTCTCAGCTGCATATGACCAGTTCCCCGCTCCGATCGATCTTTCGAACAATGGGTTCGACTTTCATAGTGCGTTATTCCCTGTCTGTCGACAAGAGGCATCTTGACTGATGTCATCACCGCTCTAAATTTACAGTATATTACATGCAGAGCGTCACAGCTCAGCTAGAGTATGCTAGGGAGTTGCATGAGCGAGTGAGAAGAGAGTTTCCTGAGGTGAGTACAACCGCTCGGCGCTCGTCTCATGCCACACACCTCGTCTCCTGACCCATCGCTCGTTTATCTCAAGCTTCGCATCTACAAGTTTTGGGAAAAACCAGTCGGTATGTGCTCTACTCCATGGATATGCCTCCTTCCATTCGTTACGCGATACCCTGAACTTTTCGTTCGTCAAGGCCCTCATCCTACGGCCATGTTTGAAGTCAACACGTTCAACCCTCATCAAACCGGTGCTTTCTTCTCGTGGCTGACAGTCAATCGTGGACCGTGCTCGTACGTGTCAAGTTCCATTTCAGCCGCCCGGCTACTCACGTTTATTGCTCCCCTTTCGTCTGCGTTATTGACGACCTCTGAATTGGTTTGCCTGTCTTCCGAATTCTTGCTACTTTTCAACATTCTGGACGGTATGGCTACGATCGGCGGACTATCAATGTCACTTTTTTGTTTTGTTTCCCGCAGCGTTCTGATCCACCCGAATACGGGCGACGCGTACAAGGACCATACGGAGCTCATGACCTGGATTGGGAAACCTTGGCCGCTACTCGCCGATATGCTCAAGCCGCATTGACACACACTCGACGTGGGATGCAGACTGAAGTGCGAACGTGTACGGGAGTTCCGAGAGTATGCCGTACTGTCCACAGACTCTTTCACATCTCTTCTGGTTGCGATGTATCCCCCTGTAGTACTTAATTGTAGGTGTACCCGTGTACGTTTATGGCGACATCAGCGTTCGTCAAGCCCTTGTAGAATGGAGCAAGCAGGCGTCTCTCTTTGATTGATGCAACCCAACGTATTGGAGGTTGATGGACGACCAGTGATGAGAGACCATCCTTCTCACTAGAACTTTCACTTTCTCAATTGACGCTGTGTAGGAGGTCTGGCCTTGTACGACTTATGATTCGCCATTCTGACCGCACCCTCACGCTCGTATTGTCCACTGTGAGTGCCAGATGCATCATGAGCTATCGTCGCGCAATGAGCTGCAATGAGATGCCTGCTGTTTACGGCAAGGACTGGTCCATCTAGTGGACAGGAAGGCTACGATTTATTTGTGCTTCAAGTGTTTGGATGGGAGTACAACTTTTCCGAATCCGTACGTACTCCGAGCGCCCGCATACGGTGGGCCCCATTACAATCCATTACTGCCACTAGCTCTGGATAACCACCCAAGCGGAAGATCGTAGCTATCAACTGTGGTTCCTGTAGTTACTCGCAACGTTCATCAGGGCATGTACATCCCACACGATGTTCCGTGCACCGAACATAATCCTGGACAGCGTTATAGCAGGTTATGGCACACAGTGAGGTTTCCGAATTCGACTATTCTTGATTTCCGAATTCAACATAGGCCTTCCCACTGTTCTCGCCCCGTGGTCTTTTCCGTCTATTTTGCTCCCTTGGCTGGTCTAGCACAGCACGGCACGGACGCCAGTCGAAGGGAGGACGGATCCTTTTTATAGGCCTGGGTCGAGGAGAAAAATGTCGATCGCTTTGCCCCGCTCCCTCCTTTCTTTCCTTCCTTCACTCCCTTTTGTTCCCTCTCACCATCACTGCTTGCTCGGATCTTGCTCAGACCCTGCTTCTCCTGTCTACCTTGTGCCACTGTTGCTCTCTCCTCCTCTTGTCTCATACTCGAACGCCTGTTCTCAAACGACTACTACTCGACAAACGGACCTGAACATCGACTAGGATGGCTGCACCATCTCGTTTCGTCTTGGACTCGGCCTTGGACGCGGTCGGAAATACACCCCTCATCAGGCTTGATAGGATCGCAGCTCACAAGGGACTGAAATGTAACCTCAGTGCGTTCTTTCTCCTTACCTTTCACACTACGCTTCTCTTTTCATATTTTTCTTCTTTGTGACTTTTCTCGAGAAGATCTATTGTGATACTGATATGTATCTCTCCTTGTCCGTTGGGATGAACAGTGGCGAAGGTAGAATATACCTCTGCTGGTGGATCCGTCAAGGATCGTATTGCGAAACGTATGGTAGAAGAAGCGGAGAAAGATGGGATTATTACGCCGGGGAAGAGCGTTATCATCGAGCCTACGAGTGGGAACACTGGTATGTCTCCCATTTACTAACCAACGATCATTGTGGAGGGGTGGGAAGTATAATCGTTGATTCGGGGTGTATGTCGTTTGTGTAGGCCTTGGGTTGGCTATGGCTTGCGCAGTGAAGGGATACAAGTGTATCATCTGTATGCCTCAGAAGATGTCTATGGTTCGTGATTGCTCTCTTCTTTCTTTTGTATTGATGTCCTTTTTCTCTCTTGTGTTGAAACTGATTCTCGTCATGGGTGACCTGTAGGAGAAGGAAATCCAGCTCCGCGCTCTTGGGGCTGAGGTCGTCCGTACGCCCACCGATGCGAAGTTGTTTAGTCCCGTAGGCAATGTCGGTCAGTATCTCAACATGTACTATACCTGCTCAGAACAGACGCTGACTTTCGACTTGTGCTGTGAACAAGGTTTGGCAAGGCGTCTCGCTCGCGAAATCGAAGGTGGTGTCATCCTCGACCAATACGTTAATGTGAGCGCTCTAAGGTCTACGGTACCCCTCTTCCCCAATAGTGCTGACTTGCCGCCTCGCAGGAACACAACCCACTCGCACACGAACTTGGCACGGGGCCCGAAATCATCGAGGCTATTGTTTCGACTCCCTCGACCTCTGCGCATCCTTCATCCGGCAAGGTTGACGTATTTGTCGCTGCTGCTGGGACGGGTGGCACAATATCTGGTGTGGCCCGGGCCCTCAAGAAGACACACAACAAGGACTGTCATGTCGTTGGCGTTGACCCCGTACGTCGTTTCCTTTATTCCATAATCCCCCTCCCTAAAATCTGACGAGGCTTCTGAACCTTGAATCCTACACAATAGAGAGGCTCTAACATGGCTCTCCCGACCACTCTCAATCGCCCCGAGGACTCCAAAGTCACCTATAAGGTCGAAGGCATCGGGTATGCCTACGTTCCTGAAGTGCTCACTCGGGATATGTCCGAAGTCAATCACTGGGTCAAAATCACGGACGGACCTTCGTTCGAGTGCGTCAAACTCCTCAGCAGACTGGAGGGGTTGTTGGTGGGAGGGAGTAGTGGCGCGGCGTTAAGTGGTGCGTTACAATGGCTGGAAGAGAGCGATGAGGGGAAGAGGATTTCACAGACCGAAGGGATGAACGTGGTTGTGCTCTGTGCAGATGGGTGCGTTCATCTCAAATATCCTCTAATTGGCATGAGTGTTTCGGTGTGCTGCTGACCGATTGACCATGGACTTGTTTGTATAGAGTGAGAAATTATATCGGCAAGGACTGGTTCCTCGACATTTCAATGCGCTCAGAAGCATCCTCACTGGCAAAGGAGATCCAGGAGATTAGAGAGAGGCCTGCCGATCCTGAGGAGCTCGAGGCTTGTGCCGCGGACCAGAAGGCGGCGGAGGATTCTTACAGCTCTCAACTTCGTCCTAGCTGGGGTCATGCTACTAAGGCGCTAAATGGCCATGCGAACGGACATGCGAATGGCCATATTAACGGGGATGTTAATGGTGCTTAGAAGGGGTTCTCTAAGTCTGACGACGATTGTGGGGTATGTTTTTCCGGCCAGTGCTGTATCTATCTCCTTGTGCTATGTATGTAGGTCCATGTTGTCGTGCATGTTATCGACTCTTGCTCTTTTCGATCCAATATAATCTGCGTGTATCTAGGTTCATCCAGTCTTTTATCTCAAATGTGTTGTCATCGGCGTGATGAATGGCATCATGTCGTGCTCAGTTATTTCTTCAGTCGGTGAAAACTCTCATCAAAGTTCTGGAAAAAATATTTATCGCGGGTAGGATTGCTATAAGACAGTTTTCGTATAGCGCTTTGGCTGTCCTTGTATTTGTTTTTGGCCCGAAAGATATCTTCGATATTAGTGGGGGCTGACGTGCACTGAGCTGACACTCTCGCCACACCTACGCCACACTGATTGAAACGCACCGTGCCGAGCGGATCTTGCTCGGCATTCGACTGCCCCTTGCCTCAAATGCTTCGACTATCCTCCCTCTTGCTCAACTCTCGTCGCCCGCTGCCCTCATACCGGCCAGAACATCAAGCTTAGACTCCCTAGTCTCTCGCTGTAATGTCTCCAGTTACAATACTTGACTCAGCTCTCGGTGCTGTGGGGCATACACCCCTCATCCGTCTAGACAGACTGGCAGCTTCAGAGGGCATTAAATGCAACCTTTGTACGAGTTTCTGTTTTCGACAAATATACATAAAATGACGATAGTTGTCTTGACTTTAGTAGGAAAGCTGGAATACACTTCCGCAGGAGGATCTGTCAAGGACAGGATCGCGAAGCGTATGGTCGAGATGGCGGAGAAGGATGGCAAGCTCGTCCAAGGGAAGAGCGTCGTCATCGAGCCTACTTCTGGTAATACTGGTGAGTATTGTCCTATGACGTCCTGTTTTGAAACAATACAGCTAGTTAACTGATATCACGGCTATTGTCTTCAGGTATTGGTTTAGCAATGGCATGTGCTATCAAGGTATGTCCCGCGTCTACGAGGACGTTGGGGACGCATACTGAATACTACAGATAAGGGATATTCGGTGATTATTACCATGCCCGAGAAGATGTCACTTGTGCGTCATGTCTCCCTTTCATGCCCCAATCATTCCTAATCTTGACTTGAATGTTCAACTCGCCACCCGTATTGCGCCATCTCGTAGGAGAAAGAAGCAGCCCTTCGAGCCCTTGGTGCCGAAGTTGTCCGCACGCCCAGTGCAGCTGCTTGGGACTCCCCAGACAGCCATATAGGTAGATCCCATATTCATCGAAATGGACCTCTCGTGGCTGAATTCCTTAACGATCCCTACAGGTGTGGCGCGAAAGCTGGAGAGGGAGATTCCTGGCGGTATTATCCTTGATCAATACGGGAATGTACGTCCATTCGCGCTACATATAATTATCTACGTCTGATTTCTGACTATCCCTACGGTCCCTGTTCTGCTTTAATCTGCGTCTGGGTGGCGTACGTCTTATAGGCGAACAACCCCCTCGCTCATGAATATACAACGGGACCAGAGATCATTGAAGCAGTAACTTCGACTCCGTCGACTTCGATACACCCATCGTCAGGGAAAGTGGACGTATTTCTCGCCGGCGCTGGGACCGGAGGTACAATCACTGGTGTGGCCCGTGCCCTCAAGAAATCTCACAATCCAAAGTGCATCGTAGTTGGCATCGATCCCGTAGGCTCCTTGCTCGCCCTTCCTTCTTCGCTCAACAACCCAGCCGACAACAATAAGCCCTACGTTGTGGAAGGCATCGGCTACGACTTCATTCCCGCCGTACTTACGCGCGAGCCTGGAACTATAGACGCTTGGGTCAAATCGTCTGATGCCGACTCCTTTGTTGCAGTGAAGAAATTGATGCGAAAGGAGGGAGTGCTCGTGGGCGGGAGTTCTGGGAGCGCGATTGCGGGGACATTAGAGTGGTTGAAGGGGAGTGAGGAGGGAAAGCGGGTGGCGAATGCGCCGGGATTGAATGTTGTGGTTTTGTTGGCTGATGGGTAAGTCTCTCCCTTTTCAATCTGCGCGCAAGCCGCCCTGGCTTTTGATGGAGCTTTGGCTCATCAGCGTGGGTTAAAACAGTATCAGGAATTATATTGGGAAGGAATGGTTCCTCGAGATGACCTTGCAGGCTGAGCCGACGCCGCTAGCCAACCAGATCTCAAGCATACTGAAGAAGCCGTCCGGGTCGAACAAGGACAAGACGGGGCGTGGCCTACCCAACGGAAACGGGCATTTGAGTGGAGTCTAAGGGCCTCTACCACTCGTATTGCGGAGGGATCTTCTGGGGCATCATTCTTCCTAGACACGATACTTATTAGACCCAGTGGCGAATATTCCAATGACCAGAGAGACGCATACGACAGCATGGTACTATATACGGTGTACAGATACAGTGTAGAATGGTTCGTGATTGTGGCTTTGTGTACATTTTATAGACCGGATATCAACGGAGATCTTTGTTTTGCGTATACGCACTTGACCATTTCCCGCAAGTCTCATTACTTGGCTTGGGCACATATTGTCGAGCCTTACAACTGGATAGAGTGCCTATGCGTCTGTGTCTGGTATATCTGTGTGACTACGAGTAACTGGATATGTAGGTGACGGCCCTGGCGAGATACATCAGGATTCAAGTGTCTAAATACGGATGGTATAAGTATAAGGCCTTAAGGACTGGTTCAAGGTAACGCGTATATAAGAGCATGCGATGAAAGCGACGGATGGGCAGGGAAGAGCTATGTGCGATGCGAATGACGATGCAGTTAAAATGTATACACACGACCGAAGTAATAGAGGACTGGATGAACTATGTACGAAATAGGGCATACTTTTGCAGGATTTCAATATTGCATCCCGTTCGGGAGAGTTGGCGGAGACACCAACATTATATAACGCTAAGCATACGTCCCACTGTGGACTGGAAACGACTGGGGGGTTACTAGGAGGATTTTCTGGATGTATGTGACATCGCTGAGAAAGGTGATGACAACGAGCCGGTTGGGGCAGAGCCTGCTCTGTCATGAGCGTGAGACCTCGATATGCGTTGCATCTCTCGGAGCTGGTCGATCTCAGCTTGGGCATTTCGGATTGTCGTCTGAGAAGTAAGGTGAAGTCAGATGAGATCTTATGTACGGGCAACTCATCAATAGCAGAGTGAGAGCTACCTCAAGAGTACGTATACGGATGGAAATATCGCTACTGTCTTGCTCTGATTCCTGCCGAACACCAATGCTGGGCAGAGAGGGAATCTGAATCGCGTTATCCGCGGCCATTCGAGAAGAAGTGGCCTGCCCATCAGTTTGGTAGTGAATATGACAAGAGTATACGGCGTGAGTCTGAAAGTACCAACGCACCGTTGAGAAGGACGGAGGTTCTTCGAGCTTTAAGCGCTTCCGCTGTCCAGCTATAGAAATATCATCGGGCGCGTCTAATCGATGCTTGGTGGTGGAAACATTTCTGGTCGGTGTAGGTGAAAATGACCGGTTGGACGATGTACTAAGGTAGTCGTCAAATGGGATGATCCCCTGGGTCTGAAGAGTTTCTGCGCGCCCCCATGATGGATTGGAAAAGTAGTAGCGAGCGAAAAGAAGACTTGCTCACGTCGCGGGCGGTAGTAAAAGCGGAATGTGACATATGGCCGATCTGGTGGATCTAACTGATCCCAAAGACAGGCAAGAGAGTGCGAGAGCTGGCTTGGTATAGCTGCACCGAGTCTCACAGTCAAAAAATGGTTCAGTGTGGCCGCCTAGATAATATGTAGTCAAGCAGAACAATGCTCACGATACGCAATGCAGGTCCATGGGTGGGATTTGTCTTAGAGGTATAGGAGATACTTCTGTTGCTGTTCTCGTAACAAGCGCATCCGGGTCGCAACCCACCAATTGTACCCTATGAATCTGGAGCTCTATTAGGCCGAGTGTATCGTAGTTCACGGTTCCATATATCGCGTCCTCATTGTCTAAAGGTTGGTATGAGGTAACATTATGTCGTGAAGTAAATAATGGCAGACCTACCGCTAGCAAGAGGGACATCTGAAAAGCGAAACGGTCTGACAGAGACAGCAGAAGTCTGCACTCCCCGAATGCGTCCTCGAAATCTTGGTATCGCTGAGCCTTGTCTCTCCATAAATCGGCCGTCCATATATACTGACAGAGATGCCCCCGTGTTGTTAGCGTAGTCTTCGCAGTGTACTGTGAATTCCTGGTACGACACACGATGATGCATAGGGTAAACGGGAGTCAAAGGGTCGACTGAAGAAAGGGCTCAGACTTTGCCAGCTTCGCTTTGGATATAACAAGTCGCAGTCCTAGACTGTTCGTTGATATATGTGCCATATGCTGTGAGATCTGCACCGTCGCAGGAGATGTAGGCGCCGTAACCACGGCATTTGGGGCGCGACGTGGGCGGTCCTGGAGTGCTGGCGCCTGACATAGCAAGCTGCTAAGAGACCACTATGAGCCACACATTAAGCGCAGAATATCGGCAGGATATATCCTACGTATATTAGTAACTGGCAATGCCTTTGCACTCCTCAATGTTGTGTGGCGACTGCCAGGGACAAGTGCGCACGCCGTGAAGATACTTACTCGTGTAGCCAATGGTAGTGAGTTGATCCAGCCTGAGAAGCTTGAGAATGTGCACGGTGATAGCAGGTTAGAAGGGGTCACCAGGAGAGCTCGGATACATCTAACCTTTGTGTATAAGTACTCCTCTAAGTTTGTGTGGAGTCAGAGTGGAAACTGTGGAAACCCTCTAAGTTGAGGGAGCCTCGGAAGCAACCGATCGCAACTGACTCAAATATGGCCACCGTGGCGGCTCTTCGTACCTCCATATGTCTTATAGCCTATGAATCAACAAAAAAAAGGTATTTAGTTAGAATGAGTGCATAGACGTAGAGCGACCGATGAACAAATACATATTTAGAGCCTAGTAAGAAACATTTTGTCCGAGTCCTCCCGAGATTCTCTATTGTGGCGTGAAACCTTCGCGGCGCCATTTGATCGGGCCATGAAATGGTTGGCAGCTGGTTTGACGCCGCTCCTTCACTTACCGACTGGGTCTGTGGCCTGACATCCTGTTGTTCATGCTACGTCTGACCTGTACACGACGATATCTGGCCCATCACTTTCAAGGACGTCCGTCACTCAACCTCACTCGCTCCCTCTCCTCGACAGCATGTCTTCATAAAAACCGTCACCCTCACCGTCACCATCATCCGCATCCTCAGCCCGAAGTCAATCTATCCGAAGCTCCCGAGAAGGAGACAAAACCCGATGAAAAGGTCAACTATAATGTCAACTTCTACAACGCGTCCCCTGATCCCGAACATACGGACTATACTCGCGTGACGGCCAACGACCTCGAGTCGTTTACCACACCACCGACGCGTGTGAAGATGCTCGTACGCGACTTCATCGAGGACTCGCTCTATAATCCGAACTATGGGTATTTTCCGAAACAGGCAACCATCTTCGAGGCTAAGACGGAACAAGGTCCTATAGAGTTCACCAAATTGAGGGACACGGCGGAGTTTCAGGCAGAGGTGTCGAGGAGGTATCGCGGGTATGGGTTGGATGGCTCGGGTCCGGGGAAGCAAATCTGGCACACGCCTACGGAGCTGTTCAAGGTCATGCCTCTCATTCTGCTATCTTCATGCTGTTAACATTTTACGCTTTGCTGTTGTGGCTATGGCTCAGTAGCCGTACTATGGCCAGGCGGTAGCCCAGTGCCTCGTCGCGGAGTACCTTCTCAAGTACTTTCCATACGAGGACCTCGTAATATATGAGATTGGCGCTGGAAATGGTACACTTGCCCTGGACATATTGGACTATATCGAAGAGGAGTACCCAGAGGTGTACGAACGGACCCACTACCACATCATCGAGATTAGTAAGAGGTTGGCGGGATACCAACGAAATAAACTGTTGCCGGTCCATCCGTGCGTCCAGGTCACGAACGAGAGTATATTTCACTGGAATACACATGAACCCCGGCCATGTTTCTTTTTAGCTATGGAAGTCGTCGTACGTCCCTCTCCTTTGCATATGTTCTCTGGACCTTGCTTGACTTTTCGGCAGGACAACTTCGCACACGACTTGATTCGTTACGATACTCATACGCTCCAACCAGTCCAGGCCCTTGTCACAATCGACAAGAACAACGATTTCGGTATGCTATATGAACGGGTCACCGACCCTCTCATCGCATCCTTCCTCGCCCTTCGTCGACGCCTAAACGACCCACCACCCTACCCGAGCTTCCTCAATTCGCCCACAATCCGCGCCCTTTATAACAGCCTTCCGTTCGTCCCCAATCTCTCGCAACCAGAATACATACCTACCCGGCTCCTCAACCTTCTTCGCACCCTCCGATCTCATTTCCCTCGCCACCGACTCCTCTTAACCGACTTCAGCTCACTCCCGGATACCATACCCGGGATTAACGCGCCAGTTGTCCAAACGCGAGTTCAAAACTCAACCGTCGCGACCGAAACCCTGTTCGTTAAGCAAGGCTTCTTCGACATATTTTTCGCCACCAACTTTTCACGGCTCCGGGATATGTACGAACACATCCTCGCTCAACCCTCCACGACTTCCACTTCCGACTTTTTCGACTCGAGGGTGTCGCCGTTGTCGACGAATGCGTCGCTGCTGAGCGAAGGAGCGGGGTTCTTTTCGAGCTATCAGCCCAGGAACAGGAGACCGCCGGTAGATGGGGTGGCGAGCGCGAGCGGGCTGCCGGTCGGAGAGAGGAAGTCGAATGTGTATTCGCATGCGGAGTTTGTGGAGACATACGCGGATCTGGGGAGGACGAGATTGAGGAACGGGGACAATCCGATGGTGGACTATTATCAGAATGTCAAGTTCTTATTCTGATAACTTCTTCGTTGGTACATTTATTGTTCTGTTGATTAATGACACGAGTCATAAAACTTCTCCAGAACTCATACAAATCCGCCACCGGATATTCCTTACAGCTTGCCATTCGTGGAGGCTCTCTATATCAAGCTCGCAAGATGTAGAAATAGTAGTGGAAGGCTTCTCCAATCCTCTTGATCTCCAGTGTCGTGCCTTCTCTCTCTAGAAACCGTTTTCGGAAATGTGGTTGACCAAAGGTGAGGTAGAGGAACTGGCCTCCTTTTCGGAGCACGCTGATAGTTTATAGTTAATCAGCAGGGAATGACAATGGAGGAGATGGCTGGAATTTACCGGATCACTTCGTCGACTTCCTTCGTACAATCATCGATCACTTGTTGTGGTGGATCCTGTTGCATATCAAACGACTAAGGTTAGTACTGACGTGGTGCACAAGACAGTGCGACCGTGCGATACGTGCCCAAACGTCGCCTTTGGCGGTCATCATCGCATCCATCGTACCTATGTCGGAGGAAATTCAGTAAGACGAAGGTTTCAAGGTACGCCACGGTGGCTTACCCTTGTCAATCGCGATGTCGAACGAATTGTTCTCGAACTTCAAATCTCTGATATCCATTTCGTGCCCTGACATGGAAATCCAGAGCGTGTTCGAGAGTTAGTAACGCGTTCGTTTCCTCGCAACGCCACAACAGAGTGGAATCATCGTGCGTCTCTCGTAGTGAATTCCGGGTCGGGAGAGATCGGGAAAGGAAAGAAGGATGCAGAAGGGCGAGGACCGCACTGGGCCTACAGACTGACATTCCATCTCTGGTCGAACGCTGTGGCGCGACTTCATGCGTTCTATCACAACATCGGAATACTGGATGAATAGTTGTGACGGGTCGGGAAGATGAAGTGCGTCAGATTTTCAAACGGTGAATGTTCAAAGGATGAAACCGGGACGAACATCGATGTTCACGATGTTCTTGTAGCCATCATCGTACATCTAGAATGTCCCTCAGAAAATGAGCTGAACTGCAGACCATTCGGGGAGGTGAAAACCTCACGTCTTCGGACAGCGTCGAGTTACCACATCCAAGCATGAGGATCCTGGCATGTTTGTCTGGAATGGCATCACGTATGAGATCGGCCACATCTTCGTACTTTTTGAACCAGTCGAATGTGGCATCCGTTGCTTCCCTTAGGTGAGCATGTGTGCCGTTCAGCCGTGTTGCTCTTTTGCTGCGCGAAGATGTGCCGAGAGGGCTCACTGGCTATAGCGTTGATCCCTATACCACGTCGCGGGAAAAAACGAATGTGTATATTCTGTCAGTGGTCTGAGGGGGAAACGAACGGGACAAAAATAGTGTACCAGTACTGCTTCGTTCCATATTCCTCGTTCTTCTCGGGCAAATTATCTGTAAGACCCATGATAGTCTGTCGAGTTTTTTCTTGGTGTAAATTATATGTGGCGTACAAGATTGCTCTGAAGCTGCATGGGGAGAAGTTGGGTGAATGAAGTCCGAGACCTGGTCGAGGTTGTGGCGAGGTGCCTCTCGAAGAGCTGTCTCGACCGGGCCGCACGTTGCCTCAGCGGGTCCGTGAGAAACTACCCCGCATTGTGGCAGAACGCGGGGTCGAGGCTTGTGAATGAGAACGCGGCTCTCAGCAGACCTGCTGAGCAGTGCTGAGCGTGGGCGCTGCCGTATATTCCTTTGCGTATATAAAGTCATGGGTTCCCCATCAGCCTTGTTATACCCTTGCCCACCTACTCGTCTATAGAACTTGCGCCCGATTTTGTGAAATTTCCTCTACTTTTACCGCAAAGTTCAAGTCAATATGGTGGGTGTCGCGTGTCCCCACCTGGATTGTGCTTTGGGCGACAGTTGAGCTGACGGTTGCTGTCTGTCTACCATGTAGTCTGCATTCCCAGCATACGCTATGGTGTGTTAGCACTCAGTTCTCCTACTCATGACATTGCTTGAGCATATCTCTACCATCAGGGCGGTTTGTGCATTGCTGGAGGTGTGACTGGGTTTGCACGGACACGATCTATTCCATCTCTCCTTGTCGGTGTAGGGTATGACTCTTTCCGCGCCAACGACTGTTCTGGTTGCTAAGACATCTTATTCATCACAGCGTTGGCGCACTCTACCTCTACAGTGCGGACAGCATCCAAAAGCAGACGGCAAATGGTTTGGAGACGGCAGTGGGTGAGCCTCAATTCTCTTCATCGTCGGAGGTGTCAAGCGAGCTCTCACTGACTGCCACGACACCCCATCTAATAATAGGCGCTTCTGCTCTCCTTCTCGCATCCTCCGTTCCTCGTCTTCGGAAAGGCCCCATGCCATTGATGCTCACAGCAGCTTCGTTGGGCGCAGGCTCGTACTACGCGAAGAAGACGTACCGTGTTCGCCAATATCGTATGGCCGACAAGGACTTCTGGATGACCCCGAGCAACATGTCGAAACCCCATGAGGTTTAGGCGAGCATTAGTTTTGGAACATCACACACTGCGTTTCATGGGTCGAGGACTCTGAGGATTACCCGATACCCACATCTTTCAATGCTTTATTCTGGTCTGTACTACTATGTAATTGTACGTTCATTGCTTGTTCGCTCTCGCGTTCTGTATAATGCACACCATCCATGCTCGCATCACCAGCTGGTCTCAGGAGTCCCATGTGTCACTGGGGCCCCTATGCGTGCTGGTCTGACAAGCTTGGATCCTTCAAATATCCAGACTAGATTCCCATGGTCTCGGACTTTGTCTCCTTTCGTCTCCAAGCTCCTGCCCGATGCCTACATTAGTGCGCTTCTGTGGCGTCTCTGCAGCTTTCTCCAGCTTTCTCCGCGTTCTTCTAATTGTGGATCGTGTCTTTGTCTTTCTTAATTAGCGCTAACGTGCTTCTGATTGGCGGGCTGGTGGTCGGCGGTCTTTCGGACTTCCGAGGTCAAGTATCGCGTGGCTTTGTCCGCTCGCCGTAGGCAACGCCACGCAGCAAAACGAGGGTCGTGGCCAAGTCGTGGCGCCACAAAGAACGCTGGGTTCGTCAACCTGCGTCAACCCGAACGGAAAATGAGGTCACGCCTTGCCCCCGCCCGCCGGTACTCGAGATCGTTTTTTTTTTCGTACGTTTGAAGGCTTTGCTTTATCCCGGGAAGATGATGTGAATGCATGACTCATTTTCGAGAGAGATGGTCTCATGTATATGGCTTACGCTCATCTGGCCTTGTCTTCCATGAGCTGTCCGAGTTCTGCGTTTACTTGCTCATCGTCAAACTTCGCGGTGGACTTTCTTGGGTTTTCTGTCGTCTACTTAAAGAATAAAATTATACAACGCTAATTCCATGCCCGTGAACCGTGTTGCTGAAAATGTACTGGGTACAATCGGTACGCTTCTCCTTCTAACCATGGCGGTCTTCAGGATTTAGTATCTGTTTTAACAGCCATATATCGCGATCTCTAATAGGAACCGTTTGTTGGTGCGGCCAGCTGCTGCCACAAATATGGAAATCATACCGTACAAAGTCCACAGAGGGCCTCTCACACTGGCTACCGTACGTCGAGCTCCTCACGTCTGCTCAATTGACTGGCCTGTCAGTCTGACGATGGTATATGTCGACATTTGATCAGGCTTGTATGGGCACTTTCGGCCGTCCCATTAGGAGTATATGTCATCGTGCAAGACCTGAACATACCTTTAATACTGCAGCCTCAGTTGTTCACGACCTTTGCATTGATCTCGTGGGTACAGGTGCGCTACCTTATGTTGCTAGCAAGGTTCTCGAGTCAACTGATATATTTTATGACTGCAGTGTCTTTACTACGATAATGGTCGATCTTTTCGGTTCTGTGTGGCCGTTCTCCTCGGCATTATGGTCACAGAAGCCGCCCTCGAGACAGGCTTCGTCTACGCCTTACGGGTATGTTCACTTCCACCCTATCCCCATTTAACAAATCATACACGCCTCACTGAGCACGCTCATGGTCTTCTTGGACAGCCTGCTTACCGCGAGGGCAAAGAATCCGCAAAACGAGGGGTACAATTCTTCGGAATCCTGAGCTCAGTCATGATCTCACTCGCTTTATTGTAAGTCCATTGTCGTCATTCGGTATCCGTCTTATCCCATCACTGCGAGTAGCTTACCCTTCTGGTCATTTACAAACAGCCCACAATACTACGAGATTTACAAACATAAAGCCGTCGTCGGTATATCCGTTACGTTCATGATCGTCGACCTACTCGGGGGTGTATTTTCCGATCTGTCCCTCGCATTCAAGGAAGACTTTGATGTCATCGCTAGCATAACTTATTCACTTGTCGTAGTGAGTGCAATTCTCTTCGAACATCGCCATTCTTCTAAACCCCCGCTTCGTTCAGTTTTTCGACGCCATAGTCATCATTGCCGCCTTCATTCTGAACCCACGCGCACGTCGTCGCGAACGTGAGCGTCAAAGAGCACTCGCTGCCTCTAACGGGGTCCCCGAGTCGTCACCCGCCACTGGTACCGACACATCCAATGCACCAAATTCTTATACAAACACTATCGAGACCAGTGCGGCGAATACCGTCGCAGCTGCCGATGAGAGCCGTCCTGCTGTGGGTGAGACCGAGGAAAAGGATAGGGAGAGAGGGGTTGGAAGAGGCGGATTTGGATTGGATATTGAGCCGAGTACGAGATGGGCTGGTAGCGAATCACACGAGGTTGTAGATCTAGAGAAAGGTGAAGAGATGGGGGCCGCTCAAAGACATAACTTGGAATGACGAGCAGGGCACCGATATGGACCCAACGTGGAGGGAATCTCCCTGTCGTTCCATGCCCAGCTAGACCAATAAGAATTACAGTATGTAATGTGGCGTACATAGCTTTAGACGAAACAAAGTCGAAGGAACTTATGTCGAGAAACTTACAGGGAATTCGCCTTTCCGGGCGCTTCCGCAGCCGTCGATCGTATATTGATCGGCCGGCCACGGCACGGCACAGCCACTCCACGTGCGTCCACCTGCCTCCGTTGGGCGTCGCGCTTCGCGCGCCGCCACTTTGCTTCCAGTGGTCGAACTTCTTCGCTCTCTCTTCGCTCTCTTCTTTCTCGATGCTTTCGAGCTATATATGCTTATATGATCTGTGTTTCTCTCCTCATTGCCTCGAGCGATCTCTCATAACTGCAAGTGGAATTTATGTACGAGTTTTTCCTCATTTTGCTCTCAGTTCTTGTGCCACAATACTTAGCTTCAACAGCAATTTCTTGTCCAGCACCCTTATGCATAGCTGTATATGTGTATGTTACATCTTGAGTACTTGATTCCCCAATAAATGAAACTATATTATTCCATGGAGGAACTTGAGTCTGGAGAAAACTATGGGAGCAAGAGGCATTATATGTATGGAATGAGTGCCACACTGTGGCCCAAACAATGCATCCCGTGTGCTACGAAGGAAGCCATGGTGGCGCTACGAGGCTTCAGCGTAGCGAAAGGACTCTGATGACGAAGAAGAGACCGAAAAAAAAGATCGTGATCATGAGTGCGGACAAGCAAAGCACCAGCGAAGGGGCTCATGCGTTAACGAGGCATGCCGAACTTACTGGATAAGTTGCCAAGGTCTGTCGTTTGGCAGCAATAAGTGCAATAAGTTCGTGCCGAACTTAAACTTACTGGAAACTTACTGGCGATCAAGTCCAGTAAGTTTCTCGCAAGCGAGATGAGTCCGAGAAGGTGTGGCACAGCTTCGCACTTGCCGCTCGCCCCTCCTCTCGATTTGGACCGCTCAACGGCCGGATTTTATGCTCAAACGTTGCTTGAAAGAGACCTTCGGGTCTATTTTTTCGGGCCTGCGGCGCGTACAATTGTCCTCTGCGTCTGCGGTCCAAGTATCAAAGATGTTGAGCACGCTAGTACGTAATGTAGTAGTCTTAGAGTATCTAGCAGCCAGTTGTATTTTTTTTAAAAATACTCTATGAGTCGGCCCCTTCGTAGGCACGACGAGGCCTTCCGAGTCGATGCTGTCTCGCACAGACATCAGCGTACACACTCCGGAACCGGGCGCAAGACCACTGGCATAATCCCAGCCGCTCTCCCCAGCTCTTGATGCTTTCCTCCGGATATCCCGTCGCTTACCAAATCCCGTCGACTCGATCACCCGCGGCCACTTACACGAAACACTGACTTACTACTTAGCACCTTGGCATGACTTCAGCGCTCGAATTGCTTCGGCGTTTGCCGCAAATACCCCTCTTCGCCACTTCGACTGTAAATACTCTCCCCTAGTCGCTCTCAGTAAAACACCACGACAGTATTCGAGTTCATCATTGAATTATCGAACTCCAAAGGCCACGAAGGCCACGTAGACTCCTATTGAGGCCCCTTATCTGTCATTGATCGTCAATTGACTGGCATAGACGATGGAGACTGCACAGAGGCTTGCGCAAACTTGGGTGGCCACTGGGAGAGATGAGGAGGTAGAGGACACTGCTGCAGGTGCGCAACACGAACATCGTCAAGATGATATCTTGCTTAAAATGCACCATAAGGCATCAACAGCGGGGACATCAAGCTGCTATATGTCGTACAGGCTCTGGGGGAGTATCTTACATCGGAGGAGGATCTACTTCGGACGAAAGGTATGCATTATCTCATGCACCATTTCGCTCGTCTGTTGAAGCCAGGCTTGGTAGGTGTTCAGTACCTTGCCTCTGTCGTCGGAAAGTGTTCTCCAGACAAGCTGAATCGCCAGTCTGGTCCGTGCGAATCTCACCCATCGTCCACAGCTTTCGCTCAAGCGATTCGCAGTAAAGGTTCTCATCGCGTTCTTCACCTCGAAGCTGGAAGACACAGAGACCATTGTTCCTGCTCTAAATGGGATACTTAACCTCACGAGTCTTCCTGCATTCATATCTGACGATGCTGTCACTATCTGCGAAGCGTAAGTCCATCGCCCACCTCGCTCTTACGGGAGAACAGTCGTTGAGGCCAACTTTCAGTTTGTTTGCGAACGTGAAGATGCAGGCTCTGGTGCAACCACAGAGGCATGTTGTCTTCTCTATTTTTGACTCCCTGATAGCTCGATATCGACAAGGTGAGTTGATCGTTCCGATATTTATGTCGCGGAGCCCTGAACTCTGCTTAGCTCTGAAGAATATGGGAAATGACTTCCTGACTGGGTATATCGCGCTCGCCGATGGAGAGCGAGATCCTCGGAACCTTATGGTCGCGTTCGCTATAGCTCGTGTCCTTTTAATCGAGTTTGATATTCGTGACAAAGTGGAGGTACTCCACTTCATCCTAAATTTACATTCGGTTTTTTCAAAATTTATGCTTCTCTACAGGACTTTTTCAATATCGTATATTGCTACTTCCCCATCTCATTTCGACCCCCGGCCGATGACCCAAACTTCAACATCACTCCCGATGACCTTCGGAAAGCGCTGGTGTAGGTTTTCAACGAGATGGCTCTTCACTGCTTCCCAGTTGACCAGTTTTTGCAGACTGTGTTTGAGCGCCACACCGGCTTTCGGGGAACCGGCCATACACCAATTCCTTGAGAAGCTCAACATGGGTTCCCCAACGGTCAAGGTAAGCTTTTAGCCCATATCAGGTCTGTATGGCTCGTTAATTCCCATACTTCTCAGAGAGACGTTCTCCAAACAATGGATGTCTGCCTTCCCGTGTTCGGTCCTGTTCTTGCACGTGCTCTAGCCAAGAAAACATGGAATCACCTTCGTCTCGAGATCTTTCAACCCACGGACCCAGAAACAGAAGCCGAAGCCCTCAAAACTCTACAAGTGCTTATCAAAACTATCTACGCTGACGCTGACGCGGCACAAAATTCAGATGCAGATATTCAAGGATTGGCAAAAGAGGCGTGTGAGGAATGTATACATATCCTGAGGGAACCGGAGAAGAGTCAAGCGAAACCTGCCATCAAGGTTATCTGTGCTTTTATGTCAACAACGCGTATGTCTTCTTCAACTTCCCATTCTTCCCGGCGGTCATGTTGAATATCGCCATTCTGCGTTCACAGCCTCTGTCTCCAAGTTTACCCTCGCACAGGTCGTGCCGCATTTGATCAAGCTCTTCCTCAATGTGGACGAAGTAGCCAACCGCGGCTCGGTCCTCTCTCTTTTGTCCTCCCTCGTCGCCGCTGCACGGGACTGCATGTCTCGGCCAGATAATGTCTCGTCGACAGGACCACCGTTATTGCCATACAAGGACGAAGTTCTTGGTGCATTTACCGTTGGTCTGAAAGTTCCGTCCCTGGCATCTCCATCAATAGAAGGGCTCCTGGCTCTTGTCACGACTCCTGATCTATTAGAAGATGAAGAGATAGGTTTCGTGGTACAGAATGTGAACGACATACTAGGAAGCCACAGGGAGGATATATCAGACACCACGTAAGCCTACTTTCGAGTGTGATGCGCGGAGTGAAGATGTGATTTATCAGTTTTGGCGTTAAACAGGGACTCTGCATTGACTCTCCTTACGACTATTTCGTCTACCGCTCCGCATCACGTCTCGCAAACGACCCTTCCACTGCTCTTCTCTGCTCTCCCCGACGACGCGCCTCCACGAACCGACGCAATCACTCGTGCCCGGTACTGGACGACGCTAACTTCGCTCTCACGGTTGTGTGCTCAGTCTGACTTGTTCGAAACCCTCGTTGTCCGCCTCACTACGAAACTCGACCTCCTATGCTTCCCCACTGTACCGCCATCATCTGAGTACCCAGAAACGATGAATGGCCAAGAGGAGGATCTTGAACCGGCAGCGGCCTATGCACACGCACTTCTTACTACTCTTGGGAGCGTACTTCAGGACAAGGTAGATCACGGGGACGTTGATGTGCAGAAATACATAGACAGACTGGTGCCGAGGCTGTTCAATCTGTTTATATGTTCAACATTAGCTGCTAGCGAGGACGGTACGAGGAGGAGAGCTCTGTTGGTCTCGGATGCCAGGCTTGTGAGCGCTGCGGGGCGGATCCTCAATTTGGTAGTGCAGACTTTAGGCTCGCAGTGCGTGTTTCCTCCTCCCTTTCGTGATCAGTGAAATGAGACTCTGACAAGCCTGTCTGTGTTTCCTTTGCGTGTAGGAGGCAGAATACGTTTGTCAAAGAGTTGGTCGACGCGTACACGCAGGGACAGGTACGGAGATTTGCTGTCGGACAACAAAAGATATCTCCACAGGCGCATTTTGTGCCATTCGAGGTAGGCAACATCCTATCTTAGTCCTTTCTTTCTCCTTTTTTTCTGATTCCCTGGTAGTCCACTGCACCCAAAGCTCAGAAGGACTTAGTAGCACTCTTCTCGGAGGGGATCACAGGTCTGCATAAGGAGGTAAGCGTGGTATACATCTTCCGTCGACTCTTCTCGGACCCATCATGTACGACCATTTCTCATGAAGGTTCGATTATCGGTTGAAGACCCGAGCGCCTTCCTTAACATGATTCTCCAATGGAGCTGTCATCAAGCTGAGAACGGGCTTCAGCGGGAAAGTGTGTGGCACCTACTTGCTGCCGTGGTGAACAAAAGAGAGGAAGGTCAGTCCACTGAGCACTGTTCACCGTCATACGTATTCGTTTTTGACAATCTGCTGTAGATCTGAATACATTCCTATCTTCTCATCTGGACTCGTTCTGGCTTTCGGATGTCGCGAATACATCGAGTAGTCAGGAAAAGAGACGATATGCTCTTACTGCATGGACTTGGGTACGTCCTCCGACCCTTCCTTGCGTGAGCTCAAATAACACTTGGGCGTTTCGAATGTTGGTAGGTATGTAAGGGTTTGCTCGTGCGCAACCATCCGAACGCTTTGCGGTTCGTGAACCGTCTCTTCGAACTCTTCGATGACGATAGTGTCAGCTGGGACGCTGCGAGGGCTATCGGCGCTGCAATAGGATCGGACAAGGTGCTCACGAAGAAGAACCACGCTATTATAAGGGTAATTAATGAGACCTGGCTAAATATCTCCTGATGAAGGGGGAGACTAACGTTTCCATAGATCTTATACGTCCAAAAGTACACAAATGCTCTTTTACCGCGGATTATCAGCGGCGCGAAGGACGCGTCCGGTAAGTTCACGTTTTCACGGACGAGATCTAGTGCTAACTCTTTCATATAGACCCACGTCAACAGACTGCTCATCTCGTTGCGCTTACATCCCTCATCACATCCATCACGAAATCCGTCTATGCACACGAGATGCCAACGGTCAGCTGCTTCTTTCCTTCGTACCTCTCACCAGTTTGCTAAGGATTATCCACAGTTGATGCCACTCCTCCTGCGAGGGCTCGACCTTCCTGACCCGACAATCCGAGCTAGCGTCATTACGACTCTCCTTTCTGCCGCACAAGCTGAAGTCGAGGGCGCAGCAAAGAGCTCGAAGGAAGGGAGTGTATTCGCTGAGCATGCGTCCTCACTTGCCTCGACCATGCTACTGAATTGTTCCGTTGATATCATGCCTGATGCGGTGCGTCTACTTTGTCATACTGGTTGCATATACGTAGGCTGACATGACGGCACAGAGGGTACGAATAGCGGCCTTGAAGTTTTTATCCGTGCTGCCACAAGTAGTGCGGTATGATGTACTCCATCCGCAAAAGGCACATGTCTTGCGGGAGTTGTCGAAAGTCTTGGATGACCCAAAGAGGTCTGTGAGGAAGGAAGCAGTAGATGCGCGGTATGTTGTGATTTGTTTGCTCCGTTAGCCTACTCTGACAATTCTCGTCGTCAAACAGAACAAATTGGTAAAGTGTTTCTCTCCTCGAAGGCAGCTGCGACCTAGCTAACAGGTATAAATTCAAGGTTCACCTACAATGGATAGGGACCGGTGAAATCGTGGAGACAATCTTGTGTTGTACAGTAGAGTGTATAAAGGGAAAAATAGGTGCGAGCGAGAATCTGTACGCTGATGGCCCGTGACGGATATGGTCTCAATTGTGGCACCTCGGTGGCGATGACACGTTGGCCTGCTTGGGTGGTCGGCCGGCATACCACCGGCCCGGCACGTCCGAGTCCGCCGTCTACGCGTTCAGCCGGCGAATTCAACCACTTTAGCGCACAGACTGTATCTAGTTCAGCGATGGTCTTGGAGCTCGTGCCGTTGGATGCCCATGAAAAAAATGCTCTTGAGCCGAACTGACGACTCAGTGCGGCAGTATAAACTTCTAAGAAGTTATAAGAATGGTCACCGTGCAGGCAAAGTTTTCATCATACACATTCTCTCTCAACAGTCCCGATCGCTTACCCTGCACCAATGCGACCTTTCCCATATGACTTCACTGGTGGTAGTCCCGGCATGCATCACCACAACCACTGGCATCATCAACGATGGGCTCGGCGGGGCCCCAGCAGACTCCTATGGTTCTTAATCGGTGGTGTCTCGGGCCTTGCGTGGGTGAACCACCGGGACAAACATCACGAATTTCTTGCTTCGGAGGATAGCTGGCGACGGGGCTGGCGCTCTGATAGCAGTTGGGGATGGGGATTCGGGCAGGCCTGGCGTAGCGGGCGGGACGGGAACTATGGGGTGGACAAAGATTGGCCAAGGATTGATGCCACTCCGGGTTCATTTGTAGAGGGGTCTTCTAGGACTGGCTTTGGGCGGAGTGCGGGGAAGAGGGAGGACGTCTTGCAGGACACATCTTCGCAAAGCCAGAGCCAGAAGCAAGCTATGACGCGACCTATTGTGGGCGCGGTGATTCCCCAAAAAAGTGCAAACCTGCTTGGGCCAAACGCGGGATACGACTGGGATATGGAGCGAGAAAAGGTAAAGGATGTTGGCAGGCAGCTCTTGAAGTCGGTCAGTCGTTTTGCTTTCCTCGTCGCTGATATTTCACGAAATGACCATCATTCTCCCATAGACGTCTGAACTGTCCGAAGCGAAGATTGATGCGATGCTCACGGGGCTGCAGAATCTCAAGCAGGTGCGCAGTGTCTTTCGGCTGTCTTTGTATTAGATCTTAAGCCCCGAACGACTTTTTCAGCGTTTGGCAGAGCATCGCACAGCTATGACGAAGGAAACTGTGCCCACGATGCCGGCTGAGTTGCCTGAGCCTTCACAAGAAACAACCGCATAAATTATGAGACACTGGGCCTGAGGTGATCCTACCTCGTTTCCTTGGTTTCAACTCGAGTCAGCTTCATTTTTGTCGTTCTCAGTCCTTTGATCCTTCTTCAAGTTGTTTATGTCTCTCTCAATCCAATGATTTCTAATCTCTGTTAGCGGGGTGACTTTCCAGGTTTGGAAGGGAGCGCGCGAGGCCGTGACATCGCACCGGGCGGCCAGTCAAGCTGAATATCTTCTGGGCTCAACATCTTCTTGAAAGCTTTGTCTCCGCTTCAGACAATTTACAGGCAAGGCGGCGCCTCCGAGAAGATGGGCTTGTATCTGCTCGCTCTCGGCGGCCGTCGTAATGTGCTCCGATATTGTTGCTGGGGAGTCCCCGCTACCACGAATCCTCCTGTTTCACTTTCCCATATATCTCAGAGGAAGAGGCCGTGAGCGGGCCGACTTGAATCACAGCCTCGGCGGCGCGACTCAGTCTCGCATCTAGCCTTTATTCTGTCCATTCCATAATTTATTTCCCTTTCGGTTTCGCATGTCGTAGGCTGTCTGAGTTGCCGGGAAGTATAAATTGGTTCTGCATCTTGCATACAGCACCCCGTCACCGCAGTTACACCGCGCACACATACACCACTTACCTCCCAGTCATTCACAACTCTCTTCCCATCCGCGAATATGCTCAACACCCGCACTCCCACAGATGCTCATCGCACTCCTCACATCCCCAACCCGGCAGATCACATTCGGCGTCGAGACGAAGAATTTTACGCTCGCACCGCCTATGCTTTCGACGAGTACAGGCGATGGATAGACGGCGAGCCCCTCTCTCCCCTCTCAACGCAGGAGTCGTACACATTTCCCGACCCAAGCGACCCCGGCCCTCCTGAAACGGGAGCTGCAGCATCCATCGTGCCATACAAACCTCGTTACATCACCGTCAACAAAGCCTTCGAAATTCTACCCACTCCACCTGATGCGCAGCGACCACGGGTTCAACCTCCTAGTCAGCCAGCTCAACAGCCTTACATTGACTATGGCGGAAGGGTCGTAGGCTATGTCATAGAGACGGATGGGCGGATCGTTACGCTGGTCGAGGGAGGCCAACCTCTAGCGACCTTCGATCCCATTTCCGATGTCCAAAACATTTCCTACATCGCAGACCTCGCCAGTCTCGCCAGCCTTACAACCTCCACCCCTCAAGGCCACGGTGTCAATGCAGTCGACGTGATAAGTGCAGGAGAAGGGAGCAAGGTCGAAAAATCACCCGCTGGTTCAGAGGCTTCGCGGTTGGAATCGCACTAACAGGGAATAGGACTGTCACGAATCCTTGTTCCCTACTTCATTTAATCATACCAAAAACTACACTCCTGCACAGTCTCATATCGCATACTTTGTTCTCTGGACCCTTTATTGTTGTAAAAGTGCGCCCTCTGCATTGTACTAAAATACTACTAGCGTGTGCTTCCGTTCGGCTTGCCAATCTTGGAGTACCAGTCACCCATTAGACAGCCAACCTTTGACATCTTGTGCTCCGCAACGCACCACCTCTTGTGGGTACAGTGCTTGGGCTCGAGCTCTCTATATGTCGGTCGCTAATCATGCTCAAAATAATACCATCATCTCCAACTCGGGAGCAGAACCATGGACAGAGATCATTTGGACATCCTGTGTGCTACATAATACTAGTGAATGTGTACCTATTATCAAGGTGCCCGACCTTGGCAAGCCAGCTTGGGCGAATGTAAACAAGGTATAAGACAAGCCAGTGGCGTAATACCTGGCGTGGCGCAGTACTCTTAAGCAACCAATGCTATCAATTACAGGAAAGGCTCGAGAGCTTGGGGGAGGATGTCGGCGATGGCAGCGCCGTCGGAGGGCTCGATGGAGGTGAAATACTGGAAATGATGGAGATGGTCAGCATGAAGTTCCTGAGAAAGTCATAAGAGCAGGACGTACATCTCCCCACCATGGACCAGCGGCCCACCACAAAGCTCCGATCCAAGCTCCATCAGACTCGGCCAAGGCACAAAGAGCGCCCTGGACAGCGGCGATACAGTCGGCTAGACATCACGAAAAGATCAGCGCGTCTAGTACTGGCTACAATTGGAGAGAAACGAACCATTTGACCCAGCACCAATCTCACCGAGAAGGCCCTTCATATTGTTCTCTTGCAACCAGGTCGTAGCGTCCGCGAGACGCTCAGCGCCGATGGTTGTGGAAACACAAGTCTCAGAAGTGCCGGAGCCATCGGAGTCTAGGTATTGGTGCATCTCAATGGCGACATTGTCATTGGGGTCCTGTATATCTGCGAAGGCGTCTCCGTTACCAGACGAGGTCCAAGTCCATGCACCTAGAAGTACGAAGGAAGGTCAACATTTAGAAATATTCGAATACCAACAACAGTGGCTCACCAGTGTAACTTCGGGTTCGGATGAAAAAAAGTGAGTCATCCAGCCACACGTGCTTGTATGTTTAGACATACGAGGTACCCTCAACTAAGACCATCTGCGTAGTAGCACCGCTAGCACGAACACCGTTGAGACCAGCTTGCATCTGTCACATCTATCAGTACGGGAGTAGAAGATTGTCAACTACAGACGAACACACCAACTCAAAAACAGTCTCAGCCTCGATGTCATGGGGTTCGTTCATGAGATCGAAGACGACATTGCTGTTGTCAGCCTTTCACGATCATCAGCAAGCATCAACGCAACCTGGACCGTAAGCGGCTTACAAACTGTCCAGCCATGTTCGTCCAGACTGCATTGAAGACGTATTCGTAAGAGTGAATATTGGCAAGTGTGAAGTGGGATGCCACACGTACAGGTCTGGAAGCTGTAAATCGCTATCAGTATATACTGATACTAACGCAAAAGCATGCAGGCTTACTCGTCGGTACTAGTGATGACGGCGCTGTCGTACCTCATGTAGTTGTGCGCTATATGGCCTTAAGTTAGATATCTATACATAAAACCACTGGCAAGCAACTTACGCTCAATGACGGCGTACGCGCCAGCATCGGTAATGTAGTTCACGATCTGAAATGTTATTTTCAGTGCGTAGCAGGAAAAGAGTTGCCAATAGACACATACAGAGGTCAAGTTGGCCAGGTAGGCGTCATCAAAGGCACCGGTTATACCGGTAGAAGGAGGGGCCATACGCTCCATCAAGAACGGAACTCGAAACGTGTTGAAGCCGAGGTTGGTAAAGTACTGCGTAGATTCAGTAAGTGGCGTTAGTATGATTATGGGTACCGACAGCTTACGTCGATGCTTGTAGTCTCGGGGAAGATGAAATCGGTTCCTGCGGGAAAGCATCAGCCATAGGATACATCAATCGAAATGGGTCCGCGATCTCACCGTAGACACCAGGAATAGCCGTTCCGAACTCGGCGCCGGACTCGTTCACACCTGCTTATACCTCAGAAAATGCCACAATATTCGAGATCGTGCGGTCGGCGTACCAAAGTAGTCAAACTTGGTGGTGGAGCCGGAGCAGACACTGTTGGAACTAGTCGAAGGAGAAGACGCCGAGCTAGTGGTAGTAGCCGCGCTTCCACTGGTCGAGGTAGCGGCGGCAGAACTTGCAGCAAGAGCGATGGACGATGAGGCAACCGCTGCGGAGCTGGTCACAGCCGAGGTCGAAGAGACAGAAGACGTGGAGACACTGATGACGGATGAAGAGGAGGAAGCAGCGGATGATGCGGCAGCAGCTGCGGAAGATGAAGAGACGGCAACAGCTGTGGAGGAGCTAGCGTTCGTCGTAGAAGAATCAACCGAAGAGGAGCTGGTAGCGGGAGCAGAGCACTGAGCAACAGTAGTGGTCGATGAAGTGCCGATGGAACTGGCCACAGAGCTGGCATCAGAGCTGGCCACACACTGAGAGTAATCTGCAGGATGTAAGTGAAATAATGCGGGGAATAAGGAAGTTATGACGCGACCCACAATCGTTCATATATTGGCAGGTCGAGCCAGAATCGCACAGAGTATCGCCTGTTGGCTATTCAGGCTTCAATTCAAACCAGCATGGATATCCTCGAAATTCACCTGAGTAGTTTGTGCCCTGCATGATTTGATGAAGATTTTGAGTATTGCATCAGGCATGTGGTTTTTAGAAATTGAGGACACGTACTCCACACTGTCCATAGAGTCTGAAGGGGACTATTCAGCATATGCACCTTGCGAGAATATGTTTCTAACTTACGCAACGGAAATAGCAGGGGTAATCATAGACATAGCCAGAGTAATGGCTGCCGCTAATGATCTCATCTTGGGTACGCCTCGAATCAAAAGAGTGGTAGGGTGAATGAAAGGGAAGTTGAGAAACCGAGAACTGAAAGGGAGACTGGGGACTGTTTTGTTTTTCAGGAAGACTCGCTCCCGATCTTTTATACCTTGCGAGCATGTTTCTCCAGTCTCAGGGTCCGAAGTGATCCAGCCTGAGGGCGAAAGGCGGCTGCACTGGTGCCTCAATGAATATTGCAAACAGGCCGTAGCGACAGCGACAGCCCAGAGCAACCGCATGGTTGTGAGCCCCGCCAGGCCCCGCCGAGGTCGAAAACAAGCAGCCTCGGGACAAATATGGACGACAGCGGGAGTTTTGTGCGTGGTGCAAAATGAACTCGTCGAATACCAACAGTGCAGGTCTCGGCACAGCGCACTTCGATACGCCGTCCAGCGACATCCCTTGAGAGCGTCACCACGATTTGGCCGTCTCTCGCTCAAGAGCTACTAATATTTCAAGATGAATGATTATGGGTAAGGGACCCAGTATGTTAGACCACTGTGAAGGCAAGTTCTGAAGACAGCAGTGCGGGAGGTTTTGAACAAGGGTTACATACTATGATGGCAATGATGCGATCAACGACGTCGGCAACACTGACGCCAACACGTTGCCTCCGTAGTCTATGTGGATACAAAGAGAAACAAGCTCGACTTCCATCAGGCGCGACATTATGAAGAGCACTATGTAGAAAATACACTCGTGTAGAACATGGTTTCTTGGGGTCCGGGGACCGGCTTCGGACTCAGTAACATTCTGTCGCCGTTCGTTTGCTGAACTCCGATCCGGCAAATTCCTCCGCATGGAATAACGCGACATGACGGACGGTGCAGTACTGGTAAGTATACATCACTCGGTCACTCTCGAGACCTAATGCACAACCTGTTCTCTATCGTATCTCTACCCCGGCATACTTCTTCACCTTCTCTTTTGCCCATGCTCTGAAGGACCACCGTTTATGACCTGCAGGACCCTGAGCTGCCTCTTCCTCCTCTGTCTCGCGTTCCGGCTTCGCGACATTTTCTCTCACACCCGAGCCACCTTCCGCAAGTCCTGCAACCCCTGAGTCCCTGGCCACCATTCCACCGTTTTGTGGATGAGCCTGATTTCCTTCGGTGCGATAGACTTGATCTGGACGTCTTCTTGACTCCGGCGTCGAAGTCTGACTACGAACTTGAGAGGCGGTGGTAGGCTGTTCCTGTTGCGCGTTCGATGTACGCTGGGCATGTGTATGGGCTACGTTGTTCGCGTCAGGTACGTTTATACTCGAATATATTGTTACTGGCGGATGTGAAGGACGGGGTGCCAGAGGTGCCGACGAAGGTACACCCGCCGTTGCGGAAGAGAATGAAGTTTGCGCGGGGCTATTCGCGGAAAGTCTTGACGGTGTGCCAGGGACTGAGTTGACGGATGGGCTGGGAGTCTGCGGCGATACCCCCGTCCTCAGTCCACTGCCCCTTCCTCGCTCGGTAACTGAGGTTTGTTGTCGATCGGAAAGAGAACTGTCTACATGGTCAGAGCGGTGTGACGAGGACTTTGTGTTCGTGGAAGATGGTCCCGCTACGACCCTACTCGTTGCATTGTTCGAGGAATACTGGCCTCCGCGTGGGCGATCGTTAGGAGTTGAACCTACGTCGGAAGCGTCTTCGATTACTGTTCTTGAGTGGTATGCAGAGGGCCGCTGGAACGTTTGTGAAATGTGTTGTGGTTGTGGCATTTTGGGAGGGTCATTTGGGCGCGTAGAAGCTCTCTGTGATTCCGTAAAGTCTGCTGACGATTCGTTGGCGATAATGCGCACAGGAGGTCCTGCGTCGGGTTTCCGGTAGGGTGCCCCGCGGGATATCCCAGGTTTTCTGTCCGCCCACTTGTCCTCTGCGGTCCCTGGACGTCTGAACCTTTGGTTGGAAACCAATGTGGCATCAGATGCGTTGAAAGGGAATTCGGAGGAATCGTCGTCCTCCAACAACGTGGTCCCAGTGGCATCCGAATCCGTGCCTGGAGTATAATTCGCCGCGTAGCTTGAATGAATTCCTGTGTCTGGTACGGGCATACTCCGAATTGCTTCAGAGCGCTGTTTCCGTCGCGAAGGAGGAAATGGTGCCGCTGCTGCCGACAACATTGGTTCCGGGAATTTATTTGGCTCCGAGGACGATTCTGTTACAAGTTAGGGATGCAGGCCAGTGAGCAGGCCAGTGAGGTTGCTGATACCTAATTCGGCAGAACGCCTGTGAACCCCACGCACCTGAAATTTCGTATGTGGACTCTGTATCTGATTCTGGGCGGTCTGGCTGTCATACGGAAGAAATAGCCTCAGGCCGATACTCAAACCATTGGATCTGTTGTAGACGTACCTCTGGAAAAGCGGATTCGTCTTGAGGGGGTGGTGGGGGTGTCAGACATCTCAAATGCCAGTTCTTACGATCGCCAGGATTTTTGATCATCGCTTCCATGGTCATTTTGACAGCTGTAGACCATTCAGCTATAGCCACTTGAGATGGTTCATATATGCTGTCGGACCGCCGTGGGGTGAACTGGACTCGTGAATTGCCAATTACTGCACCGAATGTCTCGGCCTCATATAGTGCTCCGTGGATATCTGTACGTCGCGCTCAGCAATGAATAATCGCTCTTCTACCTCGACCACCCACCTTTAAGTATGAATTTATGATCCTTGTCAGTCCATATGTTTCCGAATACAACCGTTGATGACCCGGTGTCGAGGACAATATGATACCCGCTGTCCAGTACAACATACAGCTGCACGGTGGCCTTCTTCTGACCAACGCCCAAACAATCTTGAAGAACTCTTGCGGGTTCTAATTTTGGGCTTATGTCTCCGTATTCCCTCGGATTCGTACGGTAGAAGTGGGGGCGATGATCCAGAGTGATTGGGCCCAGGTCGGTTTTGAAATTCCTCATGAACCACAAGACCTCATCGAACGTAGATGTATGGCTCAGTTGGGCTGTCGTCACGGTATAGGAGGTGGTCTGACATTAGCCCTATAGCTCGTGGTCTACGAGATCTATACATACGTATTGTATGGATATATGGCGTGTCCCGTTTTGGTGTAGAAACAATGACGACGTCCACAGCTACCGCAGAGTCGTCTTTCTGCAGTCCACTGGATGATCAGGCAGAAGCCTGTCAGATGTCAACTACGGACTCACCACGGGTTTAATTTTTTCCTTGATCCTCTCCGACAATTTCTTCTTAACTTGATCTTTCTTTTTTGCATCACTCATCTGCTGTTTGATATAACTTTTACTACTGGTCAAGTTGTCTATAGCGAATAATTTTTCAGCTGAATGCCCGATAGAACAAGACGAACCTGATCACCGTATATCCTCCGGATCCCAACCAGGTTTTCACATATCTGCAGAGTTCGTATACAGCCTTTGCGACAGCCTTCTCGATATACTCTTGCGGCTTGCTTTCACTCTCCGGATCCAGGACCAGGCTTACTTTACTAATTACACTAGATTCCACATATGTAGACATGAACTTCGTACATGAGAATTGCCTAGTCCAGTATTGTCATGACTCACCTTCTTAGTTCTTCTGCTCGTGACATTTCAACTCCGCCTTTCCACCTTGAGAACGATTTATCATCGTCCAGCATTCGACATATATTTATGAGAGCTATCGATTGTTTTTGGAATCCTGAGGAAGACGGCACATTCTTGATGTAGCGCCCACAAATTTGGAGAAAAGCATGGGTATCATCGCGTACTACAAAGCTCATAGACATGACAGGTCCAGAAAATCAGCGTTCGAGTAGTAGTGGAGGGTTCAGGCAGACTGCCGCGGCGTCGCAGCACCGAGATCACACATGGAATATACGTATGTGTTTATGAGGGCGGATTGGGTTCACGTTCCGATTTCACAACTGTAGGCGGACCGTTGGAAATGTTCTTCCCTGTGTAGCTTGACGCCCTCCGGTGGATAGTGTTCCGCACTAAACCGTGCGTCGATACCTGGAAACACTTCCGTATATCAATAACGCACGGTCAAGGCGTTGTGGTAACCAGCGTTTGTCGCTTAGCGAACCGTGGTAATTACAATGCGGTGAGAACGAGTCGTGCTCTCAGGGACACACACTAAATAGTGACTCGCAGATCCTTGGGAAAGATGGCAATGACGGCATACCCACACAATAGCTTCATGTTGCAACATGCAAACCGCTCCACGACGCATGTGCCACATCGATACGCCACCGTCAAGGGTTCATCGTAGTGGCGTTAGCCCATGCCATTGGGTAGGCCAATAGCCTGGCTGGGGAATTGGTCGAACGTCGTGAAAGACAAGCTCAATTATAGATCTTGAGTTTCGGCCACGCATTATAGGGCTTGTAAGGACGTGTCCTTTCATTCGGTGGTGAGCGCCAGCGTTTGAACGATTGAGTTTCGGCGAAAGCCGGGATCAAACTTACGACTCGCGGAGCGCACGCTGAGTTTCAAACGGGAACGGTCCTGACTTCCCGCTCGTTCACATTTCTCTCACACAACCCTCACCACAACCTCGTGTTCCAAGATAGCTTTCCATTTCGCTCATTGAGCCCCTTCGTTCCGAGCTTCATGGCGTTGCACAACAGGTCCCATGATCAAGGAGTTATACGGCTACTAAGGCGCACTCCACTGCGCAACCACTACGGATGTCCTGACTGCAGCTATGATCAGGCGTGCCACTATCAGTGAAGACATGTCGGCGCTTTACCTCGTTTCATTCATGTTGGTCCGCGCTGCCATTCGTTATCCGATCATCCCGTTCTGACTCGTGTTGCTCACGACTGCACGCTTTCGTCTTGCTGTTTCTTTGTTATCCGAGCTCGTCATGGAGAGCCACATGTCTCTACTTCCAGTCTTGTACCTTTGGAGTATACTTACCGTGCACCGGCTGTGTACCAAAACTCCTGAACAGAATAGATCAAACCGACCGCTATTTTTGTTTGGGTATTGAACGCTCACATATAAACAACCTGAAGCTATCGTGATGAATTAGCATCGTACAACCCCCGCCGATTTGACTCCTGCCATCCCACTGGGCAATATGTCTTACTCTCTCTTCGCTGATCTCACGCAACCGCCCTCGACGTCAAAAGAGTTCGCTGCAACAGATCTCGTTCACCTGCTTATACAGTATGTCGCCCATGACGTCTGTGCCCTTAGGCGCAACACGCAAGTTTCCTTCCGTATTGTCGACAAGGCCCGCACCATCTGGACCAATATAAACAATCTTATCGATCGCACCGAAAAATCCGCTGCCTTCGACTGGGATAGTTATGACAAGTTCATCGCAGCAATAGACCCATTGGAGGAGTTTGTTATTTTCTTACAGGGGGCTGACTTGATGCTCGTTGAAGCTGATAAACCTTTCCTTACTGTTTAGGGCTTTATTTGATCTCAGTCTCACGATCGAGAAAGAGGTCAAGTCCTACTTGCCCGAGGGCACTGGCATCGATGTCGGACTTCAGGCCGTGGACACTTGGCAGTCCAACAGGAAGATTTTGCGCGACAGCTTGAATACTCTATGCAATTCGAAGCCCTTTAAGGTAGCGGTTCATTGTTCTCCCAGCCACGCTTCAAAATTACTGACATAACCCTTCTACAGGATCTCCCCGATTCCACCAAGGATGCGGAAGGGGACGAACTGAAAGACATCTACAGTGCTTACAAACATGACGATCTGGCCTTGCTTTCTGAGCTCTACTCATCCATCGAAGCAAACGTGCCGAATATTCGCAGTAAACGCATGTGAGTTTCCTACCTACTGTTTTCAACATCATCCCTTTGACCCCGTTTCACACCGCACACAGCGGAGAGCTTGCCAAGCAGAGCGATTCTCAGCTGAACCAGATTCGTGCCCAGCTTGCTGCTGCTCAGATGCCCGTCGACGACGTAGGCGATTCTTTAATCTACGACAGATACCCGCTCCTGACCACCCGTCATACCCTAGAATGTTTTTGTCCTGACGATCAGTTACAGCATGTTGATGTTTGGCGTCACGGGAATGTCGGCCAATGCAGCCCAGTATCCAGATTGGGCTTCGTATCCCAAAGTAAAAGACGTCTGGAGGGCAGCCAAAACGTAATTTGTTCGCTGATATGGCGTTGACGAAGCTTACAACACAGTCATCAGGTTTCTGGAGCATGTAAAGGCACAGCTAGATGACGCCACTGTCGAGAAGAATAAGTTGCAAGAAGCTTACAACGACTTTGTGGAGAAACTCAAGGTACGCTCGCATACAAAGCTCGACTATACAACTTTGTAACTCGTAGTAATCAACGGACATCAGAAATTATGTCCTACCGAGATGCCAGAGTCCTTCCTATCCCTGATGAAGACAGTGGGCACGATCAGAAGGCCGTACTATGGTCAAGCCTTGGCCTACGTTGCCGTTTGTCGCTATCTCGCTAAATGGTTCGAAAGCGAGGCAAACAAGACCTCGAAGAACGTCCTCCCTCTGCAGGAGTGGGTTTATCTTCTTCTTATTTGGTAACAACGCGATGACATGACGGCTTCTTTAGTGCTTTCGACAAGACTCTCGATGCCTTCAACGATGCCGTCGCCGCGGCTACGTCGCTCAGGGAGGTCGATTCTGTCAGCGAAGCTAACACGAAGGCCGTTGAATCGCTTGCAGCAGCCAAGGAAAAACTCAAGCAGTGCTTTACCGACTTCAAGGTCAGTGGTTCTACCTCTTCTTCCGGTGAATGGAGAATGTATGATGTACTTTCTCCAGCTTGAATCATGGAATGAGTATGACACAAAGATCACGACGGCGATTGCGAGCGATAAAGGGAGAATGGAGAAGCTCAAAGCGTATCAAGACAATGTGAGACGATTTTGTCCTTCCAACGACGAGTCGGATATCGCTGAACTTACATTATTCTGATAGCCCCAACATGCCACCAACGTGGATGTCATTCCTGCCGACACGGTTGACATCACGATCAAACCATTCAATGGGGAACGTGCGATCTCAAAGGAAAAAACTCGTACGCGAGCGTTCTCGCCAGTCCAGCTGCTTGGATCAGGCTAACGTAACCCTGTTCGCGATGTGATACAGTCAAAGTCAGGCCAGACGCCCGCCTCGCCGCCATCCGCCACGACTTCTGCAAGTATCTCGACGTGGCAGACAAAACCGCTGCCCTCGCTAGCTTTGACGCGTCTAGATTCAAGAAGGACGACGGCGCTGTCGTTGCTCTGGACACTGAGATCAAGGAGATTGCAGAGGACAAGAAGTGCACGCTCAGATTCATCATCGGTCCGCCAGATGTTAAGCCGAAGACTAATGGGGTTTGAACTTGAGTTTTGTTTGGCGCAAGGCTTGATTTTTTCTATCCGACACCTTTATTTACTACGTTACGGTTTGAGTCGTCCTACTATGCTTTGCCCTTCTATCCTACTTCGTGCCTTAGCCAGTATTCTTCAATAATATGATTTATATGCTTTTCTCTCTTCACCGATACGGGTTCTGAGCCAGAAGTTCACGTGCCACTGCCAAACTGCCCGTATTCTTGGTGATCGCTGCTATAGTCAGGCCTCACCGGAGAAGGCTTTGTGCTCTGTCATTGCATTCAATATTTAGAAGGGCCCTGTCGATTCTTCAGCGATGGCCGCGCCACAGTGGCTCGATTCATCTCGGTGGAAGAGTTCGTCTTTCTTCAGGAGCTGACCCTTTGGGCACGACACTGGAAACTTTCGGTGTCACGAAATTGGACCCCACGGCGTTACTGAGAGAATCAGCACGCCGCGTAGTAGAGGACGCAGTAATGTCTTAGGTGCTTGTTCGATTCTAGAGTAAGGGTACGTATGTCCATACAATATGTTCAGACAAGGTCTGTGGACAGTACGTGTTAGGCAGCACATATATTGGACAACAGCTCATAGCAATAAGAAAGCAGTACAAAGCAAATAGATAACGCTCGATACACATAAGCATACACAAATGAAGGATATGAACTTGTAGTGAAGGTAGTAGCCACTGCGGTACATCTTGTCTAGCATACGGCGCGGAGGATCCGCTCAGTTCTCTCCTCACCTGCGAGGTGAGCCACAATAAATATGCCCCAGGGGCTTCGTCTTCGAGGAAGATTACCGCAAGAGCGCATTAAAGTTATCAACGTACAACGTAGTGGATGAATGGAAAGACGGAGAACACGGCGACGACTGTCATGACAATTCTGGTGACCAAAGGTTCCGTTGTCCAAACGTACATCAAGACACCGATCATACTACATAGGATGCCGAGAAAAAGACTGAGAAACCCTGTACCAGGAAAGAAGGAGGAAACAGAGCGACCAGAGTTTCAGCGAAGTACAATCTTTCAATGAATTACGCTCACAATGCCATGTAATGGACCTCACCCCTCGACTGACGCCATACCTTGCGAGAAGGTCAGCGGTGCTTGCACTCAGCCTTCCTTGGGCATGGAGAGTCTCAGGATCAGACCGTGCAGCGTTCAGCGGCATTTCGCCAAACATCTCCGTGATAATGAGCGAGGATACTGTGGCCCCGATGTTCAGGAGAAGGCCAGAGTAGACAAAACCGAGCATAACGTCCTGAACACTTTGGTCAACATTGGCACGGCTCGCTAAAGGGGGTTGAGCCTTCATGAAAGTGAGGAGCTGAGCATCTAAGAGCACTATGAGTGCCGACTACGCAAATCCGCGATAATTAGCATTTCAAACCATTTAAGAGGTATGTTGATGAAGCATTGAAAATGCTACTCACTACAGCGGCAGCACTTTGAGATGACGAGATCCAGCTCGATTGTACAGCTTTGAGGATAGCGGGTAGATCATCTGGCTGCTTAATCAGCTTGAGCACCTCAACGGCTTGAGGCAAGATAAGGCGTACAAGAGATGTCTGTAATTGGTGCCATGATCAAGACTCTGAGCTATGCCAATGCTGGGTGATATCTCAAGCTTTAAGTATGATGCAACAAACAGATTGAAGACGAAGAGAAGGAGATTGGAGTATGAAGCTCGTCCTGTCCTCTTCGGCTGGTCTTTTGTAGACAGTAGTGCATGATCCAGACCGAGACCGAGGCCTTCAAGATTGGAGGACTAGTTTGTGCCCCAAGAGTCCTCGTGGATCATTCGTACGTTACCAAACACTGGTAATTTCGAGCTTCTATATGCTGCTTACAACGTACGAGGCGGGGTAGGTTGAATTCAGGCATGTCAGAGATTGTCTAACTCGAGAAGGATGAAACAAAACAAGGTGGTGTGAAGATGAGCACTGGTTTCAGGGAGTCATATTCTATGCGTACGTTAGTGCACAGCAACCGCAAGGAACGACGATTGCGACGAGTTAGCATTACATGGGCAAGGCGGATGCCTCAAGGCGTTGCTCGCGGTGAGCCTCGCAAATTTGCAAACTCATAGACGTCGAGAGAAAAGAATTATCGTTGCGCTCCCAGCGGATTATGGGGTTTCATATCGCGCAATCGCTTCTCAAGGTTGGGAACTAGAAACGAACTACGCGAGAGGGACTCAGGAGGAAACGTATGTATCAGGAGTTGTTAGGTTGATGAGACTACTGCTCAACATTCTCCAGTCTCTGCACTGGCGAGATGCACGAGAAGACATGAATACTGCTTCCCCGTTCTCCCAATGCGACCTGTGGCATCATCCGCTTGCGCGGAAATGACAAACAACACTCCTTAATACGTCTGGCCCTATAATACGAGAGGTCGCGCTATATGACCTTCATACGATTGGCCACGCTGTTTTTCATGCGACGAGCACGACATTTGAGCTAGAACACGGAGCATGCCAGACGATATGAATCGATCTCAGCCACATCGTGGGGGCCATACGGGAACCCTGTGTGCACTGTGCGCAACGTCGGAAGACACCAGCCGAACTAGCCTATTTGCGAGAGGCTCGCTGCTAAAATCTGGTACATACCTCGTAAGGCTTTTATGCTCGGTCTACGAATTGAAATCGGCGGTTGGTACCAGCACAACCACTACAAGGTGTGGTCCAAGTGATGAGGCCGTATGGCTAAGAAAAGTAGGGTCCATGTGTCGGATCGATGAGCATCGCCCTCAGGCCGTGGGGTTGCCACAGCGGTTTCGCCCGTATACAACGGCCACATTACGAGCCTAGAGAGCACCGAGGGGGTGAGACAGAGGGAGACAGAAAGGACGAACCTATCATCACGGGTGGCAAAGTTACGGAGGCTATGAGACGCACAAAGGATGCTTAAAAGGCTCAGGGATGGGGAGGGGGCCTAGTCGCCAACCGTCTTGAGACTCGCACCAGCCGTCATTCTCCCCACGCGTAGCAGAGTAGGTCACCAGCCTGGGGAGGGTAATGAAGAAAGGTGACGGTCGTGAGGACATCACGGTCTCGCTTACCGTTGAGTTGCACTGGACCCAAGCTCGGGTGACGAGTAAGCTCAAAGTACAAGAGCTCTCGTGGTATACGTTAGAGTCAACTTGAAGGACTAATTTTCTACTAATTTGTCCAAGAGCACGAACTTCTGATTGCAAGCGTGGGAACACTTTTTCGCCCAATTCGGACCGTAAGATGACCAAATTGGTACGAAATTCACGTCGCGTCTTACCGCCACAACGCCAGTATTCGCATTCTGTGAGAGGCCCTCGCTCATAACTTCTAGCTTGGCCTCACATCATCCTCTCTTAGAAGCTTGGTCACTTCTAATAAGCTAGTCGGCATCATGAGCGTAAAGAAATCGTGCGTATGACCTACTGTGCACTCTTTGTCTACTTTGTTGATTGGAGTGTGTAATGTGTCACTCAGAAAGCTGGATCTCCTTGTTCGCGTCCGATATCAAAACCCACTTCCAGCACCTCCATGTCCTCCGAAAATCCTCGATATTCCTACTGCTGTTCTCCGCTATGCTCGACCTGAACTTCTCGATTCGGTCGCAAACGAGATGCCTCTGCCGATGATCGTCGACGCTGAGTGTGGAATGCCCCTGGATCTGGCCAAATGGGAGGCGTTATGGGAAGAGGGAGCAGACGAATCTGGTGCGCTTCTTCCGGTTCACAGTCAAAACAATATCTCATACAAATCTACTGGCCACGTCCCTGCTGTAACGGATGCCCATATACAGCTCTAAATCCGGATCCAGAAGCAGTGGCTTTACTTGATCCAAAAGACCAATTGTTGCTTCTTGACCCCTCATCGTCCTCAGCCTTCGGGACAGGCGAGTTCTCGAGGGTTGGCTCCGGCGTGTCAACACCAATAGCGCATGTCCCATGGCTACGAAAGACGGAGTATATTAGTCGCGACGCGGCCTCTACCGCACCACGAATATCGCAAAACGATGTGTATGTCTCTTAATCTACGTGTTTTTGACTTGCTCAAGCTTTCAGACTGACATTTTCACCGATCGGTGCTCTCGTGTTCTCCGCACGTATAGGCGTGACCTGTACGATGAGGTTGACGTCTCGCACGAAGCTCAGCTCCGCGCTGTGGAAACTTCCTTTGAAGCTGCAAACGTAGACGATTCGCTTTCTTCCTTCAGGCATCCGACAAAACCGTCTGTGCACGCCGTGGAAAGCTATGAGATTCTGCCAGACGCGGATACATGGGCAAACTCGTACGACTTGTTCAAATTTAGCGAACGGCCCGGGGATCGGAATCCAGAGGTACGTGGTAAACCCCCACCATATACGAACCATTGGCTATTCCCCATGAAGACTGATGTGACATTTGCCCTACGATTATCCCTCTAGCTCGATGATCCACGGCTGGACTGCGCTATAATGCGACCTATGGAGGACGAGGGAGAGCATTATCTAGCATACTACCTTATGAAGGAAGACCAGGATGCCTCACGGTTCAAACAAGCACGACTTGAGTCTGGTATTGATGCACTCGTCCCGGAAGACGAGGTTTGTCTCCTCAAACTTCATCAAGCATGGTTTCTTTTACTGAAAATTAAATCTCTTAAAACAGGCTACAGATTTCCACTTTGTGCGAGACTACGAGGTTGTCAAGATCGAACAAGACGTACCCAACGAGTTTCTGCTACTATTCGATGATGGTGACATCGAAGTCGATGTGCCACCTTCTGTGTCACACCATATTCCTGTACCAAAGGCGGACAAACCTGCTGATAGGGGCGAGGCACGGGAGTTGGAAAAGAAGAGACAACGGGAACGACAGAGAGAGCCCCGAGGCAAAGGCGTGTATTACAAGGATATCAAACGGAAGATGCTTTTGAAAAAGAAGCGCACTGAAGTACGTCCATTAGTCCACGAGTTCCGTATCCCAGCCTTCTTAGTTGATTTCAAAAATCACCGCCTTCAGCCAATGGAGCACTCCCCAGATAAATGGGCACTCATTCGTTTTGCACATGTTCCTCCTTCACCCGAAGAAATTGAAGAGCGGTCCGAGACACTGGCGGAAGTCTACGACCCGCTCTACCTTCTACACGAAGCAGACGCAGAAGGTGAAGATGATATCGTCGTGCACAATGGCCCAACGACAAACGCGCACACTGGGATCACAAAGAATGGTGTGGCAAGCGGTGGTGTCATCGCTTTGGGTGCCGAACCTACTGGATCCAATGGTGCAATGGACGGGATCATCGAGCAAGGATTGAGCGGAGATGGAGCCGGAGTACAGGCAGCTGAGATGGATGCGAATGGTGGTGGCGAGCCCATCAAAGTAGAGTAACTCATTCGTTTCGATGAAGGTCTGTTACTCGTCTTGCATTGCTTATCTTGTATCGGTCATCGCGCTTGCTCTCGTATTGAACCATCAGTTTCGTACGATATCGCTCCCCGCAAAGGGTTGCCTGCGATTGGGTAGATATCGTATGAGGTCCTGGTTTCATTTACCATCCCTCCAAGGGCATCGCTTTTCTCAGGCGAGATTAGTGCGGATTAGACTGGGGGTGTTGGCATCCTCGACTTGTGCACAACGTCGCACCTATCCCGCCATTCGATCGTACAGGACGTTCAAACTCACCCCAGCGAAACCTCCGCGGCTGCTTTCGCCGGGCGTTCAACAACGTTCAACGGCGCTACTACTGCATGTAAGTCTCGTGTTCGATGCTAATATGAAGTTCACTCAATTCCGAGCTGCACAGCAATAGCGACTTCAACCCATACCGGTGGTCGGTCCTCTTAATCGATGCACTAGGATGCACTGTTTCGTCATAAGGAGCTCTTACTGCCTCGACGTCGCGTTTCCCTCGTGTTTGCACTGATCCTGCGTGATATACCGCTTTGACCTCGAGCGCGCACGATCTGCGTCCCCATGTTAATCTTTAAACACGAAAGTCATGGCACGAGAGTACGGGATAAGAGAAGGTTATGAAATGAGAGATAATAGCGGCCCGCACTGAACTTCTGCTCCCAGCGTCCCATCACAAAGCCGGAAAGGCAGAGTTTCTCAGCGCGCGTTTGTTGAGTGTCCGTCTGGGTTGATTTGAATGGTGTGTGCGGGAGAACGACCGGCGCAAGCTCTCGCTTTGAACGTGAAGATATTTTCCGGAGAATGTTCATGCTCTGTCTTGTGCAGTATGAAGGGACCAAGAGCGCCTCACAGGACCGCCGGCTTGTTCAACACTGTTCAGTTCGCCACTTATAAGCCCCCGAACTTCGCTAAGACTCGATACCCTCGACCGCAACAAAGCACCTCATCTCACTTTCACCCCTAAGCCCTCTATCCTGTTCCCTGATCGTAATCCATGATGAAGGACACCATGGAAGTCTCCTGTAGGCCACACCCTCCTTATGTACAGCAAAGTCTCGCTCATAATTTCATACCTATGCAGATACCCTTCCCCCTGCGATCCAGTCTATCCAAGCCAGCTACATTTCGTCCTCCCAAAGTGCTGCAGCAGTCGTACGGATCTGTTTACATTGTAATTTCACAGTCCGTGGACGCTGACCAGATTCATTGTGATAGTCTGCCCTAATTGCTGCCACAGACGCTCAGCTGCTCGGGTTCATGAAAGGTATCAAGCTGACGGACCCAACAGAGCCTTTCAGCATGCACCCCGGAGTCTACAACGCGATGCTGGGTTTGAACTACGCCGGTCTCTTCCTGTGCATCAGCGCCACCATATCTCAGCTCATCATGACGGAGATCTTCGGCGAACTCCCTCTCAACGCTGCTCGGAAGAGTGTGGGTGAAGGGCAGTTCAAGAGCATGCATCGGAATGGAGCGATTTCGTCCAGCCTGTCTGATTTGCTGGTCAGGTACGGTGCGAGGCCAGGATTTCATTGGGTTTCGTGGCACTGTGAGTTCCACCTTGATATCACCGCGCGCCGAAGCTTGAACATATTCCTCACCTCGGGCCTTTCACCGACAGGGTTCCTCTCCCTTTTCATTGGTATTTTTGTATCAGTCTTGAGCGTGTTGCTCTATATCATGGTGGAAGAACCGATGCCTACTAAGATTATAATGGGTTTTCTGGTCGTGTACTCCTTCATACCTTTCCTTCACTATTTCTCTTGAGGCTTGTCTCGGGCGGCCTTCTGAGACGGTTTTCATTATTTCGCCGAGATGGCTCGACGTGTTGACATCCTGTTCTCTGTTCCTGATACTATACCTGCCATACTGCTCATTTCAGATTTGTTGTGTAATATCTGTACCTTTCTTCTTACCGTATAATTCATCCTATACCCATTTTTGTAGTCAGTGAAAGCAGAATCTAGTCACGTCGACTAACCATGCACTATAGCTTACCTTACCGCATCGCCCACCAATCGAGCGCCTATATATTATATACCACTTTGTGCTTTGGACTTCCTCGGATTCTCGCGGGCGTGGGATGATAGAGTGCAGGATTCTCAGATCCGGGCGACAACGACGTCTGCCAAAAGGGGCGGAACAAAGACTTGACTTCGAATGACGCAATGAGCCAGATTTCCGGGTCCGTGAGCTATGCCACACGCCACATAATTTGTGGACGCGCCTTCCACGAAGAGCGCGTATTTCGCGTAAGTAGTAGATGTCGGTCATTATACGGTCACAATGGTAAGACACTGATGACATCTCAGCAAGCAGACTGGAATAGCTTGAGAAAGAGTAGATAGAGCTACAGAGTTCAACGTCGACGTTGACAATGACAATGTCACGACACAGCAGAAACAACACCGCAGAAAGTTCGCAATAGCACCACACGGCTGAGAGTTTCCATGCATCCTCGAGCATGGACAGATAACCAAGAGCCCTGGACACAGTGAGGTCTTGATGATGCTCACTGGGCCCGCTCTTGGGATCATGAGAGTGGCGTACGGTCGATGGCTGAGTTTCTGAACGACGATTTGTCTTGCATAGAGTCTGTGATGGAGAGGTCAACACGAGTGTGAGCATGCTACGAGCGGAATTTGAGAATGCGGGGAGGTGGGTACGTACCGTTGTTAGATTTGTATTCCATGACCGTTGTCATAGGCAGGTTCAACACTCGCCGTATCGTATCTCTGTGTGACCAAATTCATCAACATGGTATGAAATTTCCAAGCCGGGATTTAGTGGACAGCTGCGAAAGTCGTATGCGAGCAGGTATACGACGCACCTTATCCTCTCCCTAACCTTCGGATCCTCCACCCTGTTCCAGATACTGATGATATCCTCACTCTGCCTCACACTAATCGTACATCCACAGATTTCTGGCCACTCCTCTTCCCTCTCCTTCACGTCCTTCTCTTTATCCTTATCCTTCCCACTCGACGGTGCCACTCCCGCTACAGCACCCGACCTCCAACTAGGTTTATCATCCCCCTTCTTGCCCTTCTCCACCGGAGCCTGCACCTCCTCGCTCGTCCCACTATCCTCCTTCCCGTGCCCAGACACACCATTGCCATTCGTATTCCCCAAAGGGCCGCCAGATCCCACCCCAGGCGTAGGGTTCACGTCAGCAAACTGGTCACCTACAATGGCGAGCACAAGGTCCTCCCATAGACGATCTGCGACGCCTTTGCGAAGTCTGATTATCCATTTTCCACCGGGGAGGTTGAGAGGGTCCTCCCAAACTGGACGACGGACACCTGAGTGAAATAGAAGATAGTCTGTTGTTGGAAGAAGGGCGGAGGGCGGGAGGAGGTGTGTCCAGAGGGACCAGAACGATTCCACCTGGGATGAAAGATGAAAAAAATGGTAAGATTGATCTTGTGAGAGTCTCAGGATGAATTGGTGTACTGACGGAAGAGAATGCGGCTATCTTCTTGATGCCCTCTTCGTAGTTGGTAATTTTGTTTCCAGGAGTACGTTGTTGTCTGAACCAAAAGACCCAGCTACAAAAATGGAAAAGGAAGTGCCAGTGATCAGCGGACATAGATTTACATTGGAAAAGCGGATTCCGGATACAAACGTAGATCTGAGTGGATGTACGGTCGTCTGACCGGCAGTTAGTCCTGCAGTCTCGGTCTCGGTCAATGAGGTTGAGAAGTGGCGACTAGGTATGCGAGGCCGTGCAGCTATACCTGCAGAGGGCGTTGTTGCAGAAATATTAGAGGTAGGCGGCGTAGACACAGTCGTGGTTGTGGATGAATCCTTGTCTTTCCCCGAGTTTGCGACGAAACGGGAGTGTGAGGCGGAGTGGTTGGAGAAGTAACCAGCCATAGACTTTGATGGGTGTTGTAGTGGGAAAGGGGATATGAATACCTATAAAAATAAGTAAAATATCCGTGAAGATGCTGGCGTCGAGTGTCGGCTGTCTGATGGATGAGGTTAGCGTTAAAGTGGAGGAAGGCGTGTATGAGTATGTGGAGTGAGGGAGAGCAAGCGTGAGTGAACAGGAGAAAGTGCAGAAATTCGGAAAGCAGGAAAAACGACACAAGTCCGGCCGGCCACGCGACCCGCGTTCATCAGCCAAAGTTCATCATCCACTTCTCTTTCCCCCTCCACGACCTCCCCCATCCCTTTTCCTTTGTTTTGGCCTCATTTGTTAGGATGAAGCTCACATTACGACCGGAGTGGCGGCTGAGACCACTTTCCTCATTTCTTGGGTTCGTTGACCTCAAGACAGGCGTTACCATTGCCCTTCTCTTCGCAGTGCGTCAAACATTTCTGGTTCTTATGTCCCTACTATGCTCATATGTGTCTTGGGATGTAAAACAGCTTCTTAACAAAGTCGCGGGAGTATACGGCTTGATCGCGGTGTTGACTGGTGCAGGTGGCTCTGCTGCCCAACTGAGTCTTTACATATACTCTGTCCTCGGCCTCATCGCCCTTGCATGGGGCCTTAAAGCCGTAAACGAGGTCAGCATTCCTCGCGTTCTCATGCGTTGACATCTGTTGTATACAAGCCCAAACTTCATGTCTCAATATTAACTCTTTATTTACAGGAAGACCCCAAACGAACCCTCTACTTCGCCCACCTCTTCGCCGCAGATCACGTCCTTTCCACAGCATGGACAGTATTCTTCGGTGTTACATGGTGGATCTACACACCACACGACGGACGTCGTGTTTCTAATTCCGCTGCTCAACAGGCCCTGATTGACGGATACATTGGAGAACACCAGAATTACACTGACGCGCAACGCGCGCTTGCCGCAGAAAGCATCTGGGGACGAGAGAAGAACCAGGCAGCTGCTATCATCATCCTAGGCTGGCTGTCTAAGGTCTGTCAGTTTTTGTCGCTGTCCGAAAGATGTTTTAGGCAGTCGGACCCATACAGACACTAACCGACCTGTCACGCGCCACACCTATCCAGTTCTACTTCGCTGCCCTGCTCTACTCCTTCGCTCACCACCTCCGCCGCAATACCTACCGATCACTCCCTCTTTCCCGCTCCCAACCTGTTCCATCCTCCTCATCTTCACGCCACCCCTCTAACTCAGCCTACTCCTCCGTGCCCCTCGATGGCGAAGACTACGAACTTGACGACGAAGGCTCCGATTCCTTCTACGCCCATGGTACACCCGGTACCCCGCTCTCTTCCACCATCCCGGGCATTAACTCTGCATCTTCCTCCTCTCAACAGCAAAGCAGGGCGAAGTCGCATCGTACGAGTTTAAGCTTGGATAAGAGAAGGAGTGGCGCCGGTGGCAGTGTGGGAAGCTTTGCGGATTTCGTGTCGGCACCACCGCCGGGGAGAAGAGCAGCATCACGTGCTGCTGGTGGGTCGGGTGCGAATGGACCACAGAGGGGGAGTTTGTTGGTTAATGGGAACGGAAATGGTGTCGTAGCCGCGGGGTCGAGTAGGAGTGGGAGTGGAGCTAGTGTGAGCGGGAGCGCGAGCGGGGGGAGTGTGGATGGGGATGTGGTGTTTGATAGTACGAGGGATGAGGGTGACATGGGGGTTAGTGGAAAGCGATGAGATGAGTGTACAAACGACGCGTCGACACATCCCAGAGCCTGGAATATCGGACGGTTCATTCATTTGTTGCTTCGACTGGTAAAATATCAGAACTTGCAGTCACCCCCGCATACCTATACATAACTACGTACGTACCACCATATTATTTAATTCATCCGTTCTCTTTCGTTGTCTGTCCATAAACCTGGCTACATGTGGCGGTCGTGCCTTGTTGTTTACTACTTCTACTTACCGGTATCATCTTCATCCCCATACTCACTCATCCTTGAACCCCGCACCTTCGCTTCTTTGTTATTTCTACTCCGGTTCTTGTTTTGTCTGTGCGCGAAATTGTACAGAACCTCCGCCATCTCAAACTCTCTTCCGGCTGCTTGTGTGGACGCAACCGTCGCGCCACATCGGATCCATCCCAGTAAAAGCCTATTCTCAGCATCATACAAGACGTCGAGACAACTAGATTGCTCCATAGGAGAGGTAAGTAAAGTACTGCTAGGAGAGAAAGAGCAAAACACGGCAGGTCTCGGAAGTAAAAGTACACATGTGAATCGAAAAACCACAACTGTAAGTACAAGTCATCAGGGTCGCACGGTTTTGTTTAAGGGTATTCTGCAGCCTTATCAAAGGGATATGTCTGGGCGGGTACGCCCGGTAAAGTAATGTCTGTCTTCACGTAGAAGTTGAAGCATGGCCATAGTGAGAAGGCGACGACGAAGCTTATTAGGATTTTCATAGCTAGTGACTCTTCAATGATAACGTAGATCCAGATGCTCAAGACTGATAGTATGATGCCGAAGATAAAGCAGAAGAACCCTATGCGCAGAACAAAGGGATGTGTCAGGCGAGTTCAGACCGCTACTAGAAACCCTACTAGGTTCAAGCACGAGAAAGAACTCACAATGCCACTGTACCGGTCTCAGACCCTTTCTCATCCCATATCTGCGAAGTAGGGCAGGCACACTCTCTGATATGTTTCCTTCGTTGTGGAGCGAATCTCTCACAGCTGCGTCGGCTCTCCTACGGGCTGCGCTCAACGGGAGTTCGCTAAACATTTCCGTAATTATAAGGGGAGTAACTGTCGCGCTTATGCTGAGGAATAATCCGGTGTATAGGAAGCCAAGCATGACGCTGTAGGCCGCAGGGTGGGATGCAAAGGATTCTGACGGGTCCGTGATATTGATCCCTTTCATGAACGAGAGGAGTTGGCTATCCCCTGCTGCAATGAGGGCAGACTATGTGTTTGTAGGGAGCGGAGGCATAGGTCAGATTAATAGTGGTAAAGGGTATGGGGGATGTGGAAGAGCGGCACGCACGACGGTCGCGGCGGTCTGCGATGATGCAATCCAGCCGCTTTGAATAGACTGGAGTGTGGTGGGCAGCTGGTCTGTATCACCACAAAAAATAGCACATTCTGTAAGATAAGGGTAGAAGGTCATCCACATAAAAAATAGGCTCACATGCGATATCTACAGGCTGAGGAGAGGCCATTTTAATGCGCGATGGACGGAGGGCCGAGGGTTCGATGTTGAGGGAAGTTTGGTCGTTCTTGAACTCCAAGCTAGCCAGGATATATTTTATACAAAACAAAGGTGGCGGTTGCCAGGATTGAAGACGAGACTTTCGAAGTGATCGAAGAGGGCAGTACTTCGCCGCATCGATATAGACCTTGTTGGCACAGCTGACACAGCCATAGACACAGGACCATCACCGCCGGCAGCTAAATAACGCTATGAAGATACAGTGGAACAGATTCAGAATGTGAAGCGCAGGGCCGAGATATTCACAGAAAGCCTCGATTTCTGCTGCGTTAGAATGGGATTAATAGAAGTGAGCATAAAGTCAGAAAGGTTCGTCCGACGTGCGAGTCCGCGGCGCCAGTGTAAGACAAAATGGGGCACATGAGGTTGGCATGAGGGTTTCGTGGTAAGGCAGAATGGCTGTTCTTTCGTGTAGGCTGACGAGCCTTGAATGGAAGTCGGAAGGCAACTGCTATGTCCGAGAGTCAGAAGGATGCAGAGAACGGTGCAGGGCCACGGCACAACACACCGTCACATATCTCCGGTAAAAGAAAAATCTGTACTAGGTATCAGTCCTTTTCACCGACTGTATCACATGCGTCCCCTCCTCGAGCGGTCACATAATTTTCAAGGGCCTTGCAGAGAGAACAGAAACGCAGTAACAAAGACGGCACAAGTGACCAGGTTTTGTTCAGAATGTCTGGAAAACGCTGACTGTCTGGCCGCAGGCCTAGGACCAACCATTACGGCCAGAGCCCGGAAGCTTGGTTACAACTCATTTACCGGCATTTACCGTGTCGGAGCCGAAATCCATTCTTTCATTCGTATGGTGGCGTTAGCCACTTCATGTCACGCCGCATTCAATTTTTTCTTGACTCGGAAATAGGATTTCTGGGTTCAGAAACCCCGATTCCAGAGTAAATCTGCCGTCCTGAAGTCAGGGGATTTTCCTAACCCTAACCCTAATCCAGCGGCGAAATTCTCGTCGAGGCACTGCACCAGCCCCTATGGGTACCAGATATATATCGTGCAAATGACACCCCTCTGACTCTAACTAACTGTAGAATCACGAGAATCTTACCCTACTGGCCTTTAAACAATGTTGCAAGAAGATTCAAGCCTTTCACCGGGCCACTGTGGCGAGCGGCAGGGATTGTAGTGGTGACAGTCCATTCCAAATATGGGAATGTCACATGCACGTGATGTGACAAACGGCGAAATTTCTCTGAGAAAATCCCCCCCCGGAGAATTTTTAAAAAGTGCTCCGACCATTGTCTAGATACCATCCTTAGGGTTCTATATATGCAATTATAAGTCGTGAAACCCCAGAATGAGTGTTCCATTCAGGAAATGGTTCCATGGCACAAGGCTTGTCACGAAGTGGCTAACGCCACCATACCGCCTCCATCTACATGAACAGTGAACTTCTCCGGCCATGTCTTCCTCTAGCGAGTCTATAATAACGCCCTCACAAGCCATCAACACAAACGAGCCGCTGGACAGACTTCCTTGCGGCATGTATGGTTACCTTTATACCCATTAAGCGTTAAATTTTGACACTCATTAGGGCGATAGATGTCGGCGTCAATTCTCCCGTTACCTCTGTCCTCGATGCAATATCCCCTATTGCTCTCTGACGTGCTTTCGCTCCGAGGTGCGTGTTGACATGACCATAATTTCTACATATTGCTGAGATGATGCATCTATCATCGCATATGCCACATGCACAGTTGCATTCGCAATGCTCGGAAGGATTCTACAAGACCCAACTCGAGAGCGATATCAATTCTTCACAGTCAAATTCTATAGAGGAACGGTTGCAAATGATGAACCTTTTGAAGCGGTTCGAAGAAGAGAACGCGGAATCTGACCCACTTCGAGACGATGATGAGGACGAATCCGATGAGGATGACTTGCAACACCGACTGGCTGGGATGAACCTAGGTACACTTTGCAATTCATTATCCATCGCACTCGTTCACTCATGACGTAATAATTAAACAGACGAAGTGACAGAAGAGCAGCTTTGGTCTATTCTAACACCGGCCGAACGCGATAAATTTACCGCTGCTGTGCGCGATCCAGCATCAAGCCTGGCCCAGACATTACTCGAGAGTCAAGAGATCGACAACGACATTACACGGCCTTGGTGGGAAGCACCGTCAGACGTGACATCTCAAGGTGATATCAGTAGAGCACACAGCAGAATCGATCAGAAATTCGGACACAGTCCACAACTGATGCCCGTGCCACCGTCCATGATCCCGATATCGAAAGGTCCTGTGCCGGCCTTCCCACTTGCCTTCAACTTGACGGCTATTTTGTAAGTAGTTTCTCTAGGCAAAGAACTTTAGCTAATACGAACATTCTTTGCGCTGAAAAAGACTGGCTTACTCCTTCATCACTCGCCACTTCGCTGCGTCTCCTCTGTCGGGACTTACTGGCACGCCTCGCGACGCGGAAGCAGCGCGGAATATGATCTGGCGTCTTGTCCCATTGCTCACTGAAAAACGGTCGGCTGTAAAACTCGACACATTGTCTGCTGCTATCACGGATGTCTGGTCGCGCTTTGAGGCGGTACGTTTCCATGCTTCTACTACTTGCCAGTTTTTGAACGCGGAGGCTTTCTAGGGCATTATGACACCGGCTCTTTTTGCACTTTTACTGCGGGATACTGCGATACTTCTACGACCTCGACATGTATCCTTACTCTCGCCTGGGGAGAATCAGTTCGACATACCATCTTCAGATTTCTCTTCAGAACCATGCGTTTCTACACTTCTCGCCCTCTCTGACCTCCACGCGCTATTTCAATCATCCTCCCCATCTACTACACCATCGAAGAAGACAGCCGAAGGTCCTTCTAAACCATCAAATAAATCACGTCGAGAACATGTGCCCCAGAAATTGCTTTTCTATGCTGGACAGGTGTTAGGCACGCCTCCGGCATTACTGGAGATGCTTGTTGCGGAAGTAGAGGCCAGATCACAGAAGATGGAGGAAGAAGGGTCGATGGCCTCAGGCGATGCTTTCGCGAAAAGGTCTGGTAGTGTTGCTGATCCGTCGAGCAAACCATTGGGAGAACGGAAAGTACTTGTAGAGGAGATCGCTTGACTGTTAGTAGCGGAACTAAGCATGGTTATCGTATTGCGTGAGAATTGATCTTTTGCGCTATGGTACAACGTTCAAAGCTCAATAATCCAGCTCTTTTGAAAGGCAGTTACAGACGAAAAATATACGAATAACTCCAATCTAGCTTACAATGTTGTTCACTCCTATCCCCACTAGTTTGAGTTTGAAACGTTCTCTGCAGAGTCAGTCAATTAACAAATACCCCTTACTTATGACGTAAGAATCAAATCTTATCAGATAAGAGGCCTCGAACAGACGGACAAGTCGCCACGCCTCTTCCACGTCTAACTCCCACAACCGTTCACATATCCTACGCCAACAGTAAGTCATGTATTCAACAGATATCTAGTACTATCATCTAGTACTTGCGTGGACTGCAATCCGAATAGAACTTTCATTGACGAAACTGTCACTAGAATAACATGTCTACAGTCGAGCCCTCACCCACATCGAACCCACCTCCCACCGAGGTCCCTCTTCCCGCACCCACTACCGCCGAAGTCACCAATGCCGAGTCATCAGTTCCAGTCGCCTCTGAACCGGCCGTGGAAGCGCCAGCCAAGGTCGAGGAGACCGCCTCAGCAGTAGAGACTGCACCCCCCGCAACCGCAGCACCTGCCGAGACGACCGCGGCTGCCGAGCCTGAGAAACCGAAGGAGGCAGAGCCTGAGGTCGATGAGCCTCAGAATGCGTTGACGAAGAAGTTTACGGAGAAGGAATGGGCGGCTTTGAAGGAGTTCAGGGTATGTTTGTCTCTTCTGTCTCCATTACATTCCGTGTTGGTTTGCTTGGGAACGGCCGTTGATTAAGAAGCTTTACTCAGAAATTGCTTCCTGAAATATTCGCAAGCGCGTATGAGGAGAAAGGGGAGGCGAAGCGTCAGCCCATTAAGATTTGGGGAGTCACTATCGACCCGAATGGCAAGCCGGACGCGAAGGTCAGCGTTGTGCTCATGAAGTGGCTTCGTGCGAGGTGTGTTTACGCCCCTATTCGGTTTCCTTTCGACCCTCTCACGCACCTTGTCGCCTTCATACTCCCTGCACCAATGATTAATACTGTGTCACTACAGGAATCTGAATCCGGCTGAGGCGAAAGCGATGATGATTGCCACACTCCGCTGGCGCGACGAGTTCAAGGTGGATGAAGCTATTAACGAGACGTTTGACGCTAAGATCTTCGGGAATATGGGCCATGTCTATGGGAAGGATAAGGAAGGCCGACCTGTAACGTATGTTTCTTCGTCACGGGTAGCGTCTTTCTGCTGACATTCGCAATGTGCTCGTCCTCAGATATAACGTATACGGAGGCGAGCAGGACTTGAAGGCTGTCTTTGGTGATGTTCCACGTTTCTTGCGGTAAGGAGCTCTCCTTTGTTCTTATGGTCTTACTGAACTGATTCATGATGTTACAGATGGCGTGTCCAACTCATGGAGAAAGGTATTGAGGAAATCGACTTTGAGACCGTCGATTCCATGGTGCAGGTTCATGGTGAGTGGTACCTCCACGTTGCTCACCCGACTAACCTGGACTCTGTCGCTAACGCTGACCGCTGTTGTACATAAGACTACGAAGGTGTCTCAATGAGTAGCCGCGATGCTAACTCGAAGCAGGCTGCCTCGGAAGCCAGCTCTATCTTCCAGAACCACTATCCTGAGTTCCTCGTAAGCCACAATAATCCCCTTCATAGCAGGCCTCACAATATCGTTTACGCCCGAAAATTGACTTATGATGCTCCCGGATAGTCGCGCAAGTTCTTCGTCAACGTTCCTTCGTTCCTCACCTGGATCTTCTGGCTCTTCAAACCTCTCCTTTCCGCGGCCACGGTCGCCAAGATGCAGGTGGTCGGCACTGGTCCTCACGCCATCGGCAAGGCCCTTCTCCCCGTCGTCGAGAAGGACCAGCTTCCCAAGAGATATGGAGGAGATGCAGAGGCGTTCTAAACTCTCGTGGCTTTAGTCTGGTGGTGGAGTCCTCATGATCGAAACAGTTTCGTCTTTCAGTCGCGCCTAGCTCACTTCCCGCACCCTAAAGGGGTTTTTGGTTAGTTTCCTCACTTGTTCATATGCTGTTCACTTTGGTTTCGTGTATTTTTTGCTTCTGTCGCTGCTTGTTTCTGCTTTCCGGATGTCTTTCACTCATGGGGATCAGTTTTGTGCACATACCCCATACTATTTCAGTTTCTCACACCCTAATTCCTGCTATGGTTTCTTTGCTCTCCTGATATTACACCTCTATCACCACGTCGATCCCCCCTCATGTACATTGCTTAAACGCCCTACTACTTGTTGGATTTTCTGCTCTTGGATAATTCAACAGACTTTGCTTGTCTTGATGGGTTTTCTGCTACTTTGTGGCGGAGGTTCGAAAACGCCACAATCACAGCATATTTTAAAGTCTGTAGAGCTTTAGCTCCATCTGTTCAACATGCTTCACCTTTCAGGAAATGCCGTCCCGTATACAAAAAAGGCTCGTTCTTTCCAACGTTAACTTCTCCTCGCTCGCCGTAAAGATACACGACATTTCTGCGTGGCCTCCTGAGCCTATTATTCCAAATTCTTGATACAACGCACGGAATCCCGGCGGACTGCCCTTTCCAGAGATACCGCCTAAAATCATACTGCCAGGAAAGCAGGAAGGAACGCCGTGGCGAAGATGCCGGAAAGTAGTTGCGCAGATGTCGGATGTGGCCCGTAGGCATCAATCATTTCGGTCAAATAGGGCGTTTATGGGTTATGGTATGTGTGCAATGAACATCGTGTCTTGCTTCTCGTCCTGCTTTGACTCGACTTATTCACACTGACCTGGGTAGAGGGTAGAAAGCTTCATCTGAGATCGGACGACTGCTTTCAGTTACTCTCGGTGCTATAACTATATCGTTGGCCTCGCAGATCCTAGACATCTTCACCCCGACCTTTGTTCCTGTTCGTAAACCACATCTGGAACTATGGCTCCTACCGCGACCACCGAAGTCCTCTCCGCATCTACCAATGGGAACGGCACCACCGCATCTTCTGGCAAGGACTTGAAAGCGGCGCTCATCTCCTCTCGTCCGTCCGCGATCTTGCACCGTACCCCGTGGAGGCCACCCGTTGCCGTGAGCGCGGAGGGGATCTATGTGACGTTGGAGGATGGACAGACAGTGATTGATGCAGTGGGTGGGGCTGCGGTTGCGTGTATCGGAAATGGACATCCGAAGGTCGTGCAGGCCATTAAAGATCAGGCAGATAAAGTCAGCTGTGAGTCTTTCTATAATTCATGCTCTCAAAGTGGATGAGATAGTGAGTCTGGGAAGGGAAGAGATGCTGATTGGTCGTGGGGCAATGAATAGATGTGTACAATATGCAGCTTTCGAACGGGCCTGCGGAGAGGCTGGCGCAGAACTTGATAGAGTCGAGCAAGGGTGCCTTCGACCTTTGTGGATTCGTTTCCGGAGGTGTGTCTTGTGGTATGCGTATCATAATGTATGGACCATGTTCTGACATATAGATATCTAGGATCGGAGGCCATGGAAGCCGTGATCAAGCTCTCGAAACAGGTCCGTTCTCCACCCTTCATTGTTCATAGATGAGACCGACATACTCACTCATGTCTTGATATCCCTCAGTACTACTTCGAGCAAAAGCAACCCCAGCGTGTCAACTTCATCTCCCGTAACTTATCCTACCACGGAAACACCGTCGGGACGCTCGCACTCTCGGGCCACCCTACCCGTCGTACTCCGTACGAGTCTATCCTCAATCACGAACAGTTCCATCATGTGAGTCCGGCGTATGCGAAGAGGTTCATGAAGGAGGGAGAGAGCGAGGAGGAGTACGTTGAGAGGCTGAGGAAGGAGTTGGAAGATAAGTTTGAGGAGTTGGGGCCGGATACTGTTATCGGATGTGAGTATCAAGACTTGCTCTCCTACCTTCCTGCTCGCATGCACACGAATTCGGAGAACAATTCGAGATCGGAGAACTGATTGCCATTGCCGTTGATTTGGGGTGTAGTCATCGCAGAAACTGTAGTCGGTGCTACGACAGGTGCCGTCCCTCCTCCGAAGGGCTACTTCAAGGCTATGAAGTCCGTCTGCCGGAAGTACGGCGCTCTTTTCATTCTGGACGAGGTCATGAGCGGGATGGGACGTTGTGGGACGTTGCACGCTTGGGAGACCTTCGACGGTGAAGCCCCGGATGTTCAGGCTGTGGCGAAGGGTTTGGGTGGAGGGTAAGTTACGGCTGATAATCTTGCATTTGATGTCTATTGATGCTAAGGCGACTTTTTTTGTAATATAGGTATGCGTCGATTGGAGCTGTGCTCATGTCGAAGGAGGTGGCGAATGGGATTCGTGATAGTGCCGGATTCTGGAAACACGGCCACACGTATCAGGTTTGTTCAGCATCCTTTCTTCCCTCAGTGTATATTGTCAAGCCGAATCTGACATCAACTTTCGCATCCTCAATAGGCTCACCCGATCTCCTGCGCTGCCTCCCTCGCCGTCCAAGACGTTATCGCCTCCGAAAACCTCCTCGAGAACTGTCGCGCCCAAGGCGATTACCTCCACTCCCTCCTCACCGCCCGTCTCACCTCACCTAACTCCATCGCCAAACCTTATGTCTTCGATGTGAGGGGCTCGGGCCTGTTGAGGGCTGTGGAGTACGATTTCGAGATTCCGAGTGCGGTTGAGGCGAGGAAGGTGGATTTGAAGGGGAAGCCGTTCGCGATGGTCGTGCAGGCTAAATGTATGGAGAAGGGGCTGATGATCATGGGGATGACTGGTTAGTGGTTTTGTTCTTCTGAGTCCTTCGGGAGGGCATGTACTGACGTTTGTTGGGATGCATTACTAGGAGGTGCAAGGATCGATAACACTAAGGGTGATACCTCGATCTTCGCGCCTGCGTATAACGTGACGAAGGAGGAAGTGGACAAGATTGTGGATTTGTATGTTGCGGCTGTGGAGGAGGTGTTGACCGCGGCTTTTGTTTGATTCGAGTCTCTCTGGTGTACACGGATAGCTGCTTGGTCTAGAAGAAGCTAACTCATTGCGAATGGGCGTATGAATATTTCTACATTGTAACCAGTATTACTACGCAGCGCCGACTGAGAACGAGCACTGGATACGTATATCGCTCATCGCCGCTCGGTACCGACCCTCCGATTTCATTGACTTATCACGGCCTAACGGCGTCGGTCGGTCGCACCAAAATCGGTCTCTTTGTGGTCGCTTCCCATGGTAAAGAAGCTCGGGACGAACACCTTCCCAGAATGGACTACCACAAAGCAATATCCACTTGAGAGAACAAAAGGTCAGATAAAGGGGTCGAGGAGTGGCCCCATGTACTAAGTATGGGCTCGCTCACCGTAAGAATTACCGAAAGAGCATTCAGATTGTAGACATATATTTTTGACAAAAGACATACCAGAAGGAGAAATACGAGGAGCGATGATACGTGCTCTTGGGGGGAGTCAGCCACCGCCGCGGGGCGGGCCGTGGGTGGACGCGTAGCTGCTCGCCACCGTCCTCTTCCTTCTCGACAACGTTCACGCTCACGACCAGGATCGATGGCTGGCAGACTCTAAATGGACTCGTCACCGCCGTCTATCACAGAATCCACAGCCAGACCGACTCCTCCGACACAGTTGACTAACGACGACGACACCGCTCATCCGTCCGCGTCGACAGCGACGACGACGAGCAGCACCGCACAGACCCAGAGCAACAACACCGACAACACTAGCACCCCCGCGAGGACACTCAGGTCGAGCACAAGAGCGAAAGCGGCTGCGAGTACCGAAATTGCTTCATCTTCTTCGGGTAGACATAACACACGGTCCACCGCCAACCACCCCGCGAACACTGCCTCCGCCTCCGCTCCTGCCACGACCAGCAACAAACGGAAGGGAAAGGGCAAGGAAGTAGCCTCTGACGAACGCGCAAACAAGAGGTCTGTACTATTTTTTGCTGATCGTTTATAATCAGGCCGGAGTATGAGAAGTGCACAAGTGCCTGTCCGTGTTGCAGTCAGACTGACTGAATTTGTATTTCTGCTCGTGTTCTTCAGACCTCGTCGTTCCACGCAAGCCGTTACTGCCTCAGGCCTGACCATCAACGAACCCACACGCGATACCAAGGGCAAGAAGCGCGCCGCTCCCGAACCCGCCTCGGACGAAGAATCTCAGCCTCAACTATCGTCTTCATCTACCAAGCGTCTTCGCACGACCACAAGCTCTTACTCTCTCCGATCCAGACCAGCCACATCTACCGCCACAGACATGCCGAAGAAGTCGACTAGGTGAGCATCTAAGCTCGGATCCCCCCATCTTTCATTTAGGCGCCCTCGGATCTCTCATATACCCTTTCTCTCTCTTCCCGCTCCCCTCTACCCTTCATTCCTCCTGTCCTCCCTCTCCCCCACCCACATCTCTCCTAATGTTATTTCTTAAACATTGTCGTCCTTCCCGTCTTAGACAATCCCACGCAAGCGCAAAGGGCAAGGCAGCCGCCAAGAGCAAAGCTATGGCCACCGCTCCTGGACCTTCCCGAGCAGACGAAGACGACATGGACATGATGGACGTCGAGTACAAACACGAAGACTCAGATCACGATGATCAGATGGATGGGGGTAGGGAGGATGATCATCTCGAAGAGGATGCCGAGCACGACGATGGTCATGATGACGATGATGGTGGCGGTGGTGGGGGAGACGATGGAGGGGACGATGAGCTCGGAGGGCGCGGAGGCGATTCGGGGCGTGGAATGGGAGGCTTGGACGAGTCGGCGGCGATGGCTATCTTTGCGGATTACAGGCAGCTGGGGTCTTACATGATGGGCCTTAGCTCCCGACTGAAGACCATGCTCACTAACATCAAGCCCACCGCCGACCCGACTACTCGTCTTGTTACGCTACAGGAGCTCAGCGAGCTGCTGAGTATTAGCACCGAGGATACCCTTGCCGGCTCGTTCCAGGTCGATTCCTTTGTCAGGGAGCTCGTGAAGATCCTAGGCGGAACAGGCGGAGAGGGAGATGATGACGATGATGATGGCGATGATGCTGGGAACCAAGATGAGGACGCCGCGCTTGCTGCTGCTCTTGCTATGAGCGGAGGTGGGCAATACCAGGGAGACGACAATCTTGAAGCCCAGGTGCTCGCTGCCCGATGCTTGGCAAACTTGATGGAGGCGCTACCGGGCGTGGCGCACACAGTCGTCTATCACGGCGCCATTCCTGTCTTGTGTAGCAAGCTCATTGAAATATCCTACATCGACCTTGCCGAACAGACCCTCAGCGTGAGTTCTTATGACTCTTCATTCTCCTTCTCCAGTTTACTAACTTCCCCGTCCATAGACTCTCGAAAAGATCTCCGAAGAGTTCCCCAGCTCTATAGTACGCGAGAATGGTCTTGCCGCCCTCCTCAACTACCTCGACTTCTTCTCCATCGCCGTTCAACGAACCGCCCTCCAGGCCGCCGCCAACTGTTGCCGCAATGTGCCACCAGAGCACATCGGTATGATTCGTGGCGTGTGGCCTATCATTCGTAACTGTCTCGGATACTCTGACCAACGACTCGTCGAGTTCGCCTGCCTTTGTGTCATTCGTGTCATAGAATCCTACTACCGTTCCTCGCACGAGAACCTCGAATCTCTCGTCGACGTCGACCTCATCCGCGCTATCAATTTGCTCTTGCTACCCGCAGGAGGATCGCCCCTCATTGCGACTAACACTTTCACACAGTTGTTGAGAGCGTTGGCAACGTCTGCACGGGCAAGTGCGAAAATCACTGTCGTGCTTCTGGAAGCGGGGATCGTGGATACGCTTTACCAGATCTTGACGGGTGTGTTGCCGAGTGTGGAGGCCAGCCATGAGAGCGAGGAGCAGGGAGCGTCTGATGGGGGACAGGGGCTTGGTGGTGGCCTAGCCGATATGACGGTCATGCAGAATCTGGCGCATAGGCCGAAGGATCAAGTGGAGGAGGCTTTGAGTCTCATCTCGGAGCTTTTGCCACCTCTTCCCAAAGGTGAGCCTCTATTTCATTATATCCGTGGCTTATTACTCACCATTTTTTCCTCGTAAAGATGGCGTCTTTGATCACAAGAGCTATACCGAGAAGTCGCTGTCGCGGTTGAACAAGGCCAAGGCCAAGTCCGAACGCGCAGCTGCTCGACAGGCCGCTCTGCAACAACAAGCAGCCCACTCCATGCTCGCCGCCGCCATCGGTGGTTCTTCCTCCATCGCTCCCACTAACCCATCCACGCCCGCCGCTAATTCCGAAGCTGCTACACCTGCTGAGAGCGTCGCCGATGCTGCTGAGGATGCCGTCCTTCCTGGTCCTCTTGCACCAGGCGCTGCCGCTGCTGGGAGCAGTGCACCGGATAGGACGGAGCTGTTGAAGAGTAAGAAAGAGGTCGTGGGGAGGTTCATGCAGCTGATGGTGCCGATTTTGATCGATGTTTATGCGGCGAGCGTGATTACGACGGTGAGGATCAAGACGCTCACGGGCTTGTTGAAGGCGATTAGCTTCTTGGATGGAGAGGAGGCGCAGAATGTGTTGACGGTAGGCCTATTTTCTGTATCATTTCCTTACTGCAGTGTGGCTTATATTCTGGTATAGCATGTCCCTGTTGCAAGTTTTGCTTCGTCCATCTTGTCCTCGAAGGATCACCCAACGCTCGTCATCGGCGCTCTGCAGCTCGTCGAACTCCTCCTCATCAAAGTCCCAGACGAATATCGTGCCGCGTTCCGCCGCGAGGGTGTCTTCCACGAAATGGAGACGCTCGCCTCGCGTACCCTTCTTACTTCCAAATCAAAAGAGAAGGAAAAGGACAAAGACAAGGACGGCTCCTCGGATTCCACTTCTGCTCCTGCTGGCGGCTCCGAAAATCAGTCTGCCAACGCGGCGTCGGCGTCGACGCCCACCGCGGCACCAACCCTGCCTACGTCGGTCCCAATACCGATCTCGGCGGCTCTGGCGGCTTCGATGCCCGGGTTCAAGAAATTGTCGAGCATGAGTTTGGACCCGGAAGATGCGGTGACGTTGAGGGCAAGGGTGATCAAGTTTAAGTATCTCTCTGGGAAGGATAATAGAGATGCGGACGACGTATTTTCGGTGTTGAGGAAGTTGGTGGAGAGGATTGGGGAAGAGGGGAAAGACAGGGATGTGGTTATGGGTGAGACGGGAGGAGCGGAGAGAGAGAAGGAGAAGGATATGATGGGTGCGTTGAAGGAGCTGGCGGCGCTGTTCGCTTCGGCGAATACGGCGGTTTCGAGCTTCGAGCTTTTACAGAGTGGGGTGATCGATGCGTTGTTATTGTTCGCGACGGATAAAGAGAGGAGCTGTGAGTCTTTCCGCATTTTCGTTTAGCTCGAGCTCTCTACTCATTGCGTTGGAATATTTTTTGGTAGTGTCTGTGGAGCGGAGGCAGGAGATGTTGATGGAGGCGTTTGCGCCGAAGAAGGCGAAAGGTTACGGGACGCCACAGTCGCCCCTTGCGGTCTTCGTCAAGAAGTTGCAGGAGAGTCTCACTAGGATGGAGTCGTTTGATGTAGTCACCGTGTCCCAAGGCATCGATGGTCCGTATTCGACTTTTCAGTTCCTTTTCGGCAAACATACTCAATATCTCGCATTATTCAGATACTAAGCGAAGCAGCTCACCATCCCTCCTCGCCCGGCAACTGCGCCTTCGCCTCGTCGGTGCTGAAGGCTCTGACATCCCTCGTAGCTTCAACAACATCGTCGTCTCCATCCACGCCATCGCCACATTCCAAGCTCTGCACGACTATCTCCGCCCGCGCGTTTCGGGTCTCTCCTACAGTGGCCCACGTCTCTCAGGCATGCTCGCCGCCTTAGCATCTAATCTCGCGTCGACTTCGTCCGCTGCAGCTGCTACAGCCGGTGCATCAAGTAGCTCGACGACGGAGTTGAGGGCTTCGAAGCCTACTACACCAGGAGAACCCAGTGGAGGCTCGAGTGTACCTGCTGGCTCTTGGATGGCTGCTACTGCTTCGTCATCTGCATCTGTTCCAGCAGCAGCATCTTCGTCAGCGTCAGCTGGTCCGTCCGGGTCGACGTCGACGCTCGGGAGGAGGCGGAGTATGAGATTGAGCGCAAAGAATGCCGGTACTTCCGACTCGACCAACGCTGATTCCTCTGCTTCTACCTCCGCACCAACGTCTGCTTTGGCACCTCCACCAGCACCCGCACCTCCAGCAGATGAAGCAGGTCCTAGTACGAGTGCCGCTGCTGTACCACCGTCGAGCACCGTCTCGGAACCGACGGGCGAGCCTGCGCCGAGCGAAACTGTGGTGAACGATAATGAAGACCCTGAACATGACCATGAGCCAGACCCAGATCATGATCATGACCATGACCACGACCATGAGCTCGATCCGGAGTTGGGCGCGGACTTCACGGATGATGAGGTTGATGCTGAGGTGTTTGATGAGGAGATGGACCCGGACAATTCGGTTACGGAGAAGACTGTGAATCTCTCTGTTGCGGATGGTTAGTGCTGTCTTCGCTTCGACTGTTGTCGTGTTCTGACTTGCTCTTATCTATAGACGGATCCAAGATCGAAGCCCAGACCCCCGATGGTACACGAGTAGGAACACCGAGAGAAGCTCCTCCACCCACACCTACGCCGCGAAGCATCGCAGCAGGCAAGAGCTCATATGCCGCCGCTTTGAAGACGAAACCGTCGGATTGGCACCTCGAGTTCTCGATGGATGAGCATACACTTCCGCTGGACCTTACGATCTATGGAGCAATCCATCAACATGAACTCAGGAAGAAGGCGGCTGGGAATCCGTCGTCGCTTCCACCGAGTTTACTGTGGCAGGGGATATACACGGTGAAGTTCAAGAAGGTTCCGGGGCCTGCGCCGTCTGCCGCTGAAGGTACGTTTTGCGTGTGCTTACCCACTGTTAAAATGCTGATCTAGCAGATTGTATAGGTCGTCTCGATGGTGCGGAGTCGTCAAGGAGCCGGTCGCCTACGCCTTCATTATCGTCGCTTCCTGAGGATGCGCCACACGCTAAGATCCTGCGCCTGCTTCGGGTACTGCACAAGCTGAGCGTGAAGGAGGCTGAGCGGCCCGTGTTTTCTAGTCGGGGTTTGCCAGAGTCGGCGTTCGTGAACAACAAGTTGACTGCGAAATTGACTCGTCAATTGGAGGAGCCTATGATTGTCGCCAGGTACGAATATATTCTTTTTGCAGCAGGCAGTTCTAGTCACTCACTTGTCATGTCTTTAGTCAATGCCTCCCGGACTGGGCTCTGGACCTTCCTCAGCACTTCCCCTTCTTGTTCCCCTTTGCTACTCGCTACAACTTCCTCCAGTCCACCTCGTTTGGCTACGCCCGGCTTATTCTCAAGTGGCAGAGTCAAGCGGCCAGAGGACAAGACAGCTCGCGGAGGGACGACAACGTTGGTTTCCTTGGACGTCTGCAGCGGCAGAAGGTTAGGATTTCGCGCAAGCATATACTCGAGTCCGCCATGAAGGTCTTCGAACTCTATGGCTCGTCGTCCTCCATTCTCGAGGTTGAATACTTCGAGGAAGTCGGCACGGGTCTCGGCCCCACTCTTGAATTCTACTCGCTCGTCTCCAAAGAGTTCGCGAGGAAAGACCTGAAGATCTGGAGGGACGAGGACCCTAGTCGGTCGGGTACTCACGTCTTCCATCCGAAGGGATTGTTCCCTGCGCCGATCAGCCCGGAGGATATCGCGAACGATGGAGGGCAGAAGAGGACGCATATCATTCGGGTGATCGGGCAGTTTGTGGCGAAGGCGATGTTGGATTCCAGGATCATAGATATGTCGTTTAATAAGGTGTTTTTGAGGATCGTACTCGGGGAGGAGATACCGTTGACGATCGAGTCGTTGAAGGTGGGTCATACTTCTATTATATGCTTGGATGTTTTCTGACTGTGGATGTGTTCGGTAGTTGGTCGACCTCGATTTGGCAAACTCGCTCGAGAAGCTGCGCGGATTTGCGAACACTGCCAAGGATGGTCGTCGCGATAAAGTAAGTTTCTTCTTTCCACGCTGTTGAGGCCATTTACTGACATATAATCCAGTTACAGGAACTCGTTCAAGCTGAAGTCGACATCGAAGACCTTGCTTTGGACTTCACCGTCCCCGGATACGACATAGAGCTTCGGGTACGTTATCGCATAATTGATGATAGGAGGGTTTCTCACACATGCTCCTTCACCTCTGTAGTCGGATGGCAAGAACACCCCCGTCACCAAGGATAACGTCGAGGAATATATTCAGGAAGTCATCGACGCTATCATTGGGCATGGTGCCAAGCTCCAGGCCAAAGCCTTCAAGGATGGTTTCTCCAAGGTCTTCCCCATCACCGATCTGCAAGCCTTTACCGTGGACGAGCTCATCATGCTGTTCGGTAACTCCGACGAGGACTGGAGTAGCGAGAGTACGTCTCTTGTCCATTCACTTCCGGCGGTACTGGGCATAAGCTAACTTGGCTGGTCATTTGACAGCTTTGAGCGAGGCGTTGAAGGCGGATCACGGCTTCAACGTTGAGAGCCGGGCGATCAGGAGTCTCATTGAAATTATGAGCGATTATGATGCTTCTGCACGTCGCGAGTACCTTCAGTTTATCACCGGTAGTCCTAAATTACCCATCGGAGGTACGTGTATGCCATTGATCTCCGGGCGCTCCTTGCATGGACTCACCCGTCTCCAATTATTCTTCAGGTTTCCGTGGCCTGAATCCACCGTTGACGGTTGTGCGCAAGCCTCACGAGGCGCCACTCTCAGCGGACGACTACCTTCCCTCTGTGATGACTTGCGTTAACTACCTCAAGTTGCCAGAATACAGCACGAAGGAAGTCATGCGGGAGAAGCTGCGTGTCGCGATGAAGGAGGGCGTTGGGAGCTTCCATCTTTCTTAGGTTTTCCATGTCGAGTGTCGAGTGTAGGAGAAATGGGTGCGATGACGAAGAAGTAGTACTGACATTGTTTTTCTCTCCGTCTCAGTCCGTCTGTCTCGTTGCATGGTTCCGTCGTCGTCGTCGTTTAATGTATTATCGCTAAAGTCACATTCATTGTCTCCCTTTTCCCTTCAATGACCCTCTTCTTTCTGTCTGCTACGGCTCATGATCAGAATTGAACCAACTACTACACCCACTTTCATGTGCTTTTATCATCCAGCTTCCTTCCTCAGGCTTCTCACATTTCCTTCTTCCGAGTTCTTCTGAGTGTTTTCCATCGTCAATGTAGTAGACTGCTCATCCATATTCTCCGTATTCCATTGTTGATGTTTGTTATATACGTAATTCATGTTCATGACTGTGATAGTAGATTGTGTGCTTGAGATCCGCCATGCGAACTCTGTCAGACATGCCTGGTGAATTCAGAATGGCCCATCCTGCTCTCGAGAAAACTGAGTTGCGCCTCCTCTTAAATTTGGTGGCCTTCCTGAAGTGTGGCGCACCGGTGGCTGAGTCAGCTGTGTGGCCATCTCTTCGCCACACAACAGTCATGGGCGCGTACCGCGTCTTGTCCTAAACCACCACTATGTCGAAGCATCATCCCGGTACGTACTCCTTCGTTTCTGACGAATGCTGTTTATTGATTGCTGTAACTCTACCACCAGATCTTATTATGTGCAGGCGTCAGCCAGGCATCGGTACGTAGCTCGTCATCCAACAATACAGTATCTCATACTGACTGACCAACATCCTCCTCTTCTTGTGCCCTTCAGCCATCGGTCGTCTATGCGAGAAATGTGACGGGAAATGGTAAGATAATTATTCTGTTGACATGTCCTATCCAGCCACGCTACGTTGCCTGTCCTTGACGAAAGTGTTTTGTGCCCCCCGTATTGATTCAAACAGCCCGGTATGTGACTCGTACGTTCGTCCCGAAACGCTCGTCCGGATCTGTGATGAATGCAATTTTGGGACGTACGGTGGTCGTTGTATCATCTGTGGTTCTCCTGGTACGTCCCTGTGCATCTATTTTTCTTTTAATACACGGTTGTAACCTGAAACTCACGACCTACGCATGCATGTCTCTTTGTATGATCAGGTATCTCTGACGCATATTACTGCGCCGAATGCACGAGACTGGAGAAGGATAGGGACGGATGCCCAAAGATCGTGAACCTAGGAGCCAGTCGAACGGATCTGTTCTACGAACGGCGTCGTCTCGGTGCGTCATCTCTCATCTCGTGAAGTGTTGGGTGGTCCTAATGAAGTTCGTCGTGCGTATCCATGGACAGGCTTCAAGAAGGGCTAGTCATCTGTGGCTAGGAGCCTGCGGTGCTCGAATCCTTTCGATGGCCAACATACCGCGTGGAACACGTTCGCTCGGTCAAAATATTGCTGGATCCACCGTCAGCCGGACTCGGCTTTCCTCTTCACTAAATCTTCCCATTTCGCCTGTCTGGTCTGTTTGAGATGTACCACGCTATCTGTAATATGACACCTTCATTGTTCTCCTAGATTATGTGACCGACCCGCTCTCGTCTCATAATAGCACAGCAACAGTCAGCAAAACAGGACACAATACGGCAACATACAGATCCTGGGGGCAACGTATCGTGAAATCATCTGTTTATGATCACCGACTCGTAAGACATACAACAGCAGAGCAAGTATATAGATATAGCTAGATAGACATAAGGACGAACCGTCCGATAGCAACAGCAGTAAAGAAACGCAGAAGTAATACAGTGCATGAGACTTCCATCGATGATCATTCAGAATAGGCATGTGCTTTCAAAGTAATGGTCTGTTCATGATCAATCTCTCGGGTAGTACACAGGTCCGTTCAGCACAGGCGGGCTCCCTGCCGGATTCTCCAAATCCGCGTAATGTCTGCACACAAACAGTACAACCACACGTCAGTCAGTCTTGGGGAACAAGAGAAGTAAGACGAGGAAAGTAAACGCACTTAAAGAGCCCGATGTCCACCGGGGCCTTGAACACCATGAAACAATGCGTCATATCGTGTTCGTCGATCGACTCGCAATCCCCACAGAGATCCTTCGCGCAGTACACGCAACGGTACCATTTACCAACGATGGGCTCCATGTGACGATCGCAGAGTGCGGATTTGTGACGCAGGTCGCGGAGGTAGGCTGTTGGAAAGAGGGATACGTGAATCAGAGTGGTGGGACTTATTCAGAGGGGTTTGGGATGGCGATGGAGAGGTGAAGACTAACCAGAAGGATTGCGCGAGCTGGACGAAAGGCCGCCGGGAGGCCCCGCAGGCTCCTTATACAACTTCGGCAGGATAGGCAAAGACGACTGCAGCGGTCCAAGCTCGTCAACAGGGCGTGGAAGCTTGATGAAGATATGGAAGGCGTCGTGGACGTGGTAGGAGCTTTCTTCGCATGAAGAGCACTAAAATACCACACAATAAGGAATTGATCATCAATAACACCATTCAAAGAATTGGGTGGCGGAAAAAAAATTAGACATACCAGATTATACGAGATCGGCTTTCCAGGGCACGAGAGACACTGATACCTAACCCCGACAATACTCTGTCCGCATGAGTCACAAAGCATGAGATGATCTTCGTCATCGTCGTCGGCTCCCATGCCCATGTCCCCATTCATCACCGTCTTACCGAATACAGACGACGCGCTGCCCGGACTGGAGCGTGTGAGGCCGGCGGAACTTGGTGTGGCGACCTGTCCTCGGGCATGGTGAAGGCGATACGCGCGACGTGAGACTGACATGACTTCGGTTGTGTTGAGCGGGGTGGGAATCTACATAAAACATTAGAATAAGAGTCGATATGGCATGATTGAGAGGGCGAAAAGAAGAATCGACCTTGAGCATGACATGCGACGAGTTATGTCCTCCATCTGACGAGTCAAGGTTCCCTGGCAGTCCAGCCGCCTCACAGTTGGCACAAATGTCAACGTCCATGGTGGTACAGTCAATACATCTGAATCGAGCCCCGACGACGTCTTGCATGCAGCTGCAGATCCACACATAAATGGAACAAGATAGATCGATAATCAGCATTGGATAAATATTTCGACGACGAGGGAGAATGAGTGGTGAGTAGATAAAATAAATATAATAAACTGACTGGAAGCATTTGACCCCGGGATGCTTCAGCGCTACGCCACACGAATCCAGAAGACATTAGTATCATGGCTACCTGCCGCGCAGACCAGGTAGAGTTCCAAGGATCGATGAAACGTACAAGGTTCATCCGCAGCATCGAAGAATGCAGATGCATCCCCGTTCGAGCCTTGGCTCATCAGATCTGGGACACTCCTTGATCTGGCAGGTTTGTCTGGCATGGCGAGGAAAGCGTGGACGGGGTGAATGTTGTGCACATCGCTGATAACACGACGAAATTTTTTTGTAATTGAGTAATCGGTCTGATAGTTGTGGCGGTGAGGGGAGAAAGAACCTGATCACGTACTTGTAGCATGCTCGACAAAGTGTGAAGTTCTCGCAAGATGCACACTTGTACCGATTGCTGAATATCATAGACTGACAACCCGAACACTTGCTTGTCTGCCCATCGTCTTGCACTGTCAACATTTAGTATGTTTATCCATCAGACATGACCCATGCACAGTAAAGACAATCGTAATACGATGTACTCACCGACGTCCTCCCACCCGCTGAAGCCCCACATCTTCTCCAGATATGCATGTCTCAACGCTCCCTTCTGCTTCGGCGCACTCCTCCGCAACACACTCAATTCTTGTTGCTCCAGGGGCGAGTTCGGACTATAACTCCCACTCCCATCGCCACTAAACCCACCAAATGACCCTGAACCCGACGTCAAAAACCCGTTAGCGTCAGCCTGAGTAGCACTGAACGAATGATTGACTCCTGATGACTGAATGCATGTTGCGCAGAGTTCATAGCCTTCTACGCGTGTGCCGAATGATGAGCCAGAGGACTGTGAGCGATGTCCGTGCGTGTGTGAGAGATTAAGGGTTGAATTAGATGCTGCGGCTGAAATACCGGAGTTAGACCCAACAGCGGTAGTGGAAGGTGAGCTAGAGGGATGAAGTTTCAGATGTGGGGGACGGTTCGGAATCTGAGGAAGTTGTCTCGATTTGAAACCCGACCCTGAAGAGGAGTCTGTGTCGAAGCCTTGTAGAGTTGATATGGAGGAGGACGAAGCGTGGCCATAGTTTGGGGGTGGATAGGTCATACTGCTCCCGCTCTCGGACCCACCGCCAAATATGTCTCTGCCTTTGCCCTTTCCAACGGCAGCAAACGCCTTGAGCTCTGCGCGCCCCCAAGCTTTCTTCTCTCCGCAAGTCGTGCAGACATATCGCATTGTGTCGAGGATCTCGCCACATTCTGAACAGTCTGTGACCTCTTCTGGAACAAGCAACTCCGGCGGAATGCTGAATCCATCAGTAGTATGTGATTGATGGGCGAATGGAGGTGGCTGCGGCTGGTCCGAGTTGAACGAGAACGGATGTGAGCGTCGATAGGATGGTGTCTCTGATGAAGGTGGATAATCCGTCTGTGCAGACGAGTCGAGAGTGGTGAGCGAAAATGGCCTATCCTTATGGACCCCATCAATCGGTGTCCCACCTGCCATGCTGGGACCGGCTTCGTAGCCTGCGTCTCCATCGCCGTCCTGGTCGCGGAATGGATCGTCCGAGTCCCTCGAAGCCTCGGACATACCAGAGCCAGACTTGTATGCATAATAGTACTTGCCGCGATGGTCGACTTCGAGCGAAAGATCGCCATCCATCGCTTCCGGGTCTGGGTCGGAGCCAGAACGAATGGTGTGATCGGTGTTGAGAGAGAAAGTGTCTGCTTCGGAGGATGGAGAAGGAAGAGTCCCGAGTGTGGCTTTGATGACACGCATGGATTGGTCTTGTAGCCAGGCGGCGCCGCGCTCGTCCTGGAGGGGTGTACTGCCATAGGGAGAAGGAGATTGTGTGTTGCTCTGAAGCTTGAGACGCTCGAAGACTGCGGACGAGGACGGGTTTGTTTCGCCTCCACGGTAGGCTGCGGCGGGGGTACCGCTCGTGAGGGAGTCAGAGCGTGGGGGTGGGTTGAATTTATATGAGGATGAGCCGCTGGGATGAGCTGAATGGGCATCTGAGGCAGGAACGCCAAGGTATCGTGAACCGTTCGAGGTAGATGGCGGTGGCGTCCCACGGTGGCGATCGGCAGGTGAGCGGGAACGACTGTCAAATATCTTCCTAAACAACGTCTCTTTCGGCCTCCTGGATCCCCCACGACTTCCTGTATCTCGGGAGCTAACCGTTACAGCATCGTCATCCGGAGGTTCGTCTGTCCGGGCACCCAAGGAGAAGGAGAACTCGCTGCCACCCGGGAGCTGATACTCTTCAGCACTAGCGAGAGACGAAGAGTCTGACAGAGACGGCCCGTCATATTCAACATCGATTTGGAGTTTGACCGTTATCTTTCTGCTGAGAAAGCTTCGACCGGAGAGTATGGACGACGAAGATGACGTTGGGGCCTCGTCCGCACCCTGGTGGAAGTAACCGATGGCCTCTGCGAGATCAGCATCGTTTGTGATCTGCGTCTCCTCATCGTCATCGTCCTTCCACTTGAAAACGAACGGTCTTGCGGCGAGCATGAAAGCCTGCTCAGCCTAGTATACCAATGATACATATGTAAGCGATGAATCCCCAAAGAAGGATGGGTAAACTGGACGTTACTCGTTGCCTGAGGATGTCATATGTACAATTCCTGGCGGACTCGAAAGTGACCTTCTTGTTCCTGTTATTGAGGGCGCATTTCACGACGAGAGGCTTGTCGGGTTTGTCGCTAGCGAGGGATGAGCTGGACCCATAAGAGTTCATCGCCGTCGTCGTTGTCGACTTTCCTCTCGCTTTCCCACGAAGCGCCTCTCACAATCTGAATCTTACGGGCGCTAAAATTAGAGCTGTTTATCTGGGTTTACGTAAGGCACATTTTTTGTGGCGGTGACTTCCCTGTTCGAGTTTTGACGACGTCTTCCAAGTTCGCCGCTATCTTCGTCTTTTCTACGTTCCCTGTATCGGATATGTGCGAAAATGCCGGGTTATTCTTTGATATATTCCGTGGGGCTGCTATCTCATGACTGGCTTTGATACTCAACTTCGGCATCTTCGAGACATGTGCTCACAAATCGAAGTTGCTCTGGTCACCACTCGTATGGGCTGGACCAGCGCAATCCTTTCAGCCTTTTCCTCTGATCAAAGCTTTCCGTCCTCCTACCTTCGTCCGACGTGTCTAACTGCAACACATCTCACTTTGGACGAAACTCAGCTGTCAGACATCTCAGGCACTAGCTGGCTTGATTCATCCTGGTGTTCTTCAACAGGGCCATCTTCGAGATAGTGGAAACTACATCAATGAAGATGATTTCGCTTTAGCTCTATTGCGTTGTCTTCCAGTTTCCATACGAAAGCATCGAGCCGGCCTCACTTGGGGCTCTCCTCGGCACCATTTTCTTGCCTCCCTGTGGCAGCGTCCGCGCGATTCTCAGCATTCCCCGAGCTTTATGCGACCATAATCCTCTGTGCCTTTCCTCTCTTTGCGCCATATAAAAGTTTCATCATGATGTCTAATATTTATCACCGCCTTCTCTTCTTCGTCTTTCAAAACCAGTAACTAATCGCTATGAAGCTTACGCTTTCGGTCTCGGTCGTGGCACTCTGTGTGCTGGCCAATGCTGCCTCCCTCGATCTCAACAATCGCGCCACGGGAGGATACGTTCAGAATCCTAGCGGGTCTGCTTCTTTCACGCAATATACGGGATGTGGCCAGCCAGGTATGTGACCCCCACCATCATCTTCCAACAAAAGTCGCGTCAATCTGATAATCTTCCTCTCTTCCTCTCCCCCCGACCTCAGCTTGCGGCATCCCCGCCTCCGGCTTCACCGCCGCCATCTCCCAACTCGCCTTCGGGTCAGCCTCAGGTCTCGGCGCCGGCGACGCCTGCGGTCGCTGTTTCGCACTCACAGGAACCGCGGACCCGTACTCACCCTCGTACACCGGTCCGTTCGGTCAGAGCGTGGTCGTGAAGGTCACGGATTTGTGTCCGGCACCGGAGAATGAGCAGTGGTGTGGGCAGACGACGTCGAACCCGACGAACCAGTTTGGGGCGCCGGTCCAGTGCGTGTCTCTCCTCTTCTGTCTTTTTTGCCTCTTATTTGCGGTCCTATGAGGAGTCGACATCGGCTGATATAATGCGTTTTATGTAGCTTCGACCTCTGCGAAGACACCGGCGCTGCCGCACAGTTCTTCCCCTCAGGCCACACCGCTCTTACGGGCAGCTTCTCCGAGGTTTCGTGCTCGGAGTGGTCTGGATCTGATGGGGGTTCTCTGTGGAACGGGGCGTGTTTGAGCGGGGAGTCGGCCGCGTTGTGGCCCAGTGGCACCGGATGTGGTAACCAAGGTGAGTCTGCGTTTATGAGTGTTTTTATGTGGGGGAATGGGAGGGCGCAAGCTGACCTTTTTGTGTGATTGTGATTAGGAACGGCTCCCTGAAAACAGACGTGATGATGTGAAACCTTGGATGGCCTATGTACCTAGTTTGGGGTCAGCTATGCGGCTCAGAAAATAAGGGTTGACTATCCGGATTGCTTGTTATTTGGTAATTATTCTAGTTGTTGCATGGACGGGAATCAAAACGGCCTGCTTGCTCGAATATTTTCGTGTTCATTCCGCCTGTGACTCGACGTGCTGGACCTAAGAGTGAAGATTCAAAGTGCTAAGGACTTCCGCTTGAAGGACCTCGCCCGTGAATATATCTTACAGTACTAATTTGTGCTGGTCACATCAGTGATATATGGGAATCGATATTTACACAAAACTTCCAAATGTCCAACAAAAAGTCCACGTTCTTTCATCCCCCCTCATCCCATCTCATCTCATCTTAAATCGCGCACCATCCTCTCCAACACCCCAGAATTCATCCTCGGCCACACATACCTCTCCGCAGGCAATAACGCCTCACCGCTCCTACGGGTCCGATCCGTGGAAGACCAAGTATCGAACAACGGCATGCGCATCATCCGTCTCCAGTTCTCTTTTCTACCAAGATCGTAGAGCCGCTCATGCGGGAGAACATGGCATAGATAGCCGACCGGCGTGGGCGTGGTGGATGGATCGGTTTGCATTAACGATGACGATGAGGATGACGATGGTGTGTTTGGGTTATCGTCTTTGTTGACTACTAAAGGAGGAGTGATAGTCGGCTGTACGCCCGACGCAGACGCAGACGCAGACGCTAGAGACGTATCGCTCGCGGGAAGAGAACGTCTCGGATCTAGATCTGGATCTGAAGCCGGAGAGAGGTAGCTGCTAGGTATGAAGACGTATTTGAACGGTGTGGTTGTGTTAGGTTTCGCGGAGACGGCACGGGTCTGACGACGGAGGATGATCGTGTCTAGTGTTGTTTGTCCGCGTAGGATATCTCGGATCGTGAGGACGGCCATGGCCTATTCCAGAACAAAGAGAATAAGCAATAAACACATGATGTCGAGCGGCAGGTAGGACGAAGGCATGTACTAGTAAGTAGAATGTGGGGGACGTACGGCGGTAAACACAGAGAGAAATAAAGCGACACAAACGACGATCGCGACTCTCGCATGTGGGAACTCTATGACATCCCCCGGACCATCCCTCTCCCCCTCCCGACTGCCATTAATCAATCTGAACCCCAAAGCCGTGCCCATGACCCACCTCCCCAACGGTCCCCCCCAGACCACCCAACTATACCACCTCCCCCACCACACCTCGTTCGCCCATCCATCGCCCTGGGAAACCCGCAGTGCGAGGGCGATGTGGGAGGTGAGGATCGTATAGATGGGGAGGATGGAGGTGAGGACGGTTAGAGGGGTGAGGGAGAGGAGGAGGAGGAAGGGTTTGAGGCGGGGGGCGGTTATACAGTTGCCTAGCTATATCCCCGAGAATGGGCGTCCGTGTGTTGTTAATATCGTTGCCTAGAAGAAGATGATGGATGGGAAGAGACATGGAGAGACGAACCCAAGGACAGTGGTGGTCGAATTCCAGACGGCATACGCCACATGTCGAACAATGATGCGTTCCGGGGGGTTTCCAGCGGCCTGCACAGCCTCCCTTATGACAGAATTGCAAGTCTCCCTTGGGGTCGCATTCGTAGGGGTATGTAGCGAGGTCCGTGCGGGGAGGGGTGTAGAGAGGTTTACTGTGTGTTTTCCGGGAGATGCAGAGGTGGATGTGGACGGCGAGAAGGGGAAGGAGGAGGAGGTTCATTGTGAGGACGTATAATGCTGGATAGCACCATGAAAGGCGGTATTTAGTGAGCATCTATGGAATATTGGTAGCACGAAATATGAGAGTTAGTTTGAACTCACCTCCGACTGCCCAGCGTCCATGTCTCCGGATGAGCCAGCCTATACCGATTTCCGTGACGGCGAGATACCACCCATAGCTTTCTGACGGTGCATCGTCAGCCTAAATGGCTTGTTTAGTCAAGTACTCGAGCGTACCAGATGAGCACAAGTATGAACGACGGTAGGATAGTTTCGACTGCTCTAGTTATTGCTCTCTGAGCATATCGTCGAGAGCGACTGAAGGAGCTTTTCTGTGGGGACTCAGAGAGCAAGGTTTGAGCATCGCTGGCATTCATAGCAGCCCCAGCGCTGAGACAAGACCTAGAACAGAAGCTACTTAGACTATGGGGTGATTCGGAGTAGTTGTTGAAGAAGGAAGGATATTGGCGCGTGTTGTGGGGAAAGGACCTTTCCCCACGTCCGACACTCCGAGTCCGTCGTCGCCGTCGCTTTCAAAGTCGCAAGACAACCTTCCCGGGTGTTCTTGTCCGTCATCCCCACCGCCATCGTTTCCAGTACTCAGTCCGTCGACCATAACATGACTTCTGCTGCTAGAAAGAAGTCAAATATTCACCTCAGGCTATCGTTGATCTGGGTTCTGATGCCAGTCCCAATTTGACATCACATACTCAATCAGACAGCGAGCGCATTCTTGGCTGGCTACATTCATCGTTCGGTCCCATCTCCCCATGGCTGGCGTGTCACGATAGCTAGTCACAGCTCTTGCTACCCACCACCACAATCAACTCCGGCGCCTCTTCTCGACTGACGATTACTCACACCGACTGCGACAATTCCAGTGCAGTGCTCATCTGATCTCGTTCCTGTCTCTCTCTCTCCCTTCTCTCTACTAGTACAACCTGAGATCTGAGCTCTGAGCTCGCCTCAGGCTATCCTTTAAACTCGTCAAACTGCATCAATCATCCCCCGCCATGCTTTCCTTCTCCTCCCCGACCTGGCAATCCTCCCTCCTCGCCGCCTCCAAATCCTCCTCCAAATCCTCCAACAACAAAACATCATCAACGAGCGCAGGTCCCCGCGGGCACGCCGCCTCCGAGATCATCCCCCGTCTCTACCTCACAGACCTCTTCACAGCGCGGAACGAAGCCGAACTCAAAAGACTGGGCATCACGCATATCGTGTCGGTGATCGAGCACGAGCCGTCGTTCCCGGAGATTGCGGAGGGGATGAAGAAGTTGCATATTAGGGTGGCGGATAGGGCGGAGGCGGATTTGGGCGTGCATTTGGAGGAGACGACGAGGTGGATTGGGGAGGCGTTGGGGGAGGAGGGGAATAGGGTTATGGTGCGTCCAACGTTTCTGCGTTTTCGAGGTTGCGGTGTCATTTCGTTTCGTTTTTTTTGGCGTCTCGAGGTTAAATGTGGTTCTTCGTATCATCATGGTACTCTTTCTTTTTGGCGTGTCTATAGGTGCACTGTTTCATGGGAGTTTCCCGGAGCGCAACCGTCGTCTGTGCATACCTCATCGCCACGATGTCCATGACCGCCCCGGAATCGATCTCCTTCGTACAATCAAAACGGGGCATCGTCTGTCCCAACATCGGGTTTCGCCACCAGCTGGAAGCGTACGAGGAGCGGTGTAATGGGTCGGTGAATGGGTCGGTGAAGGATGGGAAGCGGAGGCTGAGGACGAAGAGGACGTCGGCGAGGATTGGGGACGGGATGGCGGCGCGGATAACGAGGTTTAAGGAGGTCGCGATGGGTCATGGTGGGGGATCGAGGCATGCGAATGGGAGTGGGATTGGGAGTCATGGTGGCAGTTTGGGAGGTTCTTCGTCGAAGCAGTCTTTGGTTGTGGTCGATGCTGTGGAGGTGCCACGGACGGATAGCGCTGAAGAGGGTGCGACGAAAACTTGAGATGTCACTTCTTTTGCACGGATTCGGTGGGACAACTTTGGTCCTTGTACATGTACTTATTCCGCGACTTTCTTCGCTCTTTCCCGCTGCATCCTGTGTACGATTCTTGTCAGATCCTTGTCGGGGCCCCCGACACTGAGCTCTTTTGTACTATGTGAATTGCATGGAACCAGTAATGGTCATCACCGTTCGTTTTAGCCTTCTTTCGTAAATCGGGGCTTCGGGGATACAGTGCATTCAGAACGTCCCATGGAGAAAACATGCAAATACTTGGTGTCACACACTCTAGACAAGAATCCACGACTGTCTCGATAGCACAGCAGGCAAAGCGCGTTCGTCTGTTACCTCGATAAGATCGACGCCACCCCCTGTTCATTCCGAACCGCCTTGCAAAAGTACTAATCCTGAGGCCACACGCTTTCCACGAGTGTGGCCCTACGCCCGCACCGAGTCCCACCAATATTAATCCCATTTCACAGCTTCACCCCCCTAAGACTAATACACCAACCACCCCTCCGCCCCCTTCAACGCCTTCACCCACCCATTCTTCCCATCTTCAACCCCAACCCCTTCCTCGCCACTCCCCCCCATCTCCCTCTCCCAAACCGCCACACTCTCCACCTCCTCCGCCCCTAACCCCAACCCGCTCCCCTCCTCCTCATACTTATACAAATGCGGAAACATGCCCTCCCCGCCCCTTTCTCCACACACCTCCGCCTTCGGGTCCTCCCATCGTACCATCTTGTCCTCCACCCCGGGGTGCGTGCGATCGTAAGGGATTCGGAGGACGTAGACGGATTTGTCGAGAGGGGAGGAGAAGAAGTGGGTTAGGGTGCCTGGGAGTTGGGAGGAGGTGGAGAGGTGGATGAAGCCGGAGGAGGAGTCGAGGGGGGAGGGGGGGAGGGTGTAGGGGGTTGGCCAGGGGTAGGTGTTTGGGTTTGATTTGCCAGTGCCAGTGCTGGTGGGTTGGGTATTGGAGAGGTCGAGAGGGATGGGGACGGTGCATGGGACGAGTTTGTAGACGTAGGTCGGTTTGAGATCTTGGGTGGGTTGGGAGGAGGACATGGTGGTCGTTTGTAAGAATAATGAAGAGTTTAGTTTGAGAATTCGAATGTGGTCGTTCGTGGGTACGGTGGTGTGGCACTCTTGTGTGGCACCCGCGTCATACGCAGGCTCACGCGACGACCTTTCCGGTCATCCAACTTCTCCTGTCGCTCTTGCGAACCACCATCGCCCTCTCTTAAAGTTACAAATACTTCGTCTGACCTGCATCCAACTTGAAACCTTGTAACAGTTCTCAGTGCCGCGAAAATGTCCACCACATCCTTTCCTCCCTCCTCCTCAAAACCAACGACACCCCAGGCTCCAGAACCTTCCGCCCAAGAAGTGAAACCGAAGGACTGGAAGCTGATGTACCAGGTCAGCCTCCAGCCAACCTCAATATTCAATCCCAGTTCCTACATTTTACTAAACGGACTTGTCTGGCTACTCATGTGGGTTACTCGAATAGGCCAAATCGTCTGAATTCGTCGAGTGCGTTCCTTACCTCTTCACCCTGACCTTTTTATGTTCGACCCTTACGTTGCGGATAACATCACAGTCCATGTGAAGAGGCCTCCCGCGCATCTATGGCATGTTTGAACAGGCATGATTATAACCGGGAGAAATGTTTGGATTTCTTTCAGGCGTATAGGGATTGTAAGAAAGCTTGGGTGGGTCCTTTACTTCCTCAGTTTTCTACTCATACTTTTGTGATGATTGAATGATGTACGAGGAGCTAATGAATATGATGATGCATGCAGATGGACAAGCGCAAGGAAGAGCGGAGCGCACCCGGAGTCAAGCCTGGTTTCTCATGAATTCACGGTCTCATGAGTATGCTGAGTAGGTATAATCTGGCAGGTCATGTCGGTATCTCTTATGCTCGAGTATTTGGATCACAGAGTTCAGAAGACATGATGATAGCCATATAACTTACAACGCCGTCCCGAGCCCTCTCGTCCTTACATGCACGCACGCACACACACTCACCGTCCGCATCCTATAATATATATATTCCAAATCAAATCAAATCAAAGCAAATAGCAACAAGAGGAAAATCTCGAACAAGTCCAGGCAGCCAAACTCCAGCACCGAACCGAAAAAAAGCAAGCCCCTCACTCAGCCCCCGCCTCCAAACGCAACGAACTCCCCGCCCCGAACCCTCTACTATTATTGTTGTTGCCTAATGCCCGATCCACGACCCTCATCATCGCCACCACCTTCTCTTCCTCCCATTTCTTCCCCACGATTTGCACCCCCACCGGTAATCCTGCCATCCTCTCCACGTCGTATATCCCACCTCCCTTCCCCTTCGAGCTGTCAAGAGAGTGGCGAGTGCCATAGACGAGCCGTTCCAGGATCTTGCTTCCGTGCCCGGGAGAAGCGGGGTCGAACCATGAGGGAGTGAGGCGGTCGAGGGAGGGTGAGAGACGAGTGACGGGGACGACGCCGACGGGGGAGTCGTTTAGGTTGTAGGTTATTGTGGCGATTGCGAGGGGGGAGAGACGTTCGCAGCCGCTGTGAAGTGGGGGGTGGGGTGTGGGGTGAGCGGGAAGCAGGAAAGAGGGAAGAGGGGGGCGTACCCGTGAGGTAGAGCAGGAACAGCCTGTACGGGCGCTATGATCCCGTCGAATTCATACTTTCCCCATACCTGTAGTGCATGTCACAACAAGACATAAAATATGCACGGTTGCAGGGGATCAGTTCAATCTTGGGGACAGGTTGAAAAAGGCAGACAAACGAAAAACGAACCTCGGCATTCCACCACCGCACAAACTCGTTCTTTTCGACCGTGTACGCGTAGAATTCGGCGACGGTCTTGTGTCTGGAGTGGGTCAGGAGGGAACCGAAGATGTGGTCGCCGATGAGATGGGTGATGGCCCAGCTGGCGAGGGCGCGGAACCAACCTTTTTATCGGCGATTTCATTGACAGTGAAACGGGAGGGAAGATGGGATATTGGGAAAGATTAGATGTGTGTCATGGGACGTGAGATTGAGAGGACTGGCGAACCGTAGAGCCGTGGGCCGAGTGTGGCGAGCATGAGGCTCTTCTCCTAAGACGTCAGAGAGAGATTAGTGGGGAAGAAAGACACGGTCAATATGTCGATCATCAGCGAACGAACCTTCTTATCAGGGCCAAGATGGGACAGTAGCGCCTTGTAACCGTCCGAAGAAGTCAGACCGGCGAACAACTCAAGCGCGCGAGAGGCTGGGTTAGATTGCACCACAAAAATCATTCCATGAACCTCCGTAGGGGAAAAGAGAGATGCCATGCAGAAGCGGCGTACGATGCGGCAATTTGAACTCGACACATTCATGCCCTTCTCTCCGAAGTGCGTCCACTGTCTCCAGCACCGCACGTTGACATACCGGGGATGCTTTGACAAAGTCGTCTGTTCAAATAACGCGCTATCCAGTAAGATGTCAAAAGATATGTCGGTAGGGAACGTAAAACCAACCAGAAGTATAGTATCCAAACTTGAGTTTCTTAGGGAGGTCGACTTCGCGATAGGGGAGGGGCGCAGGGAAGTAGTTCGCGTCTTGGACGCCGAAGGTGAGGCGAGAGACGAGTTCGATGTCGTCTACTGAGCTGTACCGAATGATATGGTGAATCAAATTAGAACATTGATCCAATGTTGCGTGACCTGTATATAGAAATTGGGCCACAGTGGCGGAAAAGGTTGAACGAACTCACCGGCCCATCGGTCCAGCTACTGATCGGATGGCTTCGAACCCAGGGTTCGGTCCTGTGCCCAGCGACAGAATTAGGTCGTCTCAGTTCTGCTCACCCACCCAATGGATGGTGTTATAAATGCCAACCCACCTCGACTCCCTTCCTGGGCAATCCTCCCAAATCCGGGTTTTAGAGAATAAATACCACAATACGAAGCTGGAATCCTTAAACTTCCTCCCACATCGGATCCGATACCGATGGCCGAGCCGTCGAGCGCGAGGAGAGCAGCTTCGCCGCCTGAGGAGCCGCCGCAGGTGTGTAGAGAGCTAAAGGGGTTGGTCGTCGTGCCCCAGAGAGGATTACCACATTCGAAGGTTAACATTGTTTGGGGGACCTGAGGATAGACGTGTCAGTTCAATTTTAGGGAGATTAAAAAAGTGTTGTCTTGGGTGGGCATAGAGGCCCGCACATTGGTTTTGACTATGGGTATGGCTCCGGCTGCACGCAATTGTTGAACTATCTGTAAAAGGTGGACGATATATAGTTACATGCGATTAGACAGACAGAGTCAAAGACATACAGATGAGTCCTTTGTGGCCGTTTTGCCTGCCCATTGTGTGAAACCGATAGTGCTATCAAATCCCTCAATATCGTCTTTCAAACCTATTTCAGTGTTTGAACCGTGCAGGGTAACAAGGAAACCTACATTGGTCTTTCAAGCTGACCGGGACGCCGTGAAGTGGGCCCTTAAGTTTACCTGTTGTAGAGAATAGCTTGTCCGATTGTTCTGCTTCCTGTCGAGCCTGTGCGAACAAAACTTTGAAGGTTACAACCGGTGAGCGAGATGCACGACGTGTCCGTTGAAGGTATGAGGAGACGCGTGACATACTCTCTGTGAGACAGTTTGTCTTCGCATGGGCGTAAGCTGCGCGAGCGATGTAGGCTTCGATGACTTTGGAAGCGGTCCATTCGCCTTTCTCGATATTCTGTACAATCTCCTTCCCTGAATATAATTCAGTGCGTTCTCGATAAGTCGCGTAGATATATAGTGCATACCTGTCGCGCTGAGGTACTGTGTATGTTCTTGAGGATTGTAGATTCCAGCTGTGGCTACATCCTTGTCGCGCTGTGCACGTTTGGAAGCGATAATTCCTGCATTGGAGGATGTGAAAGGCCACATTCTATTCGGGATGTCGCAGTGTGGGATTACAGTGACCTACACCTTCTCCTGGCCGTTCAGTTATACCTTATAGGCGTTCGGGTGCAATAATACGACAGGGCGTGAGTGAACCGCAGCCCGGAATAGAATCAAAATACTGTTTCGATAGTCAAGGAGAAACATGTGTAATTCACTAATATGCTACAGCCTGGGCCGGCTTGCTTCAAATGCCGAGGTGACGACCAGCAACGCGTTATTTACTAGCGGAAGCCAAACAGTTAGGTTTTGAGATTCGTCGAGGAACGCGAGATAGTATTGTGAGAGACAGGTTCAGGTTTTTGAGTGAGGGCAGCCAGCAAGAAATGGCTCGATATATTTGTGGCAACCACAAGGGTGTTCGGCTTCGGGTTAGGGTTCACGCGGAGTCTGAACACGCAGACTTTTGGGCGACACGCTGTCGCTCATCATTCTGAACATTCACCACTAGGACGACATGGCCGACAGTAAGTCTTCCCTCCGTTTCATTGTTTGTTTGCGTTTTTCAGTCTGTTGGTGGTCTATGCAGGCGTCAAATATGAAGAAAAGCCTGACGTGGACATGTTGAAGGGTAATTACTCCCTTTCCTACCCTCCGCGCTTCCGTCACCCAGGAATCATCGAGCTCATGGTGCATCTTCCATTCTCGCACCATGCTTTCTCTGTCTCTTTGTTTCCAGCTAGCTAGCTCCTGTATTTCCGTGACGCGCGAGCCAGCTTAGTGCTTGACTCTGCCACCGCTGCCGATCCATCGCCTTGTCGAAGAGTGTGCGAGCCCACCTCGCGCCAGCTGACATCATTCTAGCATCCTGCTCACCCTTGTATTCTGTCCATTTTATTTTATAGCTGAACGTAGTGAGCGTCATCGCTCTTCAAGACATGAGGATAGGGACCGCGAGAGAGACAGGGATGGGCATCGTGACAGAGACCGGGGGGACAGGGACAGGGATCGCGAACGTCACGGCAGTAGACGCGACAGAGGCGAACGGCCCGAAAGAGGAGACCGTGATCGCGAGAGGGAACGGGATAGAGGAGATCGTGACCGTGAGCGCGAAAGATATGGACGTGGAAGAGGGGAAGAGCCACCCCGTCGCTCCCGGTACGAAGACGACCGTAGGCGCGAATTCTATGATGACCGCGGGGGCGGGGGTGGGGGCAGGGGTCGGGCGCCCGATGATGATCGTGGTGGAAGGCGTGGTCGACGTGGCGAAAGGGACGCAGGACCACCACCTGGTGGCGCCACACCTGAGCGCCGCTCTCCTACTCCACCGAACGCAGTGCCCTTATCGCAGCGCAAGAGGAAAGCCAGTGGATGGGATGTACATGCCCCAGGCTATGAACAGTACACTGCCATGCAGGCCAAGCAGACTGGTATGTCCTCATATTGTCCCGCTTTAGTTAGTGCTGACCATCATTCTCTGCGTACAGGCCTGTTCAATCTGCCCGGCGCGAATCGTACCCAAATTGCGCCTATCCTGAGTGCTCCCGGTTTGCCCCCTCCCATGCCTGTTCAGACCTTCGGTATGGGGATGGGCGTTAACCCTAACCTCTCTCGCCAATCCCGTCGTCTGTATATTGGGAGCATCACCCCGGATATCACTGAACAAAACCTTACCGACTTCTTCAACAGCAAGATGATCGAGATGAATATTGGAACGGGAGCGCCTGGTCCCCCGGTTCTGGCCGTACAGTGCAACTACGAAAAGAACTACGCCTTCGTCGAGGTAGGTTAGGTTGAGTCCTTTAACATAGAATACTTGATTGACGTTTGCGTTTCCTTTGTTCAGTTCCGTAGTGCAGAAGATGCAACAGCTGCCATGGCCTTTGATGGTATCATCTTCGTCAATGGACCTCTCAAAATCCGTAGGCCGAAGGACTATGGAGGCATGGAGATGCCCGCACCTCCCCTTCACGTTCCCGGTGTTGTATCCACGAATGTTCCAGACTCGCCTCACAAGATATTCGTTGGCGGTCTTCCGTCGTATCTCAACGAAGAGCAGGTCATGGAACTCTTAAAGAGTTTCGGTGACTTGAAGGCTTTCAACCTCGTTCGTGAGAACGGCAACGGTCCGTCAAAGGTCAGACACATCATTCTACCTCTCCTTCTCGCCCTTGCTGATATTGTCTTCATAACCTCAAGGGCTTCGCCTTCTTTGAGTATGTCGACCCCGAAGTCACAGACGTTGCTATCCAATCCCTCAGTGGCATGGAACTCGGCGATCGCTACCTTGTCGTCCAACGTGCCTCCGTTGGCGCTAAAGCCGGCCAACCAGGCATGCCGAATCTTCCCTACGACCAATTCCCCGAGATTCCCCGTCCAATCCTCCCCGCTGGTGCTTCCGACCTCTCCAGCGCAAACTCCCGTATTCTTCTCATGCTTAACATGGTCACCCCCGAAGATCTCATCGACGACTCTGAATACGCCGACCTGCTCGAGGATATCCGCGAAGAGGTGGCGAACTACGGCGACGTCGACGATGTGAGGATCCCGAGACCGGTGAGGAGGGACAGGGGGAGATGGTCTGCTGGTGAGGGCGCGAGTGCGCAGGATGCGCAGAGGGCTGACGAGGCGGCTGGGGTGGGCAGAGTCTACGTAAGGTATAAGGACGCGGAGGGGGCTGCGAAGGGGATGCAGGCGTTGGCGGGACGGTCGTTCGCGGGGAGGTCGATTATTGCGACCGTGTTGAGTGAGGATAGTCAGGTTACGCCACCGCTGGACTTGATATTCGCACCGCAGCCAGTGGCAGCACCCCCTTTGCCTGAGGCTGACAGTAATGAGTCGGCACTGAGCGCGGCTGCTTGAATATAGGGATTAGTGGCGAGGTTGTTGCCTGTGAAAGAGGAGAAAGGGGCAATGTAAATATTTGTGGGGCCGCTTCGGTACTTTTGTGTCTTGTCTGTGTTGCTTGATGTTGTCCTCCCTGGCCTTGGTACTCGAGTAATCTATCTTCTCTGCATTGCGTGTGAAAATAGGCAGTTTAGTACGAGGTGGTCCCTACATCAACCAAACTCAACGAAGCATGTGTGAGGATTTCATAGTTGAAGTTATAGAAGACTCCCCGACAACGATTATATACAAGGACGATATACTTATACATATAATACATAAGGCATTGGTATCTTCAGCACGGCGGCTCCCATGCGTTGCTCAGGCTATAGGTACCTCAGCAGTACTCTTTGGCCGGGAAGTCAGCCCGTTCTAAAAAGGCTGCATCAGACGGTTGAAGCAAATGACTGACGAGAGCGGACACACCTCTTCGTAGACTTTCTCGATCCAGAACATGTTTGCTATAGAATCCGCTGCGTCGAACCAATGCTGGGGTGTCCTTCCTCGAAGTTTGTCCATGAAAGCTTCGAACTGGTATCGATACCTGTATTTCATCCGAGACAAAGTCAGTAATCTCTGATGGGCTGGACTCGAAAGCCAATGAAAGCATCTGCTTGATCAGATGGAAAAACTCACGTCGTCCATCCCGGAGTTCCATAGACCTTCTCCGTCCTACTCTTCCCATCCTTCCCTTTAATCGTGAGAGAATGATACACCCAGGGAAACACGAAGTTCGTGAGCTCAACCTCTCCCTCCTCACACACCACCCTCCCAAACACAACTGGCCTTATCCTCGGTAGAAGCCCGAACGGGCCCCACCCCGGAAGTCTAAAATGAGAGTCAATCCTTCCCTCGATCTCCCGACCTCCTTCACTGGCACTAGGAAATATAAGTTTGGCACTAGCACCTAAGTCGATCTTTGGAAACTTGGAATTCGTGTCTGCTGTGGCGCTGGCGACTCTGATAGGGTCGGCAGAAGCGAGATAGCGAGCGAAGGACATTGCGTAACAGCCACAGTCCATGAGCGAACCGCCGCCGAGATCGTAGGAGAGACGGATATCATTGTCTTTGATCACGCCAGAGGGCAGGGTGAGGGCGGTGTGGATGCTTTTAATGGGGCCGAGGGAGCCGCTGGCGACAATTTCTTTGATGCGTTGCGCGGCTGGGTGGAATCTTGTTGGCGATATTTGACGCATGAGATCCATGAGTTAATTCAGGTATTGTAGGGAGGCTTGGAAGTATCACAGTTGGCTAAAGGGCTGTACACACCGATAGTGGAAAGCCTCGAGGAGAACAAGGCCTTTCTTGTCGGCGAGCTCGAACATCTTGCGAGTCTCTTCTGCAGTGTCGGCACTTGGCTTCTCGAGCAAGACATGTTTGCCTGCTGCGAGAGCTTTCATGGTCCACTCATAATGAAGACCGTTTGGCAGCTACCATAACATAAATTATTTGGGTGTTATCACATGAAAACGCGTCGTAAACTGACTCACTGGGTTGTACACAACATCAACCTCTGGATCATCCAGCAACTCTGTGCCCTCGTGTGAGTAGTCAAGATGGGCAGTGTGACCATAGCGCACGTACTCTGATACGCTCCATCACCACCATACGCCTTCGGTATACTCCATTTCTTAGCGAAGTCATCCGCACGAGTCTGGTCTCTAGCAGCCACAGCATAGAGAACCGCGTCGGGATGATTCTTGACGGGACGTATGATGGCGATGGGTGCTATGTTAGCTGCACCCAAGATACCGAACTTCAACCCATTTGGGGATGGCGCTTCGGAGGGGTTGAAAGCCTGTTAGATGTTCCGTAGATCAGCCCATCCGCGAGAACGTCTTGGAGATGAAAATGTTCAGTGATTGCTACGTACGAGACTGATCCTCCGGTAGAAACCAAGTATAGAGGCCATAGGTAGTTAGTTGTGCGATATCCCTACCTCAAAATGCCCGGAGGAGGTCTTTATAGGTGTGTCTGACAATCAGTGTGGGCTCTGTTAGCGAGAGAATCTCCCACATGATATCATAATGGACGAAATGGACAGCACAAGCTTCGTCGGTTGCATGGTGAGAGCGTACTGTACCCCACCCAACCTAAACCGTGTCATCGGGCTGCCCATATCGGGGTTGCCATCCACAGGCCCGGGCCGCGTTCGCTTGGGTGACCTTTTCTTGCTCGCCCACATCGTGTCCGTTGATCTCAACGCTTTTATGTTCTTGCAAGTTTTTGACCATGGACGAATACTGTGCTGTGGATTCCCGGTACCTCGAGCGGATATGGTCTGATCATTGTGTTCTACCTACAGGCCATACCATCGGGCAAGTGAAACGGCAGATGCCGGATGAGATCCATTCCGGCCACCTGGCGCACACACTTCGGCATCCGTTCCTTGCAGTGTCGGCCAAGTGGCTTGCGTGTCCGCTCTGCTCGCCGTTCGACGCGTTCCGCTCCTGCGCAGACCCGATGCCGCCCTATGACTTGGCCTGTGCCTTCAAGCCGAGGCAGACGCCTCATCACGGCCTTGTGCATTGAGAAATGATATAAACACACCTTCAACATCTACCTCGAGTCGTCGAAACCAGCACTCCTTCAATCTCACGTCACCACATCATCGTATCACTCTAAACATGCGTCCATTCTTCTACGGTGCTACTCCCGGCGGTCCGTCCATGCCACACATGGGTTACCACCATTACTACCGCGGCGGTCGTGGACGTCCCCTCCGACTCTTTTGGTTCGCCATCGGTGCTGTATCCGCCGTCGCGTGGATCAACCACAGAGAGAAGAAGGCTATCACCGCAGCGAACTCGAATGGAAGTCCATGGGAGGCTCAACCGCAAGGTGGACAAGGGTGGGGACATGGGTTTGGGCACGGACATGGACATGGACGAGGAAGGAAATGGGATCGTGAGGAGGCAGATTCGGGATCTAGGATGGATTATGGTGGTCAGAGGCCGATGGAGAGCAGTGGACCAGTCGCCGCGCCAGCCCCTGCGCCATCGCATCAGGCCCCTGTGGCGCCTGCTCCAGTTGCGCCGCCTATGCAAAGCGAAGCTATACAGCCCCAGGCGGACCAAAGATGGGTTGACGACAGGGAGAAGGTCAAGGAGATTGCTCGACAGGCCTCCGAAACCGTACGTTTGTTTCCTTACCTATCTATTGAGCTCTTGCTCACACGAGATCACCGAATATCTACAACGATGTTTCCAGATGTCCGAGCTATCCGAAGCGACTCTCGATTCCATGTTAGCGGGACTTCAAAGTCTCAAGAACGTGAGTAGTACTTCCGCGTTTTGCTGTACTCGTCACTGAGCCAGTATCTGTCTCCAGCGCATGGCTGAACGTCGTGCCACTCAGGAGCAGCAGACCCCGCAAGAGCAACAGCCTGCTGCTCAGAGTCCCCCACCACCTCCAACTCCCAGGCATTGGGTTTAGAGGTTCTTACCATTCTATTTTATTCATCATATCGGACTCGCCAGATTTCGGCTGTCTCCGTACAGGCCTCCATATATTTTCTCCCCATGTATAATGATCAAACAATTCCTTGTTTCTCCTCCTTTCTTTGTGTCCTTCGATGTATCATCACCCACTAGCTCTCCTTCCATAATTTATCCCATTTTATCGTCCTCCCCGAAAGATGCTCTCTGGTGAGCGCGCGCGCATTCATTACGTGGGCCGATGTACTGGGCGAATCGTTCCGAACAAGTTCATTCAAATCATCGCTTGGCCAGGTCCTGTATTGTCTCGGACAGGGGGAACCTCGAATTGGGCCCAGCGACAATTATATTGCACGAGGCTCCGCTCGGATTCAGATCAGAATTGGTTTTAGGTTCGTTGTTCCCCTTCCATCAACTTGATTTCTCAACAGTCCCTCTAAATATGCTTGCCCTAGGGTCCTGCGGCGATGTTCGATTGGAGGCCTGGATCTACGTTCCTCCCCATTTCGCTCCGTTCAGGACAAAATTCCGCTCCGCTATTCTTCAAACACTGAGGCCCAACGACTACCATCTCCTTAGGTATCTCTGAGAAGTTTGGCGTGTGAAGCTTTTCCCAGGATAGTTGGACAAGACGAGATACACCGAGACTTTGATGACAACATCCACCATAGGGCTTAGGAATGACGATGACGGCGAGTATAGCGCGTGAGAGCAGAGTTTGAGTTGGTCAACATAATACGAGTCAACTGCAGTTTGTTGTCAGCTACGTGGACTTCGTGGACAATGGGCCCTTCTCGTTAGGAATCAACGATTAGGAATTATTCCGGAGTTCGTTCCGGTACAAGTGTAAGTGTGGTCTATCTGTGGGGCTTCTCGAGCATGCTAAGTACTACTAAGAAGCAGGTACAATTGTCGGCTCAGTGTCCGTTGGCTTTCCACCGCCTGCTTTGCCGTGAGGAACTTGTCAGTGCACGAAGATTCTTCCAGATCACTTATAAGGTTGCCGTCCGTGCACATCAGAAGTAATATTTACCGACCCTGGCCTCCATCTCTCATAAAGTCGGACGCGCACAACTGAGCTCTCTACCTGTCACTACCGACCCATGTCGATCCTCTTTGACGCTATTCTGGTGCTGACTTCACTTCCCGTGCTACTCGTCCTCTTTGTTCTCTTCCGAGTCGCCAGGCAGTACGTCAGGCAGGCTTCCCTCCACAATATCCCTGGACCTCCGCCAGATTCGCTTTTCACTGGTACGTGGCTAGTCTTTTCTTCCCCTACTGGAGTTACAGAGCTGAAATTGGAATGATTTGACGATAGGTAACTTAAAGACATTGTTCGGCTTAGATTCCTGGGGTTTTCACGCTCGTATTGCGAAGTCGTATGGAGGTGTAATCCGGATCTGGGGTTTCCTTGGAGTGAGCCGTACAATTTTGCTCTCATGATCTCGATGCACCCTGCCCCATTCAAGACCTCACCTCGATCTTTTCTTCACCCAGGATACACTATTGTATATCAGGGACCCCAAGGCACTATATCATATTCTCATCAAGGAGCAATATGTATTCGAAGAAACAGATATGTTCATCAAGTGAGCCACCTGCGCAACCGTAGCGGACCATGCATTGCTGACGGCGAGGTCCAGAACGAGCGCGGCAACATTTGGAATGGGACTGCTGAGTACTCTTGGGGAGCATCATCGTCGCCAGAGAAAACTTCTCAACCCTGTCTTCTCCATCAAACACATGCGCTACATGATCCCTATCTTCTATAGAATATCCCATCAGGCGAGCAGCCCCTTCGCTTCAATAGATTATGCTACATGGTGTAACTCAAATATTCTTTCTTAGTTAACCGACGTGTTGAAGAAGAAGATAGTTCAAGCTGATGGTACGGCGGAGATCGATGCCTTAGATTGGAATACTCGCGTTGCGCTCGAGCTCGTCGCTCAGGGAGGCTTGGGCCACTCGTTCAACAGTCTCGACGAACATTCCGAGAGCCCCTATACCACTGCTTTGAAAAGTTTCGTGTAAGTGCAAGTACTCCCAAACTGCGCCCCTCAAACCTCATTATCCTCAAACACTATAGACCTTCCCTCACGAGGCTGAACCTTTGGCGACAGTTGTACCCGTGGGTGGCTAATCTCGGTACCCCGGCTCTACGACGGTGGGTCGGTCAAAATCTTCCTATGCCGGACCTCAACCGGTTGGTGTATTTGACGGATGTCATATACGAGACGTCGAAGATGATATTCAACGCGAAGAAGGCAGCATTGGAGAAGGGTGATGACGCTGTTGTGCTACAGATTGGAGAGGGGCGAGACATTATGAGTGTTCTGAGTGAGCATTCTTTGAAACATTTTGTGCCTGATTTATCATATTGACGAACTTTTTCCTTGTGCTCCCCAGTGAAAGCAAATATGGAGGCCGACGAGAAGGACCGTCTACCCGAGATCGAACTCCTAGGCCAGATGTCGTACGTCTCTATGTTTCTAATCTTTCATCTAACCGAGAACTGACAAACACACATTAGAACACTTACCTTCGCGGCTATGGATACGACCTCCTCAGCTCTGTCCCGGATACTACACCTTCTGTCCATGAACCCAGAGGTTCAAGATCGCCTGCGTGAAGAGTTGATTAATGCCCGGAAAGAAATTGAAGGTGACTTTGATTACGATACGCTCATGGGACTGCCATACCTCGAGGCAGTCTGTCGCGAGACTCTTCGCATGTAAGAAATATGCATACGACCTCTTACTCATTCATATTCTGACATGATCATAGGTATCCTCCCGTCACTCAGATTTTGCGCACGTAAGTCGAGAGCAACGCACACACGTCCTCTTCGCCGTTTCGCAGAAGTATTGAGGTGACATGCTACAGGACCCGCAAGGATACCATACTTCCATTGGGAACGCCATTATCTGTCAAAGGAAACACAGTTTCGGAGCTCTTCATACCTTCCAATACGACCATCAGCATAGGCATCAAAACCGTGAACACTTCTCCAGAGCTGTGGGGCCCTGATGCGGGCAAATGGAACCCTGAGAGGTGGCTTTCGCCTTTGCCCGAGAGCGTCACGAATGCTGGTATCCCTGGGGTGTACGCAAATACGTACGTGTGCATTGGTTCTGAATCGTGTCCGCGTATATCGTGTTTATAACAGTTGCTCATTTGATTCAGCTTGACTTTCCTTGGTGGCGGACGTGCATGCATGTGAGTTCGATGTCCTCCAGTCGAAACGTTATGCTGGTCTGATCACGGAATACTCTCAGCGGCTTCAAGTTCTCTGAATTGGAGATGAGTACGTGACTAGCCTTTCGGTTCCACAAATTTTCGCTGATTCGGTATCACTTTGTCAGAGGTGGTCCTCTCCCTTCTAGTGACGAACTTCCGGTACTCGCCATCCAAGAAGACCGTCGAGTGGAAGTCTACCAACATTGCCACACCGATGGTGGACGGAAAACCCTCACTGCCGCTCCTCATGTCGCGGATATAGATTTCTGAGTGGCAAGGGAGCCTGACGTGAGTTGCGGGATTGAGATGCAGTGGGTAGTGTGGAAGTTGGAAGGATGAAAAGTGGTTCCCGGGAGAGGGTGCTTGTGTCCTGTGTATTATAGCATGGTCAGACTGCCAAAGAACGGGCAGCGGGCTCCAAAGGCTTGGCTTCAGCCCAATCAAGTTCCTGGCTCTTTGCTCTGAGATTACCACCCTCGCCGGCTTGCAGTTTGGCTTGATAAGAACCCAGTTGCTCTACATGTTCATCTTATCACTCATCCGGCCTGGCCATGATATGATTGGTTATCAAACAAGAGGTGCTACGATATATACGACACTGGCAGTGAGGCTTAACCATGGTTAAAGCACAGAGACTATCAAGTTCGTAAGTAGCTGTAACGATTTATCGGTAACAAAAACTGACCACTAACATGAACGTCTAGTTAACTAAATGATTAATACGAGCTAAAGGGAGAAACAAAAAAACGCTAAATATGTACAACAAGGAAATCATAAGCGCCGGAACTGTGGCCGTCATCTGACTCCGCCTGACTTCTTGCCATCACCCTCTCAGGCCATCGAGCTCAACGGCCACTTGAATATTCAGTGTCAGTACTTCAAGTTCATTCTTTTTACGTAGTCTTTTGTCTTGCTGAAGCTCTCATTTGGGCTATCTGAAATCTAGATGGACACTATCGAGGACGAGAAATACATCTTCACCCAATCCTCGTCTCCTGTCCACGGCAAGGTCTCTCGAACACCCACAACGCCTGGGCAATTAATCCTTCGGCCCTCATCTGGACAACACGTCAACGATCTTTCACTTCATGATTTCCTCGAATTCTTCATCGCGACCCGACACATCGCACTCCATCTCCAATCCAGCACATCCGTCCATCGTGTCGCCATGGCGTGCGACGGAATCGAAGTCCAACTCATACCTCTGCACGGAATCGGCGAAGAGTGGCAACCCATACTTCACGGCGAGAAGGTGTGGTATGATCCCTGGCCGGGGTGGTTCACCACAAAGAACGGACCGACGGCGACGCCTGAAAGTCTCGTCGCCACACAAACACAGATCACGGCGGTTTCTGATCTACAACAGCCCTATGACCTATCCTTCTACGACAATGAGACTGGTGCAGATGTTTCTAAGCCTTCTACGGAAGACATAAGCCTCTTTGCACGTCTCGTACGCGGCGAACTCGAGCAGTGGCGTGTTTGGGAGTCACCTTCCCACGTCGCGTGGCTCACCCCGTTCGCGAACACGCGGGGGTTCACGGTCCTCGTCCCGAGGAGGCATTTATCGTCGGATGTGTTTGGTGGGCTTGCAGAGGACGAGTATAAGGGTTTATTGGAGGTCACTTGGGAGGTTATGGGAGTGTTGAGGAAAGCGTTCGCTGGTGGTGCGGAGGAGAGAGTCAGGGTGGCGATATTCTTCGAGGGGTTCGAGATCGATTATACCCATGTGAAGTTACTTCCGGCGATCGTGCGCGATGGAGAGGTTCCAGGGAGTGGATACGGAGGGAAGGAGTTCAACGCAGAATATTATGAAGTGTATCCTGGCTTCATTACGACGCAGAGGGGCCCTCCGGCATCTAATCAGGAGGAGGTGGTTTCGTTTGCGGGGAAGATGAGGCAGGCCTTGCGCGTAGAAGTGTAGTCCATTTGAGCCGTTTATGCCCGAGTTTTTTATGCATGTGATCTGTATGTAGCGACTGTGGTAGAGTTGTGCGCCACATTGATGTGGATGCTTCCAGGGCCACACATCTCGAAGCGCACACTATTCCCACGCATAGACACTCGATCAAACAACGTTAACTTGAACTCGGACTTCACAAGTTCACCTTAACGCGATTCGACAGCAGAATACGGCGATCTTCTACGTGCTCGGGATAATACGTTATGTATCGTAACGCTCAAGCGGGCCCGTCACGGCCTGCACAACATGCAACGAATGACCTAGCATTGGATTCCATGTCTGCTCTACTCCACGCACCGCTGACCGATCTCACAGCTCTGTCCCAAACACTCTTTCTGTCCCTCTCACCACCACAATCCAAACCTCCACCACCTCCTCCAATATCAGCCTTCATTGAGTGTGACTATGCTTTGGCTCAGGCCGTACAGATGGCAAGAACACACCAGGCGAAGCAGCGAAGGATAGAGGAGCTGAAGAGGGAGGTCATGGGGCTGGATGAACGGTGGAGGGATATTGTGGAAGAGCTAGAGAATGGGAGAAGAGATTTAGAGGATACCATCAGGGAAGGGGATGAGAGGATGAAGGGAATTGAGAAGGCGAAGGACGGTGTGTTCATTTCTATTCTACTTGGCCATGCCCAACGGAAGGCTGAATGCCTTGGAATATAGCTGCGATACCATACACGGAATTGCTGGCATATGCACAAAGTCTTAGTTCATTCACTTCCGCACCCCCAAACATGCCCGACCTAGCCCTTCCTGGCCAACCACCCCCACCATTGTTCTTCCCTCCTTTCCCCAACGAGGAGAGAATGCGCAGAGGCCGACTAAATGCAGAGGCCCCCCTTGGTCCGCTCGGGGAGACTCACTCCGTTGGCAGACGTATGCTCCCATCTACGTTTTATTTTCTGTTATCTGTGTCTGAATTGGTGATTGTTTTGACGTAGTGCCAGAACCTGAACGAACACCGTCGCCACCCCCTGAGCAACGCCTTCCAACGTCTTACCGCCCACCTCTACCACCTCAGCAGATATTTGATCTGGATCTGGACTTGAATCCAGATCTATGATGATGCTGGCTTTCTCCTTCTCTCTCAGCAAATTATGTGATGCATGAAACAGTTTGGTGCCTGTGTGCCCCACAATAGTGGCTGTATGTAGATGTACACATAATTGGTATTACAATTTCCAAAAATACCCCAGACATTCAGAGAGTCCTCTATCGTTACAGTCATTGAAGAGATGCGTATAAGGAACAGTTTATTCTTTCACCGTGGTCACCGTATGTCCATCATCTTGATTCCCTCAGACCACTCACGAGTCACAACGAAACCTACCTATCGTCCCCAGGTCCATGGGCTTTGTTGAGCCCCCTGACGTCTAACCAGTTCCTCGAAGTTTGTGTCGCGTGTGTTGCTCGAGTCCAATACGTGAGAGTCGCCGCCGATAGGTTCGCCACATTCGGGGCAGAACGAACGCTGCATGGCTCCACCACACTAGGGAACAAAGGAGATCAGCTCACCGACACTCTTTTTTTCTACGCGACTTGAATGTACATACCTCGGTGATGACGAATGTATGCCCATTGCGGCATTTGTAGAAGTGGCCGGTGTGAGCTGGTGAAAAGCGGCAAGAATCCGTCAAAATGCTACGCTATAGACATAACACAGGAGACTTACAGAAGTCAAGAGCACGGATAATGGACATCTTCTCGTCCAAGGAAACCGACTGATAAAACGTACTATCGCGCACAGAGCCCAGTACCAAGCTCCACTCTTGCAATATCACTTCAGCCGTTTCCGAGAAGTTCTCTCGGAGCCAGTCATGGTCATCGGGACCACTCCCTCGGCTTTTGATGTGGTCGTCCTCTACCTGCCTAGCATAATCCTTCGCAGCAGCATGCTTCTCCTCACCTTTCTCTACCAAGCTAGATCTGGCCTCAGTCAGGACACCCCTCTCGCGAGACATCTCCACGTCGAGTTTGAACAGTTCTAGCTCGGATCGCATCAGGTAGAGTGCCGTCTTGGTGACCTGTCGGCGAGACTCCGAGTTCTTTGCAATACGAAGGGCGATCTCGGCATCTTGGGTGCATGACCGCAATAGGAACTCGATATATATCGCCCATACGGTCCGTTGCTGAGTCGGATACTCCTCCTTCTTTTGACTGACGGCTCGAAGCCAGGTCATGGCCAGATCGGCGAGGGTAAATCGGATGGTCAATGTGGACCAGAAAGCCTCCACGACGAAGCGTTTGTCTGCTCGAGGTTGGGGCTGACCGATCCTGATACGAGCCATGCGCATGGCATGCTCCTGAGGTTGACGTGGCGCAGTGCTCGGGTCCTCGAGGGCAAGTTCCATCTCCTGCTCGTGAAGCGTATGGAAAGCGGCCTCCCATGCGCTGACGTGCGCGGAACGAGTAGACGCCACCTTCGAGGCCATCTCGTACGCTCGTAGAAGATGATCGATGGCCTGACGCCAAGCTCCGTCGACGCGATTGTCTACGCCGTGGTAGTGAGCTTTTCCTGGAATGATGGCGTCGAGGGGTACAGGAGTTTCTCGCGTGGCCCGCAGAAGTTTCTCGCGCTCCTTCTTTGTCTTCTTCAGGGTTTGTGCAGTAACTTTAGAACCAGAGATGCGGAGAGATGAGGCGCGGGCTTTGACCTTGGCCTCAGCCTCGACCTTGGACGATATCGTTGCCTCTGTATCGACTGCGTCGAGTATGAGCGTCATCTGTGAGGCCACATTGCGCTCGATGATGTCTAGAATTTGATCCAAATGTTAACAGCTACTACTGACCCTTGAGATAAAAATGCACGTACCCAGATCAGCGCGCTTGAAAATGCGGCCGTAGCGAGGGCATGTGATAGCAGCTCTGCAGGTTGGGCAGACGGGAGGTGCACGGAAGCCGAAAGGTGGCTCTTTGCATTGGGTCCATTTACCCTCAGTACCCTCGCGATCGTAGTAGTCGCTCATGCCGCAGTGTCCATCAAGTGTCTCGACCGTGAACGTATGCCGACAGTTGGGGATCGTTATTAGCAGCTCGTCCAATGTTTCTTCATCTGGACTGACTTCGGCCAAGGTACGTTGCATAATGAAGTCGACGACGCTGTTCTGGTCGTCAGGAGAGGCACATAATGGGCATTTCATGATATCACAAGGCTCGCCACAAACTGCAGTAATCCGTTAGTGGAGTCATACGGACTGGCGATGAGTACACGTACCTGAGGGGCAGCGGTGTCCGCATTTGAGGATCTTCTTGCAGTGCTGGTCGCAAGGAAGACGAGCGCAGACCTAAGTGGTGTCTGAGCTACGGTGCATTTGGGTTACGAGAGACGATACATACCGAGCCACATGGTACTGGGCAGGTGTGATGCGGACAATTCCTACAGAAGCGAGCCACAATGAGGGGCCTGAGTACATTGATCATGTCAGAAATTGATGCGTACCATATACACTTCCCTTGACAGGGTGCACAAGGAGCGGAGCAGGGCAGACGACATTTTGCATGCACACAAACCTGGCGACAAGGTGCCTTGCACATTTTCGAATGCTCGTGATCGCTCGAGCATGGATTCTGGCAGAGATGTTGGCAGTAGAGCGCCTTTTGACAGCTGTGTTGGCAGTGTTCCACTCTACCGATCCGGCCATCTTCTCCAACCGTGTTCTTCGACTGACATGCACTACAGGTGTTACGGCATGTTCTTCCACAACATGTCATGATCCCACCGCACTGGGCCACGCAGGTGTAGCTAGATGCATCGTCCGAGCATCTCATCACGGCAGAATGTTCACAGCGAAGAAGCGACTTCTCCACCACAACATTGCAAACTACTTCGTCGAGGCTATCCAACATGTGGCTAGGTCGACTCATCAGCGACAAAAAAACAAAAAGAACATTGGATGTTCAATGAGAAACATACCAAGGAATCCCGTCTGTGATATGACCGCATGGAAGCTCGACTTGCGAAACTGGGTAGCGGCAATCGCCACACTGCGTGGCACACGGCTTATTGCATGGGTGGCCTCTAGGACAAAGCCTCCGACAAGATTCGGTGCATTGAACGGCGACATGACGCGGATCGTCGGAATGACACTGTACGTGTATGTTTAGCAACTGCAGTAGAAATGAGAAGATGAAAAGTACCTTGAAGGGACAGAGATGACCGCATTGAAGCCGAGTACCACAAGGTTCCAAACAGCCACCTGTCGATTAGTAGCATCAGATGTAGTCCTGAGAGATACAAAGAGTTTATTCTTACCATCGGGAGCTATGCGAGGGAGCTTGCCAGGACTGGAGATGTACTGTACAGTCCCGGGATGATTCGGGCAAGAAACGGGCAATGCGTCTCCAACAGCCTCTTTCGCTTCCAGCTCCTCAATGATGGAGCGCCACATCCGGCTTCTGGACGACAGGTTAGGGGCATTACCAAGGATTATCAGTCCTTCCTTCGCCCGAGAAACGGCCACTATTGAAAAGACCATCAGGACATCAGAGTTTATTCACTGCGGACATTGTTCAGCCATACCATTCGTGCGATTCTCAGACTATGGTGTGTATTTCAGTCAAACATATCGGATATCCCGAGTGTGAAAAGATTCACCTTCAAAAATCCGATGTTCCCTCGTCTGGCTGCTCCTTGTGCCGCAACGTCCGCCTCGTCATCCATTGCACCAGAGTTCCGGACCAAAGACAGGATTACGATCTGTGAATGGCGTGAACAGACTGTGATCCTAGTTGATTGCGAGGCTACTGACCTTAGCTTCCTCCCCTTGATAATTGTCGATAGTACGAAGGCGGACCTATCATGGATCAACTTAGAAAACTGGGATAGCGGACATAGAACTGAGAGCGGTAACGTACGCGTCGCGAGATTTGGACTTGTTCCACGTTAGTGAAGGAGGTCCCGTCATCTTCTTTCTCGTCCTCGTGCTCTTCAAGTGCAGCCTTATCTCGCTCGTCGATGACTACAGTAACTTGACCTGAAAGAGCGTCACGGAGCTTGGAGAGCTGACCCAGATATGCAGCAAGAACGACAATGTCTCCATCCTCGGAGTAGCATCCTTGTCTGATACATTGTTTTAGTTCAGGTAATCATCGGACGTGAAGAAACTACAAACCGAAGCAGATAGAGAACGATGTCCTTGATCATGTCGACCTATACGAGATGGATGGGAAGATGTGAATAAATTATTGCAGTGAGATACAGCTTGAGACACACCTCAAACATATTGAACTTGCTGGCGGACTCCTCACCACCTCCGTTCTCGCGATGGTTATGAGTAAAAAAGAAGACATTCTTCTCGAAGCCACGGACATGAGGATAATGATGTACGAGCTCGTGGTCAATGAGCTGAGGATACAGCGTGTGTCTATAATGCCAGCCTCTTAGACTTCGATGCTGGAGACCTTCTGGATGAATTTTGCGCACCTGATAAGATTCGAAATATCGGGTCGCATTCGTCTTTGAACGTTGATTAGCGACATCGGCATCCCGCTCGAAGCAAGCCTTTCCATGAGTGAACGATCGAACTTGTAGAGCTGTTCGCCCTTCCTCGAATCCACCGAGAGTCCTTGAAAATATATTGTTCACTGATATGAATAGCATGGGTTCTAGAAGAAAGGAACTGACCATAATTTGCGATGGTAGGGCGGAGCTGGAGAGGATCACCAATGAGAATGAGATGCTCAACCGAAGGGACAAGGGAGCCCAAGACATGAGCCTCTAGGACTTGTCCGGCTTCTTCAACAAGCATCACACGAGGGGAGATACCCTGAGACGAGAATTCAGCACCGATTCGGAGTATACAGGGAGGACTGTCGCAGTATTACCTTGAGGAGAGCAGTCAACTTAGCAGCACCTGTTAGATCATAATATCAGCAGACGTTTTTGATAGTATATAGCAGAAGTACGCGTACCCGTTGTCGTACACCCAATGATGTCGACTTGCGAAAGGAGCTGTCGTCGGCACTATATTGCAACACTTAGTTTCTAATATAACCGGTGATCACACAAGATATAATGATTCGTACCTCATTTTTACCCTCATCATAACTCTGTTGAGCTGCAGCATGTTGATCCCGTAATCTCTTGAAGTCATCCATCCCTTGAGTGAAGGAGTCAGAGCGGACAGTGGCCTCCCAGTGAGCATGCAGTCGGTCACGTTCGATATACGACATGCTCCACGGAGAATCTGTGTCTAGGAGCAGATCGAGTGACCGATTTCTAGTCGGAACCTCAGGAACCTCGTCCAGGCCAATCGCTTTGAAGAAAGCGCCCACATCGCGGATATCATCAATACTGAGGAAGTGCTGTGTTGACTCATGGGATTTGGCATCGGAATCGTCGGAGTCGTTGGGTAGTTCGAAAGGTCTGGAAACGGGAGCAGGTGCAAGAGTGTGAGGTGGTTCTTGGGGAGAAGACTGTTTGATATCCGTTATTTCATCTAGGAAACTCTTCATCCAAAGTGGTTGCTCTTCATCGTCATCACTATCCGACTCAAGGCCATCTTCGTCTCCTGGGTGCTCATTATTGGCGTTTGACGAAACGAGAATATCGTAACGGTTCGTATTGGCAGGTGGATGGGATGGCGCTGCCACTTTTGGTAGTGGGGGTGGAGTCGAGGGACGTGGCGTTCGCAAGAAATCAAGATCGCGACCATGCCGCCAATACGTGTAGATTGAATTGCCTTGTACGCTCCCGCGCCCGCGAGGTCCAACATCATGCCACTGCCCATTCTCACCGTCGGCCTGGGATGTGAGACTTCTGAGGGTAGCAATCCAGGCCGGAGGGTTGACAAGAGGATAGTACGGCTCAGGCTGCGTCAGGTCAAGGTATCCAATAATGTCTTCTGGATCGACGCTTGTCTTCAAAAGTTTGCGCATGTGGGTTGCAATCTCATTCTCAATGGTCTTCAAGGCGCGATGACGCTGAGAAAACGAGCGGTCGAGAGACGAGCGGCTGGTGACCATTTCCTTGGCCTCGATGGAATATTGGGAGACTCGCTCGTCGGCAGAACGCGAGCCCAGGCGAACGATGTTGTTTGTGATCTTGGCATCCAGGACGGAGGCGAGCATATGATCTAAGGCATGGTTCGTGAAAGCGATCATGAGTATTGGGCCAATCTTGTTCGCGAGAAGAACACGCAGAAGCTCGACTCCCGTGTAGCTCTGTAAAGTGAACGATGCATCAGCACTTCATATGTGAGATGATAATGAACTACACTGGCCTTCCCTGTCCCTGGAGGCCTGTTATGAAAACCACACATTGAGTGTACATGCCATCAAATCCGCCGTGTCTTAGACGTACCCCTGTATCATAGCAATCTCCCTGGTCAAGGCATCGACAATTGAATCGGCCTGGCTATCGTCAAGACGGCTACCATCTCGAAGAGCTTGACGGGCGAAGTTCACCGATGAAGAGTCAGAAACTGACATGCGAAGGTCAGAGTGTGCATCTATGTCGACGAATAAGGAGGACAGGTTGTATTGGAACCCCGGAGTTGTCGCGTAAACAGGGGGGTCAACCTTGAAGTTGGTGTAGAAGCCTGGCGGTCGGAGAGGAAGATAACGAGAAAATGGGACAGTTTCAGGCTCTCTGCGGAGAGCCTCCAAGAATGGGCGTATGGCTTCGAAGAGTACGGGTGCCTCAACAAGCAGCTTGATTTCGCCTGGCGGACGTGTGGCTTGCTTGACCGAATGTAGAATTCGAATCTCGACCTCTGGGTCGAAGAAGGCGACGCGGACTGTGATCCGGTCTGGAGAAGACTTTGAAGACTCGACGACGTCCCGTACAGAGGTCGCAAGTGTGCCAAGGTGGACCGTGATGTCCTGTCCACGCTTCCATACCAACGCCACGAGTCCACCTTGCATGAGCCGTTTGCCAGAGTTCGCCTCCCAGAACCCTGCCCTGACCTTTGACTGTGGGGACCGAGCGCGACCGGGAGGTGTGTCGAATGTCAGGGTTGCAGTGATACCGCGGCGGTCAGGAAGGAGAGAGTTGAAGATAACGTCCGTGTAGATATTGAACATGATGCTGTCCTGGCTGTCCGCATGTCCCTTATACTTGCCGCCTTTATTTTCGCGCAAAGCAGCTAGCTGGGTCCTTTTCATTCCGGGAACACGTAGGTCATCCAGAACGAGTTGGACCGAACTCCGAAGAGGAGCGCTGTGAGGACAACGTCAGACGATTGACACCTGATATTATATGGAACGTACGTTAGTTCTTCCCGTAAGAGCCGGAATTGAACATCGAGGAGCCTTTGCATGCTGTCGGGAGCATGGGGGTGAGGTGCGTCATAGAGATTTGCGGGAAGGTACGGCGGGATGCGAGAGACTAGCTCTTCATGTGTGGGAGCCGTACGGATGTCGTCGATATTGACGAAGTCGTTATCATGTCGTGGACTGTGTGATGTCGAGTTAGAAGGTCAAAACTAGCGGGACAAACAATAAAACACGTACCCTTGTAGTCTTTCAGTCCCCGGACCCTCGTACGTGTGTCTCAGTGCAGCTATCAATCCTTCGCTTGTAGCGGACTTGACAGCAGACTGTGATGCAGCCGCCCGCTGGGATTTCGTTCGTTTACGTTCTGCAGCATCCTCATCACGCTTGACGATGGCCATCACACGGTCTATCTTGAGCCTCAACTGGCCCGTGACATGATCTTGGACGGCTCGGGAGAGGTCTTTGAATGAGTTGTCGAAGGACGACGGGTCAGTCTCCACTGACTTTATCCAAGTATCGATCCACTGTTCTGTATGTGCTGCTAGAGGCCCGAGGCGAGGGTATATCTGAATGGCGTTCTTGTAGCGGGTGACACATCTGGAAATACAGAGGAAAGGTCGAGATTAGATATTACGCAACGTGTACGGCGTGCAACTGGATGATTCACTCATAAAGAAGACTGGTGAGAGAAAAGAAAACCTGATTTCCTGAAGGAACCTTGGCGGCGGTGAAAACAGGATCACGAAACGACTTTGCGGCCATGATCTTCTCCATGCTCGTCTCTACGACATCTGCGAACTTGTCTAGATTATCCAGTATGCAGAGAAACAATGCGCTGTGGCCGGCAGCAGCGGGAACTGTGTTAGGGAGCGATTGAGTATTGAAAGAGTGTGCCCACTTTGTTTGCTGTCCAAGAGTGCTCTTGACGACGAATTGGGAGGATAGATACTGGTTCTCCTTAGCTACAATGTCGAAGATACATGTCTCAAAAAGTAGTGGCATACCTTGAGAAGTTGTACATAGCCTCGCTGAAATGACAGAACATTCCTACTATTGCCTGCGGCAGTGCTTACAGATGGCCAATTGACGATATCTCTGATCCTTGACAATCCGTTGTCCTATAATATATGAGATAAGTGAGAGTCATATTTTCCAATAATCCAACCTACTGAGGCAATCTTGACGAGGAGCTCCTGAAAACACGGATCAGCTCCCGCACACAGACAAAGAGATGGTGTGTGGTCTTACTTGTCCCTGTTCAGAGGTCTGTAGAATGACGATGCATAATTAGGTTCTAGCCTCTGGCCTGAAAATACAGGAGATAATGTGACATACCCAAGCTGTGTTCGAAACATTGGCGCTACTTAAGCACGTCAAGAAAGAGTAGATGATAGATGGTGCATTGAATCTGAAGTCATCCTTGAGTAGCTTATGTAATTGAAAAAAGGCCTGCCCAGGAGTATGGGATATATCCGCATCGAAAAAGATGTCAGTTCCAACGCCGGAGACTTTTGCGAGCCCCGCCTCGGTCAGGAAGGGAGTGACGAGGTCGACGGCCGTCGCACGGGTCTCAGATGGATCAGGATGTGCATCTCGACAGTTGGTCCCGAAGTCGCAACGCCCTTTTCCGACCCAGAATTTGCAGACCCTCTGAGGTGGAGGTGGCCTTTGTGGTCTTGGGCTCGCTGAGCTTGGGCCCCTGTTTGGCGACGACGAACCGGGAGACGGGGAGGGTGCTGATGAGCCTGTGTGTTCAAAGGTGCAGCCTTCGCCGCGTCGACAACCTTGTGGTGTGTTGTAAAATCTACAGACTTTGGGAGGCATGATAGTGATGTAGTGGTGGACGAAGGGAGAAGAGAGCGAGAAAGGCAATGGGTTGTGGGCGTCAGCATTTTATCGTAATTACGGTGGCGTTAGGTGGCGGCTTGCTATTCGAAGAACTTTCTGGTAGCAGTTCCACACGAGGCGAACGCACCCTACATATGCATATGAGCCGTAACAAAAGCCTAGACCAGACAGCTCTGATATACGAAGCAGTTGAGGAGCAGCTAAGATGGCACATCGTGAGATGTCACTGGAGAAATAGGCAATGGGCTCTTCATATCAAACTCATCACCAAAAAAGAGATTATGCAGAACATACCTGATTATATAGCGAACAAGCTTTTGAAGCAGCGAGTGTGTATATGCCTGCAATCAAACGTGGGGAACAGGACGGGTTTCTCTTGGAATCCAGTCGAGAAGCAGCATCTACATGTCGCCCTTGTCCGGGCGTTCTCACAACTCTGCCTACTGAAATGATGTGCTTGCGAAATCACAGTGTCAGCTCCGTAAGGTTAACGATACAAGCCGGAAGGTAGCGAGCATGCTATCAGGTCGGAGTTTTGGAGTTGAGAAACAAGGTTGGATAGCTAGATCATGCTTGTCAGAAACGCGACGGAAATAAAGCACGAAGCTACACACTCAAATGATTGCACAAGGCCCGTCGAATCTCTTCACACTCCGAAATTCACACAGAGTACAAGGTAAGAAGATGAAGTAATTATCGCACGCAACCCAGCGAATAGAATAGTCCCACGACATTTCCTGATGCCCATCCGTCCCAGTAACTCCTTCATCGGTTATAGCCCTTCAAGGCCACTAACAAGACCCAAAGCGTCCTTCTCCTTGAGATACTTATGCGCCTTCCCCAACATCCACACCGTGAATGAGAACTTGAAATTAGGGTATGAGATGGCGCAGCTCTTGTTGAAGACGCCTTCAATAGCTTCTTGAGGCCATGAACCGTCCTACAGTGTCAAAGTGAAGTAATTGAATGGGTGAGACGAAAGGATGCATGAAGATAAGATAAGAATAGATGGAAGTGGCGTACGGGCAGTTGACGCTTCATGACCAGCCGGACGGCCTCCGCTATGGGCTTTGCCTTGGGGAATTTTGCGTATATGAGCGCCATAGCGGCCCAACACGTCTGTACGACCTGCGTGTTTTCGTGCTCGACCCACGCCGCGGTCTCGCAGGTCTATGGACACAGATTTAGCCCTTCGAATTCGTTGAACGACCTCATAACACGTAGAAATCTTACCTTCCAACTCTCGCCCCACCCACCATCCGCCCTCTGTTTCCCAATCAACCAGTCACATGCTTTTTTCGCATACTTACTTGTCTCATACGTCTCCCCGACAAGGCTTAACGACTCCAACGCGAACATTGTCGCATACGTGAAACAGATGCCCCATGAGCCGAACCACCCGCCCTCGGGATATTGAGCGTTGTGGAGGAATACGATCGCACGTTGTATAGTGGTAGATATTTCGGCGGAACGGTAAGAGGGGTAGGACTGGCGGAAGATGGAGAGGGAGGTGATAACGGATGTTGTACATTCGGGATAAGCGTATTCGATCATGATGTTGCCTGTGAAGAAATAGTAGGTTTCAACATTCTAAAAAATAGAAGCGTAAAGACTCACCGAAGACCTCGGCAGCGTTGAGTTGTTCGAGCCAGCTGGGCCCACGGATGAGCTCGTAGCTGGCAAAACCACCACTCGGGTTCTGCATAGTAAGCAGTGTGTCCACGGCATCAAATAATCGACGATCAGAAACCAATTTCGGCGTGAAGCTAGATATGCTATTGGTCAGTGCGGGAATAAACCACTGAGAAGAAAGAATGCGTACTCGAGGTGATTCTGCAGGTACAAAACCGATTTCAACCCCTCACCTGTGCAATCGCTGACCGTGTACCCTTGTTCCTTCGTACTGAACGGCCAAGCACCCTTCGTCCGATGCCTATTACTCGTCTCAAGATGCTTCGGATCCTCTGTCATTTGACACTCCTCCAACCACTTCAACGCCGCCACGAGACTATCCTTATTCTCCTCTTCCTTCGCCAACCCTGTCTCGACTAACGCCTGCGTCATAAACCCGATGTCCCACAACTGACTCCCGTTCGTTCCACACATCATCATTCCCTCTCCATTGATCCACATAAAATCCTTCCTTTTGATATCGTGCATCTTGTACGCATGCGACTCGGGTCCTTCCGCATGGAAGCGCGCGACGAGGTTCATCATCTTCGAGACTGGGCCGAGGGTCTGGTACGTCGTGTTTTCGTCTTCGAGGACGATGAGCTTGTAAGCTTCGGCGATGCCGGCACGGCGGACAGGTGGAATTGAGCATGGTTCGTAGAGTTTGAGGATGATATTAAGGAAATCGAAGATGGTGCTATGTGGGGCGTAAACGTCTATTGGGCTAACGTTGTTGCATTGTGCAGGCCAGTCGATGGATTCGTAGGGTTGTGTGTAGAGTTCCTGCAGAAGATGCGATCAGTGAGGCCTAACAGAATGGAGGGAGATGCTGATTACCTGGCGTAGAGACCGGATGAGGTCGTTCTCCTCGGCCTTGAAATGCACGTTTGACAAGTAGGCCATAGGGATATAGACAGTACGAACGTGAATCCACCATCTCCATGGGTGGAAAGGAACCCATTTAGGGAGCAGTCTAGAGACCGGCAGATGTAGCCCGTCTGTCTATAAAGAGAGGGTAACGCACTCACAAAATCTCAGTTGGAACCGGGTTATTGCCTTCCCACTCATATACGTTGAGGACCGAAAGCCAGAATTTTCCCCAGGAAGGCGACGCGACCGCGCCCCCTACTCAGGATGTGAGAGACGGTCCCTTAGAATCTCGCAGTTTGAAGTGCCACATACCGAACTTGTGGAGTGTAGCTCTCGCTTTCACCATTGCAGGATGTTCCGCGGAGACACCAAGTAATCGCAGCGCAGTATAATTCATGGCTGTACCGAACACTGTAGATTCGCCTTCGATGTGCCTTCACCAACATAACAATACACGCGTCACTATACTCTCCGGTTCCCAAGAAGAATAGGAAAGAATTCCACTCACAAACCCCAGCCACCATCATCGGGGTGTGCACGGTTGAGAACATAGCGGATCATCTCCAGTCTCTCCACCTCGAGGAATGTCATTCCGGACACGTATGAACCAATGACGAGACCAGGTAGTAGAAACATTGGGCCTCCGTATTCGCCTGCCCAATGCCCGTCTGGTGATTGAAGATGCTTGTAGAAGGTGTATCCATTCCGAGCGGCATCTAATGGTGTGTTGGCTTTAGGTAGTGGTGGGTAGTTCTATGTTGAACCCATATGTTTGATTGTGGAAACCGTAAAATGACTGAAGGAGACGCACCAAGGGTATCCCAAGGAAGTACTTGTCCCTATCCGTCTGCGGTTGCGCTTCATTATCCTCGTCAGTTTGAAGGTAGTCCCATATATGGCTTCCATCGGTCGTATTCCGCAATCTCCAGCGTGAGTAGTCGGTGAATGGCTCCTTTGGGGAGTCAGGAACATTAAGCGGGGACCAGTTCGACATCTTCGCCGTTCAGTAGAACAGGTCGGTGGAGAAGCGAGCAGCGTGGGGGTATAACTATGTAGGTTTCGTCAGGTATATATATAATTTTGACCGAAGCGTCTGAAATGGCCTGATTCCTACGGGATGACTTGATTTCAGCCTTGTTCATTGGATTGATATTCACCGCACCGTAAGCAAGATGAGCGCTGGGTGCTTTTGACTCTCTGACCCCGTAGAACAATATTCAGCTTTAAACATGGTCACCACGTCCACTCTGCGACGGCTTAGCTGTCCTGGACAAAATCTGACGATGCGAAATGGGGGTAATACGGAGGGGCATGCATGAATGAAGGAAGCAACTCGCTCAACGCCGAAAAGCTCCAGCTAATCGCCGTCATATTTCACACGCAAACAAACCAATCATCGGTACAGCAACAAAAGCTCACCAGAAGGAAGGATAATAGTGTATATTATCGCGGACGTCCAGGCTCCAAAGGATGACAGAAACCAACAAGAACGCTGAGCACGACCATTCGAAACAGCACGAGACCGCGACGGTACGCGTGCGAACCGCGTCAGACCCTAACCTGACGAGTGGGTTGTATGGGTGAACAAGCCAGAGCGCGTCTTCACGAACGATGAGCAACGTTGCCTTCCGCGATTCGACTATTGCCATTATCGAGACCAGCACGACTCTCATACGTGCAGGTCTCGGAATCCATGACTTGATTCGAACCCCCTCCATCGTACGTCACTTAACATTTCACCAAATCGCGTTCATGTTGCGTTCTTAGCTGAATTCGATGGACGCGTTACTTATGATGATAGGAAATACAAGCACGGGTGGGTATCCGATCAGAGCTCGTTAACAAAAATGGCATAGATTTACAACCGTCTGCGTCGACGAGTCGCGCGCCATCCACGCTTCCAGCGCCTTCTACCGCCAAAGTAACGGATTACCTCGTTGGTCGACAGCTCGACGATGCACTCGCGGCCGGACAAGATCTTGTCATATCCTGGCCTTTCAAAGACGGTGTAGTCTCCGACTGGATCCAGGCAGAAGCACTCTGGTACCTTCTACTTCCTTTCTTCTTACTCTGCATCTTTGTCACGAATCGTATTTCTCTGAGTGACCGACCACCTCATCCCACAGGAAATACACCCTTTTCACGGGTCTTGGACTGCGTCGCGTCCAAAATGAATCCCCAGTCCTCCTCTCCCTCTTCCCAGGCATTCCCCGCTCATCCCACGAACTCGTCTGTCAAATATTCTTCGAACGCTTCAATGTCGCCGCCTTCTCCATCCTCGACCGACCCGTCTCCCAACTCTACGCCGCCAATGCCATCACCGGCCTCGTCGTCGACATCAATGACCACGAGACCGTCATCACTCCCATCTCGGACGGTTTCCCTATACATACCGCACGGACACACGTTTTGGTGGGCGTGAAGGACTGTGAAAGGTTCTTGGCGCAGTTGCTGAGGAGCAATACGAGTGTGATCAAGGAGTTGAAGGAAGTCGTTGGGGCGGAGGATTTAGGAGAGGTGTTGGTGGAGCTTGCGAGGCAGGTATGGAAGGCTGGGTTGGTCAAAGTTCCATCTGGTGCCGGCGCCGCGCGCGAGATTGAGGACGAGGGGGTGACGGATATCGCGGCTGTCATCGTCGCCGGCAAGGAAAAGGCCGTCATCGAGTCAGGCATGAAGAAACGTGCGAACGCTAAGGCTAGCGCTGCTGAACAGGCCCGCGCGAGGGAGATCGAGGCGATGGATTTGGTGACTATCGAGTTTAGGGGAAAGGAGGTCACGCTTGGAAAGGAGAGACATCGGTTCTGCGAGCCTTTGTTTGATGTCGGTCTGTTGAATGCCGTTCATGGGTTGATGGAGGAGAAAAAAAGTCGCGTGGAGAAGGGCCATGCATTGGTTGTTCCGTTGCAAGACGCGGCAGGGCATGCGGTCGAACTGACGGAGTTCGATCAGAGGCAGTATATATGGCAGGGCTTGCTCGTTACTGGCGATATTACTGGCTATGTCAAGGGTTAATTTTCTGCAGACTCTACCGTTGACGGTGCTTGTTCTGACATCTCTTCCCTCTTTCCAGGTATCGCTCCCGCCTTGCAGTCACGTCTGTCACCATTTATCCTGGGCAACCCGGACATGCACATGCAAAACGACGTTCAGCCGAAGGTCATTCGCCTCGTCAAAGTCCCAGAGTACTTCGCCAACTTTCGCGAGCTGGGCGACGGCCTCGCCGCGTTCTTGGGGTCTACGATCGTTGCAAAGGTTGGTTCTCCTTCGATTGTCATTTTACGATATGTTCTCACAAACTTGATCAAACTTGGACGATAGATCATCTTCCATGATCTGAACAGCAAAAACTTTGTTTCCAAGATGGACTACTCAGAGCGAGGGCCAAAAATTGTACTCGAAATGTCGCCTAGTTTGTTGTGATCTACATAGCCTCGACTGTCTTGATATTTATTCCATATAATGCCTTTGTTCCTTATGAAAACCTACAACAAGGTTCGACTTCTCGACATGCTGTCTTCCCAAAGCAGGGTGCAGTGTGCATGTTCGGTTGGTCATGGGATGCCTAATCATAGGATGCAATAGCGTAGGAAAGCATACAAAAAACACTCCGCAAACAAAACCCGGTGGTAAGGCAGGAAGAATTTTGATTGCTCATGCCTGAGCCTCGGCGACGCTGAGGAGGTCACTGTCACCGGGATCAGTGATGGTCATGACACTGTACATAGCATAATACAATAGCAAACGACGTCAGCAAATGTTTGAGAGACGACGGTTTAAGAAGTTTGACGCACCCAACACGGAAGAGCTTTCCGGCTGCTGTACCAAGAGCGACGTTCGTGCCAGCGAAGTGGTGCACGGTCGTCTTGGACAACATGGCGTAGTACTCGATCTCCGACTTGCGCAGAGGGGGGGCGTTACCAGCGATGAGGATGAGCTTAGCTAAAATCCATCCAAACCAACCCATGCATCAAGTACATGGGGATGAACGGCACAACAATAGTGGACAGACATAATTGAATGAAAGGGTTGGTTGGATGGCGGGGAAAGACAGACGAAGGTCAGTTCAAGGGACCTTCTCAGCTTCATTGCTCCAGCCCCGTCGGGTGAGAATGGCAGAAAAGGGTACAGTACCTTTGCCGTTGCGCATCTGCTTGAGAGCAGACTTGTACCCGAGGGAGTACTTGCCGGACTTAACGACGAGGGCCAGACGAGTGGCGATAGACTCGGTGGACTTTGCAGACTTGGACTTCTTGGTGGGGGCCATCTCGTCTTAGTTTTTGGTGGAAGTGGTGAGTAGGGGTCGAGTCTGAGGATGTCGGCTGCTCTGAACTTTTCGAGACGCGCGACGGTGGGTGGCAGCGTGGGAGAGCAGAATTTAGGTTTCGGCAAACTCCTGCTACAGCTACAATAAGGTTCAAATGCCGCCAAAGCACCTTCGTGTCTTGCTTTGGACGTCATTCGTTCTTCCTTTTCTGTCTTTATGAAAGTCGCCGTGTGGGCGTCTGTTCGCATGGACGATAATATAATATCGATTTATTCGACGGAGTAGGCCTTCATTCAAGCTTCTCCGAATACACATAGTGTTCGTTCTTTTCTTGACGCTGACGCACCTGAGCTATCCCATGGATCATCATAATCGGAGGTTTCTGGAACGTGTAAGTACCCAACCCCTTCGCATCTTCCACAGCCTCCGGGCCAGGGCGAAGGCAATCCAGGCCATATCTCGGCCAAGACATCCATCAGGTCCGCTTCACGTTATTGAGGGACGTGATTCATCCTCGAAATATATCCATGCGAAATGCATATAGGCTTTTTGTCCTTCCGGTCCTATAGAACTTCGCGATTACACGAGGAACAGCAGGGAACAACACTCTGGAACCACGCAAGAATGATGCTCGCAAGATTCGACAGGAGACGGGGCGGTTGTGCATCCGCGCTCCCGCCATCTCGTCGTCATCATCCCCCCTTCGGCGGACGACGTCAAAATTCCTTGGAATTGCCTTCGCGGTCCCAACTGGCGATCACGAGCCCGTTCGTTTTCTCGATCTTGGTCCTGGGACCCCCGTTCCTCGCCGGCTACTTTGTATGTGACCTGAACATTATGGAAGGAAGGATAGTCCTCCAGCTTATAAGCCGGAGATCTGCCTGGGGAAATTTGTTTCCGTTTATTCCCCACATTCGCCCTACTTCTCTCTGCGCGCACTAACGCTGTCGCTCGACCTTGAGACCCAAAACAAGAACCGATGTCGAAACATACAAACTATACCCCGACCCATCCTGAACTCTTCGCTGTAGAGTTCAAGCCTGGAGAGTATTCTTCGTCGCTCGTCGCACGAAAAGCAAGTCCTAGTCCACGCACTCAGGGCTTTCTTCGACTGACCTTCCCGTCACATTTGCACAGGACTTTGCAGAAGGCGAGCGAATCGCTCGTCTTGAGGGCCTCACCAAAGGTCCTAAAGCCTACTCATCCGTCCAGTGTGGCCCAAACGTAGATGATCACATCGAGCTCAACTCTGATCTTCTCTACGGTAGGTCATCATCTGTCTTTCCTCGATGGAGAGCAGGATAGCTTACGAAGATGGTCGTGATCTAGTCAACCATTCGTGTGAGCCGAACGTGGCGTTCGATCTCTCTGCCTTGAACTATAAGGAGTGGCACGTCCGCGCTTTGCGAGACATCCATAAAGGCGACACACGTACGTATTGCCTTCTCGCATGTTTTTCTGTCTTTGCACGAGTGAGCAAATACTGAGAAAGCTGTCGTTTCTATCACTCCAGTGACGTTCTTTTACCCGAGTACGGAGTGGAATATGGAACAGCCGTTTGACTGTCTCTGCGGTTCCTCGGTACGAAACACAACCTGACCGTGATCCATTTATGCTGTTGTATTGACCACCGAACCGTAATTCACAGACATGTCTAAGAACTATAAAAGGTGCAGCGTATCTCACCTCGGAACAGCTTCTCGCACGGGGACACGTGAGTCCGTGGATCATGGCCGGCGTTGCGGCGAGGGACACCAAGAGTTCGTAGAGAGACGCTCTGTCGCGAAGGCTCACATATTGTGAACAAGGCGTAAGCGATAGCGACACGCTGAAAAATCCCTAGACGTGGTCAAAATTCGGTAGCCATGGACGGAGGCTGATTTCAGAGGGAGGAATGTGGAGCAATAGGCGACCATTCGTACGGAAGTGGCTGATCCGACTTTGCTTGATGATGAAGTGCAACACGACTTGACGATAGTCCAGAGAGTGGTATTTAAGTGGGATGTTACCGTGTGCTACACGTAGGCAGTAGGCGGGCGTGAGGCTGGGAAAATGACAACGTGTTATTGTTACATCGTTCGTAGAAGGTTCGGCTGGCCAAAAAAGCTTCAACGCATGCAACTAGTGGTATGCCACGAAAACACAATCCTAAATACTGCCCAGGTGAGTTGTCAACCAAACGGGTCCGATAGTCGCAGAATAGCTCTATAATTGTATCAGTACGCCAGTTGAACGGCCGTGAAAAGATCTTGGACACGTACTGCTGTTACTGTATATTTTCATCATCCATGCTCGCTTTCGATTCTATTCGACGACGCAGTGTCGAATCGCCTGTAACAGAATCATCCTCCGCTAAAGGTAGTGGCTCCGCGGGACCGTCGTCTTTCTTGTCCGAAAGTGTTGCTTGGCGTGGAAGGCCCTTGTTCGAAGGAGTATTCCGCCTTGACTCCCAAATAATATAGAGAACGACTTCGGAGAATGCAACGACTGCCGCCGCGAGGAAAGAGAGAAGGACTCTCTAAGCAGAGGCGGACCCGGTCAACGTTCATGATGAAATAAGGCAAGTGCTGCCTAGAGCAAGCAAAGGCGCACCCATTCATCTCTCCACCCAATAGACCCCGCGGCCCACCAAACAGCTCCCCCTGTACCAGCTACACTGAGTAAAGCATTGATCACCGCAACAATTGCTCTCCTGTCGTTTAATTGCCTCTTTGCGTCCTCGGCTGCGTCTTTCGTTGGCACTTGGGCAGGAAAGCGACGGTTTGGGGAGGTCGTAGTTCCTGCAAGAAGAGAGATCATGGTATAGTCTGCTGAATCGAGTGCAGGCACATTTGGCAATGGGGGTTCCTTCAAGGCGGATAGTCCGGCCGGAGAACGCGCCCACTGCGAGAGGTTCAGGAGAAGTTTGTACGGAATGGTTGGCACGTCTGAGGCCTTTTCTGAGGATGACGAGGGTGAAGTGTATGCTGCGATTTTTTCGGAGAGAGGAGGTGATAGTCGACTTTGCACATTTCGCAGAGATTCGAGGAGGTGTGGTTCGAGCGAGACTGTCAAGTCGTCATACGTGTCAGCTATATTGGCCATCCGCACGACAGAAGGATATCACTGTGGGTTGGGTAGAAAAGTGCCTGAAGGTCCAGAGAAAAGATACGTTCGATAAATGGTTAGCTATATTCCTGGTCCCTATAAGGGAACCAGGTTCTTACCTTGCGCTGGAAATACTGAAACATTTCCTTTCTCGGCGGCCAATGTCCGCAGCAGCTTGTCCAGTTTTTAATCGATTTTAACTGATTAATGGTTCCAGAACCTTCCGGAAGAGGGCACGAGATGGTCTCGCCTCTTGACTGCGGACCGCAGATTCCGCCGCTTCGTTTCAGAGTCCGCTCAATATATACTTCGTTCAATCTCCCTTTTTTGAGACCAACAATGCCACTTAAACGTACTCTCCATCCCTCTGCTTTTGAACGCCGCGTTCGCCCTTGCCGGAGGTCTGTCGTGATCGAGGATACTCCTCAATGCGACTGTCCTAACCGTAAGTCCATACTCAAATATCGCAGTAGTCCATTTCTAACGCTCAGGACGTATAGTTAGTTTGCCCTCGTTGCCTTCTACGTTTCATTGCCTTCTTCTGTCGGAAGCGGAATGCAAACTACAACAGGTTCCTGTTGGT